AGGCCATCATCTCAGTAGCTACTTAAGGCAAGGATTTCTGAACTCTGACAGTATCCCCTCTTTAGGGGCTTACTCCAGGAAGCCTTCAAGTAGTTAACCCCCAATGAGTCATATTTCATGATAAGAATCATAAACCATCACTCACTGTAAGCCATCCCATTCCTGAACAACGCTGCAGCATAGGAAAGTAACTGCTCGTAGTGGGAATTGAACGCATGACCTTGGCTGTCATCAAACTGTAATAAAGTACACTGGGAAAGTACTATACTCCACCAAAAGGTATTTTGATGGCTGAAGGCCATCATCCCAGTAGCTACTTAAGGCCTGGATTTCTGAACTGTGACACTCCTCATACTTCGATGCTGCGATTGTGGTCTTCCTGGGCTTTTCGGTACTCAGCCTGACGGTTTAGAGAAAGGTAATCGCACTTTGGAGCAAGGCGTGGGCTATGCTGGTGTTCGGTTGCCTGATCTCGTCCTCCTTGGTGCGCTCCAGAATTACTGTCCACATGTCACTGTGTAAGCCTCCTATGGAGTAGGCGGCGTTTGGGAGCTCTGTGCGGAGCCATGCGGTAGTGACTTCGTGTTTTGCCCTGTTCTGTGTGGGGTGATGCGTCATGGCTTCGCACAGCAGTTCGTAGTTCCGCTTGATTTCTCGCATCCGGCTGTCGTTGTAGTTGAAGACTTAGTCACATGCAGCGTACATCTGGTGGAAGTCGCGCTGCGCAAGGTGGTATTGTTGCGGTAACATTCTCAACCAGGCAGAGGGGTTTGCGATATTGATCGTTGCTCCTACTGTGTGTACGGCCGAGAGCGCCGTGTCCAGCGTCTGTGGGTATTCGAGGCGAAGCTTGTCAACATTGAAACATGACATAGTGCTTTCTTTGTTGGGAAATCAGTAACTTATGACTCTTGAGATTATAGTGCGGCTCATTCCCGCGCTGCCGCCCGCGCTGCCCCGTGCGGTGCCTGCGCGCTGCCCCCCGATCCCTGTTCCGACCCTCCTTCGGATCTACCGCCTCGAGCCATGACAGATACCTACCCATCTGATGGTGTTCGCTGGAAATGTTGTGCAGGATAGGTCGATCTTACATCCGGGTAGTTTGTGATTTGTATCTCATTGAAGCTTCCGGCTGGCAAGGATTAGTAAAGGGAGTGGTTAATTAGGATGGGGAAACATTGTGGCCGCTTCATGCAGGTTGGTGCATGTCGGAGAAGCAGGAAGGTAAGGTTAGACGTTTTCGCTGACTTGATTGGAGTTGGTTGTGAATAGTAGTATCGATTGAGATTGGAGAGTTTGAGGATAAAGGATAGGATTGTCGATATTGGTTGCGCGGACCCAGGCTTATAACCTGTTGTAAATATACAATGGGAGAGAGTAAGCTGAGATATTTGATGATGTTTATTGCTTAGAGAATAGAAAGGAGCTCGGTACAAGACGGGGGTATTGTGATAGCTATGGTGATGCCAAGCCTGAAATCAGACAGTCTAGGCCAGAATATACAACAGTCGTGGACCTTGGGTGGCCGAGTGAGATATGGGGCCTAGCACGCTGTGATAGGGGCCGGGCGTAGCACCTTAGACATCCAAGTTAGAATACTGCGACACGGCACAACTCGTGGACAGGTGAGGGATGAACTTTTGCAGTAGTGCGTAGGGTATCGGGACTAATAAACCATCAATCAGCCGAATGATATTTACGCGACCTGTCCTCCACCTCAGACGGGGCCGAGGCAGAGCAGCGAGCGGAAGTTGTCGTGTGCTGGTGTCATTTGCTTGGTGCGCTCTATGTACCGTCGAGACAGTTCGGGCCCACAAATGGCAGGGGAAGCCTATTCACGCCGCTCGATGGAATTTGGGTTGGATGGCAGTGGCGTGGAAACGGAGTGCGTGTGTGGATGTTGCCATCATCAACCTAGCTGGGCCACATGCAATCAAGGATTAAACAAAACAATATAAAAATATAAAAAGCAGAGATCATCCACGGGAATAGCACTGGGACGCTATTAGGCTCCAGAGTCGCTTGTGGCCCCCCTCTTCCGCTGCTGCGATTGAATTGTAGCTGATGCAGCATCAGGCCCTGTACTCGTGCACATATCCAACCCAGTGCAGGCAATAGCTCGAAACGCCCATGGGCTGGGCCAAGGCTGGTGGGCTGATCTCATAACCCGGGCGAAAGCCATTGTGCTGCAAGTCGAGCCCGCCGGCATTGGGTGGGCTGGATCCTAGAGTTTTGTAGCGTAAGGCTACGGCGGCGAGAGGAAGTACAGGAGAAAGTCTGCAGACATATATACCCCCCTCATTCCCTCCACAGGACGAAACTGCAGCCTGCCGCTCGCCGAGCCACAAATCCGCAAAACTGAGTGCTGTGACCTCGCTATAGTATTAGCACTGCAACCAGCGGGGCTCGATGACCTTCATACCTGCCAAACGGATACCGGAGAGGCGGCAGTAGCGATCGCTCGGCTGCGGACTGCTGGCGGGGCGGTGAGGAAATGGATGGAGGCGGCGGTAATGGAGAAGCGACGGTAAGAAATCGGTAGTCGAGTAGATACCAGGTATGTCGGTCGTCCGGTACAGACGAATGATCACTCACAGAACCCCTTGGGACCTCTGCACTGTTACAGCAAAACGCCCTATCCATTCACAGAAGATTCCAGCGTGAATGCCCACTCGAAGCGCACTGAGCAGCATGCAGAATTCAACGGCTATGTTGTAGCTACGCGTTCAAAGCTCGGTGATGTGCATGGCATTTGAAGCGTATGTGAGCTTCAATTGGTCTCGCCGCCTCCAACGGATATAAACCTCATTAACGGTGCGCCCGACATTTTCTTTCATCATACTCACCAATCACAAACACATACCTCAACACCACACGGAAAACACACAATTTCCTGAACAAGCAAGCTATCTGGACCTCCGAGACAAACAAACAGAGGAGTATCAACACCACAACCTCGACCAAACTTCTTCCCACACTTTTCCCACACACAAAACACGATCACAATGGGAGGCTCATCCTCCAAGTCAGCAGCGTACAAGTGGAAGTGCGCACCCTGTGGTAACAAGAACAGCATGAGTACGCAGACGTGCGAGAACACGCGGTGCGGAAAACGCTGCCCCGACAAGCAGTTCGCCGCGCATATGGCGGCTGCCAATGAGGCGGAGATGAGGGCGCGCTGGGGCTAGTTAGGCGCGATGGGGGTGACTATTGACCAGGCGGAAGACGGGAGGTCTGAGTTTTTTCTTCTTTTTGGGGTGGTTTATTTTTTCTGATTAGCTTGCTTGCGGGTTGTTCTGTTGGATCTGCTGCGCTTCATTCATTCGTTGGTTCGTACCTATTTGCTTTCTTTTTTCTAATCGAGCCCGCATCTTCATTTCTTTCCAGTCGGGTGTATGTAGGGATGACATTTCTATCTTCGCCGAGTGGCTGTGAGCTCAATACCAATCCATGCCTACATAACACATATACGTATCGCTGGTGGCGATCACAGCTACCTCTCCGGCGGCGAAGCTACAACTTGAGAATCACTACATATACATGCGGAGGCCGCTTAGGTAACTATCCTTAGAAGCGTTGAGACTCGACGGATTCCAGCCCGTCATCAGGTTTCAGCGCGGCTAATTGTATGCGACTTCATGCTCTGGCAGTTGCCGAACTAAGAAGACTCTGTTCAGTATAAGAGGAGCGGAACGGCAGATGTTTCAACTGAGGCGAATTAACTGTACTTTACTTCCCGTTCCACGCCGTGCAGTACTTTCATGATAGGTCATCCGAGGTCTGAACCGCCTCAATGTGATTATTCCACCAGCAGCTCCACCCATACGGCGGATGCTTCTCTTGTAGTAATGACGGTCATGGCGTGCCTAGGAAGCATAGAGAGAGAAGAAGATCTTCCTGTTTTATTTCGCATGCAGCCTATCTAGACTATGGCGAACCAACGAACTCCCTTTCCTGGTCGCCCTGAACACTCGAGGTGGAGAACTCCAGTACCGGCCAGTCCGGTGCGGCGCCCCACTTTCCGTGCCCATCCCTAGGAAGCATAAAAACTTGGAGTTATGAGTTTTCCTAGTTTGAAGCGAGTGACTTCGTGTGAGTCACCCAGTGCTACTGTGTGAACTTAACGTGAGATACAGATGCAGCAATCTCCCAGCAAACGCTTCAGTCGACCTCCGGTCCTGCTCTTCTTTCATACCTTTTGTCGGCTCTCTTGTTTTCTTCCAGGGCCGGCAAGCCAGCGGATCCAAGGCAATGATTTGAGATCAATGTGTGGCTTTCTAGACCCCTTCCCACCTCATCGAGCAATACCCTCGAATCTCCTCTTCAGATATCAAATCGGAAACAACCTGATCTCCCTCCATTCTGTCAAACATTAGTCGCCCGGAGACGTCGGCACGAATAAGGTTAACGGTGAAGGGTCGAGGCTGAGTCTCGACGAGCATTTGGCTACGCGGCTGCGGCGAACTTTGGGCGGCGGCGAACTTTAGGCGGCACATCACTCGTGCATATAAAGAGATGCCTCGCCGCTGACGATACTTTTTTCTGTATCGAATCAATTATATCTGTCGTTCCATCTATATTCAACACATTCACATCAATCGCTTTCTCATTATCACGCACTATCACTACTACTTCGCATTCGCATCATCCATCTCCTTCCTCGGACCGCCGCTGCAATTCCCTCACGAGAAACTACCGATTGCGATAAAAGGTTGAGCTTTTATATGTTAACACCTATGACCATATCCAAACGGGGAAGCCCGAGTGTGTGTCCCGTCCGTCTAAATTCTCCCTCCCCGTTCTACACCCACCCCCCTCCCCAAAATGAAAAAACAAAACGACAGAAGGTAAAAAGAAAAAAGAGTCTACTTCGTACTCCCCCACACAACCAGCTCGCAAACTCCGATGTGATGAAGAAACGAGAAAAGAAAGAAAGGAAAACGAAACCCAAATCGCGATGTTATGCCCATTGTTGAAACGAAAACAAGAAAAAAGTCTAGGAAAAAAAAAAGGGTAAGAAACCAATCAACTCTGCGCGTCAACAAACTCATCGTCGCTGTTGACACTCCTAGGTTTGGGTTGGCCAGCGGGCGCGATTCCTTTATCCGTCGGTACCAGCTGGGGACCTCCGAGTGACGCAGGTGCTTGTCCTACTACTTGCGGCGAAAAGTCGATTAGTCCCGACTCCGATCCCGGTGTATCCGTAGCGGTGTTACCTATTGGTAGTGCCTGGTGAGGCGCGTCATTGTGGGGGTGGTGTGGGGGAATGTCGTACTTGCTGGGCCGCGGTTCACCATCTACTATCGGAGCGATTTGTAAGATTTGCTTGATTTGTTCCTCGGGTGAGGCTTCCTCGTTGCTATGTGGAGTTAGTTGAATGAGTGGTGAGGGTCACGGGAGAGGGAACTTACATATGTGTCGCTAAGATGAAGTCCAACGCATCTTCGTCACCGGTGCCAGGCTCGACGGGTCGGAAGTACCGGGGCTGCCATTCGACGCCATCCGCCTCACGGAGTCGGGCCTCTTCCCTCTGCCGGTCCTCGATTTTGCACTTCTCGGCGGTGGCAACATCTTGGTCCCTCCTTTTGAGAGCGGAAACGACTTCATACCACAGCCGCTGAGACTCGCGTTCATCCTGCTTCTCGATCGGTCGTACGGTCGGCGGTGTCGCGGCGGTCTGCGTAGCGTCGAACAACGGCTCCCGTTTCCCCGTCTTTCAATCGTTAGCATCGCTGCCGTATTCATCGGCCAAGTAAACTCACCATCAGGTTTTTGATGTACATGTCCGCGTTCCAGCTACCGGTGATCTCGTACAGGTTCTCGCCGGTGCTCTCCCGCTTGATGAAACCGCCAATAGCATTGTACGCGCCGGTGAAGAACCCCTTCACCTTGAACTCGATATCCGCGACCAGATCCAACTCTGAGCACCGAACATATGCGTGGTCCCCAAGCTCGTACTTCATTTTACCGAACAGGATACCGCGCACATACATGTTTGGCTGCGTCAGGATGTACTTCTCTCCTCCACCCTGTTTCCCTGCCGACGTGCCGCGGTTCAGCAACCGCATGATCACGACAGAGGTGTTCATCATTGACGCGGCAGAATTTCCCAAGAAGCGCGACTGCGGCTTCAACGTGCCGTCAATCCGGATGTGGTGGTGGGGCGCCATGTAAAAGTACGACGATTTCGGTGGGTGGTGCGACGTCTGTTCGGCAATGTAGAAGGCCTGGGTTCCCGGGGCCGCCGCAAAGTCCCAGTGGCAGGTGAAGCGCTCGCCGAGAATCGGGTTTAGGGGTTTCTTGACGCCGCTACCGGATATGTCAGAACCCGGAGAGCGGAACATCGGATGGGACACACATACGCAGGTTTAATGTGCCATCCGCTCAGGTAGAACTTGACGACAGAAACGAAGCGTTGCTCGGGATCATCTATGGTCGACATCGGCAGCAGGGTTTCCGGGTGCTGCATGAAGCTGGTAGTACGGCCCAGTCAGCGTCGCCTTCCCGGACACGGAACTAAATGGATCCCGGGGACGGATAAACACGTACTTCGTGATCCGTTCCAGCATACTCCTGGGTTCTAGAATGAATGTCGGCAGGGTGATTCTACTCAGATCCGCACCGGGCCGCAACTGCGAGATGATTGCCATCAACACTGTTCGCATCCAACCCACACGTAAGCAAAACTGTTCAACGCGCATGCCCGGATTGTAGGCTACCAACTGCTCTTCTCGCTGTCATCAACAATCATCTCTTCCTCGGACTCGCCAGCATCGCCGCCTGACTTGTTGCCTGTTCCGCGGGAGGCGTGTCAGTACGTTCTGGGCTGTTTGCGCATCTCGGAATGTCGGGTTACGCACTGTTCAAGGATGACCTCCGGCGCGCATGCGTTGATTGCACGGGGTCACGGTATCCTCCAACAAGGCCGCTGAACATGGTGTCGGACTTTCGGGGGTTGTGTGTTTGTGATGAAGGTGTGCCGGGGAAGGGAGGTGTCAAACTATTGAACGGATGAACGAGCACGGAGCAGGAGTAGATAGGTCTTTTGGTCGTGCCTGGCTGTCGGACACCCGCGTTAGCGCTGACAGCCTTCCTTCCAAGACCGACAATCACGGAATCAAAGGATAGGGTTTTATCTCACCGTTTCTTTCTCTCCTGTCGTTGACCGAGAAAGGGGACGGGGCTGGGTGTAGTGATGAAGGTTGTTGGTGGTGGTGGCTTTGCGAGCAGTTGGGGATGGCGACGCAACTACTGGCACTTTTGGGGGCTTGGCGTGTGACGAAACAGGCGGGGTGGCGTAAGCGGGACACTACTCTACGAGAGTTGAATTCGGCAAGACAGGCAGCCGGCGCCGAGAGCGGAGCGGGCGTGAAGATTAGAGGTTCGGCGTGAGTTGGGTTTTTGTCGTATGGGAGTCGAAAAACGAGGATGAGAAGAGGAAAAGGGGATGCGAAGAAGATAGCAGAAGGAGGCTGGATGACTGGGTGGATCCGGAAAGCCAGCAACAAGCAAGGCACACGAAAGCAGGCAGTCGGTGCGCAGAGTCAGTCCCTCAGAGCTACGGGAATAGAAGGACAAGGAGAGCAGCCAGACGAAGATGGATGAAGGGGGTGGTGGTGGATGGGCAATGGACGGATGACGAAGATGATGACGATGGCGATCTTGTCACGTCCACGAAATTCCCACGATAATGGCCATTCTGCATCGCAGTCCCGATTCCTCACAGCAGACAGTGAGTCCGACGAACCCCAAAGACAGCTGTAATGGCATTAGTAAATTCCAACGGATTTCTAGCGCTGTGCTGCAGCTGCTGTTACCCTAATTTTTTCCTTCTGCTGTGCATTTCAACGAATGTATGCAGATAGTTAACGAGAACTTGGTCATGGATTACTTGACTGCTGGCGTGGGGTTCGGACTGCCGCTATCAGTGTGAGAGAGGCTCGTGGGTTGGCTGCGGCCCGGTGAGAGAGCCACAACGAGACCCGACGCCACATGGAGCCACAATCGGTGCACTGGCCCCTGCACGGAACACCAGCCACCTGCCCGCCACATTGCCCGATAAGAAGAGGATTCAGCTCTGATCATCACATGCAGCAGAGCCGCTTGCCCCGCATAGTGTGTTTATGACGTGAAAAGCGACATTCAGAGGGAGAGATGAGAAAGTCAATTCGGAATGAGCTAGAGTATCATAGTCACGGTCACGATAACTGTCGGTTATGGTCGCGGATGTTTTGTATCGCGACATTTCATGCGGTGGTATGCAAATGGAATGTTCGCTCTTCTCGAAGTTTCCGTCTCCTTCGCTCGTGTTCTTTGCTGCAACCCCGCGCCTAGCTTCGCCCGTTAATTCTCCCACCTCTCCTCTCGCCCTTCCACACAACTCAATCAACAAGAAACTCTCAAACACCTTCAACTATAACTCACCAGTGCTCACTCAACAGAAATTTACATTCAACCTTCCTCTACCTCTACTGTTGCCTTTGATACTCCATCGCCATGGCTGACCAGGTAATTCTCCCCCCATTCACTACATCCCATATATCCATCGCTTGCCGCCCGCGAGAGCCCGACGACTGACGCGATTTTCGATCCGTGTGTAGTTGAAAGCCGAGGGAAACGCAGCTTTCGCTGCGAAGGATTTCGACAAAGCCATGTATGTTCCGTTCGCGTTGATGGTCGCCGCTCGCCGCTCGCTCGTGCTGACCGTTGTTCCACAGCTCGCTATTCACTCAAGCAATCGAGATCGACCCAAGTAATCACGTCCTCTACTCGAACCGCTCCGCTTGCTATGCGTCGATTCGCGACTTCGATGGTGCCCTGAACGATGCAACTAAGACTACTGGTACGAGATTCGGATACTCTCGCCGTGCGTGGCAGCTGCTGATTTGATTGCCTGCAGACTTGAAGCCGGATTGGGGTAAAGGTTACTCGCGGAAGGGTGCTGCGCTGCACGGAAAGGGCGATCTCAGTATGCTCACTCTTTCTCTTCGTGCAAGCATTACGTGACTAACGCCTTCTACTATAGTCGGAGCTCTCGACGCCTACGAGCAGGCCCTGAAAGTGGATCCCTCGAACGCCCAAGCCAAATCCGGTCTTGCCGCCGTGAACGAGGCGATCCGTCGGGAAGCCGAAGAAGACGGCGTGTCGTCTCCCGACCTCGGTCTGGGCCAGATCTTCTCCGATCCCGACTTCATGGTGAAGCTCGCGGGGAACCCAAAGACCTCCGCGTTGCTCGCCGACCCGGGGTTCATGGCAAAGCTGAACCGTGTTCGAAGAGATCCCAGCGCCATCCAGGAGGAGCTGAGGGATCCTAGGATGATGCAGGTTATTGCTGTCTTGCTCGGTATTCAGATGGAGATGCCCGAGAACGCGGCGCAGGCGGCGGCAGATATCGCACGGGGTAATAACAGCACATTCGATGCACCCATGAGTGACGCACCATCATACACCGAAGCACAGCAGGAAGCACAGCAGGAAGATGACGATGCGAAGGCGAAAAAGGAGGCGAAGGAGCAGGCGGACAAGGAGAAGGCGCTCGGCACCGAGAACTACAAGAGGCGTCAGTTCGATGCTGCTATCGAGCATTACACAAAGGCGTGGGAGCTGTGCAAGGATATTACATACCTGAACAACCTCGCCGCGGCAAAGTACGAGGCTGGCGATCTGGAGGGCTGTATCGAATCATGCAAGAAGGCCATCGAGGAGGGTCGTGAAATGCGTGCGGACTTCAAGCTCGTTGCTAAGTATGTCCCCGCGCCGAGAACTTTAAAGATGCAGTACTGACAGGAACAGGGCGTTCGGTCGTATCGGAACTGCATACCAGAAGATGGGCGATCTGGCCAAGGCCATTGAATACTACCAGCACTCGCTCACCGAGCATCGCACTCCGGAGGTTCTCGCCAAGCTGCGCGCTGTCGAGAAGCAAAAGATAGATACTGAGCGGCAATCGTACATCGACCCGGAGAAGGCCGAGGAGGCTCGCGAGGAGGGCAACCGTCTGTTCAAGGCCGCCGACTTCGCTGGTGCCGTCAAGGCCTACACCGAGATGATCAAGCGTGCGCCCGAAGACCCCCGTGGTTACTCCAACCGCGCCGCTGCCCTCCAGAAGCTCATCTCCCTCCCCGAGGCGGTGAAGGACTGCGACCTGGCGATTAAGAAGGATCCCAAGTTCATGCGCGCATACATCCGCAAGGCCCAGCTGTTCCTTGCCATGAAGGACTACTCTAAGTGTCTCGATGCCTGCGACCAGGCGACTGCCGCCGACACCGAGAACAAGCACACCCGCGAGATCGAGGAGACCAGTAGGAAGTGCATGGGCGTCATGTACTCCTCGCGCGACGGCGAGACCGAAGAACAGACCATGGCCCGCATCCAGCGCGACCCGGAGCTCGTCTCGATCATCTCCGACCCTATCATGCAGAGCATCCTTCAACAGGCCAAGCAGAACCCGCAGGCGCTGAACGAGCACATGAAGAATCCCATGATCGGCACCAAGATCCGGAAGCTCATGGCTGCTGGTAAGTCCCGTGTCCGCCACCCCCTCTGTACGAATCTCAAGCTAATATCATGACAGGTATCATCCGGATGGGGTAAGCTAATTGCCTGAAGAAGGGATGTGTGCGGTTGAATGGGCGTTGGTTGGGGTTTGTTTACGCGTTTTCTCTTTCTCTTCCTCTTTCCTTGCCTTTTCTTGCTATGTAATACGCATCCTGTCTGGTCGCTGCCCTGTCTTACTTAAGCCGCGCTCACGGCATGGTCTTTCTTTTCTGCTCCAGTGATTCGAGGGATGGTGCAAAGCTTGTATCGTTGGCTGAAGTTATCGTGATTATTGTTGGTAAAAAAAAGGTACCTGCTGTATGTAAGTAGGATATACTCCTCTCGCCCGGTCAATGGGTGGTACTTCCGCTGCCTACTCGATGAATCGAGATCACTGTATCAAGCGGGGATATAGCATACAAGCAGTAACAATGCTACCAGCCCTCTCTCGCCACGTCCATTCAATTTCATGTGCTTTTAGCGGAACGGTGTGAACTCAACCCCTCTCGCCGAAACCCGGCGAAGACCGAACGCGAGTGACGTCTACTCGGCCTCCTACTGGGCCACCCAACAACAATTTTATATCCAGCACGCCACATCGCAGCGCAAGTAGAGTACTACGCAGGGCCACCCCTATCCACCCCGTATGTACATAACAACCTCCAACTCACAATTCGCGGTATATAGTAGCCACGATCCACCGGGCGCGCAGGCGCCATGTGTACCTACCTCCCCGTACCCACCCACCCACCCCCTACAGAGGCACTAGCTGCACATATCCACAGTCCCTCCACCGCGTCCGCCGCGGATATGGGCGGAAATGGGCGGATAGGTACGGATATTGGTAGATTGAGTGTAGGATCACTCAACGACGAATCCGACAGTCCCGAGTCTTTTGGCGAAGTTCCCTGGCTGCGCTGGTAGTGCGGCTGAAGTGTTCTGTAATTGTAGGTGAGTGATCAAAGTTGGAACGGAACCAGAAAGGCGCTCGGTCGCGGTAGAGACCACACACATGAAGAGACTATGGGACACAGTAAGAGACCACGGGAAGAGCAAGTCGGTAGTAGTGAATAGGAAGGGGTAAGGGCACAATAAAAACAGGTGCGGAGCATCGGACTGTATGAAGTATGTATGTACAATATGTCGTTACTCCGCATCGCATCAATCATGCGCGGTGAATGCCGGGTAGTTCGCAACTGGAAGCACTCATCCACTCCACATTCCACATTCCATATTCCATATTGTATATTCCATACTCAAGACGCTCATGAGCTGTGGTGGATATCAACTTCCAACTCTTGTGTATATAGCATGTACTTGCCTACTTGTCGACTGTCCAGTAGCCACCAGGGAAACCTGAACAACTTCAACACAATCACGCGATGTCACCCATTCTACGGACCGGCGCCCATGTCCGTTGGTTCTCCGTTCTCGGGATAAATACTGGTACCTATGTCAGGTACATGGTGCTCACAACGGGCTTCATGCTCCATGTTGCATCGCTGCGAGGCAGGTACCGCAGATGAGTGCGAAGAACATTCAACGCTCGCCGCTCGCTCACTCCGAAGCAACCCTGGTCCGTTTTATCCTCCGCACCCGCTCATCTAAGGACTTTAAGGACATTAAGCAACTGCGATCTGCGCCGCTGCGCAGCTGCTCTCGTCGATCACCCCCGTCCCCCGTTGCCGTCCTCACCCCCGTCCTCCACCCTTCCCGTTCTCACCCCCCGCCGACCGCGATCGCGATCCCGACCACAATCCCGACCACTATGAGACGAAACACGCACCGAGCGCGTCCACTCACATCCACTCAGATCCCAGCCTTACCTATCCCCATGTGTATCGCCATATATATTTATGTAGAGTACCGGTACATACCGGTCAGGGCGATCGCCCGGAGGATTACCGGTAACCGCTCTCCCTCCCTTGAATCCCGGGACATTTCCTTCTTCTCCAATGCTTGTTTTGTTGCTTGCACGGATATACCGGTACTCTATAGGGCAGACTCACGAGTCGATGCGACTACCTAGCCGCCCGGCATCCATTGCATCAATACCCACCCCGGTGGGCGTACGTGGTTGGTCCTTGCCGCCGCCGCCCACAGTGTGTCGTATTTGCCATGTCTTGCCATGTAGAGCATGTATCAAAGGTACCGTGCCTGGAAGGCTGGACCTGCAATATCCACCGCAGTATCATATCAGTTAAACCTATAAACACAGGATTGAGAAAGTATGAATACTGCGACATCCGCTGCTTTCCTCGCGCGAGCAGCGGCCGAGCTCTTTGCATGTAGAGCATACATTCGTTTCCTCCTTTCTTTCCTCGAAGCTTTCGATCGACGACAGCAACAATAGGCTCGCATGCGCAGGACAGCACAGATAGCCGCCTTTGTCTACCATCAATCACTCGTTTCCGGAATCGAGAGGAGTTGATCTCACAAGTTTACACATTTACGCGCGCAACTATTTCTCGCCGGCTTCTCGGCAGCTTCTAGACGGCTTCCCGGCAGCTTCTCGACGACGGGGGTTTCAGCACGATAAAGATAAAGTAACCGAAGCATACGGTACCGCAGCCACTTTCTGCCCACCATCTGCCGCTGGTGGTCACTCGGTTCCTTACTTATCAACCCATTCACGGTCCACGGTCCACCCATCCACCCACCCCAGCCTAAGGGCCTACACGACTCACGATGGCGACAGTCCGCGACCCAACCTTCTGGCACCGCTTCTCGCTCGCCGTGCGCATGGAGGACCTATCGCCGACCGGCGGCGCAAAGGAAACATTAGAATCGTCAGTTCCCCTCACCCTGCCCCCATCTCCCCATCTCACCCTCCCATCTTACCCTCCCATCTCACCCTGTCTCCCATCCACCCACCCTCTCCTCTGAGTCTCCGACCTGCCCAACCGGTGCTGACGAACATTACGGGAAGAAATAGTAACGAATGGCTCCGCCGGCAACAGACGAAGCGCCGACGGCACAAGATTTTGATAGCGGTACTGGGCGGGTTCGTCCTGGCTGTGATTGTGGCGGGGGTCGTGGTCTGGCAGATCTTTGGGGTGTCGCTGGGGCGGTAGGAGTGTACCGTACCGTAATGGACCTTGGGATGGGAGAAGTGTGGAGGACGCGCTGGAGCACACACAGGTCGACGGGGGAGGAGGGAGGGGAGGGGGGGAGACAAACGAGCAAGGCAAGAGAGGAGGAGGGAAGAGATGGAGAAACAGACGGGGGACGGTGTACATATACGCACGCACACTTTGGAAGCAACGATGCGCATGCGCGCCGCGCTTGAATGGAGTGGACCGGTCCCGCGCTCTATCGACATCCATTGGCTTGGGCGGATGGGATGGAATGGAATCGAAAACAATTAATTCCATTCCTGCAGGACCGGTACGCTGCGGCCGCACCGCAAATACCTATCCTATCCGTCATAACCATCGCCAATAGAGCACCACCGGCCATCGCTAATAGAGCACCACCGGCCATCGCTAATAGAGCACAACACAATCTCCTGTAGAATAATTAGAGTGTGGTGGACTATTCTAGAAAGCAACGGGAAGATTTTTCTTTTTTTTTGATTTCTTTTTCTGTTCTCGCGACGCAGCAAAGGGTTTTGGATGCGCTCCCATCTTCCCCGCCGCCGGCAGCAAGTTGGAAACACTGAGCCTGGCAAACAGTTAGCAAGCTCGGGAGATGACGGAAAGCATCTAGAGAGCAAATACTATACGCAAGAACACGTCGGATAGCTCCCTCCAATCATCCACGGCTGGCATTCCATGTGTACTCGAGTGGAAGTGTTTCTGGGGAACAGAGTACCATACTCTAAATGGTAGAGTACCGGTGTGTCGCATCATCTGAATAGAGTGTAGATAGCGGCGCCGGCGCTCGGCAGCTAGGCTTCCATCCTCGCGCACGCTTTGCCGACAGACGAGAAAAGCATTCTGCGTTGGTACGCGATTGTGGCGAGGAGACAAACGAAAAGATGCGGATATGAGGTGCTTTTTTCTCTTTCTCGGTAGGTTTCCTTTTCGTTTTTGTGGATCTCCGGTGTTTGTTTTGCGGAGGCGACGGCGGTTGGAAGAAGATCAGAGATAGCCGTGCAGCAAGTTTACTGCAGGTGGGCTGCGAGCTGCGGGGTTATCGCAACCGAAGGCGAAAGAAAGCTGTGAGACCTACATCAAGCTTACCATCAACATTCCATCGAAGAAAAGCCTTCGACTTTTTCAATTGTGTTTTTCCTTCACTCCAGTTGGTCGCCACGTCGGGTCGGAAAGGGGATGAGATGTTGAAATCTCTGCATCGATCGTGAAGGGGCACTGACCGTCGCTTCGTACGAGATTGAGGAATTGCATAGAAGGAATGCACTCTACTTACTACTCTAGTAATCATTCGCGGAGCATTTGCATATCATCAGCGCTATTCTGGTCGCGGGGGGCGACGAGCTGGTGTAGTGGGGCCCGGGCGGCGGCGGGGGGGTCCCTTGAAGCGGGAAGCTTGGTTTGCTGGGCAGTCCTTGTCACATTGCCACTGTGAAGGAGCTCCGCGTCTGGGCCGAAGCCGCGTCGGGGTTATCGTGATCTGAGGCATATGTAGAGTACCTAAAGAGCTATGAAGGTACCTCCGGTATGTACCTCCTGAAAGCACGTAGTTGCCCGACTCACGCCATGTATGATGGGCACATAGAGTGGGCAGAGTAGAGTACTCTGGGCTGTAAGTGAGGTGAGTTGTCGCTGTCGACGCATGGAACTGCGATATGGCAGCTAGAGCATGTAAGTAGAGTAGAGTAGAGCAGAATAGAGTAGAGCAAAGTGGTGGAGTAGGGTGGAAGAGCTATGCACCTTCCCGTCCGTGGTCGCACGGGCCGAATCGTCGAATGAGCTCTGTCGGCTTGGAAAGGCTGGGACTTACGTAGGTGAGTTTTGCTAAGTGCTAGCTGTGCTAGTAGATACCGGCAATCTAAACGTGCAGTGCACGCGGAATTGGATTCGATAGCGTCTCCCGAGTGGCGATGAAGTGAGTTCTTTTCTGCAGCTCTTTTCGACTCGCGAGAATTGCGGTGAACAGCGCGGTGAAGACAGCGACGGTGTGTAGTGATCGTCAAAGAAACGAGAAAGAAAAAAAGAAAAAAAGCACGCAGATCCCCACCAAACGGGGCGCAGAAAAGAAATAATGAAGGAGTGAGTGGTGGTGGTGGGTGGTGGGCGGTGGTCGGTGGTGGGCGGTGGTCGGATTTCGTCATGCAGACGGCGGGGGCAGGGGGAGTGCACGGGGATTGTGGGTTGTGATTGGATATGGCGACAACGGTTTGTTGGTGGGGCAAAAGGAGGGGTGGATCTGTGCGGCTTGGGTTGGGATCCTGAAATGGTGGTCTAAGCGCAGACAGCAGTTGACCTTTGAGGAAAAGCGCCTGTCAATCCGTCCGCGCTGATTCCCGGTTTTGCGTTCGTCATGAGCACAGCAAGTGCTGGAGATGTAGAGCGGAGTGAAGCAGAATAGAGTAGAGCCAAGTAGAGGAGTGGAGAGAAGCGGAGAGTAGAGAATCTACAGCCTGGGAGCAAAAGGAGGAGGACGAGGACGAGGAGGAGGGGCAGACGTGGCGGGGAAGTCATGACACGGAATAGGAGGGGCTAACGCGGAATGGCCCGACGAGCAGCAGTTGGTCCGCTAACGCGTGCTGGCTGGACAGTTGGGAGCATCGTTGGCTCAAAGGGAGCGAGACACAAGCCGCCGAGCAACGAGCGATTGAGGCCCAACGAAGGACAAGGGTGCTGGCGAAGTTGACCTGACAACTTGACAGCTCGTCCTACACTACGACAGACATTCTTCTTACTCCCCTACCCCCCCATCTATTTCTCCTCCGCTTCCTCCTCTTCCTCCTCCTCCTCTTTCCATCATCTCCATCAGCTCCATCAGCTCCATCAGCTCCATCAGCTTCAATCAATCAATTCACTCAATTCACTCAATCTACACCTGCATCTCCTCTCACCCCTTCTCCTCATCAACACTGCTCACTGGTAAGCTGCTCACTTCCTCTCCCGTTACTGCTGCTTCTCCTGCTTCTCCCGGGCCCTCGTCCCGAAGATTGGAAGGCTGCGCTGCACTGTGCCCGCACACCCTCCGCGCGCAAAACAATCACCAAACAATATCCACAACCCCTCTTTGAACTCCCGCCGCATATACCACTCCACTATACACACAGACGCACAACTAACACACCCTCACAGAGCAAGCAAAGCAATCAGCCAGATAGTATCCCTACCTACCTGGCCCATCCCAGTTGTGCTCCCCCGTTGGCACAACTTTTCCCTGTTTCGGTGAGCAATTCTCCATTCCAGTATCACGAACTTCCTTCCCCTCAAAAGGCCCCCGCTTCCCCCTCCGCAAAATCCTGAGCTTCTTATACCTTGCCTGCCCCCCTCGGCCCCCCATCAACTCTTCCCTCGCTCTTCCCTCCATCCATCCACCATTTCCCTCATCCGCGATAACCCCCGAGTTGGTTTTCCTTCTCGATTTCTAACCTTTGTATCCCGGTACCTCTTAGAACCTCACTCTATGACATCTATCAAAGAACTTGCTCTCGGTAAAGAAGCTGTTACGATGGGAGGACTCGATGTTCCCAGCACTGGACGGCGGCACGCCAAGTCCCATTCGTCGTTCGTGAGTAGTCCCCTCCCCAAAACTCACCTGTTGCAGCCGAGAGGGATGGTTGGTTCTATCTCGGCAACGATGACATGGCTAACTTTGATGGTTCGCGGCGATACTAGGCTTTCGACAACACCTCTACATCCGTTGCCGCGAGTCAGATGCGCAATGCGTTGAACAAGCTCGCCGACACCGTCGAGGACCCGGCGGCCAAGAAGGTACGGCTCTATGATGGCGTGCCGACTGTTCGTATGGATTGATGCTGATTCGGTTGCTTTGTGGTTCTACAGAAGTTCGAGACCGAGATGGACAACTTTTTCGCCCTGTTCCGACGATATCTCCAGGACAAGGCGAAGGGTACCACCCTGTGAGTAGCTCCATTCGATAGGTCAACGATGCGAGAGTTTGAGTGCTGACGATGTGTCTTTCTAGTGACTGGGAGCGTATTCAGCCTCCTCAGCCATCGCAGGTCGTCGCTTACGACACCCTCCCCAAAAGGGAGAACACCGAGCTCCTCTCCAAGCTTGCAGTGCTCAAGCTCAACGGTGGTCTCGGAACCTCGATGGGTTGTGTCGGTCCCAAGTCGGTGATCGAGGTGCGCGAGGGCATGTCCTTCCTGGATCTGTCCGTGCGTCAGATTGAGTACCTGAACCGCATCTACGGCGTCAACGTGCCATTCGTCCTGATGAACTCGTTCAACACCAATGATGACACCCAGAACATCATCAAGAAGTACGAGGGCCACAACGTTGATATCATCACCTTCAACCAGTCCCGCTACCCCCGCGTCGCCAAGGACTCCCTCCTGCCCGTCCCCAAGGACAGCGGGTCTCCTATCGGCGACTGGTACCCTCCCGGTCACGGTGACGTGTTCGAGTCCCTCGAGAATTCGGGTATCCTGGACGAGCTGCTTGGTCGCGGTATCGAGTACCTCTTCCTGTCCAACGTTGACAACTTGGGTGCCGTTGTCGATCTGAGCATCCTGGATCACATGATCGAGAGCAAGGCCGAGTACATCATGGAGTTGACCGACAAGACCAAGGCCGATGTCAAGGGTGGTACCATCATCGACTACGAGGGCACCGTCCGCCTGCTTGAAATCGCGCAGGTACCTAAGGAGCACGTCCAGGACTTCAAGTCGATCAAGAAGTTCCGTTACTTCAACACCAACAACATCTGGCTCAACCTGTCCGCCATCAAGCGTGTCGTCGAGAACCACGAGTTGGAGCTCGAGATTATTCCCAACTCCAAGTCGATCCCCGCCGACAAGTCCGGCGAGTCGGATCTCTCGGTCATCCAGCTCGAGACGGCCGTCGGTGCCGCCATCCGCCACTTCAAGAACGCACACGGTGTCAACGTTCCCCGCAGACGGTTCTTGCCCGTCAAGACCTGCTCGGACCTGATGCTCGTCAAGTCTGACCTCTACTCGATGAAGCACGGTCAGCTGATGATGGACTCGGGCCGCTTCGGTCCGGCGCCGTTGATCAAGCTGGGATCGCACTTTAAGAAGGTGTCGGACTTCCAGAAGCGGGTGTCGAGCATCCCCAGGATCATCGAACTCGATCACTTGACGGTGACCGGAGCAGTGAACATCGGCCGCGGTGTCACACTCAAGGGTACCGTTATCATCGTCGCCAACGAGGGCAGCACAATCGATATCCCTCCTGGATCCATCCTCGAAAACGTGGTGGTCCAGGGATCTTTGAGGTTTGTTCCCTTCCCTGTTTCCATCTACTATTCATTAAGCACTCCGCTAACTTGGCTACAGATTGTTGGAGCATTAGATTGTCGGTGGGCATTTACCGTTCGGTCAAAATAAATAAATAACGGAGCCGTTATTCTTCTCTTCACCTATATATTTTTTCTTTTGCTAGTAAAGTCCGTGTGAACGAGGTTTTTCTGCGCGCGCATGTTGGACCGGCGGAGACGGTCGTAGTTGGACCATGGGGATGTTTTGACTGGCGGGTATGGGGGATTTTTCTTCTGGTTGTTTTCGTGCATTGGGATATCAACTTTACCCTTTCCTTTATTTTTTGTTTTTTATATCACCCTCCTAGACAGGCGAACGTGTGTGTTTTTAGTGTGCGAATGAACTGTGAGGTATATACTTCGATCTTGAGAATGTTTGTGCCCATATGGGTTTTGGGGATGGATGATAAGAGGGGTGATGTCACTGCGGGGTTATGACGGCGATCTTGATTAGATAAGGTGAGGGTGCGGGGGTGTCGCGTCTTCCCGGGATTTTACGCGCTGGACATGGTTTCGCGTGCAGAGTTGGTTGACGGTAGGATGTATAGACTCTGGGACCTGCCGGGTCGGACCTCGGTGGACTCTGAGCTTGAATCTCCGTGCTGGAACGCGAGAGCTGGATTTGAATGTGATAATGAGCCAGATGTGTAGAGATGCAACTTTGGTGCTCGGTCCGTAGGTATTCATCCTCGACGGCGACAGCGCACATCGACTTGATTCCGTAGTGACTCCTGAGCGGTGGGGGGGAAAACCGTCTCGACTCTCCATCGAACGAGGGCGGGGCGGGGGCAATCGAGTACCGCACCGTAGGCTGTGGAGCACATGTGATTCGTCAAAGAACGAAGGGTGAAAGCCTCAAGTGGGGGCCCTTACGTTGTCTGTCCAACATCGGCATCGAGCTGTCACCTACGCGTCGATCACACCCGCCTCCGGCGATTACTGCCAGTCCAGCGCGACCAATACTCCAAGTACTCGCCCTTGCAGCCGACGTCTCTCGAGTCTCGGTGCTCTGTAATGAGCAAGCATAGTAGCCTTGTGCCGAAGCTGATTACAACCATTTGACCCAGACCTTTCATACCAAGCCGTCGAAGACGTTGAAGACGTTGAAGAAGCCAGATATCCATGGACCCAGAGCCAGTGCGGGAAGACGTGCGGGTTTCGGGGTCGTATTTGACCGCGTTGTGTGTCGCGTTCCGCGTTGATTTGCGAAACCATGGGGAAAAAGGAAAGAAAAACTGCTTGGCGGCCATCCGCGCATCGGAAGAGTCAGAGCTATGTCTTGCACTGGCAGCCTTGCAGCTTTGCAAGAGCGGGGAAAGGGTGATGAGACGGACGCCGGACGGAGGTAGGTGGGTGATGTGCGGACTGCGAGCGATAACCAATACGATAGGACGCTGTTGAGCATTCACGGAATCATGGCCAGTTAGCAGTAGCCATGGTCTCCGCACCGGGCTTTTGCCTCTGAAGCTTCGAAAGTAAAGCACAGCAGCACAGCAGCACTGTCTCCGACTCTCCGACTCTCCGTTGGTTCCGGAGCACGCGTGCAGTTTCCCAGGCGTCTTACATACCCAATACCTCGCTGTGTTTGCATAGTAATCACTCGCTCGCCAGATGCTGACCCCACAGCTCGCATGTGCATTGTGCACTTTGCATGCAGGCGGAATACGAGAACACAGATAAACACGTTACACCTGCGTCCGGCATTCGACTGTTGACTCACGATCGAACCGAAATTTGCTAGAGCTGACGGCGGGTGCTGGTATATATCCTGCTCCGCCGCTCCTCCTTTCCATCCACATCCACCACCACATCCGCCACCACCACAATGCCGATAAACCACATCTCCCTCACCGTCGCCTCCCTCCCTGCCACCAGTGCATTCTACACCTCCGCCCTCTTACCACTCGGTTACAAGCGCACCTTCACTCTCGCAGACGGCCAAGTCCACGGCTTCGGTGCGTCGGCCTGCAGCGGCCCCGACTTCTGGCTTGCCGGGCCCGCCGCGCCATCGGTCGACGGGAGCGAGGCATGGCACTCGCACACGCCACAGGCGCAGACGGAGGACAAGAGCCCGCGCGAACCGACAGGACGCATGCACATCGCCTTCACCGCCAGCAGCCGGCGGGTGGTACGCGAGTTTCACGCTGCTGCGATGTTCGCCCGCCCTACCCCCCCTTCCCCTTCCCCTTCCCCTTCCCCTTCCCCTTCCCCGACCCCCCACCCCCCCTCACTTCACTTATTTTGTTGCTGACAAACGCACAGCAAAGCAGGCGGTAAATGTAACGGCCCCCCCGGCGTGCGGCCGGAGTACTTCAAGACCTACTACGGCGCGTTCGTGTTGGATCCCGAGGGGAGGAATGTCGAGGCTGTGTGCATGGCGCCGGCATTTTGGGCGGAGGAGTGGGGGATGCTGGGATGGGGGGTTGGGACGGCTGTGGTTGGCGCCGTGGCGGTGGGCGTGGGGAGGTGGTGGGGTGTTATTTGAGTGCGTGGGGGGCGGGGTGAGGGACGGGGGTGAGGGACGGGAGAGTGGGAAGGGATGGGATGGGAATGGATGGGAAGGGAAGGAAACGGATGGGATGGGAAGGGCAAGACGTTTCTCTGCTCTATTTCAAGAATCAAGATATCTGAGGCTTGACTGCCAGTCGAAGTTCTTCAGGCAGCGTTTTTGTGTTCGTGTGTTGGCTGTGTTCATATGTAGTGTCTACATGCAATCCGAGTCTGTCGAAAACCGAGTGCCGTCCGCAAGCAGGGTATGCGTTTCAATTGCTGCCAGTGGGCGAGTGGACGAATGTCGCCTGGAAGTATTGAAGAAGCGATTGGGCTTCAATGCGAGTGGGAGGAGGCGGATGCTTGCTCGACCTTCCAAGAGACGGTTCGTACCTAGTACGTCATTCTAAGTTTTGGCTTCGGTTTCGGTGGCAGCAGGAGCCCCATATTCAAAAGCGGATGTGCGAAGGAGCTTACATACCTATGAGTCCTTCGCCATAGTCTATATAGGCTGCATGCGAAATAAAACAGAAAGATCTCTCTCTCTCATACCTATGAGTGCGGTGTGAGTCGGTATCTGGACCAGTAAGTGACAAACCAGGAGCCGTGTAGCTATTAGCCTTGGCAGCTGCTGCCGCCTCACCTCACCTCACCTCACCAATAACGTCATGGATAGTTACGGGTTGTAGTCCAATCAGGCACTAGAGGTCTAAAGCATTTATAGGAGTAGCAATTCACACCAGCCTACCGATACTTCCGTATCTACTCGCCTACTGCCGCTTCTCCTCCATCCCTCAACCGCCTCGAACGCAGGCTACAGCCGAGTGATCGCAAAAGCCGCACCTTCGGTATCAGGCTATCAGTTCCCGACCTAGGTAGGTGGTTCGTCGAGCTCCGCATGTTACAGTGCTACCATAGCGAGACCACACCACTCAGCCCCATGGGTGCGGTGGCTTTGGCGGTTGCAGGTCGTAGTCCGGGCCTGTATGGGGGGCGGGGGGTAAAACTTTCCGCCTACCTGCCTGCTTACACTCCCGCACGTGATGTCACTCAGTCGGGTGTGTCTGAGGGTCGGGCGAAGAGCCAGTGAATCCTGGGTTTTGCAGCCTGGTCGACGCCAAAACGGGCGGCAGATCGCTGGTGGGTACGCTGGCCCTGAGTCGGCGCTTCTAAGCATAGGCGTGCGAGCTTCATGTTCAGATGTGGTAAAGCTCCAGCTAGATCGGGGCCGCTAGGGAGGGGGCTATTATCGTCACTGGCAATCTTTATGTGTTATGTACTTGGATACCGGGTTCACGGTCACTCCTTGAAGCTACAGGTATGTAGTTACAAGCACACACCGCCGCCTGGCAAGAAAACACCGACCCAATTAAAGAACAGAAATCAACACTGTCCAGAAGCACCATCCAGCGTGCGGAAGAAAAGATTTTTAAGAAACTCAATGATCACCCCTATTGCGCCTAACCAGCCAACCACGCACCTATCCCCAACAATAGGAGAGCCTGGTTGGCAGCCGCCACATGCGCAGCGAACTGCTTGTCGGCGCAGTCTTTTCCGCACCCCGTGTTCTCGCACGTCTTCGTACTCTTGCTGTTCTTGTTCCCGCAGGATGCGCACTTCCACTTGTAAATGTTCGGTGCTATCGGCTTGGATAATACGCCGCCCATCGTGATCGTATTTTATGTGTGGGAAAAGTCTGGGAAAAGTGTGAGGAAGACGTTTGTTCGAGGTGTGGTGCTGAGACTCGGTGTGTTTGTGATTGGTGAGGATGATGAAGGCAACTTTGGGGCACCGCTGGTGAGGTTTATATCTATTGGATGCGGTGAGGTCAATAGAACCTAACATACGCTTCAAATGCCATACGCATGACTGAGCTTTGAAAGTGTAGCAGCAAACTGGCCGGTCATTCAATGGCTGAGCGCTGCTCGGTGGGCTGCTCGGTGCGCTTCGAGTGGTCATTCACGTTAGTTTTATCTTTGAAATGGATAGGGCGCTTTGCATTGAAGCAACACGCCCTAGAGGAACTGTATAGTATATACGAGAGCTCGGTCTGGCGTACGGTATGTCCTAAGTGCAAGAGTAGCAGGCTCATGAACTGTCACCCGAAATCACTACCAGCGGTCCTGTTGGATTGGATTGTGATGAACGAGTGTATTGTATTGATAGAGTCTCAAGACTCAAAAGAAAAGCGAGACGAGGGTAGTACTACGTTAGGCCAATGGCTCTCGTTGGCCTCGTTAAAACATGCGCACCGGTCGGGCACCGGAACAGATCATGCGCACCGGACTACCCAATATCTGGGTGTGTACTCGGCTACCTATATACTTCTGCATCTCCAGCACTACGTAGCTTCTCCATCCTTATGTGTTTTCAACAGACCGCCAGCAGGCGAACGAGTGATCGCTAATGCCGGACCTCCGGTATCAGACGATCAATTAGGTATGTACTTACCTAGTTCATCGAGCTCCGCATGTTGCAGTGCAACCATGTATGGCGAGGCCACAGCAGTCGGTCGTGCATATATTTGGGCTATTGTGGCACGGCGGGCTGCGGTTTGGGCCTGTGGAGGGAGGGAGGAGAGTATATGTGTCTGCATACACTCCGACACGTGATGTCACTCAGGTTGGGTTGTGTGAGGCCGAGCAAAGAACTAGTAGATTCTGATTCTCGCAGCCTGGTCGGCAGTTGAACCGGCGGGAGTCGGCGCTTCCAAGGATAATTAGATATGCGACTTCCGGGTTCGGATGTAGTGGTTCTCGAGCTGGATCTTCGCCGCTAGACATAGGTATGATCGCCAACAGCGATCCTTATACGCGTTATGTAGGTATCGTAGGTAAGTATGGATAGCCTATATATAGAGTTGGGCTCACAGTCACTCAGCGAAGCTACTAGTAGTCACACGGACATACCGCCGACTGGAAACAAAAATACAAGCTCTATTAGAAAGTAAATCAAATAGGTACCGTCCAGATGCACGTTACAGCGTGCGAAAGAAAAGAAAGAAGGTCAATAATCATCCCCAGCACGCCTAAGTAATTAACAAGCCAACTATCCCCAGCACGCCCACAGGATGGCAGCCAGGATGGCAGCCTCGTGCCATGCCGCCGCATGCGCAGCGAACTCTTTGTCAGGGCAGTCTTTTCCGCACTCCGTGTTCTCGCACGTCTTCGTACGCATGCTGTTCTTGTTTTCGCAGGATGCGCACTTCCACTTGTAAATGTGCGCTGCCGGCTTGGATGATACGCTACCCATTGTGATCGTGTTTTATGTGTGGGGAAAGTCTGGGCAAGAAGTTTGTTTTGTTCGAGGTGGTGGTGTTGAGCTTCGTGTGTTCAGTGTTTCGGGGGTGAAGATAAGTAGCTTGGTTCAGAAGGTTGTGTGTTTTCAGTAAGGTGTTGAGGTCTGTGTTTGCGATTGGTGAGGATGATGAACCTAATGTCATGGGCACACCGCAAGTGAAGTTTATATCTGTGGGATGCGGTGAGGCTAATTGAACGGAACATCTACTTCCATTGCTGTACGTGTGTCACCGAGCTTTTAAAGCAGAGCAACAGCAACACCACGGCCGCAGTCCTTGAATGCTGCCATGCGTTTCTTGCCGCGGCAGAAGCCTCGACGTATACTAGTCAAGTTTAATCGGCTTACTCTGACTGCAGGGTAATGAGATTCGGTGGTTGGAGCCCCAAAAGCGTGTGTGCGAAGGAGCTCACCTATGAGTGCGACGTGAGTAGGTATCTGGACGGCAAGTATCAAACGAGTAGCCAGAGTATGTATGCATCAGCCATGGAAGCTACCGACACCTCACCTGACCTCACCAGTAACTACATAAATGTCACGGGTTGCAGTCCTGGTAGGCAGCGGAGGTGCGGAGGTGCGGAACGGTTCTGCCAGTGGTCATTCACACTGGCTTACCAGTACTTCCGTATCTACTCGCCTACAGCCACTTCCGTTTCACAGTTTTATTGGCTCATCCACCATCCATCCCGCCTCGCAAGCAGCCAGCAGCCGAGTGACCGCTAATGCCGCACCTCCGGTATCAGACAAGCAGTTAGGTAAGTAGGTACTTAGTTCGTCAAACTCTGGCTGTTGCAGTGCCGCTATAGTGATGCCACAGCACCCAGCTCCGCGGGTGGCCATTACTCGGGTCGCGACGCTTCGAAGGATAGTGGTGCTACCTGAAAGTCCAGCTGTAGTGATTTATCGAGCTGGATCTTTGCCGCTGCAGATAGCTACCCTGTGATCGCCACCAGCGGTTCTATACTAGTGCACTTTACGTAGGTATGGGTTAGTATTGGGCTCACAGTCACTCGGCGGAACTATGTCATACGTGCGTACCGCCGACTGGAAGGAAAGATACGGGCTCGATTAAATAAAAAAACTAAAGTAAACACCGTCCAAATGCACCTTCCAGCGTGCGGAAGAAAATAAAGAAGGTCCATGATCATCCCCAGCGCGCCTAAGTAATTGACCAACGAACTATCCCCAGCACGCCCACAACATAGCCTCGTTAGCAGCCGCGATATGCGCAGCGAACTGCTTGTCTGAACAGCGTTTTCCGCACCGCGTGTTCTCACACGTCTTCGTACTCATGCTGCTCTTGTTTCCACAGGATGCGCACTTCCACTTGTAAATGTATGCTGCCGGCTTGGATGATACGCCACCCATTGTGTGTGTTTTATGTGTGTGGGAAAACTGTCTGAAGAAGAGGTTTGTTCGAGGTGGTTTTGAGAGTCAGTTGTTTTTTGGTCTCGGAGTTGAAGATCGCTTTGTTCAGAAGATTGTGTGGCTGAGCTGAGCTGTTGAGGTGTGTGTTTGTGTGTGATTGGTGAGGATGATGAAAGCAAGTGGCATGGGCACACCGCTGGATAGGTTTAAATCCGTTGGATACGGCAAGGCCTATTGAACGGAACATACACTTCCATTGCTATACGCATAACTGGGCTTTGAAAGCACCGCTCAGTGCGCTTCGACTGGTCATTCACGTTGGAATTATCTGTGAATAAAAAGCGCGTTTTGCTTTATAAGTGCGCAGGTCCCGAGCGGTTATGCAAGAGATCATCGGTCTGTACCGGACTACCAACATACCTAGTATCTACTCAACTATGTAGAGTACTTGCGTTCCCCATTCACTGCCTCATCCCGATCCCCTTAACCGCTCCGCCAGCAGTCTGCAGCCGAGTGATCGCCAATGCCGCACCTGTGAGGGGGTGGGAGGGTACATTTCGTCCTGCCTGCTTTCATGCACTGCCTCACGTGATGTCATCCAGCCAAGGGCTAATCGGAGAGCTGCCATACGTAGTAGTAGGGCCAAAGTCTAGTAGGCTGATCAGCGGGATAATGACTCGCTGGTTAGTGGGTAGCAGTGAGTCAGTGCTTCTAATGATGTTTATGCGACCTCTACGTTCGGATGTGGTGATTCTCGGACTGGAGGCTTGCCGCTGGAGAGATACATAGCTACGATCGTCCCAAACGATCTGTATACGGGATATGTAGGTATGGTATGGCACAATGTTCTACATAGTCCGGTCGGGACTGCAGTCCGGGCTGGACGGTCTGCCAAGATCTGTTCCGGTCCGGCCCTTCGGATGGACTGCCGAAAAGTAGTCCGTCCAATGAGGAATAATATAATCATTTATATCTTGGATAGAAGAAACAGAGTAAGTCACACTTGTACCTGATACTCTCGTCCATGGATTCCGAGGACTGGAGGGAACTACAGTCCAATGCCAAGAAATGAAGAAAATATTTTTCTTCTAGTAATCGCAAGATTACGCCAAACAAAGGCTGGAAAAACTTTTCCCTATGGGGTGATATTCTAGTGTGGAATCTTCCCATCACGTGATACTTTTCTATCGCGTTCTATTCTGCCTTAGTTTGGCGTGAATCTGCCAAGATACAGTCCAGTCTGGTCCGAGGCCCAGGACGGACGGACTGGACTATGTAGAACATTGGTATGGCATTGGGCTCACTCGGCGAACCTATGTCACGCGTGCACACCACCGACTGGAAAGAAAGATGCGGGCTCGATTAAAGAAACGAAAACAAAGTAAATACCGTCCAGATGCACCTTCCAGCGTGCGGAAGAAAAGAAACAAGGTCAATGATCATCCCCAGCGCGCCTAAGTAAATAACCAACCACCTATCCCGAGCATGCCCACAGGATGGCAGCCTGGTTGGCAGCCGCCACATGCGCAGCGAACTGCTTATCGGGACAGCGTTTTCCACACCGCGTGTTCTCACACGTCTTCGTACTCATGCTGCTCTTGTTTCCACAGGATGCGCACTTCCACTTGTAAATGTGCGCTGCCGGCTTGGATGATACGCCACCCATTGTGATCGTGTTTTGTGTGTCGGAAAAGTCTTGGAAAAGTGGGAGAAAGAAGTTTGTTCGAGGTGGTGGTGTTGAGCGTCGGTGTGTTTAGTGTTTCGGAGGTGAAGATAAGTAGCTTTGTACAGAAGACTGTTCGTTGAGGTGAGGTGTTGAGGTGTGTGTTTGTGATTGGTGATGAGGAAAGTAAATGTCATGAGTGTAAAGTTAATGATTTTATATCTGGTGGATGCGGCCAGGCCTATTGTACGGAACAAACGCTTCAATTTGCTATACGCATCACCGAGATTTGAAAGTGCAGCAGTAAAACGTGCGGTCCTTGAATGGCTGCTGCGGGCTTCTCACCAAGGAAGCTCCCGATATATACAAATCCAGTCAAGTTTAACTGGCTTACTCTGTCTGCAGGGCACTGAGGTTCGGTGGAATTTGAGCCCCAAAAGCAGGTGTACAGAGGACCGTATTAGTGTGGTGTGTGTAGGTATGTGGACCGGTAAGTAGTGAACCAGTAGCCGAAGTAGGTATATATATACATCAACCATGGAACCTATCGGCACCTCGCCTCAACTCACCAATAACCAAGTATATATCTACGGGCTGGCGTCCTGGTAGGCGGTCGAGGTCCGGAGGTCCAGCCCGGTTCGGCGAGTGGTCATTGACACTAACCTACCGATACTTCTGTATCTATTCGCCTACAGCTGCTTCCCTTACACAGTTTTAATGGCTCCTCCACTATCCCTCCCGCCTCGCAAGCAGTCTGCAACCGAGTGATCTCCAATGTCGCACCTCCGGTATCAGACTATCAGTTACCCTGGCAAGCTCCCATCCGTTCCGGCACTAACCAGGCTGCGAGAATCATTATCTACTACGGCAGCTCAAACAATCCCGTTCTGAGTGACACCACGTTGCCAGAGTGTAGCAGACATATACCCACGTATCGATAGGACCATACTGCGGCCGGCGGAACTCGGCGAGCTACCTAGGTGGGTAGCCGTGAGTCGACAGTTCTAAGGATTGTTATGAGACCTCCACGTTACTCTCCAGGTGTAGTGATTTCAAGCTGGATCTTCACCGCTGGAGAGGTACTTACCCATGTATCATCCAGTTTCACCACCGGCGATCAGTATACGCCTTATGTAGGTATAGATTGATCTTTGGGTCACTCGGCGAAGTGACTAGTAGTCACATGTACACACCGCCGACTGGAAGGAAATGAAAATGCGGGTTCGATTGGAGAAAAGAAAGCAAATACCGTCCAGATGCACTGGACAGCGTGGGAAAGGAAGGAAATGGAAACAATAACGCTAAAGACCCTCAACCCGTGAACAAAGCGCAGCAAAGCTAACAAAACAGAACGACCCGCAATCCAATCAGAAAAAAAGTAATCCAAATAAAGCCCCCGAGAAAGAAAAAATGAAACCAGACCTTTCGCCTCAGCTTGGTGAGTGGTCATTCCTACTGTAGCGCGCCAAACTAGCCCCAGCGCGCCCTCATCTCCGCCTCATTGGCAGCCGCCATATGCACCGTGAACTGCTTGTCTGGGCAGCGTTTTCCGCACCGCGTGTTCTCGCACGTCTGCGGACTCACGCTGTTCTTTTTTTGGCAGGATGTACACTTCCTCTTGTACGCTGCCGGCTTGGATGATCCGCCTCCCATTGTGATTGTTTCTTGTGTGGGAAAATTGTGGGATTGGTTTGTGTTCGAGATGGTGGCGTTGAGGGTCGTATATTCAGTGTCTCGGAAGTTTAGATTGGTAGTTTGTTCAAATTCTGTGTTTTTCGTAAGGTGTTGAGGTGTGAGTTTGTGATTGGTGAGGATGATGAAAGAAATGTCATGGCGCACTGTTAATGGGGTTTATATCAGTTGGATGCGGCGAGGCCAATTGAACCTCACATACACTTCAAATGCCATACGCATCACCGAGACTTGGAAGCCTAGCATTGACGCGGCCGGTCTTTCATAGCTTCGCGCTGCGCGGTGCGCTTCGAGTGGCCATTCAGGTTGGCATTATCTGTCAATGGATAGGGCATTTTTCTGTAAAGGTGCGGAGGTCCGGTTTAGTTTTGCGAGTACTCATTCGCTCTAGACCACCTACTCATACCTTGTCACCTACTACTGCTTCTCCTCGATCCCTTGCCCATCTCGCGAGTCACCAGAATGTTGTTCATTCATCAGTTATCACGCGTCTGCCTACCCTATCCTAAACTAGCTCCTGCCTGCCTTGGCACTACTGCACACTTCTCCATATATATCCCCATCTTGTATGCAGTACTTTTCTCTTCTCTATGCAATCCATCTACCATCGTATATCTCCAACACAGAAATCTGCAGCCGAGCGAATGATCGCCAATGCCGCACCTTCGGTATCACACCGTAGATGATCAATTAGGTACCTGGGTAGTTTGTCGAGCTCCACCAATTGCAATGCTACTGTAGCGTGGCGACAGTGGTCGGTTACGCAGATACCGTGGCTCAGCAGCTTACAGGTTGCAGACCGGGCCCGTGAAGGGGAAGGAGGGAGGCATTTGTGCCCGCCTGCATACACTCCCGCATGTGATGTGTGTGGCCTAATTCTCACTGCCTGGCAGGTACTGGAACGGGTGAGGAATCTGTTGTTACTGGGTAGGAGTGGGCAAACGCAATGAAGGATAGTTATATGAACTCAACGTTCGGATGTAGTGATTCTCGAGCTGGATCTTTGCCGCTGAAGAGATAGCTATGATTGCCACTCGTGATCCATACAATCCGCGTTATCTACGCGGTAGGTATGGTATTGAAGTAGAGTCCACAGTCACTCAGCAAGGCTATACCACGCGTATATACTGCCGACTGGAAAGAAAGAGGTCTCGATTAGAGAAAACAGCAAATACCGTCTAGATACACCTTCCAGCCTGCCCCAGCGTGCAAAAGATATGAAAACGAGATAATAATGGTCAACAGCCAAAGACCCTCAGCCGATGAATGAATGAAACCCGACAGAGCGACCAAAATGAATGAAACGCAGCCGAGTGAACAAAACAACCGGCAAACAAGCAAGTCAGTCAGAAAAGAAAAACAAATAAAGCCCCCCGAGAAAGAGAAAAAATGAAATCAGACCTCTCCCGCCTCAGCCTGGTCGGTCTCTAGTGGCGCGCCTAACTAGCCCCAGCGCGCCCTCATCTCCGCCTCGTTAGCAGCCGCCATATGTGCCGCGAACTGCTTATCGGGGCAGCGTTTTCCGCACCGCGTGTTCTCGCACGTCTGCGTACTCATGCTGTTTTTATTCCCGCAGGAAGTACACTTCCACTTGTACGCTATCGGCTTGGATGATGCGCCACCCATTGTGATCGTGTTTCGTGTTTTGTGTGGGAAAAGTCTTGAAAAGGTGCGAGGAGGAAGTTTGTTCGAGGTGGTGGTGTTGAGAGTCGTGTGTTTGTCTCGGACGTGAAGAAATTCTGTTCAGATTGTGTGTTTTCAGTGAGGTGTTGAGGTATGTGTTTGTGATTGGTGAGGATGATGAAAGGAAATGTCATGGCCGTGCCATTAGTGAGGTTTATATCTATGGGATCCGCTGAGGCCAATTGAACCTAACGTACGCTTCAAATGCCATATGCATCAACGAGCTTTGAAAGCGCAGCAGCGACACGGCCGGTCGTTGAATGCTCCTACGCGCTGCTTGGTGTGCTTCGAGTGGCCATTCATCCCCTCACCGCCCTGCCAGCAGTCAGCAGCCGAGTGATCCCCAGTGCCGCACCTCAGGTATCAGACTGCCTATACGTTGGGTACCTAGTTCCTCGACCTCCGCCGGTTCCAATACCACTACTCTATGGCGAGGGCACATCACTTACTTCCGTGGGCTTATGGCTTGGCAGGCCGCTGGCTGCCGTCCGGGCCTCTGGCGGGGGGTAAATGTCTGCATACACTCTTGCACGTCATGTCACTCATTCCGGTATATTCTGATGCCGGCCGCGGAACTGGATAGTTGCCGCTGGAGAGATGCTTAGATATGATCGCCACTAGCGATCCGTACACACGCGTTATGTATGTCTGGGTTGGTATTGGGCTCACTCGGAGAAGCTATGTTCCACGCATGTACGCACCGCCGACTGGAAAAAAAGAAAATGCGGGCTCGATTTGAGAAAACAGCAGAGACGCATACCGTTCAGAATCCAAAAGCACCCAGCTTTAGCGTGCGCAACAAAAAAAAAGCAACAGACCCTTAGACAATGAGTGAAGCGGCGCAGAGCAGGGCGACCAGAACAACCCGCAAGCCGGTCCAAAAAAAAGAAATGCAAAAAAAGTACCCAAGAAGAAGGGGAAAAGGAAACCAGACCTCCCGCCTACATATCCGGGTCAATGGTCATCCCGAACTAGCGCGCACAACTAACTACCTTCAACGCCCACGCGCTTTGCTCTCCAGCTAGATAGCAGCCATCCGATGCAACATAAACTCGCTATCGGGACAGAGTTGTAGGCATATGATCATTTTGCACCTCTGCGTACTCATGGAGTTCTTGAACTGGCAGGCTGTGCACTTCCACTTGTACACTGCAACCGCAGGCTTGGATGATCCGCTACCCATTGTCACGATCGTGAACTGTCATAAGCATCACAAGCTTTAAACGCGCAGCGCTAGCAACAACACCGCCGGTCGTCGAATGCTACGGGTCCCCCGGTATCAGTTAAATAGGTACCTACCTAATTCGTCGAGACGCTTCGCGTGTTGCCGCGCTAATTATTTAGCGAGGCCACAGCACTCGGTAGGAATTGTAGCTCGACAGGCCGTAGTCCGGGCCTGTAGGGGGTATATGTCTGCATAGGTACACTCCTGCACATGATGTCACTCGGTCCGGATTGGCGGAGGTCGGACGTAGAGCTGAATCGTTGCGGCTTGACGGATACTTAGGTATGATCGCTACTATAATAGCGATTCGTATCTACGGGTTATAGTATGGTATTGGGTTCACTCTGAGAAGCTATGCTACACGTATGTACGCACCGCCGCCTGGAAAGAAAAGAAATGAGTGCTGGATCAGAGAAAACAGCAGATACCGTCTAGATGCACCTTCCAGCGTGCGCAAGAAAGAAAAAAGCAAATGATAATACCCCGAAGCCCCTCAGACAGAGTGAAGCGCCGTAGCGCGACCAGAACCGCCCACAAGCCAGTCGGAAAAAAAGAAATGCAAACATCGCACCCGGAGAAGACGAAAAAGAAAAAAAGGAAACCACCGCAGACCTCCCGCGTATTCGGATCACTGGTCATCCATAACTATCGCTTACAACTATGTAACTACCTTCGCCCACGCGCCCTCTCCTCCGCCTCGATAATAGTCCGCCTATCCGCCTCGGTAGCAGCCGCCCGATGCAGCATAAACTCGCTGTTGAGACAAAAATTTTGGCAGCGAGAGTTCTGGCATGTCTGCGTATACATGCTATTCTTGTTACCGCAGGATGCGCACGCCCACTTGTATCACACTACTGCAGGCCTGGATGAGCTGGAATTCATGATTGTGATCGTGATATGAATACTGAGTGTGTTGGAAAAAGGATAGGAAACGCCTTTGTGGGGAGGCAGTTTGAAGTTTGTTCGAAATGGCAGTGTTGAGAGCCGGTGTGTGTTTAGAGTATTGGTCTCGGAGATGAAGAGTGCTTAGCTTTGTTCAGAAGATCGTGTGTGTTTTTTGTGAGGTGTTGGCGAGATGTTGAGGTGTTGAGGTGTTGGTGAGGATGATGGTGTAAATTTCAAGGACTTTATATCCGCTGGATGCGGTGAGGCCATTCTATGGAACATCCGCTTTAAATTGCTCATTTTCTATGGTGCCTGCAGTCTATAACGGCACAGTGGGTTTTAGCTTTGCACTCGGATAACTTACATGGCAACAGCCGACCCCACCAAAAAGAATAAAAAAGATCACCTGACAACTCTCAAACATGCAACTTCACCACCCGGCGATGACTGGTATACACCAGTTCCTTCCCACTACGAGAATCAATCACTGCCGGTGGTTGGTCATGCATATCCTGGGACAGGCTATTTGGTGGTGGAGTCTGGGTGGTGGCCCGTATTTCGGATGGTAGTTGACGAGCTGAATTCCGGGTCCGAAAATCTCTCCGAGCTTTTCTCCAATCGAGTACATGTAACCACTACAATTACTTTAGAGTGAAAATCAGCTGTTATCACGTGGGGGTTTAGTGTAAACGATGATGATTTCCATACAAAACCCGATGTTTCATCTTGCAAAAGATATTCACGCCAGCATCAGACCAGGAATCTAATGGTTGGGGGAGGTACAGAACCTGTGCCTTTTCCACTTTCCGTCACTCATAGCTGCTGCCGGCTGCTAGCTGGCTTGTATAATTAACCGCAAAAAGAGGCCCTTCAAAATTGCAGGCACCATATACCCATCACCGAGCTTGGAAAGTGCAGCAACAACACGGCCAGTCGTTAAATGCTGCGTGCTGCTCGGTGCGCTTCACCATCTACCTATGCCTGCCTTGACCGCCCCGCCCTGTTGCAAATACCTGTCTAAATTAGTCATGGTAGAAGGCACGGGCCTTTACCCCTATTCCTATATCTTCTGTTCTCACGAGGCTACAGCCTTTACACTTCAATACTACACTGTTCACCACCACATCTTACCAAATCTTACTCTATATTTCCAACAAGCCCCACCAGCAGGCGAGCGAGTGATCGGTGATGCCGCGCCTCCGGTGTCAGTTAGGTACTCTACCTGGGTAGTTCATCGAGCTCTGTGTGTTGCAGTGCTATTTAGCGAGGCCAGGCGCACTCGGCTCCACGGGTGGTGAAGAAGCTTGGCAGGCCGTAGTTGGTCCTCCGGAGGGGAGAGGGGGGCAGGGGGCGGATTTTTGCTTGTTTGCATACACTCCCGCACGTGATATCACTCATTGGCTTTGGGCTATTCTAAGAGCTGCTGTAGTAGGTAGGTATTAGATCATGATTCTCGCTTCCTGATTGGCGTCGAACCGGGCGGGACCTCGCTACTTGGTGGGGAGCAGTGGGTCGGCGCTTCATCTCTGCCGCTGGTGAACCGTGAGATTTCTACGATCGCCACCAGCGATCCATTATCCCCCCCCCCCCCACCATCCGCAGATCCACAATCGAAACTGCAACATCGTAAATACAGCAGAAAAAATCAAGCACTCTTTTAGACGTAAAAACCCCGCACGCTAACACAACACAACAGATAAACACCAGTGACAACGCCCGCAACATGCATGCAATATTCCCACCTCCTCCTTGTCTCTCCGGCCTCGCATCCCTACATAGTACCGTATCTAGCGCCCTCCAACCACATGGACTGATTCTCCTCTCTCGCCATCCTCGCCTCCTCACCGAGCAGCTGTCTCCTGGCCTCTCTTCCTTTGGAGCGTACAAACAGGAGGAGGGCGATACCGACGACGACCGCGGCGAGCAGCAGTACCAGGTTCGCGGGGCGCGGATCGCCATCGCAGAGGACGTACGTGATCGCGTCCAATCCTGCCTGCGAGAAGTTGAACAGTCCCGCGAGACAGATGACGGTGCCGTAGACCTTGCCGAAGGTTGCGATGCCGAAGACTTTGGCGCAGTAGTCGGACACCACCGTATAGTAGAAGGGACGGTACGCGACGAACAGCAGGATGTTGGCGTATGCGGTGAGCGTGCTGTTTTCGACCAGGCCGAGCACGCCGATCGTGCTGGCTATGCACACGAGCACCGTCAGGACCGTCAGCGTTGACAGCGAGTCTAGCACCATGCCGATGAAGGGGATTGCGAAGAGGCCGCCCAGCGGGAGGGCAATGTCGAAGAATGTGTTGATCTTGACCGATTCGGGGTAGGAGTGCAGGAGAAACTCGTATTGAGGTCGGATGGTGGCGACGAAGTAGTTGATACGCGTCTGCCGATGTCATGTCAGCCATTACTGCCCCCACGATACGGGGGAAAAAGAATAGCAGACCATCTGGATGATAGTAAACCCGGCAATGCCCCAGAACCAGAAGCTGCCGAGCTGGGTGGTGACACTCTTTCCGTGCATGACACCCCAGACACCCGCCGTCTCCCGCTTCTCCTCGACAAGTCTGCTCCGCTTTATGCCGTCGTGCCCACCCAGCTCCCGGTCGATCTTGGTGATCAGGCGATTCCTAGATTCAAGTCTCGATTCTATCTCCGCCGACTCGTGGTCTCGCAGGTAATCGCTCTCCCAGTTCGCGATGTCCTGGGTAGTGTGCACTTGGTCCACCAACTCGGAAGCCGTCTTGTAGCTCGAATTGGGCATGACGAAGAGCTGCACCAGCAGGATGAAGACGGGAACGATGAGGTAACCGAGGAACCACTCCTTGAGCGAGATGCCGCCCAGTCTCTCGTAGAGCATCCGGTAGAGCAGGAAGATTGCCGAGCTGGAGTCGAACGCACCGGTGAGCATCGAGAGGATCAGGCCGGACCGGTGAGGGAACGCGTTGGCGAGGTGGAAACTGGGGATGAAGATGAACGGTCCGCCGACAGCCATGAGGAGGTAGGAGATGGGATAGGCTGTGTGTCATTCCAGTTAACTGCCGTCCCCAGTACAGCCATCGCACAGTGGAAGAAGGGCACTCACGATCGATAAACTGAATCTCCTTACTGAATGCCATCCCGGCGCACCCGGAGGCAAACAGCACGCTCCCGATGACACCAGCCACCCTCGGTCCGTACTGATCCAATATCGTGCCCACCAGCAGCGCACAAACGTTCGTGGCAACCGCAGCAACGGTAAACATGAAATTTAGGCGCAGCTCCTGCTGGTAACACACCCTGACACCCTCGACGAGCTCCTCCTCGGTGCAGCGATCCCTGTAGACGCCCTCCTGGACCAATATCGGTTTGAAGGCGGCATATCCGAAGACGATTCCGGCAGCCAGGAGACAGTAGACGACTGCCAACGCCACCTGCAACAGCCTCTTTGCCCTCGGCACCTCGAACGCGCCGACCGCCTCGACCGTGTCCGGTTCGTCGCGCACATCCTCGATGGAAAGCCGTAGCTCGCCCGTTTCGTCACTGGGCTTGGAGATGATCCGCTGGAGAGAGGACTTGTGGTTCAAGGCCGACGGGAATAGCCGCTCTTCCGCCATCGTGGTGGAGTGCGAGCCCGACATGACTGCGAGTGGAGGGAGGAGGCCGTTCTCTCTCGATGGTGGTGGTCCGGGCGTCGGTGGGCGGTGGTGACGCGTGAGATTCGCGCACGGACGGTGACGTCGTTCCGGGAGTAGAAACACTCGGGGCGCCCTGAGGCTCTTGCGGAAGGTTTGGATGAGGGGAGGGTTAGGTTCGGGAAGAAGGTTCGATGGTGTCTGGGGGAATCCAGCAAGACCGCGAAGCAAGCGAGCAAGTGTAGGCTTAAAAGCAGCAGGGCCCGGGGGGGGAACAGGAAGCAAGAGGAGGGATGAGGTGGAAGGGGGAAGAACTTGTTCTCCCGTCCTACTGCCCGGAAAAGAAATGGGTAGAAAAGAAAGAGAAAAGAAAGAGAAAAAATGAGGAGAATACTTGTACTCGTACTTTCTGCCCTCGCCATCGTGAAAATCGGATAGGACAGTCTTCTGACCTTGAAGGGCGAAGAAGATGCCGTCATGCACGTCGTCGCGCCCAGCCGCAGCCAGCCAATCGGCGTAGCGAATTGGGGCGGAGAGCCTCACGGTCGGATGTGGATTCCTGCTTTGGGCCAGTCAACGGTCGGCATGAATTGGTTCTCTGTAGCTGCTGCGTTGCTTCGCTTGGAGTCAATCGCCGGCGCTGAGGAAAAGAAAGAAAAGAAAGAAACCCGAGGTCTGGCCTGGCCTGGTCATTCTCTAGTGATGCGCAATGGACGACGGATAACTGACAACTCCATCTTGTCTTCCGAGATCTTCCAACTGGTCGCCGGCCAGTCGTTGGTCGCCATCGCCGCTGCTGCTCACTCGCTAACCTCCATCTCGAAGCGAGGCCAATCCTCACCCAGTCCATTTCGCCAGTTCCCCAACACATCACGGAAGCCCATCGCGACCATAACTATCCTTGCCCTGGTCGCATGTGGAATACCCAGCAGAGTGACACCGACATCCCCATCCCATCCGCATCCGCAGATGTGGGGTGCTGGATGCAAGGCGGGAGAGAACTCCCGTTTTCCGGAGAGGGACAGACTGCATACAGTCTCATGATCTTCCATTGCCAGGTGCCGTGGCCCTTTTACGCCGTGGCTTTGTGCACGACAAAGGAATGGACGCAGGCCCTGCATCGATACCCAGGGGAGGTGAAGTGAAGAAGGCGAGCGAAATCATCACGATTGCAATCGATTGCGCCATCAACTGGTGCCCCCGCGCCGCCGAAAGGATTGACTCGACTCACCGCAGGCGCGATTTCTGCGCAAGAAAAACGGTAAAATACGAAAAGGACCCCATATCCGGCGGAATTATTGCTGCAGATATCTACCGAACGTCAACGCGCCGGCTGCAATGAACCACATCCAGGCCCCGGGGAATGTGAAAAACGAAAAGAGAGAAACATCCTGCAGTGGCGACTCACGCTCTTGAGTGCCTCTATTGAGAATCGAAGACGGTTTCGCCTGGAAGTGCGGCAGAGTCCAGAGTCCAGACATCAAAGGGAGCTGTTGGAGCCCGAAGGCTGAAGCATCACTACATCGCCCGCTTATGCCCCGGGGGCCTAGCGGGAGGTTACTAGCGGGGTGGACAGGAATCGTGTCTGGCGTGCTGTTGCCGGTCGCCATGATGATCCATCGCCGCCCCGCCCCGGACGTCGTCTCCGCCGTTGCACAAAAAAGAAAACAAAACAAAACGCAACCGGCGGGGCCCGCCTCCACCCAAGTTCCGTTCCCCACCACCATACCGGCACCTACTGGTATCACATACAGGCGATAATCGAGATGCGATCCTTGGTCTTGGTCCTGCTCCTGCTCCCCGCTCGTTTGTTTCCTTCTTTTTGTCTCAGCCAGCTTCGCAGCGAAAGGCCGGGAAGGTGAATGGAGGATGTTAGACCGATCGGGTGATAGATGATTGATCATCGGATGTGAAGAAGCAATTGGTTAGTTACGCGCGAGGGATGGGTTCTGGTTTCAACTTTGGAGGGGAGAGGTGTGACGCTGTGGAGTTGTGGCTGAGATGTGGCTGCTGTGGCTGAGACCGTGGCTGGAATGTGCTGGAGACATGGATGTGGATACAGATGGGCACTGACGGCAGGAAAAGCACGCGGACTCGCGGCGAGCTGTGGTGCACGGGATGGAACAGACTCGCAGAGGACAGTTACCGTGGTATGGCACGGGTTGGTGCATGTGTTCCACGATGCAGTCTGAATCGTGATCAAGTGGGAGTGGCTGAGCTGAGGTGAAGACGGGCGGGCGCCGGGAGTCCCTGCTCCATGCGGAGTCACTGGTGATCAAGTTCATGACGTACGGGTGGGTGAGAGTGCATGCCTCGTAGCTACGGTATCCTCTCCGCCGTGAGTTTTGGGTTACAGTTTCAAGTTTCAGCCAGGAAAGTGCAGTAGAGAAGGCACATGGCCACCAGACCAGTCACCAGCCTCGAATGTAGCTTCCGCTCGTATCCAGAACTGGGAAGTGGGAACCGGTGATGGGAAGATCATCTAATGGATCAAGTTGGTACTAGTCACGATGCCGAGAGAGCGACAGTAATGGGCCTACACCAAGGAACTGCTAGAAACTCTGGACATTATTGCTTTAGTCACAGTGTCTAGCTGGTGGTGATATGTACGACCGTGCCCCTTCGCTAAAAGATCAACCCTTCGGCTCATACAGGCTTCGCTCGTCTCCGTTATCGACCAGACATCCACCAGTCATCCAACAAACCCGAAATCGCAATGCCATCAGCCATTCTCCGCAAGTGAAGCGACCCGCGAATCTACTCCTCCTCCTCCTCCTCATCCTCCTCCTCGCGATCCCAACTCCCAACTGCCCACCTACCCCTCATGGACCTTTCCACGTCCTTCACCACGCCCGCCAACATTCCCGCAAACAACACCCTTTGCTCCGGATCGCCCATCCTACACTCCATTGCAACCTCCAACCTGATTCCCCCCCGCTTCGTCACCCTATCCCCCCTCCGCAGCACCTCGCCATCCCTCAGCTCAACCAACAACTCCCTCTCGACCGTCGCCATGATCACCACACCCCACGCCGCCCTAACACTAACCAACCAGCCAGTCCACACCCTCTCCCCCTCCCTTAAGCACTCCTGGGCGATACTTATCGCCATCGCCGCCTCCTCTGCATAATCTTTCGTGCGCCGTCGCGGCGCAACATGCCACAGGTCTGTGCCGACATGTCCGCGCGGCGACCAGCGGGCAATGGCGTGCTTGTACCGCAGCTCTAGCGCCGGCGGCGTCGCTGCGTAGTGCGACGTCTGCGACAGTAGCAGCTGCGCGACCAGCGCGCTGCATAGCTGGTGCCGCTGGTGGCTGTTCGGGGCGGTGGAAAGCGCGGTGGTGTAGTAGGCTACGCCGGAGAGGGTGGGGGGCGCGGGAGTTGAGAGAGTAGCGGTGAGCGTGCTGAGGAGGTCGGTGGAAAGAGGGAGTATGGGAGGCGTGAACGGCACGGTGGTCGCGCCGAGGGCAAGGAGATAGTTCTTGTTCCACTGGATCGGCTCGAGGGAGGGCAGCGCGGGCCGCTGGTGGGAGCTGCGCTCCGTCTCGTCTGGTCCCCGCTTCTGCATTTCGGCGTTTTTGGAGGTGGCGGTGAGGGAGTGTGTGTGTGGTTGTGGCGGTGGTGGCGGTTGTGGCGGTGGTCGCTGTGGTGGTGGTGGTGGTGAGTGTTGCTCCCGGTAGTGGGAGTGATTGCGGGAGTAGATGTTCTGTGTGGGTTGTAGGGTTCGCAGCTCTATGCCCTCCGCTCCCGCCGTTTTCGTTGTGTTAAACAACGGCAAATGTCCCTCATCTTCTGACCCCGAATCACCATGTTCCATTCCCACGAACCACAACCATAGCATCTTTAGTGCTCGGTGACACGTTTCGACCCATTGGGACAGCGTATTCTGCATCGTACGGTGTTTTCTTGTCGTTCGCATGGATGTCTGGGGAGATAGAGGAAGTGGTTGGTCTGAGTATATATAAAAAATTGTCGATGCGCGATGATTCCTTCCAAATCCTTCAGTGGTAGAAAGCAAGCAGCCGAATGATCTATTGAAAGCTGGGATGGAATTCTACTCGTGCTTCGAGGTCACCACTCCATCGTCACGAGTCGACCTTTGGTTCCTCTCACTGATGATACTCTACATCGTCTTGAGTCTTCTATAAAGCTACTATTATCCCATTAATCCTCTTCCATGAAAGACATAGTATGCCCTCACCCTGCCGCATGAGGTTCTCCGTAGGTTTCTATCATCTTCATATCGAATACCACATCCCACATCCGAGTCGCACGCTCCCGCTCTGCCTGCTCAACTCGACACGATAGTTGGATGCACTCCGTAGCAGAGAGGAGGTTCACAAGATCGCTACCATAGACCTGGTTGACACCAGGGTGAACCAGGGACAAGATCTGATCAACCGCCAGTCACCCGGTATCACCCGTGCCCATCCTCCCCCTGAGATTTTGCGCCAACCTACATACAGCCTCCGCCACGGCCGCACCCACAGGCCACGGTCGAGACGAATGCCCCACCATATAAGTCCACCAGCATCAGCTTCATCTGGGAGGGTTCGAGGTTCGAAGTGCGAACCCACAAACCCTCCCTAAGTATTTACCTACATCTTATCCCCCATGACAACACGCGCCCCCACCTGCGCCTGCCGCTTCCGCACCTGCCACCAAGACACATACACCTACACACTGCCAGCACGGCACTCCTCACTCGGGCACACGCTCCATCCATGCGGGCACTGGATCCATCCCGTCTGCTGGGCAGCGCATTTCGAGCACCACCGGGAGTACCCAGCCTTGCAGTGCGGCTGTAAGATCCCGTCCATGGCCGTGTGGGAGTATGGTTTGTTTGGCGTGATGATTTTGCTGCTGATGTTGCTGGCGGGGGAGATGGTGATGATGGTGACGGGGAGGTGATGGTGGAAGCAGCGAGGAGCATGGTGCTTGAGGGTGCATGAATGAAGTGTGAAGAATGACTGGGTTCCGTGAGAGAGAGTATAGATCCTATGGATGCATTGTCTGTTCGTTGAGGGATAGCTGTGTGCATGTGATTTACAGTGATAGAATTGAGAGGAATGACCGACCGACCTGCACATACTCGCACTTGCACTTACGCCAATTAGTCAGTCAGTCAGACGTACGTGTCGATTTGTATGCGCAATTGCCGGGGGTCTATTAATTCGTATTCTCCTTCACTTCAAGTCACCCTGGGTAGGATGTATGTGACTTCGGCAAGAGGGCGGCGAACAGCACGGATAACCCGATTTTATCCGCGAACAATATCATGACCGTCAATAACAAGCAAATATAGGTACATAGCACTCGCTTCAATAGTCAATCCAGTCGCTGCCACACAGCCCAAGCCACGCAAATAGGTGCTGCCGAACTCCTCGTCCCGCTACCTTTCCCGTCTGACAGGTCTGCTTAACGATATCCTTCCAATCAACCCCCTTTGGGACTCATCCGGCGAGCTCGCCGGTCGATGATCACCGCTGGGTACATACTCCCAACGCCACACACGGTATCTGTCGCCACGCATGCAGCGCCTAGCATTGCCGACGAAACGCCAGCCTAACTACGATCTGAGGGACCTTAGCGTCCCCAGATACCGGAGTACGTACAAGCGAGGATTGGGCATCTCCAACGTTCCGCTGTCTGCACCCGCCTTCATTCGCCACTCGCTTACTCTCGTCTGCCACCACCGAGAGGACACGTGTATGATAGTTGAGGGATCTGATAAGATTGTAGGATGAGAGCCAGTCGGAACGATGGATCCGAATGGTGGTGGCAGCCGGACTGGCCGGGTCGAGTGACACTGAACGTTGTAGGCAGTGGAGGAGAGCCGTATCGGATGGCTCTTCAGAGTTGGATACTACCTCAACTTCTTCATTATTTTTCATTTTCGCCGTCTTCCTTCTAGGATCACGCTACTTGCCGTTCGCAACGGTCGTGGCATCCGTCTTGACTCTTGAGCGCTCTCAGAATGCCTTTTCGAAACGAAACGCCATGCAGGAACCTCCTTCTGCTGACTGTCATCGATCATCAGGTACATAGATATGTCCGGAACTCCGATTCGCCAGTTGATGGCGTGCCTACTATCCACCTCTATCCTATCCGGACTCGATCTGTCATTACCAACCGGCACTCTCCGGACGACACAACGTGATAAATCCATTCGGTATTTGGTTGTGATCACCGCATGTGCCCTCCCCGACGGATCCCCGAAGGTTCTCGCTATTGCCGGAGCCGGTCCGACGTCGTCGTGACAGAGCAACCGAGAGAGAGCGCTACCCTGGCCTACGACCCCTAACCGGCAAATCAGCCGGAAAAAAAAGCACAACGCCGACGATGGGGATGCCATATATGTTGGCGATATATATCATCGGGTTTTGTCAGCGTCGAACGGATCTCCGGAGTCGCCCGGACGCAGACGCACTGTTATTCCCGCACCCGTACCCGACTTCCTGCGGCCTGCCTGCCTGCCCCTGGCGGAGAGAGAGAGAGAGAGAGAGATCCGCCACCGATACGAGGGACGATTTGACGCGCGCACCCACCGGGCGGCCGCTCGGATATGCACGCATGCATGCATGCTGTTTGGACTCTTTCAGCTGGTGGAAGGGCATAAACGAAAGAAGCACCCACCATCATGTGCATTCCGATTTTCGCCCTGCATACAAACTGCATGTGCGAGAACAGCTCCGAGATCATGATTGCGGGTCGCTAGTGGCAACATCATGCTGAGAGATAAGATATGTACCCACCTATGTAGATACATACCCTGCAGTTGGCAGACGCGGCCGGACGAAGGGCGTCCCTACTTGGAAGTGCTTACATAGGACCCAGGTTGCCGCGGTGAGCTGTTGCCCGGAGTGCAGATAGGATGGGATTTCGGAATTTCGGAATTTCGTGCTTGCCGTGTCGCGATCACGATAACTGGCATTCGTTCAATACGGATCTCCATCTTAGGTTTCCTGCATTGTGCAGTCAGAGTAAGCCGGTTGACCGACTTGACATGTATATATCGGGGCTTCCCGCTCGGCGAGAAGCGCGCAGCAGCATTCCACCACCGACCGTGTTGCTACCGCGCTTTCAAACCTCGATGATGCGTATTGCAATGGAAGTTGATGTTCCGTTCACTGGGCCTCACCGCATCTACCGGATATAAATCTCACGAGTGGTACGCCCATAACATTTTCTTTCTTCATCCCCACCAATCACCAACACCTCAACACCTCAACAACTCTCGAAGAACACACAGAATCTGAACAAGCCATCTGAACCTCCGAGACCAACTAACGCACGACTCTCCATACCACCGTCACCTCGAACAAACCTCTCCCCACACACAACTCACACACAGCCCACGATCACAATGGGTCGCGGCTCATCCAAGCCAGCAGCGGCATACAAGTGGAGGTGCGCATCCTGCCATCACCTGAGCAGCATGAGTACGCAGACGTGCCAGAACTCGCGGTGCGGAAAACGTTGCACCGATACGCAGTTTGCTGTGCATATGGCGGCTGCCAACGAGGTGTACATGAGGGCGCGCTGGGGCTAGGTAGTAGTTGTGGTTAGGCGCGCTAGAAGTTAGGGACGACCAGGCTGCGGCGGCCGGAGGTCGGGTTTCATTTTTCTTTCTTTCTCGGGGGGCTTTGTTTGTGTTTCTTTTCTGACTGACTTGCTTGCTTTCTTGCTTGCGGGTTGTTTTTTTCGCGAGTCTGCTGCGTTTGGTTTTTTCATGGTCTGAGTGTGTTTGGCGGGTGAATATTCTTATTTCTCTCTTTTCTTTGCTTTCGCACGCTGGCAGGTGCATCTGGATTCTGGACGGTATTTACTTTCCTTTCTTTGATCGAGACCTTTTTCTTTCCAGTTTGCGGTATATATGTGACATAGCTTCGCCGAGTGACTGTGATTCCAATACGGTGCCGTAATACCTAAGTACATACCGTGTATACGCATCACTGGTGGCGATCATACCCATCTTTCAAGCGGCGAATATCCAGCTGAACATGGGGGTCACATACCTAACCAAACTATCCTTAGAAGCGTCGACTCACGGCTACCCGCCAGCGAGTTCCCGCCCACTTCGGTGCCGACATCGCTGCGAGACTCAGGATGTCAGGATCTGGTATAAACAGCAGCGCAGACAATCCTGGCCTGAGTGACACCACGTGCAAGAGTGTATGCCGGCAGACATACATACCCTCCGACTGCCTACCCTCCACAGGCCCGGGCGGCAGCCTACAACCTGCCGACCCACATTGCCTGCCGAGCCAACTGCTGTGGTTTCGATATTGTAGCAGTCAAACAGGCACAGGTCGACGAGCTACCTAAGTAAGTACCTACTAGTAACTGATGGTCTGATGCCGGAGGTGCTGCATTAGCGATCACTCGGCCTCAGGCGGCTAGCGAGTGGGATGGGTGTAGTTTGGACGCAGATTTTGAGTTTACTTGTGCTTGATAGCTCTACAGGTTGCGAGATAACTATGATTGTGCGGAATGGAGCTGAACTCTTGACGCATCTCCCAGGCTTCCGCGTACAGACCAACACGTGGGTGTGTATGCCTCGGTCAACTGTTGGACATCAGTGCTAGAACAGCGATGGCACCGCTGGTTGTAGTAGAAGTTTCTGCTGAGATTATTGTTCTGATTTGATCGGATGACTCATGAGCACACTATCGAAGCAGAAACGGCCAAAATTATCATTCCAGTCAAGCACGGGGCGGGTTAGGGCACACGTTTGCTTGCCTACAACATCAAGACGACCCACTCAGCTAGGGCTGTGCGCGGGAAGTGACCGAGTGATGCTCTCCAAACGGGTCTACCATCAAAAAACACTAGTGCCTCTGAGTTCCTTATAAAGGTTCTTCTTCCGCTTCCTCCCTCCCTTCCTTTCTTCTTCATGTCTCCCTCATCCTACGAACCAAGTTTCTGTAATAGAATTCGAATTTCGAATTTCACTTCCAAAAACTTTCTTCCTTTGATGACAGAGATGGCGAACGGCCTAGCCAATTTCCCCCCACCCCCTCCTCCGCCTTCTCCTCCTCCTCCTCCTCCCCCTCCCCCTCCCCCTCAAGTCACCATGCCTGCACCTCCGGACAGCACTCCCTCTACTTCCGGTGCTACTCCTCCTCCTGCTGCTCACCTCACACGTGTTGGGTTAAACCAACTGTATGACCGTGCAGAGCAGGCCTGGAACGAGTATGACACCGACCGAGTAGAGCGGCTCTACGGTGAGATCAAGGTCGCCTGGGACTTCATCAAGAAGATGGATGGGTCCCCCGACTTCTCACCCGTTGTTCAGAGAACTGCGCAGGTGACGTACAACATGATTTTTCTACGGAAGAACACGCCGAAGGAGAAGGCCGATGCTTCTTCTTCCGCGCCTGCTAACGGTGCTGTTGCTTTGCCTGGTGCTCCCACGACCTCCAGTGAGCTAGCGGCGGCGTTGACTGGTCCGGGTGATACCGCGCCAGTTATTCCTGGCCTTACTATGTGCGCTGGTGCAGTTCCAGTGATTGTCCCACCCCGCTCGGTTACGCCTTTGCCGCGGCTGATATTGGCTCCCAGGGGACGTGTGGCGGCGAGAACTGACGCGGGTAGAGCCGTCCCAGTCTCTCCCGGTCCAAGCACGGCCACTAGGGTAAGTCCGGAGGGTGGTGCACCTGGTCAGGCGACACCCGTTAGCGACTCGACGACCGCGGATGCATTGGGTGCATCGGAGACCCAAGCTCCTCCACCTGGTGCTCTTACCAGTGCTTCGGGAGCGAGCTCGACCGCTGCCAGTGGGCATGCAACGGCGATGGCTGGTCCGGGTGATGCCGTACCAGTTATTCCCGGTTTGACCTTACTCGCTAGTGCTGGTCAAGAGCCTGCTCCACGCCCAACCTTGGCTCCCAGAAAACGTGCCATAAGAAAAGCTGGCAAGGGTAAAGCCGTCCCAGCTGCTGCCGGGCCGAGCACACCGGCTGGTGACAGTCATGCGGGTTTTGCACCGGGTTTAGAGAAACCAGTTGGTGGTCCCGAGCTCAAGGTTGCAACTCGTGCGTTGAAGCCCCAAGCTCCTTCTGTACCTGCTTCCTGCTCGGTTTCGAGCACCACCCTAGTTGCTTCCGGCCCCACCTTGGCGCAGGCTGGCCATGCGACTGCTGCTTCTGGCCCGGCTCCGGCCGCTCCAGTCGCTTCCGGTTCGACCGTGGCCGCTGTGTCGGGTGAGGCAACGGCTGCTCCTGTGGGTCAAGCCCCGGCGCCTTCTCTGCTGGGTAAGGCCAGTCAAGCACCTTCCCCTGCTCCTTCAGGTCCTCCAGCCAAGGAACCAGGTACTGAATATATTCAGTACCTCAAGTCTTTGGTCGCTTCTGCCAATACGGCGAAGAATCAAAGAAATCTCGATGACTTCGAGACTATCTTTGCGGAACTGTTGGAGATCAGGAAGGTGCACCTGCCCATGCGAAAGGACCTGCCGGAGGAAGTTCACGTGTGTGCAAGAGCCGCCCAGAATGCGCTCCGCAGCTTGGGTGCTCGTGGAACGAAGGTGGCCAGCCCCGCTAGAAATAGCGTCGTGGGTTCGGCACCTGGCGTTCCCACCGCCCAAACTGCTGCTAAGTCCACGTCCGCGTCCGCGACTATGATTGCGGCAAAGGCCCAGCCTACGGCTGCGCCTGCGTCTAAATCTATGTCCACGGCAACGGCTGCGATTCAGCAGCAGAACCAGCGGAGCGCTTTAAGTGCACCCTCCGCTGCACACACGCCGGCAGCCCCTCCTACGTCCCGCACCAATCCTTCGGCAAATCCCGTGGGAACTGCAGAGATGCAGTATCTCCGGGATTTAGCCACTGAAGCCAGGAGACTGGCTAATGATGATGGGTATAATGGGCTCAAGAGGATCGAGGATATCCTTCAGATGTTGAAAAACATCAAGGAGGTGGATTTGCCGCGCCGTCCGGATCTTCCCATGGGGGTTATTCGGGCGGTGGATACCATTCTTGGGGTGGTATCCAGGTGCAGGTTTGAAGTGATCGCTTCTAGACCTGTGCAAGGTTCTGGACCTTCTGGTCCGTCTTGGGCTTCGTCTCCACTGTTGGCTGAAAAGTCACAGCAGGAGATGGAGTGGGAGCCGGACACCCCCATGTCCCCGTGTCAACCCTTGTGGTCAGACACCAGCACTGTCAGTCGCGGTAGCTCTGCCGGTTGCTGGCCCCATGGCAGCACCGGCACTGCCGAAGACAGCAGCTCTCCTGGTCGCTCGCCCCATTGTGGCAGCACCAGCTCCTCAGCGGCTCTTGCTCGCGCAGGAACCTGCTTCGTTCGCTCGCCCCGTTGTGGCAGCGCCGGCTCCAACCCCGCAGCTGTTGTTCCGACAACAGCCTGTACTTCCTCCAGTTGGACCATCGCGTTCATTGGTTCCGATTGCTACGAGGATTGGAAGACGGCCGAACGCTGTCGTACCTCTTCGGAGGCATGACTACGTTGCTGCCCGGCAGCCACCTCTTCATCCCCGCCTGAACCAGACACCCGGCAGTGATGGCGGCAGTGCTCTGGATGCGTCCGCGGTTACGCGGACGCAGAAGGTTAGTGTAGTGCGAGGGGGGCCGCGGCAGTGGGAACTGGAGGCACCTGCTCCAGCACCCCCGGTCGTGTTCCCAACAGCCATGCGGGCCTGGCGTGAGCCTAGCCCCGTGGTCCCGGTGGTGAACGAGAGGAAGAGGGAGGAGGAGTGGAGAGCAACGCTGTACGATGCAGTGTTCGGGCTGGGGGTGTCGATGGTTCTAGCGACGGGCTGTGGGTTGCTGGCGGGCGTCTGGGTGTGGTAGAGGAGGGCGGCGGCGGCGGCGGCGGCGTGGTTGTGGTTTCCTCTCCTGCACTGAAGTTACATCAGACATTCGCAATTTTGAGATCACGAGTATGTATCCTGTCAGACAGGCTATCTTAGCTCTGTAGCACGTTTTCAATCGTTACTAATTTTCTTTAGGATTAGATATGAACGAGTGCATTTAGCCCAGGAGCGACAGCCTCGAGATCTCTTCTATTGCAGCAATTTCAGAATTTCCCCGCCATGCTCGTCCTACTCGTCCTACTACTGTGACTCGTACTACTCGGCCTACTTGTCCTTCTCTTCCTTCTCGCCTTGCCGACCTGCTATGGAAGGAGTCTCCTCGCCCTCCCCCCCCTACTCGTCTTACTCGTCCTACTCATCTGGCTGCGGGAAAAGCCCCCGGGCCCCTTACTGAATTCCCTGTCATGGCTTCTCTTTGCACTCATTGCCTGAGGGTCTTTGGAGTATTATTATTTGCTTTTTCTTGCCCACGCTGGAAGGTGTATCTAGGCGTTAACTGCTGTTTTCTTTAATCAAGTCCGCATTTTCTTTTCTTTCCAATCAGCCTTCGTACATACGTGTGACATAGCTTCTCCGAACCAGCCTAATACCAATCCTCACCTATAGTCAATATATACGGATCGCGTGTAGCAATCATACCTGAATATCTCTTCAGCGGGAATGATCCAGCTCCAAGGCCGACCTCAGCCAATCCCGAAACGAGTGACATGACGTGCAGGAGTGTATGCAGACATATCCTCCCTCACCGTGACCCCCCCGTCGACAAGCCCGGACTGCCGTCTGTCGAGCCACAAATCCTTCCAAGTGCTGTGGCCTCACTAACCAAAACAGCACTGCAACACGCGACGCCTCTCGATGAACTGGGTAGGTACCTAACTGACACCCGGGGGTGCGCAGCATTCAACGACCAGCCGTGTTGTTGCCAGCGCTGCGTGTTTAAAGCTCGGTGATGCGTATGGCAGTTGAAGCGTATGTTCCGTTCAATGAGCCTCACCGCATCCAGCGGATATAAACCTCACTAACAGTGCGCCCATGGCATTATACCTTACTGCACAACTCACGAAAACCACACACAAACTGAACAAAGCTATCTGAACCTCCGAGACGAACAAACACACACGACCCTCAACATCACCACATCGAATAAACTTCTTTCCCACACTCTTCCCTTAGTTTTTCCCACACACACACGGCCACAATGGGTGGCGCATCATCCAAGCCTGCAGTGTACAAGTGGAAGTAAACAGCCTGCGAATTCATGAACAGCATGAGGCAGCAGGTGTGCGCGAATGCGCTGTGTGCAAAACGCTGTGCCGACAAGCAGTTTGCTTGCCATCAGGCGAATGCTAACGAGGCGGAGAAGAAGGCGCGCGGGGGCTAGTTTGTTTCTAGGCGCGGTACCTGGGGATGATCACTGACCAGGCTGGGGCGGGAGGTCTGGTTTCATTATTGTTTCTTTCGCTGCTCTGTTTGTATTTCTTTTTTCAGACAGGCTTGCGGGTTGTTCATGGCCTGCGGGTCTTCAGCTGGTGATTATCATTAGTTACTACAGCACCTCTTCAACCGACCCTATCCAGCGAGTGACATTAGGTGCGGGAGTGTATGTATGCGACCTGAGGCAGAAATGGGCCCCCTTCCACAGGCCAGGACCACGGACTTCTGAGCCACAGTTTCTGCAAAGCTCGGTGGCCTCGCTAGGTATCATTATAATACGCGGAGCTCGATGAATTGGAGTACTAGTACCCCGGTAAGTTGTAACTGATACCGAAGGTGCGGCATCAGCGATCACTCGCTCGCCTGCTGGCAGAGCAGGGCGATCAAGGTATGGATGGATGGAGGAGCTATGGCGGTGATGGAGATGCGGCAGTACATAGTCGAGAATGTACCCAGGTATTGGTAGTCCGGTGCGCTTGATCACTCAACGAGCGGTTTCGGACCTCCGGTGCGTAGGTTTCAACGAGGCCTACGGGAACTTAGATACGTACTGGTCATGTGTTCTTCTTTCTCTCTTTTTGCCCGAGGCTTAAGACTCTCTCAATACCTACAATACACTCGTTCATCACAATCCAATCGAACAGCATTAAATTTCGGGTGATAGTTTATGAGACCGCAAAAGGCTATATCAATCGACAGAAAATACGGTACCAAATTCAAAGACCACTCGAAGCGAATGAACAACCACGTAGTATAATTCATTTCCCCTAGCACCTAGTAGCTCCTTCCGTTCCATTTCCCTCGCCAATCCTTCCGCCCTCCCCTTCCGCCCTCCCCTCCCGACCACTGCTCATGGCGACTCAACGCGTTAAGCAATTGGCACAGGGCCTCGAAATCCTTGGGAACTCGTTACCACCGTCGACCCCACTATCGGAGGTCGGAACAGGTACCGCGATGGCTATGGCGACGAGGAAGCCTAGGGTGAAGGTCGTTTCAAGGAAGTATTGGAATCGCATTGCGTGGTCGAAGTGGAGGTAGGTGGGGATGAAGGCCGGGAGAGAGAGGGGAAAGGGTATGTATTTATGGGAAGCCAGATGCTGTTTATAGACCTCGTATTTAGATTCAGATTCAGATTCGTTTCGGTTGCATCGTGGTGCATTCAGGATTTGGATCATGGCATGTTCGTATTCAGATTCGCTACGAGCACGCTGCAATACTGTACCGGTACTGCTATTGGACACGGTGATGTCTCACTCACGAGGTCATCCCACACCATGGAACCATACACAGCGAATAGAGATTTGGTACATACTCTGATACTCATTCACTCGCTACCTTCACGGCAGAATTCATATCCATCCCTCCAAGAAGAATACAAACGCAACATCCACTTGAAATCCAATCCCATAGCTCCTTCCATCCCACTTCCCCCGCCAATGCTCCCACCCCACCCCTTCCTTCCTCCCTCCATCCCTCCCAGGAGCTTGTGACAACTCGACGGGCTTTACACTACGAATTCTGAGGAAACCAGGCTCTCCCCCACTGACTACCTTCGTCAGGGTCATCAACTGAGCCGGGACCCAGTGCCGGAGCCGGTGCCGCGACGGCAACAGTGATGGCGAAGAAAAGATTCACTGCGAGGATCGTTTGGTAGAGAAATCGCATTGCTTTGTCGAGACGATAGGTAAGGCAAGATGGAGACCGAAGAGGGCGGAGGGCTTGAGGCGGCGACACAACTCCCCGCACCTCGTATTCAGACTCGTTTGACATTTCTACCAAGCGGCTTTACCGCTATTTGGTTCTATGTGTTTCCCGTGAGGTCACCCCCCCTTCACAGCGCCCATTCTACCGCTGGCATCAACCCGCCAGACCAGCTTTCCTACCTACCGGCTTGCCACTCCACCCACCATCACACAAAAACCAAACCTTATCCATCCACAGATGATACGAACATGAATGACTACTATTAGAATCCACTCATCATAGGCTAGGTACCTCCCATCACCCACTTCGCTCGCCAATCGGCCAGATCCTCCGATCTCTTCCTTTCAGTTTCGGGCTCTCACGACACCTCGACACGTTGAATATTCTGCACGGGTGACGGGACTTCGGGCTCTCAGCCAATCGGTGCCATCGGTGCCATCGATAACTAGAGTAGTCTACCTCGTATTTGGATTTCGCCAATACCATGCGGTGCCACTATCATTGATTCTGAGTGATGACTCGTGAGGTAGGCTGGTAGTACGGCCACACCACATGCGACAGACCGAATGGTCCTCCCACTTTGAAAAGTTAAAGCAGACTACACCCCCTCACGCACAGAACCAACGCGAATAGCCACTTGAAAGCCCATTCACTGTGAACCAACAGAAATGAGAACAGACACTGCACTCAAACACCCCATGAATTGATACAAACGTGAATAGCCACTTGAATATCCACTCGAAAATCTACTCGAAAATCCACACCCACTCCCACTGTTCGCGCCTTCAACTTCTACCTCCCACTTCTACCTCCCACTTCTACCTCCCACTTCTACCTCCCACTTCTACCTCCCACTTCCCCTCCCACCCTCCCACCCACCCAACCGAGACAACCGGACACGTTCGACCCTCTGCACAACAGCTACGCCCTCCTCCCCCATTCGTTGCCAAACTCGGCTTCGGCGTCTTCAACGGACCCGGGAACTGGTGCCGTAACCGCGGCTGCGATAGCGAACAGAAGGGTCAAGGCGAGGATGGATTGGTACGGGAATTGCATTTTGCTGTGTTGAGTTGTGTTTTCGTGGTGAAGGTGATAAGGTTCGATGAAGAGTGGGGAGACGGGGAAAGATGGTGTTTATAGACCCCGTATTCGGATATTGACGGTGACGATTCACGAACCGGATGCAGCCAGCAGCCTGTCGATTCCTTTGGACCTGTGGCAATGTGCGCACGCTCTGGTCCTGCTGTTGACCTAACGTAGTGGGCGCAGGTGTAGCGACCTCTCTTTCGGCCGGGGACGTCTACCGAGTTACACGAAAACATCGCTACACCTCGTATTCAGATTTCGCCGATCTGGAGTGATATCACATGAACAAGAGATCTGGAATTGCCACTGACTTCTCCAAGTGTTCCTCTTTGAATAGGTACAATAAACCAGTTGCTTAAATCGAACGTACAATACGAGCGTGAATAGCCAACTGAATATTGAAACACATCCGCCCCTACTGCAGCTCCGTCCGTCCGTCCCGCCTCACCTGCCTTCCCTCCCCCCCGCCCTCCAAAACACTCATCACAAACCGACGGGCGTCACACATTCACACTCCGCACAGGGCCATCAGGTCTTCCCCCAATCGCTGCCATCGAGAACGTGCTTATCGGCGTCCGGAACCGGTGCCGCAACGGCGACGGCGGCGAAGAGTAGGGCTACCGCGAGGATCGTTTTGTAAAGGAATCGCATTGCTATGTCGAGAATCGAGTATTATCAAGATGACGGACACGAGGATGGAGACGGGGGTGCGCGAGTGCGAGGAGAAGAGCGTATTTATGCCAGGCTGGATGCCGGTTGTCAGGAATCAGGGTGGTGGTGCAGCGATCGAATGCGACCTGTCTCGATCGCAGCGAAACCACTGATAGGCCGTTGTCCGCCGTTTGGATGGCCAGCTCAAGACTGTGAGCCCCCCCCTCACTCACACCTCGTATTCAGAATCGTACCTAGCGAGCGGCATTACTGCTATTGGTTATACTTGGTGTCTCGTGAGCCCCTCCCTTAGTTAGCCCTATCATACCTCCGGTCAGCGGAGCTCACCTACTCGTTTTCCTCACCACCTTCGCAATAGAACCAGCCAATCATTCATGCACACCTCGAAACCAAAATGCCACCCGAAGTCCCCATCCCCGGTAACATGTCTTTGCACTCGCCCTTCCCTCAGCGACCCAACACCCTCAACAATCCCCACGGGGCTTCCGCCATTCCTTGCCACCGGGAACACCAGCAGCTCCATCGAATCCCGGAATCGGCTCCGCGACGGTGCAGGCAAAGCGAACACACAGAGCGATGGTGCTTCGGTAGAGAAACAACATTGTGTCGACAAGGCGGCAGAGGCGGTGATAAGGGTGATGGTGGTGGTGGCCGTTGGAGGGCTGGATGGGATTTACGCAGTGGGATGGACGGTATATATAGGACTCGTACTCAGACTTATGCGGTCTATGTATCTAGAGTATGACGATAAATGATACACACGCCATTCTCCTGGTGAGTATGTAGCGTACTCGGATTCCAGTGTACACCAAGACCGGGCGCTGCCGTTATTGGATGGAGGTAATAGCGTATGATCCCCTCGAACTCCCGAGAAAAAAACACTTCCATACAGAGACTTTCTCGCAACAGAAACTAGACCCGGCCTCGACTCTAGTCCAGCACTCGACTGATCGCTCCGGCCTACATACAATCAGGGCATTCCGGCATCGCCGAGGACTCGCTATCCGGTATATCGGGAATGGCGTGCAGAACCGGCATGGCGTCTGCGGCGGCGGAGAAGGTGAGGAGGAGGAGGGGGAGGACGGTAGTGAGGACTGCGCTGTGGATGGTCAGCATTTTGGCGTTGAGGTGCGGTGCGGGAGAATGGGGCGAGGAATGGAGGGCTGGGTGGACGAGCAAGCAACTTTAGAATGGGTACACCCAGGGTCCATTACGTCATACCGAATAGCCCCGCCAGCTGCTGCAAGCATCCTGATCCGCAACACCGACTCCCTGGTGCACAATGACTCAATGAGATTGAAGAATAGAGGCGCTCTGGCTTCGAACGAGTAAGGTATATGATACATCATCTTTCACACTTGAGAATCGCCACGAGAGCCAGGAGTTTTCTACCGTCGAATACCATTTCCGTTTCAAGACGCCGAGACGTGAAGCGGAAGATGAGGGAGCCAGGTGCCGACTCGGAGGGGCATTTACAGTCGCAGACCTGGCATGCAGTGATGCAGGCCGAGTTTCACGACACAGATAAACCAACAAACATACACTGTAAACTTCACCTGCAATGCATCCCCGCGACGCTCAAGCCGGTCCGCCAACGGCCGTGGATTCAGGACAGCACTACCTCCTTTTGTACGTAACACGCCTACACGATGGAGCCTCGCGCTTCCTTCCCATCCTTTACCATCCCCTCCCCTCCCCACCTCCTCCACCCCGCATCCACAACCGATTCCGTCACGCCCCAACCGCATCCCCGCGACCAAACACTCCCGCACCTCAGACACACTGCGCGCAAGGATGAAACGCTGCAGAAATCTCTACGTCTGTGGCCGCCAGAGGACCAGGCGCAGCGGCCGGAACCGGCGCGGCGTTTGCGGCGTCGAAGCGAGCGAGAACGAGGGCGAGAGCGAGAGTGAAGGCGGTGCGGCTGTTGAAAAGCATTTTGGTTTCTGGGGACTTAGACTCTCAGAGCGCGTCGGGGTGATGCGGGGTTTATACCCAGGAGGCTAACTACGGCAAGGTGTCGCACCAGCTCGGGCTTCACTGGCGGTCTGGCACTGCGTCACTTGGCCTAGGCTTCGGGTGTGTATGGGATCGTGGGTTTAGGCTTTACCTAGCTCGTATCACACTCTATCTAAACTCTATGAGTCTAGGGCGAATAGACATGGTGGGATCCCTGCGGAACAAGCGAATGGTCCGGCCACTGGCCTGCAGCCGCAGCCTTCATGTCAACTTCACCTCCGAGCGCGGAATGGCTGCCAATAAATGAACAAGTAAGCACTCTACATGCCTAAAATAACTCGAACATCTGCGTATCTCGATCCCACCCCCACTCCATCACCCAGCACAAGCCCGAAAATCCTGTCCTTCTCCGTGCCCAGTGTTTACGGTATCGGCCAGCCGGCCAGGAGCAGCAGCCGGGATCGGTACTGTACGGTATTGCGCGGCGGCGAGAAAGGTAGGGAGGGCGGTAGTGAGCATAGATCTGTATGATACCTACTCGAAAGGCATTTCGATTTGCGTGCTACGACTGGCGAATATCTAGGATCGAGTGACGAATTTATCTACGACGAGTGGTTACTGCAGACTGCGCAGTGCGGACTGCTAAAAATATCGTCGTATCCGTCGCGAACGCCACCGGATTTATGCTACTTTCGGCCAATGAAGACGACCGCGAAGACAGCCAACGAAGGCAGCCAACGAAGGCGGCGAAGGAGGACAGCCAATGATAATAAGTCACATGTGCAGGCGGTGTTTCATGCCATCGTCCATTCATTCACATAAAGACTCCGATGTGCGACACCGACATTTATTATTCACTGCCCCTCACCGAATGAAACAAGCGAGCCATGAAAACACCCCAAGATTATACTATAGACAAAGCATCATTATCCCCCACACCACCTCTCGGAGAGCTGTGTCTCTACGGGCCGTTTTTTCCGTTTCATGCTCTACCATCCGCTCCTTCGAGTGCTCCACCAGCTCCACCCGCTCCACCAGCTCCACCCTTCTCCTCCTCCTTCCCCTCCTCTACCGCCCCCTCCTTCGCCCTATCAACCAATTCGATATTGATTTCCCCGCCTTCCTTCTCGGTCTCGGTCTTGTTTTCCGACATCGAAGCAGCGAGCATGAAGACGAAGCGCATCGTGTTCTCGATGGACGTGTGGCTGTGGTGAAAGCGTATGAGGATGAGGAATGAGGGGGAGGGGTACTAATACGTATGAGTACTCATGTGCGTATGTACCCAGACCGCGGGTGCGGCCTCCGCGTTGCTACGCCCCCGCGATGCGCCTGAAGCCTGGAGGGGCTGATGCTGTTGCGGCATGCTCGTACTCTACTCGCGAGCTGCAGCTGCGCACAGCCAGTAACCCCACGGTAAGTATACGGGTAGATAGTGTAAACAGTCGCTAGAGTAGATGGTGACGGTCCAATAATCCGGTGGATTCCCGAACGCCGTAGCATCAGTCCCGCAGCAAACTCACAAAATCGATGGGTCACTCCAATCTTCACGTGGACTGCGGGTTTCGGTATCCATCTTTTGTCGGATTCGTTTGACATGTTTGTGGTAAGGACGGGTCGTCGAGTTTTGTGCTGCGGCGAACGGTATCAGGCTCAGGATTTGATGCGGGTCCGCAGGACTGAAACCCACAGACGACCGCGCAGCAGTACCCGTACGTAGTTCAACATTTGCATTCACCTTAGTCCTGTGCACAGCGAACCCTACTTTTCCAACCCCAGTCTGCAGTCCGGCACCACCCCCAGCCCTGCCTCCCGCTCGGCGCTCGCTGCCGTACTCTACCGCCATAAGCGGCCGCCCCCTCCGCAGCCCATTCCCGCAGCCCATTCGTGTTCTTGACCTCCCGACCTCCAAGCTAGCCTGTAGAGTAGTTAACCACTCCGTCAGCGCGAGTACTCGATATCGCGCGCTGTCGAGCTGCCCACGAGCTACGGGTGCTACGTACGTACAGTCACCGCAGTTTTTCAAAGTGCCCAACTGCCCGGTCTTATCCGCTGTCGACGTGAGAGGCAACGGTGACGGCAATGGCACGGGTGCAGGGGCGGCGGTGATAGCGAGGAGGACAGAGTGCAGCAGGATAAACGTGAGGATTCTGGAGTTGAATAACATTTCGATTCGGGTGGGGGGATGGAGGGATGGAGGGATGGAGGGAGCGGAGGGGTGAGAGGTTTGCACGGCGGGTTAATATAGACAGAAAGCTGGTGTGTACGCCGTATGGTGTGGTTTAGTATAGCCTACGAGCGCGTATTCACCCCGAGTTTCACTGGCATTGGCATTGGTGAACGGCGCTTCGAACGCACGCACGTAGCCATACATACACAATCATGTCACTCGGGATGGCTCAGGTGAGGATGAAAGGTAACTCGGACCCGTCATAGCTACATATGCACGAGGCTAGAATATCTGGACAGCACAAACAAACATCTAAACAGCCGGCCGAGCGCGTATTGTATCTTCCGTATCGCCCCGCCCCCACAACATCAACCCATCCCGATCCTGCCGGCTGTCCGGCTCCCCATCCCACCATCCCACCATCCCACCATCCCGCGCCTTACTAACACACACCGCTCCCCATCGTCCCCACCACCTCCGTCTCGCCAGGCTCCGCCGCCGGAGCCGCCACCGGAGTCGGCGCGGCGGTTGCCGCGTTAACATAGACGAGCAGGAGGGCGGCGGCCGCGAGGACAGTTCCGCAGTTGAATTTCATTTCGGGTTTGATTTTGCTTTTGAGGTGGTGCGAGGCCGAGGGTTGTTCGGTTCCGAGGGAGTTGCGTGGGGAAGGACTAAGAGGTTTGAGGTTGGTGGATAGGCTACTCGGAGAGGAGAGGAGAGGTTTTTATACCCAGTGCTCGACCTCGTACTGTATTCCGCTCCGGCTTTGTGGTTACTGAAGGCGACGGAACTTTGCTGGGTTCGCCCCCGGCGCCAATGATCACGGTTGATCCGTATACGAGCGTGCCGGTGATGGCAGTGAGGGTCGTGCTTACCGTGCACATCATACCGTACCATAGGGTACTCGCCCAACAGCTGCTCGTGATTCCCGGACGTCGGACAGAGCTGTCGTCTATGTTTAGTACCGTGTTTACATTCTCGGCTATGCATTTCGCTCCGCCGGATATCTCCTCCGATCCCCAAATAGAATTTCATCCAGATTATATTTCCGTTCCGGCACGGTACCTAGCACCTCCCTCTGCAATACCTACCACGCACCAGGCCCCGACACCACCACCACCGCCAACTCGCGGTGCCCCACTGTACGTCGTCAAAAGCTAGTGGGCCCAAGTCGACTATCGGAGCGGCATTTGCCGTGTGGACGTAGACGAACCCCAAGCCGGTTCCGCAGTTGAATCGCATTCGACTTGGCGTTGTTGGGAGGGTTGAAGGGAGATGCGTGGATGGGGAGTAATACTCGAGCTCGTATTCCGCTCGGCGTTCGTTGGCAGGTAGCAGTTGGAACTCGGCACCGACAAACGGAGCTCAGAGCCCGCGCCAATCACCATGCGAAAACAATACGAGGGCGGCGACGCTCATAGTACCGTTCTAAGTTCTCGACCGTAAATGGTTATGATATAGATAGCAGTGCAAAGCCTCGTATCCGGCTCGATTTTCCTAGCAACGGCAACGGCAAGGGCGCGGTTTAGAGCTCTTCTAATGAAGAACACTGAGTTACATCTACGCGAACAACGCTGATTTGATGGACTTGCCCACTGCACGGTGAAACATCACCAATAAATATACTCGTTTGAGTTTTGAACCATATACCGTACGAGGGCGGCGCAGATAACCCATAACTATTCCTCGTTCACCTGCTCGACCGCAATGGACGATTATGTAATGCACCGACCGACCGGCAGACAGACTGATCGCACTTGTGGGAAATATAGAGTAAGATATGGTAAGATATGGTGGTGAACAGTGTAGTATTGAAGTGTAAGGCTATAGCCTCGTGAGAACAGAAGATATATGGAATAGGGGTAAAGGCCCGTGCCTTTTACCATGACTAATCTAGACAGATATTACAACAACACTGTGACATTCCGTTCGAGTGATATCTGATATCAGACCCTAGCCCAACCGCGCCATAGAGAAGTACATAGCCGCCACCCCCCTCGCCCGCCGTTCTCAACCCCCCGCGTCAACCCCGCCCCGGCCAGAATCCGCCGCCCTATTCCAATCGTGTTCTGCCGTCGCCTCCGACAGCGGGGCGGGACGAGGACGAGACAGCGGTGCGGCGAACGCGGCGGTGATGACGAGGAGGATGGCGATGACTGTGGTGTGGGTTCCCGCGTGGAATAGCATCTTGAAGTTCGAGGTGTTGTGAGGGAGCAGTGGGCTGGGTTTCGATTTGAGACGATGCGCGGGAGACGAGGGCTGGGTCTTATACACCTACCTCTTATGTGACTGGAGGTGGGGTAGGACGAGTCACGAGTCACGATAGCATTGACCACTGAGCAGTGAGCAGTGAGCAGACTGCTAAACATAGAGTACATTAGGTAGGTAAGTATATATCGACAATACAACAGATTCCAGAAGCTTTCACAAACTTCAAAGACGAGGGATGAAAGCGAGAACCTCGCGCGCCACACACGACGACTGTAGAGTACTACAGCTGCTGGTCAGGGGTTGTGTGAGATTTAGGAGCATGAAGATGGAAACACGTGATAATTATTCTTCTTGTCACAGCAGTATGTCCTCTATATACATGTATCCAGATCATGGCTGATGGTTCGCCATTCGGCGACCGGCCCCTATCACCACTCCAGAGCCCGAGATGTCCTCCGGCGCTATTCAACATTTGTAGCCGCGTGCTTGCAGACTATGAAGCAGCAAATAAAGCAGTCAAGGGCGCAGGACCAAATGGCATAGAGGCAAATAGGGCCGGAACAAAACAGGTACCTTGATGCAGTTCCGATCGTGCGGAATGCCGACTTAGACACGTATTTGAACCATGCCCGCGATGGAATATTAGTGCCCTCGGGGATGGCCGACGCCTGTGCGACCCTGAGTTTCAGCCTCCCGAGGGGATCCTGAAACCGTGTCGAGCGTATTGTAAGTCGAATGAGATACGCAACCAGCAGGAGCCCACACGAGACGGTCCAGAACTGCCATAGCTGTGGCTTGGTAGCCTCCCATTCCTGTGGATAGTAGAGACTGCTGCTATGTATGAAGGTATGTCTGCGTCATCAAAAACTTACCTTGATTTCCATCCCAAAGAACGACGTGGCAAAGGATAGTGGTATGAAGATGAATGCAAGCTCCGTGAGCTTGCTGATCGATTCCCCTTGAGACACGGCGTTACGACTTTCGATGATCGACATCGTCGACATCAACGCTTGGAAGCTCGACTCGACCCGCCGCTCCAGCCGTTTGCGGTCCTTCTCACACGCTGCGAGGCCTATTTTGAGCTGTCGCAGCTCGTCGTAGCCGCTTTCCGGTCCGATCGCGAGGGTGTCGATCAACGATGTCGTGCGCTGAGCGGTGCTTTCCAAATCGGCGAGGAGTCCCCGCCAGTTACACCACAATCGCCGCCACTCCGGCAACCTGCGCGAGACTACGAAGTGGTCGGACAGTGATGCATCGATCCCATCTAAAGCGCGGCCCATCTTCCACAGGATGCAGCCCCACCAGTCGAGTGTGTGCGTGAGAAGTCGGATCCTGGCACGAGCGAGGAGTTCGGGCAGTGCGATGCGCAAGCCATCGTTGGCGTCGATAGTTTCTTTCAGTAAGCGTTAGAAGAGCTTCTGTGTACTGGTATTCCGTGCCGTCTTCGCGGACGATTGTCCCATGACCATATGTGAACGCACGAATAGGGGCCCCCACCCCCACCCTCTCAGTAATTCGCCGGTATCGAAACCTGATGGTAGGTCCGGTACATCTGGTGGGTCCGGTACATCGCCGAATGTCGGACCCGGTACAACGCTAGGCTGCTTGTCGAAAAGGACGACGGCTATAGCACGGGGAGATCCTGTCAATGGGGGCAGTTCACGGAAGCCGAGAGTGGAAGTGGAGTCACCCACCGCAATGCTGACCCGACATGTACGATGTGGCACGCTCTTGCACCGCACAGATGTACGCCGGGTATTTGCCGGAGACGGCGAGCTCTGTGATGGCCTTGTACGGGCGAAATACGAAACAGTCGAGCTCTGGTTCGCGTTTGGGAGGAGTCCGGTTCTCGACGTCCTGGGCCGGTGGAACCGCGGCCCGCTCCCATGCGACCCTTTTGGTGTAACTGGAAGACAACAGCCGTGCCCTGTCCCAAATTCGGCTCACCAGGGAATAGGTATCCAGGTTATAGGTTCCGGCGCTCCACCAATCCATCGATGAGATTTCGGTGTCTAGCTCCAGGCAGCGTTCGCCAAGCTCAGCCTCGGCCCAGCAACCCTCGCAGCCCGAGGCGTGTCCTCCTCCCCCTATGATATCGATGGAAATTCGCTTCTCCTCCGGAACTGTACTGTAGGAAGACCTCGGGAGCGATGGAAAGGTAGCTGCCAACGAGCTCTATCAAGTTTGGCGAAAGGTCCTCGATCAGGAATATGAACGAATCACCTGCCAGCATTGCGTCGCCGGGCGGCAACAGGATGTGTTTTCGGCTTTCGAGATATTCGCGGAACTCGGATAGCGACGACAAAGGAGTTGACGTTACCATTTCCGATCAATTCTTACGGAGTTGTACAATGACAACGTTTATGAGATCGCGCGGCGGAAATATTTTCCTCTCGTTGTCGTCATCGTCACGCGGGGCGAACAGTATCGACTCTCTACTCGGTTTAGTACCCGGAAATCGCCAACTCTGGTCTCTGAGGTTCTTGCGTGGATGGGAATGTTGTATGAAAATCACCAACCGGGAAAGGCTGCTGACTTTGCATATTCGGGTACCAAGTTTGCATAACGAGTTCTTCGGGCGCCGCTTTGGCTATCCTGTGGTCCGTGCGTAGTAGTAGCCCCAGACTGCCGGTTTTCTGTCACTAGTCCGTCAGCACGGCGCGGGCGGTCTCACTCTAAAAGCAAAGAACACAAACCTTCAGTGTCTGGGCGCTCAGGTGGGTTGGAAAGTGCTAGGCCCTGCTCCAGATCCTGTTCCATGCTGCTATCGGATGATGGATATGTGCGGTCTAGTTACTCGAGTCCTTCAGGGCGTGGCAGTGGGACGTTGGCAGTAGGACGTCGGCAGTCGTGGACGGTCGTGATACACACGCCGATGTGAATTTCCTCCCGTGGGAGGTGGCAGCTTTATGCCAACTAATCCGGTACAGCCACATGTTTTTCCATTGGCCTGTGGTGAAGATGTTCGCCGAGGGGTCTCACCTGTACGTAACTCCAGTGTCCTCTTATCGCAAGAATCGAAGCCTAGCAGACCACCCCCCCCCCCTCCCCCCCCCCCCCCCCCCCCCCCCCCGCGGCTCCACGAAAAGCATGAGTTGGTTCCACTCGAGGGTGGTCCTCACCACAGTGCTGGCTGACGTGCGGGATAGAGTATCCATCTTCTGAGTCCTGGTAAACGGCACCATTCCCTACACCTGCGTCGCGCTGATGAACAGTGCCAGTGAAGAGATACTAACCCCCTCTGCGGGTTCTCGGCTTGCTCCACTCATGGGCTACCTTCGTCTCCGACAGCGGACCGGGACCGCGATCGCAAATCGACGCGCCGATGATGACGGCGGTGGTGGAGAGAGTAACGATGACCGTGGCGATTGAGCATTTGTGATTTGATTGATTGATTGATTGATTGTTCATACAGCATGGAACCCGAAGGTTATGACCGATAGAGATATCTACAATACAACATTTCGACAAAGAAATTCCACCACCAAATCCATACAGAAATGACAAGCCAAATCCCTTCGTCTCGCAATATTTTGAAAGTGAGCCTCCGAAGAGGCTCGGGTTGTCGATTTTGCGCTGTAGCGGCGCTTCGTAGCCCTCCTCTACCCTCAAAATAACCAGTCTAGCGCACACAGCATGGTGCTCGAAAGGAATCGTCGTCTCGGGGTTTGCGTAGCTGTCAAGGCCGGGGCCCGATGAATAGCAGCGAAGATATTTGGATCGAAGGCGGGACTGGCAAAATGCCGGTTGTCATGGTCGACGTTGTCCTGGGCCAAGCCCTGAGCTCTCCCCTGGAGTTCACTCTCCTCCCCGCCGTCGCCGTATCGCCTGCTAAACAGGCTCTCCTAGAGTGATAAAATCGATGATGTGCGGGGAAGCGATGGTGAGACTTCTTCAGAGGTTCGGACGTAGCGCCCGTGGTGGTGCAGTTCTCCGGCCAGGGACCGAGGCTCGATTGATCTCTATCGCTTCATGCTCATCGTCGTCGAATCCGTCGGTCGGGGCACTCAATCCGCGGTCGGAAAGAGTGGACACACGCCACATGAATCCTGAAGCCAAAGTGAGCGGGGCATTTGGTGTGCCAACGGATAGTCTTGGAATTTTTGGAAGGTTGGTGTGGTTGTCGGAGGTGTGTGTAGCATTTCTGATTTGGAGATGTCGAGAAGGAGAAGATGGCCAGGTTAATCAACTATGTAGGTGGGCAGTGAGGAAGCGCGGGGTGCCTCTGTGTTGCGGTGAGCGGTGGTATGGAGGGGCCAAACGCTAAGGGGGTGTGACCAGGACCACACCCGATTCGGAGGACAAACGTTGAATCATTTTTTAGATTCCTTTCTGCCCTTGTCTGTTCGTCTTTTTCTTCTCTTGTTCTTCTCATAGACCACCCACACGGAATACCTATTTCATCACACCGCTTTTTTCTCGTGAAATTTTTGGATCGCTCGGTTGGACGACTGCAGTCACCAAATACCGTACCGCCCGTATGAAGATTGCAGACTCGCTCGGACTCAGCGGCTACATTCTTTACTTTTTGGATCCGTGCCAAATTCCAATGAAGTTGGCCGAGGGAGATACATATTTCGCATGTATTCAACAGTGACATGTATTTGACAGTGGCGTCACATACGTGCGCAAGCTGGAGCCTCTACTGATCGCTCGCAAATCTACAGACTTTGATTTCCGACACGGTCCAGGAACACGAGACGACCGGTGACCGCCCCGAATTCAATGCTATCCTTTCCTCGGCCGCGAAATGCGCATGGCATTCCTTCAGCAGCTCGAGCTAGGGCTCACGGCGTTTACATACCAGAGTATGTACCTACAACCCGCACCGGGCGGCCCGTCCGCGTCCACTACCTTGTACATAATTACCACCGTGTCAGCCCTATGTACCCACGGTGGCGGTAACTATCGGTGCTTCTGCCGTCTTGACCGAACTTTCGCTTCCGCAAGCGGCCCAAGGCCAAGCATTTGGATAGCGGCAGCGGCAGGGATGCACTGTTCGCGGCGATGAAGGTGACGATGGCGAGAGTGTCTGAATCCGGAGTCGAGCAGCATTGCGTTGGGGATTCGGGAATGATGTGCGGCAGAGTGCGGGGAATTGAGGAGGAAGGAAGGTCCACGTAGAGTACCAGTGGAATCTGGTTATCCGCCATACCCAGCTCGCAGCTAAGTTCAAGCTAAGTTTCGGCCCTTGTATGATACATACCCTTGTAAAAAAAAGGGGGGGGGGTTTTTAAATAGTGGAGCAACTGTTGTGCCATGATTTTTTTTCAAACCCGTAGGAAACGTAAATACCACATCGTGATAGTTGAGAATTTTACACATGTCAAATTATTGACCTATAGAAGCCACTCAAAACATTGTACATTCCGTGTTGGATTCACAGACGGGTTGCAAGTTTTTAACGGAGGGAGTGGATATACAGTTCACAGGCTTTTCTTGTGAAAATTGGAAGCCGTAGTACAAGTGATCCCGATTTTAGAGAGTTAAATTGCCGGAAATTAGACACATTTAAAGAATTACTTCAAGTTTTTTTTCAATATGTTGCAAATCTATCCTATGTAGTTAAAATAAAGCGTTTAAGTGCATTAAAACGTTGCAGCATCGTTTTCTTGGCATTTTTGAACCATTTTTCGAAGTGTTGAAACATGGGAGCAGGTGTGCAACGCGTGAAACTGGCTCGGGTTTTCTCGCTTATGCAGCATTTTTCAGATTGGTCTTGAAGCATTGAGCACCTAAATGGATTTCTATTCTATGTACTAGTACTACCTACGGGGCCAGCGGTCAGCATCCACGGCGGCCAGCATCCAGTATCCAGTATCCAGTATCCAGTATCCAGTATCCAGTATCCACGGCGGCCAGACTAGCATTACTGCAAGGTGAGCTATTAGCAAGAGAAGCTATCAGGGAAAGGGGGAGCTGCGGTGAGAGGGGGAATAGCAGTTGCGGCGAGGGGGGAATAGGTGGGAGTGGGAATAGCAGTTGCGGCGAGGGGGGTAATAGCAGTTGCGGGTGGGAGGAGTTGCGGGGGAAGGAGGAGTTGCGGGGGGAGGAGGAGTGGTGGGAGAAGAAGAAGAAGAAAAAGAAGAAGAGGCAGATGGCTAAGAGAGCATACGGCCCCGCCATGCCCGCCAACGTTGGTGCCCTCTACTAACCACATTCGTCTTCTCCCGCCGACAGCAGTCCTCCTTCACTTCCTCCTCTTGCCGGCACCTCCTCTCACAGCTCCTCCACACCACCAGGAGATAGGATCGCTGAGTAGGAAGGTATGAGTATCTATATCGGCATTCAACTTCATCAAAACAGCCGGCTCGTGAAGATAGCTGCATATACGGTGTAGAGGTTCGCGAGGAGTATTTGCAGCGGAAGAGATGAGATGGCGAGGATGTAAAAGATATGAAATTGCGATGCTCCTGGAAAGGGCAAAGGCGATCACTCGTCTGCCGCCAGCTAAATCATGGCAGTAGCACGGGCAGAATGTAACAAATTATTTTACGGCAGCGCTCGTGTGTGTACAATAGTAATGTACCAGTACAGCTGTCAATCCGCGAGGTGTAATCACTAGTTATTCTTGGAGACTGAACCTCCCGAGGATGGGAGATATACGAATTCACCAATAAACATGTCCTATAATTCCCATTCCTCCAACAAACGCGTCCTACAATTCCTAATTATTCATGTCGTGTCTAATCCTCCTACTTACTGAACTTCTGACTCCACCTCCCGCTCCCTCTCCTCACCGACCACCGCGACAGCCAGTCAAGATTCCTACACAACCCCCCTTCCCGCTTCAGCCTCAACCTATGATCTCTGCATTAGCGCCTGCTCCACACACGCTCACTCGTCGGGCTCGTGCTCTCAATCCCCCCGTAGCTCCTCAGCGCCACCAGCTTCTCCCAGCCGCCGCGCCGATAGTACCATCCTCGTCCTCGTCCGGGCCGACGACGCCGCGGCGTCACCAGCTTTTTCCCGCGGTGGGGATAATTTTTTTAGCAGACTTGACAGGCTTGACAGGCTTGACAGGCTTGCCAGGGACGATAGGTTGGCCAGGCTGAATGGCTTGGGCCTCCGCGACCGGAGCCGCAACCGGGATGGCGACCGCGACCGCGCCGGCGCAGAGGAGGGTGAGCGAGAGGATGATCTTGGTGAAATGCATTGTGTGTGTTCGAGTTGGAGTTTGTGGGGGTGATGGTGATGGGGAGAGAAATGGGAGCAATCGGGGGGGTGAAGGACTATTTATTGATGAGCTCCGCCCTCACCTACGGCCAATTCTAGCCGCTGGACGCAATACAGATCATCGTTGACTAAAACCTTTACTGGGTAATAACTGCAAGGTAGAGCGGTAACACTACCTGCATCGCATGAAGATGATCCTAGGGGCTCCCGAATCCCCCACTATGTTGGTGGCAACCGTGTGGACGCCTCTCACTCGTGCTTGCAGCCGACTGGGGCATGGCCGAGGCACCGGCAGGATATGTATGCATACCAGGACCACTGCCAACGTCGGTGCACGCACGACCGTCCACCCACTGGGCCCGAGCACCAGCAGCCGTTGGAGAAGACCCCCAGCGGATAGGTAGAGTAGACGAGTGCGCGACAGAACATGGCACAAGGCTCCCATTCTCTCCCCTCCGTATCCCGTTCTACGTTGAGCTTCAAAACCTCCACTCGCGTGCGAATCTATGCTACTACAGCCGGCCAATATTCTCCATCCGACCCCTCCCAGTTTCCTCCCTCAACCTACACTATCGTATATCAGCGGCTTCTTCAGCCATCATACTGCTTCGTAGAGGCTCCACAACCAGCAACCAGGAGGCAGTGCGGAAGCACGGGGTAAGCATGATGATATCGCATGTGCAAAGAATAGAGTATTCGAGTCGGGAGGGGAAGATGGGAAACGACCGGTCGAACAGGACAGGACAGCCGGAGGGCTTGAACGCCGCCACTAGCTGAGGCTGGATACTGGCACTACTGGCGGGCGGTACCCAGCCCCTCGTCCGCGTCCGGATTGAGCACCGGCAACGGGAGCCACATGCTCCCACTCGCAGACTTGCCTCTACATAGAGCCGTGGGCCTGGAATTAGCCAACAAACAATAGTACTAGTATAGTGATGCAGTTATTTTCTTTTTCGACCAAAACGTTAGGGACAATATGCTGTTGGTTGCACGGATTTGCGGCCGGCCGTCATGTAGCGAGACACGAGGCATCACTCATCCGCAGCTAGCTGAGTCAAGGTGCTGACTCCGCCGGAATGCAAGATTAATGGTTGAACAAATACAAAATATCTGGCGGGATGCACTCTCTAGTGTCCACCCCCTCTGAGCTGGCAGGAAAGGGCACTTGTCACCTGTGTGGTTGCCATGGTCTGTGAAAGGCCGTATGCGGCAATAAACTGATTTTCTCTCTCTCTCTCTCTCTCTCTCTCTCTCTCTCACTCCCTCCGGTGGAATGCAACCAATGACACCACCAGTGAAGGTTTCAGACCCTCCAATGCATGGGATCGCCGGCCGTAAAACAAGAGTCAGTGATACTTTTACCCCATCACTGACGGCGGCCAGTACTCTGATATTATTTTGGAGTACCTAGCAGCAGCTGGGTGGGGGATCTCTGCACGTAATTGCCACTGCCCTACACACGAAGTTCGAGTTGTTGCTGCAAACGCACGGTCGATCATATACTCTAGCGATAGCGCCCGAGTGATAGTGTGGCACAACCCCGATAGCGGTGATGGCGGCTCGAAGCAGGATCAGGAAGCAAGGTCACAGAGATGCATGGAGATAACTTTGCAACTGAATAAGATGCAGCAATGGGCCGAGTTTAGGGACGGTTAGAGATTTCAAACAGGTACTTGGTAGGGAGAGTACACTTCATACCGTGACTTCCGGCATCAGTATATCAGTTCATTCCGATACCATTTCACAGCTCAACCGATACGCCGCAGACCGTCGGGGGGGGGCAACAGGAAAGCCAGATAAACAAACTATGCACCCACAGTCAGACGGTGAGACGTTCCAGGACCATGGTGTCGGTTTCGCTCACATGCTTCTCGGAACTTCGAAGGCAGCACAACGAACTCGGACCGTCCATATGTGGCGGTTACGAGCGAGCACAGCCGGTTTTTTCGAGAATCTTCGGTTTTTTGTGGTTTTCAAGTCTCTGAGGACGGTGAACAGCATGTGTCGTTACCATGGGGGAGTGACTAGGGAAACTCCGCGGCGGGAATGAATGAAGGCTAGGCGACTCGCTCCAGAGAGTCAAGACTTACTTGCTGATAGCAACGATTTATTTCTGCTTTCCTTGCTGTGCTGTTTCATGAGCGGAGGATGATTTGTATTTACCAAGCGGAAGCAAAACTCCTTGGATGCAAGGCGGAGTAGGGAGCGTAATTTGTCTTTTCCTGGTGTTATTTCCTTGATGCGCTCCATTTCTACCGATGGGACAGGCCAGGGCGGAGGGTAGGGGAAGCCACAATGCCACCTTGGGCCTCTCGATGAAAGTCGGTAATAGACAGTGGCGTGGAAGCGGTGTGTGGGTGTGCATATTACCATCATCTAGATACATAACACTTATAGGTCGCATATAATCAATGACTACAAAGAAAGAAGCGAAACTCCTTGAAGGGCTGAGGATGAAGCACGTGATTGACCGTTGATCCGCTAACTAGTTCCAAACAGACGCGACACCACCGGTAGCGCGACCAAACATGTTCCAATTCTCGTTTCCGCTTCAATCTTGTACCTCATCTTCAAATCCAACCGACACCATTCCCCGAATTACTATGGCATCCGTCCCATGCTCCCACCCAACATCTCAACCTAGGCATAACTATCACACCATCGGCCACCCCGCACGAACACACCCTCTTCCTTCTGCTACGCCCAATTCCCACCACCCTCAGCACGACCATCTCATCCCGGCTGTATCGAAAATACCACTTCCAAGTTCGAGTGCGTCCTTGGGCTCGGGTGCTGGTATCGGTGCAGCGGCGACGACCACAACGGCGGTGAAGAGGAGAGCAACCGTGAGGATATTCTGTCTGAAATGCATCGTGTGTTCGCGATGATGAGGAAGATGGGGAGGAAGGTGGCGAATGACGGGAACGGCAACTACTTATAAACACCGCCTTTCCCAGAGTCGCAGCTGAAGGCTGGAGCTTGCCTGGCCGCGGTAGCTGAATATAACTCTCGTATCCAATTTCTGCGTCACCTGATGGGCTTACGTCATCTCACTCGCAGATTTACCTGTAAAGTCGTGGTGACACTAAAGGACAACAATGACACCGTTGGTGTAGGGGTAACATATTACCTTCCCATTCAACGAATAGGATTACAGGTAGGGCCGTGGGTTCGATTCCCGCACGGTGTATATTTTGTTTTGGATATCCTCTTTGCTCCATGATGGTTAGACGGAGCGAATACTACTGAGGAGTGCAGTTGGTTTGTACATAATTTTTGTGTTTTTTACTCATACAATGGTATCCTATCCCCTAATCCACATCTGCCATAATCTCCTGATACGACACACCCTTCTTCCGCAGAGCTTCCACAACCAGTTCCATCGCGCCGAGTACCCTCTCTTCCTCAAGCCTTCCACCCACAATTTGCACAGCAGTCGGTAGCCCAGCCATCTTCCCCGCATCATACACACCCCATGCCTTACGTGCCACCAGGTTGGAAAGATTTACTTCCCGTCCGCCCTTCTCTTCGCCGCCGACGATGGCATCTGCCGGGCCGACTCTATAGGAGAATTTGCTGAATTTCCTTGCTGCGTCGAGCACGGGATCGACACGGCCGACGGGAACGACACCAGCAGTGTAGTCAAGCAGGTTCCAGATAAATGTGTACCCACAACTAGCGACAGTGTCTTTCATTCCGCCGGCTGGGACAGCGGGAAGCGCATTAGCGGGGGTAAGGATGAAGTCGACTTGGTTCTCCTTGAGGTACTCGAACCAAGCGCACTTCATATCTTCGCGTTGTGCGACCAGTTGCCACTGGCTTGCAACAGAGCGGGAGTGAAAATCCTCGATTAGGCCAGCGGTGATGGGGTCGCGGCGTATGTAGCGGTGGTAGGCCGCGTAGATGATCTTGACGAAACGGGGGAGATAGAGGAGTGTGTTGAGGATACTGACTCCGGCGTCGCTGGATTCGAAGAAACTGGTGAAGTGGCTGCTGTAGGTTACCCCCGCGTCGGAGTTGAGGAGACGGGAGGCAAGTCGGAGCGCGTCGTAGCAGCTGGGTGTATCTTCGAGTTCGAAGACCTCGTCGCCTGCCTCAAGGAGTGCTTCGATGGTGGTGTTGAGAGCGCGTTCGATCGCGGGAGTGGGAGGGACAACGCCGTCATCTCGCAGGACTCCCCAACGGACTTTCTCTCTTTCTTCTGGCTCGCGCCACGGGATTGGGTGAACGGTGTAATCATATTCCCACGGCTTCATCTCGACAATGCTCTTCATGAAATAACTGAGGTCCTGCATCGACTTAGCCATGGGAGAATACACTGCCAGTACACCCTCCTGCCCAGGCATGCTGGTTCGACATCCAATCTTTGGGAATCGTCCTGTTGAGCATCGCAGTGCATAGATCCCGCTCCATGCAGCAGGTACCCGAACGCTCCCGGCCACGTCCGTCCCTACGCCGATCCTACTCCCACCGAGAGCAAGCAACGCTGCCTCGCCGCCGGTGCTCCCACCTGGAGAAAACCCTGGAACATGCGGGTTATCCGTGCGCCCGAATACATCATTCGTGCTCTCGAAGCTGAGCAACGTGATGGGAACATTCGTCTTGACGAAAGGCACAGCACCAGCATCCTTGAGTAGCTTAACTATCGCCGCATCCGCAGGAATCTTGTCCGCGACGAACCGGGAGTACCCAATGCAGCTCTCGTATCCTGCGAGGCCAACTGTATCTTTGAGGCTGACCGGTACTCCAGCAAGCGGACCGTCCAGATTGACGCCGCCTAGCTCGGGAGAGTATGAGGATGCGAGCGAGTGGTGGAGCCATTCTTCCGCAGTAGGGATAGCGATTTCGGTTAGGCAGTTGGTGCGCTGGTGGGCCCAGAGGGCGCGTTTGCCGTACGCAAGGAGGATGTCGAGAGGCTTGCTTTCGTGATTGCGTACATTCGACGCGGTGAGGGAGACGGGGGTATTGAGGATTTCGACGTCGGCTGGGGTGAGCGGGGCGTGGTACTGCGAAGGGAGATCCGCGATAACAGCAGCTCGAGCTTCCTGTTTTTCCTTGCTTTAAAATAATTAGAGGTCGTATGGGAGCTCGTGAGGACGCATACCAAGTTCGCTGGTGGGCGAGGTAGGGAAAGAAAGGCATTGCTACGAGTAAGATGGTCGCGAGTGGAATTGATGTCGATATTTGGGATTTCGAGTGTAGGAACAAGAGTGAGACGCCGCGGCTCTCAATATTGCGGGGAAGTTGGGATGGAGATCTATGTTGCTCTAACAGCTGCACGTCATTGCATTCAGCGCAACCTGTTTAAGATCGCCGGTGATATCCGCTGTGGTACACACTAGCGAATCCTGTGCAGACTAAGTGAGAGCCGATGAGGGGCCAAGCTGCTAACCAAATCGGAGGTCACGTAGCATGATCGATCATGAAAAATTGTCTGATGAAAGTTACTATGGCCTGCTTGCTTTACAGTAAACAAGAAGGAACAAGAGCCGAAACATCAGTACGATAATACTCCTGGCGGAATATCTTTAATCGCAATACGCAACTTCCTCTTCATCACAAGTATCATAGAAAGTGCAGGCCCACCGGAGGACTGCCGTACATACCGATACTTGCGCGACACACTGGCCATTCTCGTTGCAGTTTCAATTGGGAGCGATCCACCATCCAGTTACTACCAAAGCACTGCCTTCAAATTTCTTGTTGACTAACACCCAGAGAACAACGGGCCCCTCCTTTCACAACCTCGGATTATACCACTTCCAACCATGCCCACCGGTCCTAAAACAGAGCGCGAAGACTCTATTACAGGTCAGCTTGATGCGTTACAAACCAGATCCCGGGGAGCAATTAGTACCTGGAGTCGATTCATCGTCTGAGCCTCCGTATCGTCTTCATGGGCACCCAAGGCGAGCATTGACAGTTGAAGTTTCATCGAACCAAGCTTTTTGACACTCTAGAGTGGAAAGTGCGTCAGTCATGTCGGTGCATAATGCCAGGGTGAACTTACCTCTTCTATGGTGTCTTTCATGATGTATCTGAAAACTGTTACCGATTTCTTCTGACCGAGCCGATGGGCGCGCCCAATTGCTTGTAATTCCACCGTTGGATTCCACTGCGGTTCGACGATGTGTATCCGGCTGGCTATGGCGAGATTGAAACTTGATGGATCTGGTCAGCGCCAAATCATCGAAAATGAATTGGAAGGGCTCTGGTTTACCCAGTGGCACCCACTCCGGTAGTCATTAGTAAGGTCTTAACCGCAGAGTCATTATGGAATGCCTGAATGACGGCTGCTCTGGCGACCCCTGTGAGTGAGCCATCCAGACGCATGCAGCTCATTCCACGAGACGCAAGTGCGTTTTCGATGCCGTCCAACGTCTTGGTCCAGAGAGAAAACACAATGCTATGGCCGGTCAAGATTTGCACAAACGCACGGTGGTGTGTGGATGGATGAACTGCACTCACCCCTTGTCTTGGCTGCTTTCAATGTCATTGACTACCGCTGTGATCTTGGTTGAGAATGCATTGTCAAAAGAAAAGTCCATTTCTGTCTGAGAGCTGTAGTCCGAATCCATGATGGCCGTGCTGGTCCCAGCAACAGCAGCAGTTATAGCTTGAATAGATGTGGCTGATGTCACCGGACAGCCACAGAGAGGGCAAATGACTGTCTTTTTCTTTCTCTTTCCACCCGTGAAATCATTACGACCTTTTTCGAGCGCGAAGCAGTTTTGACACCATATATGACAGCAAGTCGTCGAGCCCTCTTGATTAGTGATCCCGGAAGAGGGCTCGATCGCATGGTTGCACTGTGAACACACTGTTGATGGTTGTAGCCCGAACTGAGACTCCAAAGCTGCCAATTCGCATGAAGGTTCCCTCGGAGAGACTCCGGACGTGCCGTGGTTGCATAACCGACGGAGGCGCAGAATAACTTTCAGGATGGACTGACACGCCTTCCTCGAATTGCCGGCACATGTAAGGGCATCGATCTCGTCTATCGATCCGTGAATGATGCAAGTGTATTGTGTTCTCTCCTGTGGGGAAAGTTCTAGCGTTCGAATCATCTCGCTGACTCTCGGAAGTGTCTCAAGAACATCCGTACTCCGTCGTAGGCATATAGAGCGGAGGAGAGTACTAAGATTCTTCACACCGCTCGACTCTCCATTCTTTAGAGGACCAGTGACAAACGTCTGGAAGTCTCTACCACGGTCGAAGGGAGACAGGCGGATGAACTTGAACAGCGACTCGAGGTCTCCCAACCCGTTTTGCATTGGCGTGCCAGTCAAACACCAACGGCGCTTCGAGGATAGCTGGTTTATGGCTAGAAATAGTCTTGATTGTTGATTTCGTATGATGTGTGCTGTTGGGTATCATTTTTAGTTATCACGGGAGACTACGGCAGCCTTCGGCGTCCATACCTTCGTCGAGTACCACTCTGAAGAAATTCAAGCGCCCAAGTACATTATCATCCTTCGAGTGCTCATAGGCTACCGTGTTATAACTCGTAAGTATGATGTCGAATTCTCTCAGCCTTGTAGGATTTCTGATTCGGCTCGGACCATAATACTCGTATACCGATATGGAGTTTTCGGCGACATGCCTAGGTTTGACTATTAGATGCCGTATTTACTTGGATATTGGGGTAGAGATGACACATACTTTTGAATTTCATCGATCCAACTTGACAGTACTATCAACTGTCAGCTCTGTGAATTCCAACGGCGGCCAATAGACGACTGTGTACTTACAGGATAAAGGAACGACTATCAATGTGGATTTCGTCGGATATCGTTGTTCGGGCCCATCAGCTTCAGCGCTGGTTTGCGGCCCGACTGAGCCTCTTGCACAATCCAACGACCCAAGTACAGTGGCAAGAGTCGTCAAAGATTTTCCAAGACCCATAGCATCCGCCAATATGCCCCCACGGGTCACATCCGGGAGTGTTGTGGTCTTCAGACCCGTAATGATATGCTGGTAGCTAAAGTCATTGTCAGCCACGTCCGGTCTGGTGAGGCAATAGGACTCACGATGACGAACTGCCCTGTTTCCACAAGTCGGGCAAACGAGTTTCTATATGGGTCATGAACGCAACCCCTCGCTTCTGATGCCTTCAACCCAGCGCTGTTAACCAAGACCATGAGCCAAACTGCCGGAGGAAGCACGTACCCTAGTAGTTGCGTGGTGATTCTACTGTCGATTTCACACTCCGACAGAGTACCGCATGGACCACCGCTCAATGAATCGAAAATATCAACAATCTCGTCCTCCAGTTCGTAACCCGCCACAGGGACCGGTTCTGGGATGTCGGTGCTTGTTTGAGATTCCGATTTGAACAAATGAGGATTCTCATAGCTCACGCCGTCTTCCAATGCATCGGGTTGTTGTAGGTAGAGTTTGGCTTTGGAGAGACGACATCCGACTTCGCCTGCCGCGGCGACCGAGCCATTCACATTGATGGCCAGCCTTCGCTTCACGTGTCTGGAGACTGGTGACTTGGACGGTACGTCATCCGCGAGCAAGAACACATTGAAGCGTACCGATTCGATCGTGGAGAGGGCGTTGAGGCCTCGGGCAGTTCGAACATCGAGGACCCCGATCCGAGATCTTGTGTCATTGCGAAAGGTAGATGTAAGGAAACACAAATCTCCCGACCCAAGAGATAGTGATAAGCGACCAGGCGCGTTTGCGGTTGAAAGGGACGGGCCGCCGGGTATTACGTGTTGGCCCTCGTCAGAATTAGAGGCCCAGAAACCGTAGATCTACACGCAGTCCAAAGTCAACGGCCGTCCTCGCTCGCGTCGGAAACCCCGCAGCACGCACCATTCCAAAGCAAACATTCTGCTGCTCCACGCAAGGTTGATACTGCGGATTTTCCCCAGCGGTTTCGGAGAGCTTTGTAGTACCGCAGAGGCCTTGATATGTCGGGTTGAATTGAGTAGCCGCGTCGTCGGTTACCGACAGCGGACTAAGCCGCTGTTTTTTCGAAGGGTGAAACGCGTCGAAGTGCTCGGAGGGGGAGCATTGGGCGTGTCCCAGTGGTGTGCGTACTTCAAGACTCGAACTCCAATCCATCTGCAGTGCTGTTTTCTAATGTCAAGAAGGCGCAACCGATTGATGTGTGTGAAGGTCGACTGTTAACTGCCTCCATGATCCTCCGATTTCCTTCGAGGCAACTTTATGACCTGGATGAGGCGCGGTCACCAACTCTACAGTACATGCGAACACTGCATGGTGATACGTGGTCCTGGGTGATGTAGCACAGGCGAAGGCCGCACAGCCCCGCTTCCCCGCATTCACCTGCTCCTCCGTTTGCGGGGCTGTGTGCAAGGTGGACCTCCACACAACGCACCATAACTTGGATGGAGGCTCCTAAAGCTCCGTAAAAGGAAGAACAGCACTACATAACAGGATCAGTTACGCGCCCCGACAATCGTACGGCGCGCGAGTCTATCACATACACATACCGACATGACGCAACTCGGGCAGAAACCGCTCCCGAGCATCTTCAAACAAACTATAGCCGACTGGAAGAAGGACCTCACTGCCGATCAAGCGCGAGAATTTAGGTTCACGACTTACGAGGATATCGAGGAAACAATCTCCGGTATCCAAACGAAGCACATTCTCGCCAGAGCGAATAAGAATCTAAATCGGCTCAAGCCCTTTCTCGAGGCAATGAAGCAGTATGGCAAGGTGATTGAGATATTTGTGAATGCATCAAATATAGTGGCTTTCGTATGGGTGGGTTCATCGCGTCTATGGAATGTACATAATAACATAATTGCTGACCAATTTTCTTCTGCAAATTAGGGTCCGCTCAAGTTTCTCTTGCTGGTTGTTTGCCAATCGGACTCCCAGTACCACGATACTGATTGACTAACACGAGAACCAAGGCCGTCGAAAATGTGGCAGATGTCTTTGACATCATCCTGGATGCCTATGAGAACCTGGGAGAAAGCATGCCCCTCTTGGCGCAACACCACAGAATACTCGATCAAGCGCCGATGACGAAGGTTCTGGGCCAAATCTTTCAAGATATTTCAGAGTTCCACCGAGAGGCGGTGAAGTTATTCAAAGGGCGAGGCAAGAACCCCGAAATCCATCTCCCGCAGTCACTGATAGCCCTCAGGATGGCGGATCTTCTTCGCGTCGTTATGGAAAGATTTCGGCAACAGGTTCCGAAAGATTATTGCCAATCTCGAGCGTCACAGAGACCTGCTAGAGTTTCAAGTGTCCCTTGTGGAGATCGAAAACGCTGAGATGGCGCGTCAACAGGCGGAAGAGCGCTTCCAAGAACACCGCGAAAGCGAAAGAAGACGACGCATGATCTCAGTAGTCGAATGGCTCGCCCCGGTAGACACAAACGGTGACCAAGACCGATATATGGAGGTGCGACGGCAGTATCCAGGAACTTGTGACTGGATACACACCGAACCGACCATCAAAGCGTGGCAGGACTCCAGCTTGAAAAAAGATGCAGGAATATGGCTCTATGGAATTCCCGGTGCCGGTATGTGGCTTCTTGACCTGGTGCTCTATCGGTGGGTTGACGGAGTTTGCGTGACATCCAGGAAAGACGATCCTAGCATCGGAAATTGTGGAAGACGCACAGAAACAAGAAAATGTCTCCGTCTGCTTCTTTTTCTGCAGGTACGGCGAGCCGGCTAAGAGTACCTTTCATTCCATGGCTCGAACCTTCTTACTTCAGCTGCTGCGCCAAAACGAGGATCTTCTTCCGTATATCTATGAGGAACAGGTAGAGAGTTACAACGTCACGTTGAGCGGAGGCACTGTCCTGAAAGAACTTTTGTTCACAGGACTTAAGAGTTCGGCGAGTACACAAATTATTATCGACGGATTAGACGAATGCGAGAAACCAGAAAGGACGAAAATCCTCACATGGTTGAATTCCACAATTAGCCAGGGAGTACTATCGGATGGCACTTCACCCGTCAAAGCCATGATAGTGAGCACCTACGAGTTGGACATCAAGAAAGCGCTTTCGAAATTTTCCAAAAAGCAGATAAAGGCTACAGATATAGAAGACGCTCTCAAATCCTACCTAGACTTACGCATCCCTGAACTGCAAAAGTTCGGCCTTTCAGGTGCCGAACCTTCTAGCATTGCTCGGATTATCCTACAACGCGCAAACGGTATGGCTCATGTGTGAAGAAATTTGTGCAGTGCTGTCTGACCTGATTTTGTAGGGATGTTTCTGTTCGCTCAGCTAGTGATGGAGATATTGAAATCCCAACCAACCAAACGGTCTTTCCAACACGAACTTGAACCCGGTGTATTCCCGGATGGTCTGGGGCAAGCGTGGGTGATCTATATCTGCATTCTGAACATTATCTACAGATTTTAATCCAAATTGGCTTGCGCAGATATGACCGGATCGTCAATCGGATATACAACAATCCAATTCAGGCTCAGAAGGCACAAGCGATGTGCATCTTGGGTTGGGCGGTGTGTGCGAAGCGGCCACTTGAAATACACGAGATTCAGGGCGGGGTATCCATCGACCTGGAAGGGAAAACGGTGGATTTCGATGGTAGACGCCTGCGCGACGATGTTAGGGACCTTTGCGGGTGTTTGGTCGATGTCCAAGATGGCAAACTTCAACTTGTTCACACAACCGCAAAATAGTATGTCACTGTGCTTATCGAAGATATCCCTTGAGGCTGACAACAGGATGCATTATCGAAACAGTCACTTGACTAAGCAAAAACTCGTCAATGTTGCTCATGAAGAGCTGAAAATTGCTCTTCTGTGTACCCAATATCTGTCGCTTGACTGTTTCAAGAATAGTCTGTCGGATGACCACATTTTAGCCTACGTCATGGGCGGTCATTATTCGTTCCTCACCTACGCCGCGGTTCACTGGCTTGACCATGTGGAGGCGTGCAGCAGTCTCTCCGGGGAATATGCCGAAGGGGATATCGACAACCTTGCCGACTACCTAGGGATATTCCTCGAGCAACACTGGAGAGGCGGGGCTACGAAGAATTCCGATGTAGTCAAACGTCGATTGCATGCCTTTACTCAGTTTCCGGCCTTTGGAAGGATCACACAACTGGCATCTGTCAAGGGCGCTGGACTAGGAAAGGATGGCTTGCTCGATCTAGGTCCATTCGTCATCCGGATGAGGTGTATACTTGAACAAGCGGCACATGCGAACAACGAGAAAAGCCTTATGTCGTCCTTCTATGGTGACCGTCTTTTCAAATGCGAGCTACCCTACTGCGTGCATTTTCAAAATGGATTCTCTACCGCTAAATCACGAGACCAACACTTGGGAGAGCACCGGCGGCCTTTCAAATGCCCCGAAGCTAGCTGCCATATAGCCCTTATTGGATTCGCTCTAAAGCGCCAGCTGGACGCTCACCTAGCCACCATGCACCCAACTCCAATGGATAGCGATGTTGAGTTCCCATTCGCGATCGACATAGTGGAGCGACCCAATCTAGAGGACCTACTTCAAGCGTCTTCGTTCAATGGATTGCCATATGATGCTAGCGTGTGGCCCGCTGAGTAAGCTTCTGACTAAACCAGCTGCTGTTGGCATGGCTGACTTAGTTTGTGCTCAAAAGTATCCTCCTCCAGGCATATTTGCTAGGCGTAGAATCGGTCCTAGGGAATCTGCTGAATCTCGGTGAACTTAGCTCACAGCCTTTCATTGCTGCCTGTACAAGGGGAGATGTTCCAGTCGTCCAGCGACTGCTGGAAAGTTGGGGCACCACCCGGGATGTTGCGGCAGACACAACTGGAATACCACCGCTTCTGTTTGCCTGTCTAGGCGGACATGAGGCGATCGTTGGAATACTTTTGCGAGCTGGTGCAAGCCCCAACTTCGAAACAACAAAAGGAGGAACTGCTCTTCAAATCGCCTGTATGAAACAGAGCGAAGCTATTGTCAAACATCTAATACGTGCTGGCGCCCATGTGAATACACCACCAACAGCTCACAACGGACGGACTGCCCTTCAAGCCGCCTGCGAAAATGGGCACGAAACCATCGCTGACCTCCTGATTGCAGCTGGAGCCGATGTGAATGCACCACGGTCAAAAGGCGACGGACGGACTGCCCTTCAAGCCGCCTGTGAGAATGGGCACGATACCATCGCTGAGCGCCTGATTGCAGCTGGAGCCGATGTGAATGCACCACCGTCAAGAGACTACGGACGGACTGCCCTTCAAGCCGCCTGCGAAAAAGGGCACGATACCATCGCTGAGCGCCTGATTGCAGCTGGAGCCAATGTGAATGCACCACGGCCAAAAGGCGACGGACGGACTGCCCTTCAAGCCGCCTGCGAAAAAGGGCACGATACCATCGCTGAGCGCCTGATTGCAGCTGGTGCCAAAGTGAATGCACCACCAACAGCTCGCAACGGACGGACTGCCCTTCAAGCCGCCTGTGAGAATGGCCACGAAACCATCGCTGAGCGCCTGATTGCAGCTGGAGCCGATGTGAATGCACTACCGGCAGAATACATGGGAAAGACTGCCCTTCAAGCCGCCTGCGAAAAAGGGCACGATACCATCGCTGAGCGCCTGATTGCAGCTGGAGCCGATGTGAATGCACCACCGGCAGAATACATGGGAAAGACTGCCCTTCAAGCCGCCTGTTTGAATGGCCACGATACCATCGCTGAGCGCCTGATTGCAGCTGGTGCCAAAGTGAATGCAGCAGCAGGATATCACGACGGACGGACTGCCCTTCAAGCCGCCTGCGAAAAAGGGCACGATATCATCGCTGAGCGCCTGATTGCAGCTGGAGCCGATGTGAATGCACCACCGTCAAAAGGCGACGGACGGACTGCCCTTCAAGCCGCCTGCGAAAAAGGGCACGATACCATCGCTGAGCGCCTGATTGCAGCTGGAGCCGATGTGAATGCACCACCGGCAGAATACATGGGAAAGACTGCCCTTCAAGCCGCCTGTGAGAATGGCCACAATACCATCGCTGAGCGCCTGATTGCAGCTGGTGCCAAAGTGAATGCAGCAGCAGGATATCACGACGGACGGACTGCCCTTCAAGCCGCCTGCGAAAAAGGGCACGATACCATCGCTGAGCGCCTGATTGCAGCGGGAGCCCATGTGAATGCACCACCGGTAAGAAGCAAAAGGACTGCTCTTGGGTATGCCCGGAAAGAGGGACACGGAACGATCGTCCAGCTTTTGCTCGCAGCGGGAGCCGAGGAATGATCGGGCTGCACTGTTCGTTAAGGGAGGGGCAGATGCGAAGATCGCGGGGAGAACTAGTTATAAGGCGAAATGATAGATATGGCGGTATGGTGGACGACTGTAGACGACTAGGGGATAAGAGGCATAGACGACGGACGAGGGAGACATACCGAGTGAGGGGATCAGCGGTACGCACGAGAACGGTTGGCGGGTGGCGGGTGGGCAGTTGGATGAATGGTATCTGGAAGGGAACTGGATTTCAACTTCTCACGTGCACATGGAACGATTTCATCACTCCGGTGAGTGTAGTTTGGCTTGTCGGAGGCTTCTTTCGGTTGGGGCTATCTCTGGTGATACGGTTACCTGCGCGTATTTTGTTTCCTTTTCTTTTTCTTTCGTTTCCTTATCTCCAGTCTTCATTACTTTGTCATTGTGGGTTCGCGTTGAAGTTTCTTTGATCATCGATTGCAGGCGAAATATCTATCTGGATCATGGCAATATTCACACATCCACCCTCTGTTCCCGTGCCACTGTCCAACCCGACTTAACCAACTTGGTCATTAGCTGCCAGCCGACTGCCGTCCGTCCCAGTCTTCACACCTAAGACCTCTCCCGAGTCCCGACTGCCCCCGTCCAGTGTACGCCGCTGAAGTCTGGACGGACTGCAAAATTTATGTAGTCCAGTCCCGTCGGAGGTGAAACCCGGACGGACTAGACTACCGTGTTTAGAAAACTAACCTGGGAGCCCTCCTCCTCCACCACCACCACCACCACCACCTCCACCTCCCGCCCCAGACCCACCTCCCTTCTTCCAAGTTCCAACTTCCCACCCTTTCTGTAGCTCCAGCCTCCCACAGTCTCACTCAATCAGACCCCTCGCCCGCAGGCTGCAGCATCCGAGTCTTCCCCAGCAGCCTCCGAGATCCACCAGCAGGATGCAGGATGCAGGATGCCTCATCAGTGGTGGCGGCAAGGAAGCGCAGGATGGCCTGGCTTCAGTGTGCACCGCTTGTCTGCGAAGACGTCTCGGATATTAAAGCGAGCCTTGCCCCTTCCGGTTTCCTTCTGTGACTTTCCCACAGGATCTTCAGCTGGAGCTGGCTCTTCCGCTGGCTCTTCCATCCGGGACATCATTTGTATCAGAATAGGTGCTCCCGACTCCCGAGTCTACTCTGGGTCTGGGTCTGGGTATTGTAGCGCGGCTCCTCGGGGCGGCTCCTCGTCCACTGGAGGTACCGCACGGTGACCCGAGGGCGAAGTTCGGAACAACTTACAAGAAGTCAATTTCATGTTTCGATAGGTATGCGAGTCACACGACGAAGGAAACGATGTCCCCAGTCGATTGTGGTGTGGTGTGGTCCCCGTCTCTGTTCGTTCCCATATGTATGACCACCCCATCGGCATCTACACCTGCCACCAACCTCGTATCCACCACGTAGGTAACTAATATGCATCACTCACATTCAGTTCATATACACTATCACAATCAGTTATGTACAGTACAACCCCTGCCCTCCCATGCCCTCCCCTCCCCTCGCCGCCTAGCTCCAAAAAGAACATAAAAGCCACCGTACACCGGCTAGCCAACACATTAAAAAAACTCACCTGGGGGACCACGACCCAGTAACATTGAGTAAGTAAGTAAGTCAGTAAAAAAAAACACAAGTACAACCCATCCATGCCCCAAAACAAGAAACCCATTTTAGCCGCCTCCCGCCGCCGCCCTCAAACAAAAGATAAAAGAAAAGACCAAACAACTACCGTTCGTCCCTGCCCACATCCTCACCGCCGCCCTTCCTCTCACTAGTGCTACTGCCACTCCCGCCCCTAACAAGTTCGGCCTGGCTCCCCCTTACCTCGCCGCGCTCGTCTCTAACGACCGCGCCGACGCGACCGGCGCTGACGCGGCCGAGGGACTCTCCGCTGCCCGGGCGACCTTCCATGACCAGTTGCGGGGGCTCCAGCGGACTGCTGCTCCGCGAGCTGGTGGTGAAGCTGTGGTATCGATTCCCTTCTCCGGGGGCAGCGAGGCGGTCGTGCTCGTCCTCGAACGGCAGGCGCGGGATTGGCGGGTCGTACAGTTGTGTTGACGGCTGCCGGGCGCTGCTGCTCCGGCGCTTCGAGGACTTGCGCGGAACCGTCGGCTTGAGCTCGATGTTTGTCTCCCCGCTCGACGAGCCGAGCATGTGGGTGCTGGGACCTGGCTCGCCCGGCTCCTCGTCCGACGAGTAGTCGCTCGAGGTGTCGGTGTCGATGTTGGTGCGGCGCGTGGTGGACGGGACCGCCTCCGGCGCCTCTCTCTCCTCCGGTTCGGGTTCGGGCTCTGGATCGTTGTCGCTGGTGATGGCGACGCCTATGGGCGCGGAAGGTTCCGACTGTGGCACCCGCTGCATCGGCGCCTTAGATGAGCGCACAACACTGAAACCCTTCTCCTTCTCCCCGCGCGCAAGCCCAAGTTTCTGCTTGATCCATGATTTGGCATTACTGACGGGCCCCGTGGGATCCGCCGGTCCGGTGCCCAGTCTCCTCTGCGGCTGGGCAGATAATGCGGGGCCGCGCACACCGTAGTAGAAGTCGACCTCGCGCACCGCGTAGTCCGTATTTCCGGCACCGCGGGCACTGCCCACCGTTACAGCCGAGTCCGTGTATCTGTGCCCGTACTGTGCGCTGGGGGCAGGCGTTCCCCGCTCTCGCTGGTCATCCCAGTCGTGTTCCTCTGTCTGCTGCTGCATGAGAACGTGTGCTGGTAGCGATGCCTGTGACGACCGCTGCTTTCCGAAACCCGCCTCGCTCCAGCTGCCCGGAGATTGTTCAGTGGGCGAGTACGCATCCCCTAATCCACCATCAACGCGCCGAGTACGCGGAGGTCGATAATACGGTCCCGCGACATTTTCAACTGGCGGGATGTGCCCGTACCCAGCCGTTATCGGTGTGGTAGCTGCAGACGTGTTGGAGTTGGAATTTGTGTGGCCGTGCTGCGAGCTATCTACGACGAGTGGGGGTCGCTCGATGGCAGGAGAGCCTAGAAGAAATGCGGCAGAAGAATTAGTCCGGCTGTGCGGATGGCGGGCATTGAGTAAATATGGCCTACGTTCGTTGGCAACGATCGGCGTGGGCGAGAGGGTCGAGGAACGGTGGGTTTTGCTCGAGTGCCGCTTTCGACGGGATAGTTGGCGAACTCCGAAGACCTATAAATGATGACGGTCAGCATACAAATCCCAAAACCGAATAGCGAGAGTACGAGATGGCGATCAAAGAAACAATATGTCAAGCTTGAATCACAGATAATGATGGTGATGGTGATGATGGACAATTATGATGCATTCTCAATACTCCTGTCCCCCTCTTCCAAGTCAAAAACGCCTCAGCGCCACCGTTTCATGGTGAATCATTACCTACGAAGGGCGCACATAGTCCCTATCATTCACACAGACAAGTCCCAAAACTTCAAATCACGACACAAAGCGGTCATACAAACCCTTCCAAAAGCGCAAATCATCACCATCATCATCACACATCACAAATCACACATCAAGCCTGAACTTCTTCTTATACCCTTTTATCGCCATCCCGTGCATGGGTAGCGGAGGCGAAGGGGAAAGAGGCGGGGGTGGAGGACGGGGAGGGAATCCAAAAAACATACGAACATGCAAAAAGCAACCGGACCGACTAACCTTAGCAAAGCCGCCTCTAGCAGCTTCTTCATCCGATCGGCAGGCCCTAACCGCAACCTCGAGGATAGTCTGCAACGCCTTGAGCACAAAGCCGAACAGCATCACCGCGGCATGGATTCCCAGGATGACCCAGCCCAGCCATCCCTTGACTGTATCCGACGAGTTGATTGACGGCACGAACGCCATCATCAGTAGGATCGTGAGTAGTCGTACGCAGGAAAAGATAAAGTGCCACAGATTCATCGACGTCGCCGGTGCATAGGGCTTGATGGCGTAGATCGACAGGATCATCGCGATCTCACAGGCGGCAAGGATGGTGATTTGTGCGATTCCTGATGGCTGTAACGCTCCGAATGCTATCGCACGCAAGATGTTAATGTAGAGATTGCACATGAAGAAGCGCAAGCTCTTTTCGCGGTACGTGTTGTAAAACGTTCCATAGACGAGTAGCGTCGGCAAGGTGTCGTAGAGCTCAGACCGGGGGTATTTGCTCATTATATGGTACGTGAGCCAGACCGAAATCGTAACGATGAGGACCAGAATAACGCAAGCACCAGCTGTAATCGACAACGAGCGCGAAGCCACAGCGAGTTGAAACGCGCAAGCAGCCAGGACCGGTAACAGAAAGTACGTGTACGTGAACCGATAGATGATCCCTAGGATGCCCACAAACCATTAGCAATCTCGGTCATCGGCCATGGAGAAACCCACTCACCAGCAGTAAACGGCAAATTCTTGCGTGTTAGATCCTCCTCTTCGACTCCGGTACATTTCCAGAGGGCCCACCTGCCCCAGAACCAAATCTGAAAGATGACAATAGCACCCACAAGGAGAACGGCAAAATACGCCATCACCGAAACCCAGACATCATTGGTAGTCAAAAATCCGACCGCCTGCGACATACGCTCGTAGCCGTATACCCACGCCTCGAATGCATAGATGCCATCGCCTTTCCAAGATTCCCGGCTGATAGGATCGTGCGTATAATACGATGAGTTCATCATCAGGATACTCCAGGCGGCTCTGGAAACTATTGGCTGGTAGAAACCCGGATAACTCAGAGATAGACTTCCGGTCAGGACGATGAACTGCAGCCATTGCAGACAGTCGGCGAAGCCGGGAGTGACCAGGCGAAGCATATCGTCGTCCATCCCGTAGTTGCTACTGAAACGAAACACATCAGTTGTCCCGTTCCACGGATTGAACATTGCGGCCACAATCGAAGCGATTCCTACAAGCATCAGGACCGAAGCGAAAAGCCAGGTCAACATCGACTTGTTCCTCTGCTTGAGCTCGGGCGTGATCTCGACGTGTACGCATCCCACATCGGTCGCGGCACCGTCGCCCGCCACGATCCTCAAGGTAACGCCAAAAGTCGCAAACTGGTATTCCGAACCAAGATTTCTAGTCACCGTGAAAGTCGGTAGCTCCTGGGTCAAGAAAGTGATGTTGTTCCGCTGGTCCTCCGGCACGACACGGTAGGATGCCATCACGACGGGATCTTGAGATGTCGCATTTCCGGCGGATAACAAATTTCCCATCGGACAGGTAGCATTGATGGCCGTGTTTTCCGTGAGATCGCGAGTGGGGTCGTGGCAGAAGAACGCATCCACGCTGTCGATCAGGAAACTTGACACTTGGATTCTACTCTTCAACGTGGTTGCCTTATTATCCCATTCTGCATCAACAATCGATCCCGAATAGTTCCAATCTCTCCCGTCGCTCGGGAACCTATAAGCCGCCCTGAAATCGTCGCCGAAATACGTAGCGGGTGCCTGTAGCGAGCTCGTAAGACCGGTACCATTGATGAGCTGACGTTTCGCCAATCCCGGAAGAGCCGGCAAGTAATCCTCCCTCCCTCCTTCATGCTCCTCCGCCCAATCGGGAACCCACGGCTCCTCCTCCAACCCCCGCTTCCTCGTGCCACGGGGATTTGTACTGGAGGCGCCGGTAACCTCGCCCCACACCGTGATCCTCAAAGTATCGTGCAAATCCCCCTGACTTCCGAACGCAGCCGAGACGAGGATGGGGTGGAACTGCATGTGAACATCTGAGTTCCTAGCTTCGTCCGACAGACAATTATCGAAGGTAGAAACTAGCACCGCCGCCGACCGACTCACGAACAGGGTCATCATGCAGAAGAGCAGCATGAGTGGCGACGGCGACGCGGTTCGTCGTCGGGGTCGGCGTAGGGAGACGACGGCGCATGACGGGGACTCCGAACATATCCGATCCCGCGCCATGTCCGACGACAGTACTGGGCTCGAAGGCGTGGAACGACGCGACGACGGGGGAGCTAACGGCCGGGCCATTGCTCTCGACTACGACGCACGCACGCGCCTCGGAGGACTCGGACGGAGGAGTCTATGTAGAAATCGCACAACCGTTCGTTTTTCCACCACTGCGTGGAATAGTCTGTGTTTTGTCGCCAGTCGGACAGTGGTTTCGGTGGGAGGAGCGGGTGTGGACGAGGACGAGGAGGAGGCAGGTGGTGCTGGCGATGATGATGGTCGCTGGGGCCTGTTCAGTGTATAGTACAGTAGGCCCTTTTGCACAGCCGGGGGGTGGTGTTGATCGGTAGTTACACCTAAAAATAGGCTTTAGTCTCTGCGGAAAGCGAAGATGAAGATGGTCGAGATGGGGCGATGCTATGGAAAGTTGAGTATTGAATACGACACCGAGCCAAGCAAGCCACGCACGGAGTGAAGGCTCGGGCAAATAAGAGAGGACGAGAAGACGAAGAAAGGAAGACAAATATGTGATGCACAACTATCTTCCGACCGACTAGTTACATACGGCACTCGGTACATACCGTGCGTGAGAGCGCTAGTGGAGCGAGGGAGATGCAATATGCAGCAGCTGCCCGTGTGAATGGCTGGCCGATCTCTGGGAATTGGTGCGAACAATGCCGGTTGTCTGGCTGAAGATTGCTGGGCCGTGTCGGTGTCTGGGTATCTGTACTCCAGCAGTCAGTATTTCGGGATTCCCAACGCAGTGCAACGCGGTAACCACTAGGTACACAGGGGGGAAGTAGTCGAGAGGTAGCTGGAGAAGGAAAAGAAGAAGAAAGGGACTGTCATACTTGCTTCAACCACAGTATATGATGCCGGTACCGTACCTATGTCGTGCACGAAATGGAGCCGGGGTGTACAAAGCGCAATCCTTCCCTTCGTCTTATCCTGCTTCTTTAGTAACCAACACAAGCAGTTACAAGGCTGCAATGCATCTCCACGATATCGGATTGCCGGGGACGAAAGATACAAGTAATGTGATACGTGCGCGGTGAACGAAGGGCGGGGAAGAAGATGAAGAAGATGAAGAAGAAGTCGTAGCAATTAGAATGGGACCGTTGGCGGAGAAATGGTAAACGAACAAGCGAGCGAGTGTGCGGACCGCGATATCGACGAGCGAGAGAACGAGCGCGAATCAAAACCGACAGACAGCAAGACAAGACGAGACAAAGGAAGAGGAGAGAATGGAAGGAAGGAAGGGGTGGTGGTGGTGATGATAGTGGAAGGATGTCTGGCGGGAGGAAAGGCCAGGGGCTGAGTGGTGAGACAGCTCAGCGTGGTGTCTTGTCTTCGGATCGTGTGTCATATCAGCCCGCCACCAACCCATCCGCGGTTCCTGACTTGTTCCTGACTTGTTCCTGACTTGTTCCTGACTTGTTCCTGACTTGTTCCTGGAGTAAGTTTATAACCATCCCCTTCGTTTATCTTCGTTCCTGTAACTTGCCTTAACTGCTATGTAAGTGCATAGCAATTTCGACGGGCTACACAGAGTGCTGCTTTCTCTCTGCGATTTCATCTCTCATCTTGATCGGCTTCAACCGTCCTTCCTTATCCCTCCGTTCTCCCAACTATTCCCGTACGTCCCCGGCTAGCTAGCACAGATGGCATCTCCCGACACGAGACTAGTTTCCGTCGAACTGTTTTCTTCAGCTCAGGAACGCGAATTGAAGGCGTCTGAATACGTCACTTCATTTGCTCGACACGTCATGATCCCGGCTTGGACACTCATTAGAGTAGCACTACGAGTACTCTAATCTGGAGAGAAAAGATGAGAAGAGAAACTAGCCGAAGTGCTTACTTTACCTACATCCTATGTACGGCGGTCGAAAGTGATCATAAACATGCTGAACAGTGCCAACTTCAAAACTTCAAGGCAAGTACGTCAATGGTTTCAACTCTGCAAAACAGCACTCGGTTGAAACATAGAGTACATGAAGCTATGTTGCCGGTAAAACATTTTGACACTGATGTGGATAGAACACCCATAAAAACGCTGTTTTACTTCATCGAGCCCTATTCCAGTAGAATAGAACACCACCCACGCCTATCAAGAAGAACCCCATATAACTCATCTACACACCATAGGATTAAACAAGGATTTTTCACAATGCTTCGGATGATTACCAAAGGACACTGATCAACGTCTTTTTCTCAGAAACATATTTGTGGTTGTGGTTGAAGAGGAAGTTTATGAACAGGTCGCCGAACGAGGTGAGGCAATGCGTTTTTGTTGCTGTTTCCACCAACTCAACTTTGCTGCTATGTTTTTGATCACTTTCGACCGCCGTACCTCAGATCTCCACACTTTCCGGCAGCCGGCCTCGTCCAGCACGATGCGTATATGTATATGAAACATCTTCCGGCAACGCGTACAGATTGCTGACACGAGGGCTGTGAAGGGAATACCCACTCTAACCGTTCGGGCCGCATTGGGAATGTGCTGGCTGTTGCCGGCCAAAATGGAAGAGCCGACCGCCAGTCCCTAACCCCAGGTGCGATCTTCCGCATCCAAATTGAACCGTCGATCACAGTCCGGAACAGATGACCGTCCACCGATATCCCCAGAAACGCTTCTCATCTCCATGTCCCCGCTGCTGCCCCACGATCGACGTATATCGATATCTCCAATTACCCACCGCTACATATTACAGCTATCGCCCCGCGATAGTCACATTCCTTAGAGCCGCCCAGCCCCACATCAACGCGCTACTTCGGCTCCCAGCATCGACACCGACATCGCAACCACCCCGAACCACCAGCGAACATGAACACGCCCTCCACCGTTCCTCTGTCCCAGGATTAACCCCCGTACTGTCGACGTGGTAGTAGAGGTGGTGGGTGTGGTGGGTGTGGCAGTGGCTATCCGCCGGATGGTAACCGTCATCACCGCACCCGCCAGCGTGTTCGCCGCCGCGCCCTGGCCTTTGTCTGGTACAAAGACCACGACGGTTTCCATCGCCTCTGTCGCTGTCGCTAATGCTGTTGATATCGCTATTGCTGTTACTGTAACTATTGCCGTTGCCGTTGCCGACTGTGTCGATACTTCCGGCAGCACGACGACGAGGGTAGTCGCCGACTTCTCCTACCAACCATCAGCAACCGCCTATCCTATTACACGCCTCTCCCGCACAAGGCCCACCTTCACCGCCTCGGGAAGCACATCACACCCCTCCCTAATTGTCCCTTCACATATATCCTCACGGTGCGCTTCACACGACAACCTCGTCGCGTCGTCACCCGCAGCGCTGCGAATACACTCCCGAAACGAGAACATGCAGGCGTCGTAAACGGCTCGACAAGCTACTTTGCTGTTATCGGTGGCGGAAGGGAGAGGTGGAAACGTGAATTGTGCTGGCGCTTGCGTGAGGAGCAGTAGCAGGAGGACGGCGAGGAGTGGTACTTTTGCTGGTGACATTAGGGAGAGCAGCTTCGTGAACTTGTGAGATCGCTGTAGTGGAATGGGGATAGGAGGTGTCTTAAGTCTCGCACTCCTTCCCATCTCCTACCCCCTCATTCTCCTTCCCTGACTTTGAGGCCGTGGGAGGCCGTCAACTGACAGTTTGGAACCGGGATGGTGATACGTGAAGTGGAAACCACATGCCTTTATAACACTCGTACCGTGGATGGAATACGTCGCTAGCATTCGCGTAGGATTAACAGGCCAACATTTGTTGGCATCATGGGGCGGGGAAGTCGGCAGTGATGTCTGTCTCGGTCTTCAAACACGGAAGGTTTTGGGTGCTTCAAAGTTTTTATGCATTCTGTGGCTGATCACGTGGTTATATCCTTTCAGATCACGTGCTGCGATTAGCTTGACACCAATAACACCGTTGGTGTAGGGGTAACATATTACCTTCCCATTCACTGGAATAGGATTGCAGGTAATGCCGTGGGTTCGATTCCCGCACGGTGTACTTTTTTCCCTTTTTCAAACATTTCTTGATTCGGTTAGGCCGCAGCTTATCCGGCAATCGCCGCGCTGCACAAAACTTTATGAACTTGCATGGAAGCTTTTTTTTTCCGAGTTGAAACTTGTGCCAGCCTTTGCTCTCTTTCGACAGCAACACTCACCGCTCTCTTACAACCGCAATGCCGATGCCGTTACCACGCTCGACTGCCCTGCGGGTCCTCCGGGAACGGGCCCTCCCCACCGTCCGCATACGCACCCTCTCCACCACCCCCACCGCCACCGCCTCGCACGCCGCTCCCGACACAACCACAACCACCGCCGCAGATGGCACCTGGAAGTTCGTCGCCGGGAAACGCATCCTCATCACTCCTGGCTCGATCCGCACACGGTTTGAGAGCAAGGAGCGGAAACTCTTGGCAGACCGGGAACTCGCCACCGCTCCCCAGCCGGACGTGGTTGTTCCCAGCGTCTCCAGTACCACGTTGACCGAGGGCATGAGTGACGATGTGGATGAGGGCATTGGTATGGCGGGACTGGACTCGAGCGGCGAGGGCGCGGAGCCGTTCGCCGGGTACCAGAGGCTGCAGAAGGGGGATCTCTGTGAATTGAGGTAGGTTCACGCTTGGTGGTGGGGGTAGTACCGCAGGGAGGAGGGAATAGGATAGGGCAAGGAAGGCTGATGAGTGCGTGCGACAGGACCTCGAGTGGGATCGACATGGGCATCTTCCTCCGGGAAACGCCTGGAGCGTCCACCGGCGACTTCCTCACGCCGCAGGGAATGGTGAAGCAAGGGCACACAGCGCGTATCGCGTTTGCGCTGCAAAACTTCCTGCCCGCCGAAACGGTCGACACTTTTGTCGCCTACTACGAGAAGGTGGAGAAATTCGAGGCGCTGCGCGGCACCGTCGACCAGTTCCAGGGCGTCGTGAGCTCCCGCGACGTCTCCATGCCGCTGCTGGAACCCGTTAGAGAGTTCGTGCTCGAGGCGAAGAACTTGCACGCGGACCGATACCGCGAGCTGGAGGGGCTCTACCAAAAGCTGGCGCACGAGACGGAGATCAGGAGGGTCACGACGAGTGAGGCCGCGACGATGGTGTTCGGCGATGATCTCGGGTCGGCGGAGATCTATGCGACGCATATTGCGCTAATGGGCGATGGGTTGAGATATGTGGGTGACAAGGGTTTCCACCGCATCACATCGAAGTTCAGGGTCAGGAGCAAGAAGGATCTCGAGATGGTCGATAGCGTCACCGAGTGGGTCAGGAAGAGCTCGGTGGTGTTCGATGCGCGTGGATATGGAAATAAGGCGGAAGGGCCGATGAAGGACTTCATTCAGCGGGCAAAGTACCTGATCGACCTGAGCAGAAGTCTGAGGAAGGCGAAGCCGGAGCAGCCGGGGGTGCAGGTCGAGAGAGTGGAGCTGCCGGAGATGCAGTGGACCCCGACCGATCGGAAGTTTATTGACTTCATGAAGGCGCGAATGAAGTCATGGGGATTGCAGCATACGCCGATCGATGGACTGGTGCCGTATGTGCTCCGCGAAACTCGGCGGTATCAAGGCAAGAAGCTGGATGGAAGTTGCACGTACGACTTCCTTACAGAGATCGGCGCGTTCTCTCCATGGGAGAACATGACCCTCCAGCAAGATAATCAGAACATCCCCGGGTATGGAATGTCGCAGCAGGCGGATATCGATGAGGCGCGCTTGACGACTCTCAAAGAGTCTAGTTTCGGCGATCTGAACTTGACCGACTGCATGGCCGGCCAGAGGAAGGACTGGGGAGATACGAAGGTTTTCTGTGTCGACGATGCTTCGGCGCTCGAGATCGACGATGGAATGTCTATCGAGAAAGTGTCGGGAACGGAGAGTTGGATCCACGTGCACATCGCCAATCCCACGGCGTTCCTAGGACCGGAACACTGGATCTCGCAGATCGCTGAACACAGAGCTACCACGAAGTATCTTGACCCGCACGTCTTCCGCATGCTGCCAAAGCTGATCTCGGATGCGCTCGGTGTGCGACCCGGGGGTGCCGTGCTCACGTTCAGCACGAAGATCAATACCGACACCGGCGATATTCTCGACTACCACATCGAGCCGGGGACAGTGCACAACGTGCATCGAGTAACCTACGATGAGCTGGGGAAACTCCTTGCAATCAAGCCGGCCCCTAAACGGATCCTGACCACCGGTGACATGCCCACACCGACAACTAGTGGCCAGAATGCAGCCACCAAGTTGACGAAAAATGACAGGGCTGACCTCGAACACCTCCAAAAATGCTACCTCGCCCTCACCCGCCGCCGTGTCCGCGACGGCATGATTTCCCTCCTCAACGTCAACTACGACTACAGCATCTCCCAAGAAGCGGCCACCGTCTCCACGGGCGCCGATCTCGTCGCTGCCAATCCGATCCTCTACCGCGGCTACCCCTCAATCAAAGTCACTATCGACAAGGAGCCCCAACTTCACGGACCGGGTGGCATGGTCGCCGAATTCATGATTCTCGCAAACACTATTCTCGCCCAGTACGCGCAGAAGCACCAGATCCCCATGCCCTACCGTACCCTCCAATACAACCCGGCGCGCCCGGACCTCGTGCACAAATTCACGCACGAGATCATGCCCACCCGCGACGAATACGGTGTCGCCGCGCGCAGTGTCCTCGACGACCTCAGCACGTATATGTCCGTCGGCTTTTCGCGGCTCACTGTCGAGCCAGGTCCGCACAAGCTTCTCGGCCTGCCCATGGGCTACGTCAAGGCGACATCTCCGCTGCGCCGGTACTCAGACATGATCGCGCACTGGAACATCCAAGCGCACCTTTTGTCGCAGCCGCTGCCGTTCCCGCAGCCAACACTCACGGCGGCCCTCCCCAGCGTCGACCTCAAAGAGCGCATGGCCAACTTCGGCACCAACGAGACCCGCCGCTTCTGGGGCACCGCGTGTATCCACCGCCTCCTCATGAACCGCACAGAAATGAAACGCCAGCTCCCGAAACTCATGACTATGACCCTCACCGAACAGAAGATGTGGCCTACCCCGTCCGTCGGCTTCGTTGAGGAGCTGGCGTGCATGGCCAAGGTCGCGTTCGCGAGCAAGAAGGAGAGCAGCGCGTTTAATGTCGGCGACAAGATTGCGGCGATCGTGGAGGAGGCGCGGCTCGGTGAGAGGGCGGTGTTGTTCAAGAACGCGGGGCTGGTCAAGAGGTATGCGGCGTAGTAGGGAGGAGGGTGGGTTGTTTTATGTTTGCTTAATAGGTTGTGCGTGTGCGTGTGGGTTGGCGTTTTGTTTTGTTTGGATATTGGGATGGATCTACTACGATTTATAGACGGCCATGTATGATTGTTGTGTATGATAGACGTGAGCGCGGGGGTTGTATGATAAAAGTTATGTATTTTACGAGTGGGTTTGAACATGGCCATGCGAGCCGGATGGAAGCTTGCGGCTCATGAGATCTTGGGCCCGGAAAGGTGCGCGCTTTTAAGCTTAAACTTAGTGCTCTTGGCTCCATTCTCCACTAGCCACGAGGTGGAAGTGTCCTCGGAATATCACTCGGTGATTGACACCCATCTGAACGCCAAAATTCGTTCTTCTAGCAACTAGAGAGGAACTTTGTGAACGGCGGGAAGATCGAGCATCGGCCCGAGCCATCCATCCCGCAAGGAAAGCAATAACGAGATAAGGGAAAGGTAAGTACCCAGGCTCTCATCCGCCACAGTCGAGAAACTATGTGCACATAATATCACTCGCCATTCCGCACCTTAGAGCTGTGAAAACTGAGAGAAGAACTTAACTTAATTAGTGTAATGATACTAGAGTAACGGGAAAGAAGCCTGCTTATAAAGAAAGCCAAGCTCGTGTACTAGCCAAGGAAATGAAGCCTCAGACCGAGAATGCGACGATAGCCGTCGCCGACGCCGGACTCGGGCTTGGGGCCTGAAGGCTGAAGGTCTAAAGAGGCTGATTCTGGTGAGAAGCCAGGGACAATTTTAATAAGTCACGAAGGCCACTGAAGGCCACTGAAGGCTGTATGCGACGATGCAAAAGAATAGAGGACTGAGAAAAGTAGCGTGACACTGGAATAGGCAATGGAAAAAAACCGCATAATATCAACATGGCTGGCTACGTCGGGTCGGGTTGTAAGTATGTAAATGTGTACTCAACATAAGTAGGTAGCCAAGCTCTACTCCGCGCAGAACTGCCTCTAGACAGATAAGTGACTACAAGCCCCCACCCCATGCATCCGAATACCTAGGTGACTCCTGGAACACCCGTTTCCCTGAAGATCAAAATCTTTCTGCCAGGGCACCCCTACACATATGTCCCCATTGTCTTCACCGTCCCACCTCCCTCCTTGGGAGTCTTTATCTGCCTGCCCATCTGCCGCGTAGACAGGATGATATACCGGTATGGCGACGAGAGCAGAGAGGACGGGAAATGAACGTGGGTATTCTGGGGTTGGATACCTATCCACCTAGCATGGCGATTCTGATAGATCGGTACCTAGGTGATCTAGCTTGATACTTAGCATGGCGATTGTGATAGATACCTACCCAGAATACCTATTGTGATAGATACCTAGAGAAGGAGAGCTGGGGGCGAGAGAGAGGGGTGGGTGCGTACCTATTAGGCTATTACATAGACGATAGTAGAGTACCTGGAGCATGTGCGCCGGGGGTTGACTATTACCTAGTAGACGCTGATGCTGTATCCCGAATTCCCAAATCCCGATTGCTTACGGTGGCATAAACCATACACCGTAGGGATGTCAACAGTAATATGCCACTCATGTCCTCTCACGCATGATGTGTCCCAAAAGCGAGAAAAAATCGTGATGGTAAAGTTCTAGCAGCTTACCCATCACGCAGCCTCATTATCCTCTACTTTACCCCATGGTTATCTCCAATTCAACGAGGTTGATTCAACACCAGCGAAAAACACCGCATCGACAATTGGTATGTCCTATATGTAGCTGCATTTTTCCGCCCTCCTCAGAATGCTCCTCCATTCTCCCTCCTCATCCTCCTCCTCCTCGTCGAGCAGAATATACCGTTGCAACGCGAAAGATGACGGGAAAACTACATACCAGCGAGCTTTTCTCTAATCGAAGCTGAGCCCTCCACTAGCAGGGTTTCCGCCACCTTCACCCCTTGACGGCACCTTCGGTCGGCCAAAGTGCTAAGGTGGACCGTTATTTGTCGCCGCGTACCTGAGTGTGCCGCGGGAGGATCCGATACCGCGGTCGCTCAATGGTTGGGGTGCCGGTTTGAAAGACGACCGGGTTAGCCCGGGAAGCCATGTTGCAGCATTCTCCCGACTAAGTTTGTGCGAGATATGCATAGCGGCGAGTTTGTTCAACTGCCGCCATGTTTCATACCTGTTTGTTCGAGAAGCCGCAGTGAGGAACCTCCCAAACTTGTGACTCTGGTTTGGTATCTGACTCGCTTAGGTTTCGGGCACTCGTGACTACTCCAGACTCTAGAGTCTTAGAGTATGGTACATAGTGCCGTTGCACGGGAAACATAGTGCCGTTGCCCGGGAAACATTGTGCCAAGGACCCGCAAAGAGTCGGCCCTTCACATTCGGCTAGTCTCTCAGCAGCGACTCGGACTGCTGACAGTTCCCCCTTAACCCAAAGGGGCAGCTATACTCGTGCTTTGCCTCCCACCGTCGATCCCCCAACCCGTGCCCCTCGCTCGGCTCGCTTCTTATCTCTCAGCCTCGGGCCTCCCTCCATCTCGAAACAGAACAGAACACCCACCCACAGCTCCCCCTCTCTCCCTTCCCCTTCACCAACTTCACCACCACCACCCCCACATGGCCACCACGACAAGCACCCGTCTCCCACAGCGTCTACCCCCCTGGCAACCAGACCACTCCGCAAAGAGCTGTCCCATCTGCCGCACGCTCTTCACTTTCTTCAACCGACGGCACCACTGTCGGCGTTGCGGGCGCGTCGTGTGCGCGACTTGCTCGCCGCACCGCATCAGTATCCCACGCGCGTTCGTTGTCCGCCCGCCGAAGGTTGTCGATCTGACCCGGGACGAGGAGGAGGAGGACGAGGAAGACGAGGAGGAGGAAGAGGAGGACGAAGACGAAGAGGACGAGGAGGAGGGCAAGGTTAGGATTTGTCAGGAGTGTTTGGTTGGCGGAACGGGGGTGGCGGCGGCAGTGTCGGGAGGAGGAGGCGCGAGTGGGAGCGGGAGCAGACCCGTTGAGATGCTTCCACAGAGGAGGCGGAGGAGACAAAGTGTACGCCTCCCCCTCTACCTGTTTCAGGCGCGATGCTGATGCGCTATGGGTGCAGTCGCAAGGTGGCCGGTCAAATCCCCCCGCTGCACCGATTCCCCGCCATCACCACCACAACCACCAAGCGCTCTCACACTCCGTCCCGCAATTCGCCGAGGAGGATTACTGCCCCATCTGCCACCGCGCACTACCCTACCTCCACGATCCGTCCGACGCCGGCCGGGAAGCGCACATCGCGTCGTGCATCACCGCCGCTACATCCCCCCCACCACCGTTCTCAGCCGCGATCGGTAGGACCCGGAGCTACACGAATGGCGGGAGGATGGTGGTTTGGAATGCGGGCTTGAAGGACTGTAGGGACCCCATCACGGGGGAACTGGTCGAGTGTGTCATCTGTTTCGAGGAGTTCGAAGTCGGTTGTGAAATCGCCAGACTGGAGTGTCTATGTCGATATCACAAGGTACGCTAGGTACTTCACCTTGAGACGGAAGGGGGGGCTAACGGAAATAGAAATGCATCCGTGATTGGTTCGACAGAAAGGGCAACGGCGAGTGTCCCACGCACGCCATACACGAATAGGATCTGACAGGACGGTTCACGTGGTATTGGGCTACAGCTCCTCTTACGTTTGCACGGTGGCTGGACGAGGCGGGGTGGTGAAGTGGTGAAGTGAAGTTAGTGACCATGTGGGACTTTTATCACATTTTTGGAACAACAGTTTTTTTTTGTCTTTTCTATTTTCTAACTCTACTCTTCGGGAGGAATGGTATGCTATTGGGATGGAGTATTGGAGTGCTTGTTAGCCAAGATGTTCGTTCTTTCCTTCTCTCTCTTTCTCTCTCTTGGGTCTGCTCTGTCCGCGTCTCTGTTTGTGCTGTATCGCTTTGCATGTATCCTTTCCAGGTACCTAGATTGACGGGGTAGGCGGGGGGTGGGGTAGGCGGGGGTGGGGTGGCTGGGGGCGATCGAAGAAGGCGCGGCGCGGGGGAAGTGGGTTGTAGAATATTCAGTAAGTGTGTGCGCGTGAGGGGTGGAATATATTGGAATTAAAGCTATATTATTCTACATACATAGCTCAACGCAGGAGTCAGGACACCTCGTGATCGAGACCGATCTGCATACGGGATCATAGTTAGATGGACATGGGATGCGGATTAACCAGTGCGGCCTGCGGCAGGGGCGCTTACTCTTACTCCGGCTGCTGCGCGTGTTGGGCTAACTGCGTAGGTGTTGGGCTAGGTGTAGGGGAATGGAGCCAAGGACTCGGTGTGAGCGAGGAAGGGATGCGGACGGAATCGGGCCGAGGCGATGGCCACGCAAAGGCTAAAGAGTGAAGGGAGTAATGGAATCAACGCGTCCGGCGCTCGATACGCACGGCTCGTTACCTACCGGTATCTGCGTGGCTGGAGGTCGCTTCTTCGAGGGGCAAAATGATGCGATCCATACGAAGCATGAGTCGCTGCTCGTTCGAGCAAAGTTCGAGCGACGTTTCGAGCAGGCTGGAGAGTCGGCGTTCAAACTTCGAGGAGATGGTCGCGGGATGGGAAGAGGCAAGGCGAGGCGGGTAAATACGTAGGGATAAATTCGAAGAGATGGGTATCATACCGGTGCATACTGGATTTGGGGGTGACGGTACCCGCTCCCCCGCGCAACCGTGACGGCTGTTTGTATGTACACAGTCGGTTCCGCGAGGATGAGGCTGGAAAAGTGAACTTGAAGGGCGGCTTGTGTTGCTTGCTGGTTTCTGGAGAAATACCGGTATCTAGGTAGTGAAGCTGTGGAGCTGCCCTGCAGCGAAGGTCGGCGGGGACGGAAATCCAAATACCTACCTTCCGCTTCTTCTTCTTCTGTGGAATCTTTTGGCTGAGTAGGTAGTAATAGAAGGGGCGGAGGGCACTGGAAAGAAAAAAAGCAAAGACCATTCGAGGGAGCGGCGTGGGAATGGTGCAGCTCGACGAGTGAATTCGCGAGCGTATTGTGAAGACTAAAGTCCTGGATATCAAACATCTCGAGCTTCGAATGGAACGAGATATCCTGACTGTGGGAAGAGTTCCTACCGCCAAAGTGTCCACAGGATATCCTCAAGTTTGTATCTGGTGTAGGAGGGGAGGGGGAAGGGGCGTTTCGTGAGTCCTGGCTACGGGAAAGAAAAGAAGCGGAGGCCAGTCGAGGAAACGGCGAGTGGGTTCGTGAGCGTGCTGTGAAGACTAAAGGCCTGGATATCAGGGTTCAGACGACATCTCGAGCTTCCAATGAACCGAGATATCTTGACTCTGAGAATGGTTCCTACCGTCAAAGATTCCACAGGATGTCCTCAGGTCTGTATCTGGTGTAGGAGGGGGGATGTTTCGTGTGTCCTGACAACATAACGGAAGATAAAATCGAGGTCTGAAGAGTTAGCCATGGGCAGTTTCCGTCGACACCGTCCACAGGTTCTTTTGGGGAAGGAGTAGACTTTTCGTGCGGAGGGAATAGGTAGGTACTTGGTCTCGGACAGAGGGATTTGTCAACTTGTCATCATCAAAGAGATTGTAGGTTGGGAAAGAGGAGTCGAGGAGTGAGAGGGGAAGAAGATAGACAGCCAGAATGCTCGCCGTTCACGTTCAGATGATTCCCTGCATACGTACTCATATAGATAATAGGTAGTAGTCATCCATGATGGTCCGTCAGGCTCCCGCTTCGTGCACTTCCTCCGCCCATCTAAGCCAGGGCAGGCAAGACTCGCACGTAAGTACAATAGTAGAACGCCCCTCACATCTCCACGGAATCATCCCGCCTTCGCGGTTCACCGGCCGCCTCAACACCTCAGCCGTGAGATCACGACGACTCCCAACTTGGCATCCATCAGCCCAATGCGTACAACGCAAAGCAGTCGTCTGCACGACAAGAACCCCAGAAGCAACCGTACGTGCAAGCCATAGGTCCACGATCCGGAGTTCTCACGACAGAAAAAAACCACCTTGCTCTTCAGCCGTAAACCTGCTGAAGGTGGGGTAACTCTGCCCCGCCGTGCAGACGTGTCTAGCAGGAAAGAACGTGCATCGTGAAAACCTATATGTAGTTGTAGCACACGTTAGCGACGAGGGGAAAAAAAGTACGTTTGTAGATACACAATCATAGGTACTCTGCAAACAACACACATCTTCTCTTGCGGCGGCCACGCATGCTGGTGGGTTGCATGGAGGGGATTCCTGTTCGGTCGGTCTGTATCGAGATGCAAAGGCGGTGGCTAAATCGAGAACATCGAGTTCAGTTCTGTTCGGCACAGCCCTGAACCATACACCCAGCCCGTGGGGGAAGAGTAGCTGACCGAACTGAGTAGAGCGCGATTTACGCCGTCCAGGCTCGCGCGCAGAGGAGTCGATCGCGAGGTCATCCGAAGGTAGCTAGCTAGCTAGGGCTGAACACTGACGGAAGGAATCGATGGGGCTGACGCGGCAGTGTTGAGCAGAGGGATGTATCATGTATCTAGCAAAGTCGAAGTGAGGTATCTACCATTCTAGAGGAAGGACGATTGCTGTTGAGTAAGTAATCACCGATGGCAGTATCCCATCCGTGCTAGGAACACCGGCAGTCTAGAGTTCTATAGCTATGTCAGCCGCGTGCATCCACACACGGCTGTAGTTCTGTACTGTACCGTAAGTCGTGACGGTCGCCTGGTCACTTTCGCTCACTCATCTTACTCCATCACGTCCAGCGAGTTCCCCCATAAGGCCTAGTACCTTCACCGTCGTCCTCCAACAGTGGCCACGACTCATCGGCGTATTCCCGTACATGTACATATGTACCAGTACTTTTGGGAGAAGCAAATAGGAACAGAACATCTAGGTCCGTGGGGTGATCAGCTTAGTATGTACGTAGCTATTGGAAGTGCTTGTTCGTAGTTATTGGACTACATACCTCTATACCTGGGTATGTATGTAGGTTGAGGAGAGCTTCAGCCCTGTCCTGCAGGCGCATGGTGATGACGCACGCAGAACCTCCCACTGGACGACAGCCACCCTACATATGTACATATGCGATACCCTTCCACTGGACGACAGCCACAACATATCTACGATACCGAGCCGAAAATTACTGGCAGTCAGCAGCATGTAAGACGAATGGGGACAAAACCCTGTCGGCGCCCGAATGAGTGCGCAGCTGTGGCCGAGTGAGATGGCATGCAGTGCACATTCAGCTTAGTATAGTACCGTCCTGTCAGCAGTGCAGCGATCACAAATCACTGCGAGGTATATAGGAAGAGCCCATGCGGCACGTCCATGTACCACACTCTCCATGTACCCCACAAAGCCAAAGCCTCGACTGACTGGGTGGTGCAGGGTTCCGGCTGGACAATACACCTACATATGGTGAATGATGCCTATGTCGGCCGGATTTAGCAGTGCTCGAAATTCTTGAAACAAACGAGAAGTATTGGCGATCTCTCCGGTGAGTGCGTGGACGTCTGACCTGCTCCTCCACCGGAAACCTTACAATTATCACCGTTGAACCTTTTTTTTCTTCTCTTTATCGATAGATCGTTCCCCGCAATACGATGAAACATGGAGCGTGATCTTCGGCTTCGGGACTCGGGAGAGGCTTGAGATGCGAATAGAAACGGCCGTGTGATGGATAGATGTGTCGTGGTCATCGGCTTGGTCGTGATGGATGGAGTCAGACATGTTCCTGCGTGGCGCGCATGGCTCCGCAGGGAGGTTGGTGGGCGGGAGGGCGGGGGGCGCCCGAGAGCGGGTGGGAACAATGGTCTGCGAGCGCAACTCCAGCTGAATCGATGCAATGGAGTCCCCAAGTACACTCCGCGACGGAAACTACCGATAACTACTCAATCGGTGGCATACGATTCGTGAGGAGAGCCGAAGAAAGGATAACTCACGGGTACCGGGAAGTAACCATGTACCGCAGGCCCCACGACCTGGAAGTTGGAACACAAATAGAGTTGCAGTAGTATGGTGTCTGACTAGTCGCTATTACAGAGCACACTGCACAGCATCTCTGGTACACTGTGTACGCAGCGGAGGGCTGGACATTCGGGACAGTAGCTGCATCTGCGGGCTGTCATGAATTCGAGATTTCCGTGGCTGAGTCGACCAGAAATCCGAAAGCGAGCCACTCGGCGGGGGTTGGATAAGCTGGGTTCTGGTTGGTGGAACGGCCATGCAAATACATTCTAACAATAGACTGCTGGGCCACGCTCGTCCAGGGCGATCAGCTACTCTATGTTCGAGCTGACAACCATCTTCAACGTGCAACATCATCGCCATGGGCCCCCGGACACGGCCACCACCATTACCATCGTCTATGTGCTAGTTACAGTGCAGCCTAATCTTGGGTCAGATGCGGAGAAGTTCTTTTAGAAAGCTTATGCAATTAGAAATCGCGGCTGACCGGTGTCGACGATAGTGACAGCCAAGCGATTGGAGGCATCGGGCTTCACTGCCTGCTTACCGTCTGTTGAGGACACGGCCAGCAAGCACGCAAACCAACAGTCAGTCTTCGGCATCAGCCCACCAGGTCATGATGTCCAAAAACAAACGAAGCACTGCCCATGATATCGATCTTGAGCACCGTCGAAGTTGGATAAATACCCACCGTATCTGCCCGTCCTCGGCCTTCTTCTTTTCCTCACCATCCTCATCTTCCTCATCTTCCTCAAGCATCAATCCCCTTCCTCTTCCTTCCTCTTCCTTCCTCTTCCTTCCTCTTCGCATCTTTTCATATCTGCATAGCATCTGCATTCGATTCTGCTTCTTTACCAGCATTCCCCCCAGCATATCAGACATCGCGATAATATCCACACCTTCACTCACTTCGAAAAACAATCATCATGCAGCTCACTCTTGCATCGATCACCTTCCTGGTGGCCGCGGTTTCCGCCCTCCCCAATGATTACTATCACCACGAGCCCAAGACCGTGACCGTCACCGAGACCAAGGTTGTGACAACCACATACTGCGAGCCGCACCGCAGCTACCACACGCCTGCCTACCGCAAGCGCGACAGCCACAAGAGCAAGACGCACACCGTCGTAGTCGGCGGTCCCGGCCTCCTCGCCTACACTCCTCCGGAGATCCACGCCAAGAAGGGCGACAAGATCATCTTCGAGTTCCTGCAGCTGAACCACACCCTGACCGAGAGCGACTTCGACGACCCCTGCAAGAACAACGGCGGCTTCGACACCGGCTTCGTCCCCAACTTCGAGAACAAGCGCGGCATCACCCGCGAGCTCGTGGTCAAGGACGATAAGCCCCAGTGGTTCTACTGCAGACAGGCCAATCACTGCCCCCAGGGCATGGTCTTCGCCCTGAACCCCAACCACAAGAACACTTTCGCCGAATTCCAGGCTGCCGCCAGGAGGTCCGCTACTCCTCCCAGCAAGGCCCCCAAGGGCGATTACAAGGCTCCCGAGCCCGAGTACAAGGCCTCAGAGTACAAGGCCCCCGAGTACAAGCCCGAGCCGCCCAAGGAGCCCGAGTACAAGCCCAAGGAGCCCGAGTACAAGGAGCCCGAGAACAAGACTCCCGAGTACAAGGCGCCGGATTACACGCCCTACAAGTCCAGCAAGTACTAAGCGGTGTACTGACGCCACGCATCACGCTTTTCGGTCCCGGCCGTTACCGCCAGCAAACATAGGATCACGGGTGTAGCGAGCATTTCTTTTTCTTTCTTCTTCTTCTTTTGCTGCTTCTTCTTCTCTTCTCTTCTCTTCTCTTTTCTTCTTCTCTTCTCTTCTCTTCTTCTTTTCCAACACATTTTTTCTTTCCTTGGTTCGGCATTGCATTCGCTGGGGTCCTCTGGTTTTAGATAACAGTCCTATCTACCTCTTCACGTGAGCTCTTTACTTTACTTTATTTCTTAACTCCTAATTCTGTGCGCTCTTCTGGTGGTGGTGGTGGTGGTGGTGGTGGTGTGGAAAATTGGCGATGAAAATCATGTCTGGGTGGTGGGGGGTCTTGAGTTGGATGTAGGGATCGGGAATGGGAGTGGTAATGGGAATGGTGGAACGGCTTGGGACGGACTCGGACAGGATGGGATGGGACGGAATGGGATTGGCATGGCAAGGCGGATGGAGTCAGAGGACGCACGGGTTATCTTACTCTCGTTTTTATGTTTATTTAACGATGCAATGGACATGGCGCAACGAGCGCGTTTTAATGAGGATCACATATTTGCTTTCAAATTTCTACCGAGCTGTGATAAAATGTGATCATGACCGGGGAAACTCATAGGTGGCGGCAGCCTTCCCGAGAAGATCTGCCAACCGCCGGCTTGTTATACTTACTCCTCTGGGTCTGTTTTCAAGTTCATAGTCTCAAGTTTTGTTTTGTTTCATCATTTATTGCGTGCGGTCTTATCTAGATCATGGCAATAAGCTCAGAGTCCTAGACCGATACCTAGCCGACCGAGTGTTCGGTTAGAGTAGACAGCGAGTGATACCGTAGTGTGATTAAGGTGTTGCTGGCCTGATCAGTGGTCAGTCTCGCTTCGTAGCTCGCGGGAAGGGACGGATAGCCAGATGCCTGTAGATATGCATGCATCCGGTGAATGAGTGATTTGCCGAGACAACCATCGCTGCATTTTATTCCACAGAGTTCCGTTCGTCGGTCTGCGGAATGGGAGTTCTGGAAAGATTATATTCTTGAAGAGAAGTAAGTCTTAGGGAGCACCAAGTCCATATATCTCCAGTTCGGTGGAATCGCGGCCGACGGATGGAATCGGATGGATCGAGGTGGGTGGAGTAGCAGTGCACGGGGTCCGGCACTTATGCTGGAGGCGGGAGATGCCCTACATACAAGTCCCGATGTCTTCTATGTAGTTGATTAATGAGCAGATATATGCGCCAAGAGTCATACAGACAAAACACAGACATACCTCGGTTGCGCGTACGTGAGCGAGTGATGGCCAGTGCGCGAGGGACGCCATGCGCGCCGTATTCCTCGGCTCCAGTTAGTTGCTGCCACCGCTCGATCGTATTGTTCGGCTCCAGTTGCTGCCAAGCGGTAGCGCGGACCGGCTCATCCTCCGACACCGCTTCAGCCTAGTATCGGTTTAGTGATCCGGCGTCCCATTTTCCCGGTGCTGGCCTGCGATTCTGCAGTGCAGTGCATTGCTATTCAGAGCAGCGAGCACGGTACATGCCTTTGCCAGACAAACAAGCCGTACAGGTGTGCAACAGCCGTCATCTCGTATCGTCGACATGTACCTCGTATAGATACCAGTAACCACGGTACCTTGTATGACGCTGGTGCCACGCGAGCGGTTGCTGCTGCCTTCGATAGTAATTGGATTCGTTTTGCCGGGCTCGAGAAAGAGAAGTGTATAAAACCACCGGTCCTCCGCCACCGATCCACTTCCCATCAGCAACCAGCACAAACATGCGCCTCTCCTCCGCCGTCCTCCTGCCCGTTCTCGCCCTCGTCTCGGTCGCCGCCGCCAGGCCTCAGGACCCAGTGTGCACCGAGACTCCGCTCTCTGAGCAAACCTTCTGCGAGAAGGGATCGCAACTCTGCAGCATCGCCATGAGCTGGGATGATTGTTCGGACCTCTATATCGCTAGCATGAAAGCGTGAGTAAATCCAGTCTGGCAAGGGAGGGAATCGGATGGGAGGAAGGTGCGTGGCTGACTTAAAGGGTGGTTTGTTAGCTGTGTTCTCACCAACTGTCTTCAGTTTCTTGTTGACCCGCTGGCGCATTGTGAGAAATGATCGGTTGTGGTTAGGGGAAAGCGGTGGTGGTGGAGGGAGGGGGGGGTGGAGGTGGGGGGAAGGGGAAGAATGCAGTCAGGACACTGGTGCGCTTCGTGTCCGAGAATAGTGATGGATCATGTGAAGTTCACGTAGTGACGTAACTGTGCTACCTGTCAACCAACCCAACGCCCAACGATCCGCATCGGGAATTGAAGCCACTGCATGGGCCACAGCCGATTCAGCCACAAGACCCCCGAGGTTGTGCCAGAATATGTCCCCCATCTGTCCGTATGCCATGTTTTGTACAGACCGAATGTACCATGACTAAACCAACACAATGTTTTGTCCGTCATACCACCCACAATCATAACACCTGCTTCTTGCTTTTTGTTCGACGGTCATTGGATTCGACAAGTTAGCAGATCATATCATTTCACTTGCGTGTACTGTCATATTTTTTATCCTTTTCATTGCGGGAGTGTCAGCGTGCGCCCAGTCAGTGGCCATGTACGGATCAGAGCTGTGGTGGAAAGGAGACAGACAAGGAGCCAGAGGGGCGATCGGGATGGGGGAAGACCTACAGACACTCATCAACCCGGAGGCCAGAGCGGTCACAGGAAACTTCAACCTAGGTGCTCTCTCCCTGGAATCAGGACTGAGACCGGCCGCATCACAGCTCAACAACCGAGACAGACGCTTCGCCCTGAGGCTCAGCAGCCTACCTAAGGGTGACCAAGCGAGAGAACTAGTTGGGGCCGACAGCCCCCTCGGACAACGACTGGTGACCTTCCTAGGGCACCCTGGGCAGACAGAAGAAACAGTGCTACTAGACGAAGCTGAAGCATTAGACTGCACCATCACCATGGAGGAGGAGAAACTCGCCCATGCACATGCGGCAGGCCCACAACCTCCGGGACTCACGATATATACGGATGGATCGAGGACGAACTCCAAGGCTGCCGGCTACGCAGTGGCTTAGCGCCACGGCACGGGATAGAAGGGGGCACAAGGTGCATATAGGCCGCCATCAGGAGGCCTACGACGCCGAATGTGCCGCGATCGCCCGGGCATTGTAAGTAGCCGCCGATAGGCAGCACACATTTAGCAGAGTCACTATCTACACGGACGCACAAGCAGCCATCAGAAGGATGGCCCATGACAACCCTGGCCCTGGTTAGAAGTACGCCATCGAGGCACGAAAGTACCTAGCCACAATCCGCCGAAGAGAGCTAGGAATCACCATTGAAATCAGGTGGTGCCCGGCACACAAAGGTGTCCCTGGGAACGAACAGGCCGACGAATGGGTCAAACCAGCAGCCGACGAGCCGAACGCGCGCGGAGTGGAAGTCACTCGCCACACGTACCGATATGGCGCCAACCAGCCACCACCAGCATCGCCTGCCTACCTGAGGCGGGGTAACACGGAAACCAAGTGGAAAGAAGCGAAGGAATGGGCCGACGCTCGTATCACCCACAGAAAGTACAGATTCAGTAGGAAGTCAGGCCAGAGACCAGACGCGCTCCCAGTCTCAGCCCCCAAGCGCCTAGCCTCCAGGTTTTACCAGCTCAAGACAGAGCACTGCCTCACCGGCCAGCACCTCCAGTGGACGACAAGCCAACCAAACGCCCGCTGCGGCTGGTGCCGGTTCAAAACTCAGACTCGGGAGCATCTCTTAAAAAACTGCCCAGAATGGAAAAGCCAGCAGAAAATTCTGTGGGCACAGGTCCGGAAGCACATCAGGAGGGGCAAAGACCGATTCAAGATCCGGGACCTCTTCGCAGACGAACGATGTAGCAAGGTGATTCTCGAATTCCTCTCCACTACCGATGTGGGCAGCCGGATGCCTGAGACCGCTGAGGAAGATACAGAGAGTGAGGTCTCCGAGTGGGAGCTCAGGGACCGGGAAAAGAGGGAGGCGGAACTAAGACGAGAGGAGGAGCAGGGCGCTGAGGCTGAGGAGCCAGGCTCCGGCCCGCTGTTCTTCCCCACACCTTCCTTCATGGCATCCCTTTTGGAAGAGGCAGGAAGCGGCGACGACTAAGGACCTGCGGTGAGGCAAGGACGAGTCGAGGAATTGGAATTTGGTTTTTCCTAGTATCATCTCCTTGGTGCGCTCATTCCCTTGGTGCGCTCATACATTGCTGGGTCAGGCCACGGCGGGGCAGGGAAAGCCACATCGTGCCACTCGATGAAAGTCGGGTCGGACAGTGGCGGGGAAACGGAGTGTGTACATATATTGCCATGATCTACTTAGGTCGCAAGCAATCACTGATTAAACAAAGAAAGAAAAACCAAGATTGGTGCTCAGCAGGGTACTATGTTGTAGAGTATGCGGACTATGAGCGTGGTCTTTTATTTTTTTGTTCTATTTGGTAGGCAGCGGTGCAACATCGGACCGCGGCGATAGATCTTTCTCTCTACCCCCGTGGAGCAGGCAGGAAATGTCGGGGTTGTGGTCGCGATGGTCTAGTAAGGCCGTATGCGACAATCAATGGATGTTTTCTCTCTGTCATGGGAGTGATTGGCGATGTACAGCTACGAAGCTGACAAAAACCCAGCCTCTACGACTCATGCGCAATTGTCCATCGTGTGGTCACGGTGAATGGAACAGACAGCAACTTTGAGTGCACCACAAGTTTTGTTTCTCGTCTAGCAGTGCATCTCCCTTCCCAAACTAAGACCGAAGAAAATCAGAAAGCAAGAAGCAAATTTTCCGCACAAAGAAGATCCACCCAGCAACGCGACGCAGCCCAATCGCGGCCCTTCTCATCCTCGCACTGGTCCAGAGGGTCCTGCAAGAACAACACGCCACCCGAGTCGAGGCAGCTATCTACGGTTAGCGAATGTGGCCATACGTTGATGGGAAGGTATCTCACCTCTTCATGTGCTCGATTTACTCGGGGGAGCAGAGAGGGAAGGTATCCGCAAGCTTGCAGATCTCTCCGCCGCGGTCGCAGTTGGGATCCGCCGCCGAGGCAATTCCGATAGCAGCCGTGGGCTTGGGCTTGAGCTCAGGCGCTCCGGGCTTGGGCTTGGGCGTCGCCGTGGCGGTGGCGGTGGTCGTGGCCATGACTGTGGCCTTGACCGTGATCGTCACGGTGGCCGTAACCGTGGCCGTGACCGTAACCTTGGCCGTGGGCATGACCTTGGACGTGAAGCAACGGCTCAGTTCGCTTCCAGGAACTTCCTCCACGCAACCGACCGAATTGATGATGCAGCTATGTTTTTTCACAAACATCAGCCTCAACATCCGTGATGTTTTTCGTATTAAAGACGGAGCCAACTTACTAGAGCATGTAGTATTGGTACTTCTCCGAGCAGTCCGGGTGGGTCAAGGCAATCTTGCACATGTTCTTGGCGTGGAAGCAGGCGTGAGGGTTCATGAATGAAACGCTCTTCGTGGTGGTGGTCGAAGTGGTCGCCATGACGGAGGTGACGGCCATGGCACAGAAGGCCAGAAGCATCTTGAAAGTGAGCATTGCGGAGCTTGCGGAGGTGATGGTGATTGTGTGGTAGGGTGGGGTAGAGAGTTATGGTCGTGGAAATTCACGGAGGTTCGTAGGATGTGGAAGGAAAGGAGGGAAGAGGGGTGTCGGCGGGTTTTATCGAGGCAGAATCATAACGTTGGAATCGATGGAATGGGACGCTAGCGTTCACATCCATCGAGACCCAAGGAACATCGATGAAGCCCTGAGCCGCACGAAGTTTGACAGGTTGATTCGGTGATCGAGATCGAATGATCGATCATGTCACGACCAGCTCGGAGAGCACTTACGTCACCGATGGTATTTGGGTGCGGTAGCATGCAACTTGTGTTCCCTCTCGACATTCCCACACCGACAAGATCAGCCTTGTCCGTTGTCTGTCCCTAAGGTAAGGTAAGGACGACCACAGCCAGGGGAGTGACACCGACAGAGACACAAGGGCAAGCCGGGGTGCGCTTGGAACAAATATGCAAACAGTGAGCCATAAAGCTAGCCTTGGAACATAAATGCAACGTACAAACACCGCACGAAAGCAGCATGGCCAGAGAACAGCATGACCAGAGAACATCTTGGATCAGGGCAGCAGCGACGCTAATTGCTTCTCGATGCCATGCCAACTTGCGATCCGGTTCCACTTTGCAGCACCTAACCACGACGCAGCGCTAAAGAATATGAATTGCGGACTCTCCAGTCTTCCAATGGACGGGGTCCTCTGGTAATGACATTGCTCGCGATTGTACCCAGCGCCTCGATCTGCGCGGTTCTCCCGCAGGCTGCCACCATCGGTGCTTCTGTGGAAGCCCAGTACCCACAATTAGACTGCACTTTCTTCGACCGTCAGCAGGGATATCTGTACCTGCGCCTCCCGCATCTTAGATGTCCAGTCGGCATCAGGGCTGATTGTGCAGTTTGTGCAGATTGTGCAGCACGAGCAAACACACGAGTCGAGTCGAAAACGGTGTCACGCACGAGGGGTCACTCGCTAAAAACGGCGACACCCGAAAATACCTATGTTGCCGAGGGCAGTATCATAGGTGGATCAGTACATGTGTATTGTATCGGCGTCTTAAGCTTCGGACACGGCAGTACTCCAACTTTCTCGAACGAGTGTATATCACTCCGTTGGGGTACCGGAAGTTGGAACCGCGTCGATGACAATTGAAACGGATTATTGAGGGTAACACTGAATGGCGTCTGCTTAGGCTCATTCGTCCATCTGGGCGCTGTGGTCACCCCATAGGTTCCGGAACCGCATCGGTGACAAGACACATTCTGGAGGGCGACACTGAATGGCGCCTGTCTAGGCTCATTCATCCATCTGAGCACTGTACCAGCGACCCGCGAGCTGAGGCCATCCCATAGGTACCGAAACCGCGCCGATGACGATTGAAACGGATTCTCGAGGGCAACACTGAATGGCGCCTTCTTAGGCTCATTCATCCATCTAAGAGCTATGTCAGCGACCTGGGAGCTGTGGTCATCTCAGAGGATCACCTCCAATCGGGCCCTTGATTCCAAGTTCCAAGTTCCGACCTTTCGAGGTAGGTACACGGTGGTCTATAAATGCTCATTCAGCAACATGCAGTACTATACTCATCGGCGTCTTCCAGGCCGCCGAACTCCACGGCAAACCCCGAGAGGCCCCACTTACAGTCATAGAAGCCAGCCATCAACTTGTAGTGAAATGGCAGTACTAGAACCTACGAGAATCTGCTCAGGTAGGTAGGTGGTACCGTGGTAGAGCACAGAAAACTATGTCACAAGAGCGACAGGTTACTGGTATCGCAGACTCCAACGGGAGATACCAGTCTACGGTATCCGGTGTAATTATGCATATTAGTTGAGGGTGGGGATACATTCCTACACACCTCCTACGCGCCTTATATGTACCGGTAGTACCTGGAGCTAGGAGTGCACCGGAACTCCGTGAACATTGCGAGTCTGCGAGTTTGCGAGGGTGCCTTGAGAACAATTGCAAGATCAGCCCAGCTGAACGCACGTCAGATAAGGCCAACTTACCTGTTAGCTACCTACATACCTCGTACCTAAGGATGACCGTTCAATCGAGAAAAATATGTGGCGGTCCCCGAGTTACGTATACCGCGTATGTTCAGCCTCGTTCAACACACCGCCGTTACCTGTCGGCATACCTACCTGACTACCTCACACCTCCAGGCTCCAGGCTCGAGCCGAAAGGCTCGGGTTCTGGTTCGACCGATGGTTCGAGGCGATTCTCCGCGGCGATCAAAACGCCTCGAGATCTGCCCGCGAACCTAGCGTGAAGAGCGAGCGTAAAAGCGGTCAGGTCGGGGGCCCGGTGAGTCGTTGATTATGTAACCAGGAATCTGGGAAAGAGGCCAGATACTCTGTTACCTATGATTCGTCGGCGGGGAGGATGGCGGGCGCACACTGTGCGCACACCGAGCTCAGTGATGATGGTCGCAGCTGACATGTCACCACAACCTACCCGCCAACAGGATTAACTAGTGGTATGCACGACACTCTACATACTAGTTTTGCAGTATGTACCTCAGGTGACTCAGCCCCCCGTGCGACCGACTCCGCATGTTCCCCTCCCCGACTGCAGACGTTGCGAACTTCGGTGCGAATGTCCGCTGCCTGCCTACCCGCCCGCCCGCAACCGCGACTGCGAACAGCTTTTTCAGGTCTTTGTATAAGGGAGCCAGTTGGCTACAGCCTACGACTGCAGTTGATGTCCTGTCGTCATCACTGGTTAACTGACTACCTGCTTATCTTGGAGGGAGAAGAAGCCGTTTGGATCGGAGTAACCCGTACCACCTACCCATATGAGTCCAAAATACGAGTTTGCAGTCTGCAGCATCGTTAGCGGTGAAACGGCATTTGTGCTCCAGAATCCAGAATCCAGTCTCCAGATCCCTTTCCTCGCCCTCGGTAGCCATGGGTGGAAAATAGATCGCGGCGGCTCGGTCTCGACGCCGGCGGTGAAGCCGATGAAAGTGACGCCGTCAAGTATCCATATCGTCGGCGGTCGCCGCGTGTGCCTCTACTACGCACATACGTAACAAGGACAAGAACAATAACAACGGCGTGAGCCCGCTAGAAGCCTTCCTACAGCTTCAGCCACGCTCGCTACCTTTTGGTTCACGGCTGGTAGCGACATACTCACACACACACACAACACAAACAAGCCTTCCGAGCATCTGTCCGAAATCGGCTCCTATGCACCAACGGTACCTATCGATGTGGACAATCCGCAGCAGCTCGCTACGCGGCTGAAAAGAAACGGATACCATGGTGCTCTAAACTCGTCTCTCGTTCAGCACTAACGGACCGACTAATGCCTGCACCGCGCCCCACGGCGTGTGTGCGTGTGTGTGTGTGTGACAAAATAGCCCCGTGTCGATCCCACACAAGCGTGAGGCGCAGTATTGGTTGCACGCAGTTGAGTTCACAGCCTCATCAGGCCCCCCATACGTAAACGATTTCACTGTTGACGGGTTCTGCATATAAGCCGGCCATTCTCCGCACCGAATTACGAACACCATCACATCAACCACACACCTGCCTCACCGCAACCCTCCAGCACAACCACCACCACAACCACATTCTCCCAGTGCAACCACAATCACCACCACCACCACTGGTCGACCAAAACATGATCGACATACGGATGTACGAGGCTTTCGGGACGGGCGGACGAGGACAACCGATTTGGTGCAGTCATGAGCGTGCAGATCCGCGGGCCGCCGGCCATGCCGATCCTCAACACGAAGTCGCCATTCGCGGCTCAATCCCTCAACAGCTCCAGCAACAATCGGTGATTGGCGCTCAAAACGTCAATCGGAACCCGCCCACTTAACGCCCCCGACTTCGGTTAATCGCCATCCAACAACCCCAACCCCCCCAACGACCTTCCTCCTCCGCTCCGACAATCCGCCCCTCCCCTCCCCCTCCTCCCCCTCCCCCTCCCCCACCACCACCTCCTCCGACAACAATCAGGTCCACCAGCGATGACTTGCGAGAAACGAAATCTGGCGACGGCGAAAAAGTGTGGAAATGGGCGCAATCTTCTGGCGTTGTAGCGGCCCCTCCCGGCTGCTCCTCCAGAAAATTGGTTCGAAACAAACATAAAAAAAAATCCGGATCTGGTTGTCTCTTTTCCACTTCCTTTAGTACTATCTCTACTTCTGTTTTGGGGGGGCGATGTTGTTGGATTGGATTTCGTGCGACGAACGAGTGTGCCCGTCTATTTTCTGCTTTTTAGTTTGGCTTTGGTTTTGATTTGATGTTTTTCTCGTTTTGGTCTTTTTTAGGGGGGGGGGGGACAGAGGCAGTGGAGAGGAGGTTTTAAGTAGTCGAATTCATTGCAAGTTCACCCTTATCGATTGTTTATCTACTATCATACCTACTGTGACGATGCGACAAGAACCTCCCGCCCAGTTCTCTCGACCCGCAATGCGGAGGGAGAAGCAAAGAAGTATGTAGACAGATTGAAACCAGACTCCCAGCGTGGCTGACAGCGACCAGCTCGAAGCTTTCATAGAGGTATCGGGAAGTGCATCCCACGCTCACCGCAACCTATTACCATTATCAGCACTTCCCCCTCCCCCGTAGCCCCATCCCTCCACAGGCTCTACTTACTTAAACTTCCTCGCCGCACCCTTCTCCTTCGCCTCGACAGCCTCCGACATAGCCCTGAACGACCTCCACGCGAGGACCCCGGGCACCAGCAACCACGGAAGATTACAGCCGACATAGTACCCCCAGAAATACAGCGCCTCGGGCCGGCAATGCTTGTTCCCCTGCACCGTCTCCGTCACAAAGTACAGCGCGACGCCATATATATGGCAGCAGCAGGCGAGCAGGCGCGCCGGGTGCCGCACGGGACTGTCGCGGACGATCGCGAGGAACGTTAGCAGGCACAGGGGGCCGAGGAACAGCTTCACCCATCCTTCCGTTAGCAGCCACCACCCCACCAGTACCGGGTAGCGGAAACACGTACTACAGTCAACGCCTCAATCCCGACGACAAAGCTGTCCTGCGTGAGATATCTCGAGTCGCTCTGCGCATACTCCTTCCACAGCTCGGCGACGAGGTCGCTACGCCCCGCGAGCGTGCGCCGGTACTTGACGAAGTACCCTTCGAAGTGGATGTGCAAAAGCCCGCAGAATAGGAACCACGATGCTGTCAACTTCGACCGCGGTGTGAGGGTCGGGTTCAGGTAAGACATCAGCTGCCATGCCAGCAGGAGGACGAGGCCGCCGATGCCGGCGAAGATGCCGAGGAGCGTGGGGAGTGCGTACACCGGTGCGGCATAGGATGGGAGGACGAGGGTTGGGGGGTAGTAGGGGTGCGGGTGCGACATGGTGGCAAGGTGGAGGGGGAGGGGGGTGACTGGAAATGTCGTGTCGTGTCGTGTCGCGTCGTGCCGTGTCGTGTCGCGTCGTCGATTAAGCTTGGGACGTGGTGAGGCTTTGGCGGAAGTTACGTCGTAGCCAGGGCCCAGTGGCCACTCGGCGAGTCGGCGTGCGGAGTTTTTATTAGTAACAAGCACTGTAGAGTACATACTCGCTAATCAAAAAAATCTGCTGACAATGGACATCGGACAGCGCTAAAATCCTCAGCCACACCTGCAACCTCTCCAGCCCCATTCAAATTTCATACTCCATTCAATAGTCAGTTCTATTAGCGATTCAAGGTCACTAAACACAGTAGATATAGTAGATACCATTCCACGACTCGATGAGCAGCACTGAGCAGACATCACTCGCAGCATGAGAATACACATAAAACCGGGCGCAGCGGCGCAGTTAGATCTCGTTCAGAAATATCCCCAGACCGGAGTGATAGGTAGTGGCGCATCAATTCACATCGTATGTACGCAACATGGCACGACACGACACGATACTTACGATAGCCGACCCATATTTTGAGCAGAGCATAGTGGTGGCCAGTATCCAGTGCATTTTCCCATGGTACCCGATACCTACCTAGGTATTTATGATGTACATATGATTTTCCATAGCAATAGACTACCTACCACTAGTGATACTCTTCCTCCATGCGTTCTTCGTCTCATTCCAACCGCTATGTATGGCGATTACGCTACAGCGATTACCATGTATGTAGGCTTTTCTCTGCGTGACTGCCGGTGGGCGGTGGGCGGTAGGGATTGACTTGTGAGGGGACACGGGGTTTTGAGCATTTTTTTGTTGCAACACTAGGTACTCTCAAAAAGTGATGGACTCGTAGCAACTGCCGTTGAAGTGCTTAAATCTAGTACTTATAGTCGCCATACATTCCTCCCCACCCAACATCCCCATCCCCAACCCCATCCACAGCCTCTCACTCGCTTCCCCTTCCCCACGCATCTTCCCCGCCCCCCTCCACCCCCCCGTTTCCAACTTTCCAACTTTCCAACTACGTACACGTCGCCACCGGCCCGCCAGGAGCAGTATAATTAGCGGGCTGGAACCCGTTATAGAAGTTGGGGATGTAAATATTCGCGTCGGCGGCCTTATACGCGCCCGGCAGAGAAATCTTTGGCGCGCAGCTGGCCGTCGCGGCGCCCGAGATCTTGAGTTGTGCGCATGCTATATACGGTTGCTCTTAGTATGTACCTAATATACCCATGTTGTAGGATTTGTAGGATCTGTGGTGGCCAGGGCCTTACCAATGTAGAATTGTGCGCCGCCTAGAGACTGCGAGCCGTGGAGCGCAAGCATTTCGCTGCGGAGCTGTGGGGGGTTAGCGGGGGGACGGAGGATGGGGGGACGAGGGGGGTGGACAATGTAGTCACCGCTCTGCAGCTTGGCGGGGAGGCGGAAGGAGTGTTTTCCCTCGTTGGCGGCCATGACCTCGTTGGGCCATTTACCGTTTTCGTAGCTGTCCCAATCCCCTCCTGATCAGCCATCCACGCACACCCATCCAAGAGAGAGGGGGGGAACTACTCCGTCTCGGCGATCTTGAACCACTGCCCCACGCCCGTCGCCGTTTTCGCATCGCTCACGGGCCCGAACAGGAAGTGCGTGATCGGACTGGGGTGCGACGAGATGTCCCACTGCACCACGATCTCGTCGCCCGCTGCTGCCGCGCACACGTCCACGTCTGTGAATGGAACCGCGTTGCCGTTGACGTTGCAGGTTAGAGCGGCGGAGGTTACTGCGAGGAGTGAGTATGTTGTACTTGCGAGAAGGAGGAGGAGGAGGGGGAGGGGTAGGGGGAAGGGTAGGAAGGATGGCTGACCGTCGGTTACGGGGCTGTTGGAGGGCGCCCGACGAATGCATTTTTCGTAGCCGGGGGTAACGCCGTTGACCCAGATCTGGTGCATATTCTGGTGAGCGGCGGCCATATGGATGAGCGGCAAGGCCAGGAGTGAGAGGCGGAGGGAGAGCTGCATATCTGGCGTGCGTGCTGGAGTCGAGTTTGTGGGTGGGAAACGTATCACTGAAACCATTCGAAAGCGTACACACGACGTTTTATATCCATCCTCGCGAGTCCATAGATGAAACGGATAATTGTCATAACCCCACATACCTTAATAGGTCCTAGGCAGGAGTAGCCCATTGGTGTCAAAGTGTCGTACATAAACAAGCTTAATTAACCCCCGAATTGCGGTCCGGGTATGCGCGCCGACAACCCTGGACCGCATGGCGATCATCGGACACCCCGCGCGGGAGAGGTCTGGCTGCTCCGTCGGTACTACTGGGCCGGGGCAGGGACCGGAATACCGGCTTGCGTTTGCGGGGGGGGGGCATAAGTAAAATGGTATGGTATTCATTGTTCGTCGCTGGCCTGTCGGCGTCGCCGGAGAGTGGGAGCGTCGATCGTTGGTAACTACTTTGTATATATGGGGTGAAACGGGACGGTTCCTGCCTGCCTGCCGAATGCAGTGGTTGATACTATGGATGGATGTCATCGAGGGAGCGCGGGGAAGTCGAGTGGCGCCTCGTGAAAGAGGAAGACGATGGAAGGTTGCATGCAGCCATGGCCTAGGTACCTAAAGATCACCGCACGCAAAGATATGCTGAGACGCGGGGAGGAAAGGGCAATGGTCATCGTGCAGCCGAGAAAACGGGCGGCCATCGGAGCAATGCAGGAAAATATGTAATGAGTTACATGAGCTGAAATTCGAATTACATATGCGTGGCAAAGTCAATTCCAGAGGGCTTACATATCGGTATTTCATCCAGTCATGCCGACACAACTACTGCTGCATTACCAGTGTCCGGATCATAACGATCATGGCGCTTGTCGTTACGGTATTATATCGAGAGGCACTGCATCAAGGGCTATGCGCCCAAAGTCTTATATCACCGCCCTTCGAGACCCACGGGCGAGTGATACTTGGTGGAGCACTGTGGTTCGGTTCGAAATTCAAGTTGCCGTGCCGAATAAATGACACCAAAACTTGGTATCCGGTGTCATATGTGGTTTTGTGGAAACATTCGAGAGCTATATAAGCAGGTACGGGGACTCCCTTCCCGCGGTGCGTGGTCGACTGGCCATTCCACGTATGTAGGTTTTGTCCGCAGTGGAAATTTGATATGTACAACGCACACGAACAGATTATTGATGATTGAGGTTGAATGGGAACTACAGAGTTTTACCTGAAGCGACTGCTCCTCTTTTTTTTGTTTACTCATTGATCGTGAAGTGGCTGCTCCTCGTCGCGCCGCTCACCTCGGCAAGCAAGAACGAGTGCACCGTCATGAATCCAGTCCAATCGAGCGCGATCCATGTGGACAAACTTCCAAGATACTTGGTTATGTCTTCCGACTGAGTCTCGACTCTCACTGTGCAGAGTGCAGTCTGCGTCGGTAGCGGCGTAGCGCTTTCTTTTCAGCTTCTTCGTTGGAAGTTCTGATTTGGCGACGCGGAGAACCCTGCAAGACGAAACAAAAGTGGAAACGACGCGCTTTCTTCGTGTGGGCGGGCGCTGCGAATCTGCGAGGCGATGCATCTATGCAGGCGCGTCGCACAACATCGCACGAATCACAGCGCCGGGCATGGGAGCCAGGTCCCCGAGTTGGTTCTCCACCCCCTCCTCCCCCCACCCCCCCCCCCCCCCTCCTCCCGCCTCCTCCCACCCCCCCATCCCTCGTCGTCACTGTGCAGCTCCCTCCGAGATGGATGGCGAGGTCTTCTTGCGAGATCCTTCCCCCGTGATGAAACTCCAGTTGGGATTCCTTCATACATAGTCCCCGTCGAGAGAAGTGGGTCGCTGACTGCTAACTACGCAGCCCTGATTCCGGAACTCGGCAGCCCGTTCGCATCAGGGCATGGAGGTACCTGCTTGCCAGACGCGCAGCGGGCGGCGGCGGATGGGCGGCGACGGCGATGGACGGACGGCGTTGGTCTCAAAGACGACGATGTACCAACCAGCACGGATGATCGTGGCTCCAATCACACCAACCAACCAACATCCCGACTTGCTCCATTGCAGCCTAGACTGTTTCGTTCGCTCGCTGGGCGGGCCGTGCGAATCGACAGCCGCCCAAATCCCCTCCACCCCGGCTCCCAACCTCCTCTGTTCTTCGCCTCCACTGGCCACGCTCCCACGAATCATCCTCCCTCACGAGACAGGACAGGAATACCGGCCAGTACCGTGGGTCAATCCAGAGAGCTGGTCGCTTCCCGACGAGCCCACAGTCAACCCCAACCCAACCCTCCCGCAAGAAACTTGCTGAAGTATCTGCTATTCCCTCCCCCCCACCGCCCTCCCGAAGTCCTCCTATTCCTCTCGATCCTCCCTTCCCACACACTTCACCACCTCACTTGTTAGCCGTGCTCTCTGTTGCCGGCCCGACAAACAAAATAAGACAGTCCACTCGAGCTTCGCCCTCTACTCCCTGACCGCTTCCGTTGGCGACAAGCGGGCAGGTAAGGATCACCGTCAGTGCGGGTACTCTAGCTACGGGTCTAGCGGAAAGGAAAGAAAGCTACATACCCTACACCGATACAAAAGCACCAAGAGTACTTACCTGACGTGGTCGACCGCTCAACTGGGACCTCTCGATCCTGTCTGCTCGGCCCACATCGTTCTGCTATTTATCTACATATCCCCATCCCCCCTCGAAAACACTCCTCGCCAATCCCGAACGTTGCCGTCAACCTAAACCACCACCCCCAAAGCGTACCAATCATGACGTCCCACCGCAGCTCCTATCCCCCACCGTCGAGCAATGGCGACAGCTACTACCCCCCCTCGTCGCTACAGGATCCTCCACGAGATCCCGCTCCTCACCACACATCGATGCGCCGTCGTGGCAGCCACAGCTCGCACCAAGAAACATCGCACCATCGCCCGCAGCACAACAACCAACACAACCGCCATGCCTCGGCTGAGAAAGGCGCATTGCAGGGGCCGCCCAAGCTGGGAAACCAATTCGTGGCCGACATTGCTCTCAGGCGTGTGCTCGCTCGTACGTTGCACGTGTGTTGTGTTTCGCGTCGAGTCGAACGGGAGACTGATCGTTCCTCTTCTAGTCTACATCGCCCCCGAAATCAACGGGCCTCTCTACCATGACCTCGCGGTTCTGGGCGACGCGGTGGTTGGTACTCCGATGCTGCGCTACCTCGAAGATGCGGAGCGGAATCCCTCGAAATTGGTGTCGACACCGCCCGACGCGTTTGGACAGCACACCGAAAACACCGAACTGCGTACCTCTGAAGGTTGGAGGAGGCTACTCGAGATCGGCGCGAAGGAAGGATGTGTCGCCGAGGGATACGGAGGAGAGCTGGGTCGCATCGGACAGTTTGCACGGTACACGAGCACGTAGTACCCAACAACTCTCTGCCCACTGCTGACGCTGGAAAATAGCTACTACATCTTCTGCCCGTCGTCAGCCCTCGTGACCTGTCCCTTCGCCATGTCCGACGGCGCCGCCCGCCTGCTCCAACGTCATCTGGTGTCGCCCCGGCCCGCTCCGCAGACGCAAGCGCTCGACTTCACCGCCGTCACATTGACCGAGGACGAACGCGAGGCCGAGACTTCACGACGTGTTTTCAAGCGCGCTTACAACCGCCTCATCTCGCGGTTCCCCAACATCCGCTGGACCAGCGGCCAATGGATGACGGAACGTCCGGGCGGGCAGCAGGACGCGCGTACCGAGACCACAGCAGCCTACAAGCCTTTCTCGGGGCCGATGGCTGACAGGCCGGAGCAGGAGATGGGACCGTGGGTCGTCAATGGTCACAAGTTCTTTTCGTCGGCTACCGACTCGGACATGACGATTCTCCTTGCCCGCACCGAGGGCAGCAAAAAGCTGTCGGCTTTCTATGCGCCGATGAAGACGCCCAGCGGCGACAACAACGGTGTTAAGATCACTCGACTGACGCCTAAGGCGGGAACCCGAGCGTTGCCCTCGGCGGAGATTGAGCTCAAGGGCATGCGCGCCTGGTTGATCGGTCAGGAGGGTGATGGTATCCGTGAGATTTCCACCATCCTGGGCATCACACGTGTGCACAACTCTGTTTGTGCCGTGAGCTTCATGCGACGAGCGCTTTCGGTTGCTAAGGTGTGTTATTTTTTCCATTTTCTCTTCTCTCCGTGTTAATGTAGACCCCATAGGCATACTCGCAAGTCCGCCAAATCTCTGGTGGGCGCCTCCTCCGCACGACGCCTATGCACATCCGCACGCTCGCGCACATGGAGTTGTTGACGCGCGCGGCCACGCATCTCGCCTTCTTGAACGTGTACCTCCTCTCGCTCTCGGAGAATGCAGCCACCACGCCCGTCTCCTCGATCTACGTCCCTCCACAATCGGCACACAAGCTCCTGCGGTTACTGACGCCGCTCACCAAAGCGGTGACCACCAAGCTGTCCATCTCCGTCCTCTCGGAGACGGTCGAAGCGCTCGGCGGAATCGGGCTCCTCGAGAACGAAGAGCCATTGAACCTAGCGCGGCTCCTGCGCGACGCGCAAGTCCTCTCTGTGTGGGAGGGCACCACGGACGTGCTCATCACGGACCTGGTTATGTCACTGAAGCGCCCGTCCCCCGATGGGCGCGAAGAGCGCACATACGCGCTGATGGGCGAGTTCCTGCGCGAGAACCTCGGCGAGCAGTCGGGCGGCTTCCAGGGCGACGCCGGTGACGTCCTCGAGCGCTGCAAGCTCGCCATCTGGACCGAGTGGGAGGCGCTCGAGCACCTGATCGAGGGCGGCAGCCGCGAGGAGCTCGTTGGTGCCGGCAGGCGCATCCTGTGGAGACTCGCCTGGGTCGTTGTGGGCACTATGCTGCTTGTTGACGCGAGACGCGATGGCGATGGCGCAGCTGTGGAGGCGGCGAGACGCTGGGTTACGGAGCGCGCAGGGCTTGTTGATGGGAAGATCGGTGGTGCCACGGAGAAGGAGAGCGCCTGGGACGCTGTGCTCGTCTTTGGCGCGGAGGATAAGGCCGAGAGGGAGAGGGAGAGGAGCGGGCATAGGCTGTAAGTGCTGGAAGGAGGGGGAGCGGGGATGTAGGGGGAATGTGTATAGCGGATATACCTTGTGTTCCGGTTTGTAGCGGTACGTGCTTGCGTGCGTGCGTGCGTGCGTTTGCTTAATGTTTTTTTTTTTTTTTTGAGATTTGGCTACTGTGTATCTGTGTATCTGTGTGCTTATGTCTATGTGTCTGGCTGTGTGTCTGGCTGTCTATGTGTCTGTCTATGTGTCGGTCTATGTTTCTGTGTCTCTGTGTGTCTCTCTCTCTGTGCTGTGATGATGGCGGTGGTGGTAGCGATGGCGATGTTGCGGATATGTGATGTGAAGTGATGTGTTTGGATACCGGGATTTGGGTTAGATGACGGGGGTGACGGGGTGATTGAGTGTGATGGGGGTGATGGAGGATATGGTGAAAGAGTGAGGCGGAGGATACGGTGAACGGCGGGGATGGCCAAAGGGAAGGGGTGGGATGGTAATCGAGACGAGAAAAACATGATGGAAATTGGAATTTTTGGGCCGAGTGAAGAATACATGTCCATGTAACTGAGAGCCGTGAACTGCCAACACTACCTGGAGTCCTGGACTCGCGAGCAGCCTGCGTCATCAAGTGTCATCCCAAACAGAGTGACTGTCTTCATCGGCGGAAACGGACGCTAGGCCGCGCAAGGTATACAAACTAAAGAAGAAAGGCTCGGTGCAGTGAACACTGGGGGTGAGTGGAGGTGGGAGGAGGTGGGAAGAGGTGGGAAGAGGTGGGAACTTGGAAGAGGACCGCTGCTTGGAATCTAGATATTCTGATGATGGATGGCCACTGACCAGCGCGGTCACAGCACTCGACTTGAATCGACTGAGCTGATCGAGGAAGAGCAATCCTAATACTACATAGTAGAGGGCAAGCGGGAATGTATGGTGTGGTGTGGTGTGTCAATGCTACTGTCTACATATGATGATCTGATGATTGATGATTGGACAGAAACAAAAACAAAAAACAAAGAGCATACCTGGCGCGTCAATGCTATGATGATTGAACAGAAACAACAAACAATCAGCATGTCTGGCCAGGCGCGGCGGGCTTGCCGGCAGGTAGGCGCTTAGTTGGTGGCCTCTACATAGGAAATTTACCTACAGTATCTACATATTTCACTCGTCCGCCGGGCACACACGCGACCAACTATCCAGCGTCCGCGAACATAAGCGGTAGATACCCATAGCTGAGGAACCGCCCTCCAACTTCCACCACAACTCGACCCAGAATCCCAGATTGAATACCTACAAGATTCCTCCAGATTCCTTCGGATTCCCATGGAATCCTCGCAAGATCTAATCGATCGCCTCTACTATACATAGAGTACATACTTGGTGACGGGAGTCCCAAGAACCGGTTCCAAGTCCCCAGTTCCAAGGTCCAACCATCCGGATCTATTGATATATTGATATCTCTATATGTACTCTACAGGTTGCAGTCTCGCAGTCGAGTCGGCTAGCCACAGCCGTCGGCCGTCGGTCAATCGACTTCTCGGCGGCGTTTAACGATACCCTGGGCGTGTGCACTACTAGGTAGTTCGTAGGTAGTAGGAGGTATCTACACGAGCGGCAAGCAGGAATACGTAAATGCGGATCCGCACGGCCGCGGCGGAGACTTCGCGTAGTTACTATGGATACCTATTGCTATGGATACCTGTTACTATGGATACCTGTTAATATGGATACCTGTTACTATGGATACCGGCCTGGGAACCGGTTGTCGCGTCCGTACACATGTAGGTATCCAACGCGTGTGCCCTACACGTGAATTTGATTTCCACACCCAATTTTCTCAAACGCTGGTACGGCGCGGTTTACATTTAGAAGCAACCGCGAAGGCCCGAGCGGGTGCTGTGATTGGCCAGCACGGACGTCTTCTGTAACACACACGCACACCCACAGCGCAGGGTTGCGCGGTAACTAGGCCAGCCTCCAGGCGCCTATCATCCATCCATCAATGCTGGTCGATATCGAATACCTACTTGCCTACCCTCAAACATGCCATTGAACGTTCATAGCCAACCAACCAGTCGGACTGTCGGACTGTCGAACGGTTATGATCCAGTCTGAAACTCGGCTTGAATGGAATGGAATGGGGTGAACGGCGGCGGCGAAGGCGGGAGATCGCTGAAAACTGAAACTGATACTGGGAATCGAGCTTGAGCGGGCGGGCGTGGGTTAAAAATAATTTCCTGAGATATCTGAGATGTATGCTCTGAGATGGAGGTGGATATCCAGATAGTTAGTAGATAGGGGACTGGAATGGAATGGAGATTCGTGGTGTATATAACAGTTCCTGCTCCTCCGTGTATCAGGCCCTTTTCTTTCCTTCCTATCCAACACACACACATACACACAGCACAGTCTGACGAGTTCTCTTTGCTTCGTTTCCTTTTTTGTTCCTTTTTTTCTTCTTCTCTTCTTCTCCTTCTTGTTCATTTCTTCACTTCGTTCGTTTGATACGTTCTTCATCTTCATCTTCATCTCCAGATCAGCCAGTCTCGATCACCCTCACGACGAAAAGCCAGTCTTTCCATCCTCTACCGCCCTTCCCTCCCCCCCTCCCACTCTTCCCACCACGATGCCCCTCCCCACGCACGGCGCCGTCGGCCTTGCCTTCCTGGGCACACGAGCGCTGCAGCTAACGAGCCTGTTGATCTCACTCTCGCTCTCCGCGAAATTCATCAGCTCTATAATCGACTCTCAGCAATCCCCTCCTGCGCCTCTAATCGGCGTTCTCTCCGTCGTCTGCTTCGCCGTACTCTACTGCGTGACCACGCTCCTCCTATACTGGGACAACCAGCTGCCGCTCCTGCCCACCGCCGCCCTCGACGGCCTGTTCTTCCTCGCTTGCATGATCAGCGCCATCATCATCGGCAAGCCGCTAAGCTACCTCAGCTGTAAGGCGGCGACCGGTGGGGTCGGCGCGCTCGCTGAGACCCTCGCCGCCGGGGCGGCCACGCCAACGCCCACCCTTGCAGCGGTGACGGCAGCAGTGTTCACCCCCGCCGCCGTAACACCATACACCGCTGCGGCCGCCGCCGCGACGGTGTACACCACGACCACGGCAACACTGGCCAACACCGCGGCCACAGTAGTCGCCACACTCGTCCCGGGCGGCAGCGCAAAGGTCCTCGGCAGCGACGGGAACACGTACACGATCTCAAAGCGGCAGCAACAGCAGCAGTACGCGCCACAGGACGTGGGTTACGAGGGCTGGCTGCACGCCGGCGGTGAGGGCGACTGTGTCATGATGAAGGCTGTGTGGGGCTTTGGAATCGCGCTCACGATACTTTTTGTTTTTAGTGCCGTCATGGTCGCGTTTATTTGGAAGGCGGAGAAGCAGAGGGGGATGGTTGGGAGGAAGGCAGCGGCCACGGGGGACGCGTAGGCTAAGGAAAGAGGGGGTGGGGGTGGGGAGGGGGTGGCTTTTGGTCTTGAGACGGTTTTTGCATAGCGGGGGTTTTGTTTTGGGTGCATTTTTAATTTGTTTTTTCTTCCTTCCGGGGAGGATGAGGGCTCGATTGTGGCATTGATAGATGTTTCTACTCGAGCATGTAATGGATAGCTGTGCTATGTTTTGAAAAAATACATAAGGCAAATACATGTCGGTTCACTTCACTTTTCACGAGCACGGAATCTGACCAAAACTCAAGACCCCGAGGACCGACCTGTCTTGTCTCTACTAAATAATCTACTCACTCGTGTACATACATAAAGTACTGGTACTCAGGTACGGTACTACCTCGCGCAGTCAAGTCCCCCGCCGCCGCCGTGCGGATCCGCATTTATTCTTGCCGCTCGTTTAGATACCTACTAGGTAGTAGGTAGTGCACACTGCACACGCCCACGGTATCGTTAAACGCCGCCGAGAAGTCGTCAGGTCGATCGGCCGACGGCCGTGGCTATGTAGCCGACTCGACTGCAACCCGTACTCTGTACTCTACATATGTAGTACACACCCTGAGATATCAATAGGTAGATCGGGATGGTTTGAATTTGGAATTTGGAACCGGTTCCCGGGACACCCCGTAACTACTCTACCGGTACCTATAGTAGAGGCGATCGATGGGATCTTGCGAGGATTCGCGACGGGAATCTGAAGGAATCTTGTATTGAATCTGATCCGACATAGTTACCGCTTATGTTTGTGAACACTGGATAGTTGGTCGTGTGTGTGGCCGGCAGACGAGTGAAATACCTTGGTAAATTAGAGACTACCAATTGGCGCCGGTCGGCAAGTCCGACGCGCGAGATATGCTTTTTCTTTTTTCTTTTTGTTTAATCATTGTAGCATTGCCGCGCCAGGCACGCCTTTTGTTGTTGTCCAATCATCATATGTAGCATTGACGCACCAGAGATGCTTGCTCTAAGTATTGGAATTACTTGACCGGCGAGAGTCGAGTGCTGGGACAATCCCCCCTGCCCGCCGCATAGGCTGTCACACGTAAAGAGTGATATGAGCTTACGTGCCCGCTGTTTTTCTCTTACCACATCCTCTCACCTCCACTGAGCCCTTCGTCTTTGGTTTGCGCAGCCCGGCGTCCCCGTTTTCGCCGACGAAGAGGGTCACATACCTACGGTAGACGCCGCTGCTCCCCCCAGCTTGATCCGCTCAGAACGGGACGCTTCTCCCCTTCCGATAATTCCCTTTCTTCACTTTCTTCTCCGTCCTTTTCTGTTTACGCTTCCCTTCTGCCTTCTGCCTTCTGAGATCCCTCATCCGTCTCACCATGGCGAGGTACTCCGATCACTGGAGGCTACGGTATTCCACATTCCCAACTCCGTCGCGGAGGTGTGCTCGATGCCTCCCGGTCAATTTTTTTACTGACTTATATGACACCGAGTGCCCGACAGAGATACGTTTCCTAGAGTATCCTTACTCTCGCCGGCGGTCAGACGGAGGCGCGGAGGTGAGTGACAGGATGTGTAGAGTACCCACCCGCCGCAAGAGTACCCGTGAGGTACACATCACCCGCGATGATTCGATAAACGCTTTTCGGTACAGCCAGCCTTCGGAACATTGATTTTACTTAAATAGTTACCGCATCCGCATACCGGTAACGTTATTACGTCGCCGCCTCATCCCACTCGGAGTTGACGCACACACATGGATTTGACAGGAACCGGTTCCTTCCCCTGTTGATAACACTCTATACACACGAGGTCGGTGCATACGCAGGGCACTCCAACTACAGTCGGTGGACTGTTACTGTGACTGTGGGCCCAGCTTCGGTAATCCCAATTACTCCGATGTTTCGCCACGAGGTAGTTTACATTGTGCAGTTAGTCTGGACAGCCGAAAGAAGTAGACATGTGTTGACCGCTCGCGATGAAGCAACTTATCCCGCCAACCCAAAGTCCGCAGACTAACCACAGTGCGTGAAGCCAGCAGAGCGTACAAACATCCGGGTACGAGGACAATTGTCTACCAAGTCAATGTTTTTTCTCCAACGTCCCACGGCCCGGCGGCGGGCGCGACGTGATATCTTATGACGCGCTCCACGACGTGCACCGGTCGGCCCGCAAGGTGGACAAGTTATGTACAAGTTGCATACAACACCCAGAGCGCAAGAACACGCGGAAGGGAAGCACCTTCATATAGGTAGCCAAGCAAGTACTTGGTTAAAGCTCTACTCTTATCTACTACTAGTTATTACAGTATTACTGCGCCCCAGCCGCACCCCCGACACTTGGCATATTATTGAGGTCGAAACCGCCGCACGCCGTTGGATCAGGTAAATTCTGGCGGCGGGCCTGAAGGGACTGTACTATTACTATACATACCTGTACTTACTTGCTATACTAGTAGTACTCTGGACCGCGACCGTGAAATCCATGGTCCTCGTGTCAGGGTCTCGTTCGCGGATAGATAACTACCATTTGTTACTCTACTTGAAGTATCAAATAAGCACCTACTTATTTAATTTGTTAGTAAGTGTTATTCAGTAGTGTCCTCGGGACGGTCGTGGACTCGTGGCGGGAACGCCTTGCAGGGCAGGGCGATTCCACCGGGAATTCTCCTGCTGGGCAATTAATCTCGCTTCGGCTTTCCGAGCGCTGGGAGCTGGATCAGTCGAACATGAAGGTGGCGGACTGGGGCTGAAAACTGGAAATCACAAAAGAAAGCTGATGCGAAGGCCTAAGGGCCTAAAGGCGCCCGCAAGAGTGTCTCGCCGTTTCGAGTGGTTTGTGGCGCAAGGTGCGGGGTAGTTAGCTGGCCATGCGGAATCGATAACTCAGTAGGCTAACTAACTAGTAGTTACCTGATGGTGGAGGCCGCTGTTGCCCGAGGGGCAGAAGTCTTGGGAGCGGTGCTGATGCCCGTGGAACGTGTGGACTCCAACACAAAACAAGCCCCGTCCGCATGTGCCATGGCGGAGCTTAAAATAGACGGTCAGCATTGAATTTGATGGACCATGGACCAGGACCATGATCCTACACTGGCGACTGGGTAAACAAGCCAGCATCGATTTTTTTGCGACGTCTTTTGATAATTAGTTAGCTGTAGCTTCCGTCGTTTCCTGCTCTGCTCCGGGGGAGTGAGTCCTGCAACGTTGACCGGCGCTGGCGGGGCGGGGGGCGGTATGTAGTCGGTCGGTCAATTGCTGGCGATCGGTCAGGGATGGGGCCCGATAGTACTATATGTGCTCACGAAGAGTGGCTGCCTGGTGGAGACTCGTTTGATTCGTCCCAGTGCAGTGGGTAGTGGCTTATGCTACTTTTTTCAGCTGTAAAGCCCCCGGTGTCGGTCCTGTTCACTGTTCGCATTGCTTTGCTACTTCTTCTCCTCTTCCTCTTCACCCTCCAGTATTGTATCCCACGAGATTGAAGAAGCGGCTGCTTCACGGATCCCCTCTCCCCACTCTCCCCCGCCGCCTCTGCCATCGCTATTTGCACTCGTCCGACGAGATAATAATTGACGTCCGGCCCAGCTCCGAACAGCTAGAGTACAGTGTCCAGACAGCCACATCGGCAGTCCCCAGACGCGCCGCTACAGCGATGTCGCACAACGAGTACCACCCTGTGCAAGGCGCAAATGCAGCAGAGATACACTTCGAGAACGCACCGCACATCCCGCCGCACTACTCGTCGGCCTCCGAATCCGACGACGAAATCGAGAACAACAACAGCGCATCACGACAAGCAGCGTACGCATCAATCTCTCGCGGGCCCGATCCCGAAGGCCTCGAAAAGGGGCCGCACACCGTGGACACGGTAGCGTTGGACGCGGACGGCCCGATTGCGTCGTTCGCGCACGCAACACTGCAGACGCGCTACTCGACCATAGCCCGGCCCGGGCAGAAGAAGCTCGGGCACAACTATCGCCCGCTAAAGCAGCTGCGGAAGCTCGCACAGCGCCTGATCGCCCGATGGGTCCTCAATTTCCTCTTTTGCTCGCTGATGGTCGTCATGTTCAAGTATTACGAGGCCGATGGCATCTTGACCCAGTTCGAGAAGAGGATTTTCAACGGGTTGTTTCTGGGCTTGTCGCTATTTATCAGTATGAATATGGTGGTACGTGGTTGCCCCGGTGACGGGTGGTGTGTGTGTTTTAGTGATGCTGACGACGGTACTTACTCGTTTACTAGAATGCGTTGAAATCGATGGCCGATATGATGAAATGGAGTATTCTGGCGCGGGGGAAATGGACTGCACGAGAGGTGGGTCGAAGCCTCGATCCGGAATATCTCGATGCGGCAACTGATGGATGATGTGCGCTTCCCCCTCCCAGATGGATCTACTTCTCAGTATCTCGAGTTATCAGAAGGCGGTCAAGCTACTCGGACTATGGAAGAGAAATCCCAAGCGGGTATTCATCCTGACGAACTGGATTTGTTTGGGCCTTGTAAGCTGGGCGGCTCCGGTCTTTCATGCATGTTATGGTGCTCATCCGGTTCGCAGGGAGCACAAGTCACCGTCGCAATCCTCGGTCTGACATTCAACCACGAAAGCGAAGACGCCGAATTCACCCTGTCGGGCAAGGTAAACGTGACGATGCTTGACCACTACTACCCCGACACTGCGAAGGCAACGCCACCGGCGGCGTGGCAGGAGGACTATGTGGCGCATCTGTACGGCGACAGTACGATGACTACCTCCTTCCTCTCTACTAAGGCTTGATCGCGGGGATGCTGATCCGCTCGCGTAGTGATATTCGCGTATATCACCGGTAACGAGACGGCGAAACAAGCCGGCGGGACGATCAACACGATCGGGACGATTGAGGATGCATCCATCTCACCTCTCGACGAAAACACTCTCTCCGAGTCGGGCTACACCGGCTGGAAGTATCGGGTGAGCATTGGTGGACCACCTAGTTACACGAGGCCTTGGCTGGGCTGACACGGTTTCTCTCGGCCGACTGCAGTACAGTGATTGGACAAGGTATTCGGGGCAATACACCTCTCACAATTTCGTAACCCAACGCACCGTCACGATCGATTCCGCTTGCACGAGAAGTGCCATCGTCGAAGGACAGGATGGGCTCGCCGAACGGATTACCGTCGAGTTTTCCAATAAGACCAGAGAGGATATGACATGGCTACATAATGTACGTCACACCTACCTATTTCCTAATCTGGCGGTGACTAACTTAACTGCAGGTGGGATCAGAGGGAACGTAAGTCACGCAGCACATCGGTCACTCGTTTTGTCAACCTAACGTCCGCAGCACCTACGTGTATACGGGAAACCACTGCGGCGAGCGCTGCGCAGAGATACTAGTCTTCCAGATGTCCCCCACCGATGACCAGGATATTCCGCTCCGAGAAGGCGATTTTTACAACTGCACCGTTTCGGTCTCGAAAGTCACGGGCGCCACACTCCCCGAGCACGAACTCCCTGACAATACGGCGGTGCGTGCAGCTGCGGCCATCGGCCTGAGCGGCTTCTCGTACACTCCCGTGAATTATACAAAAATTGAACTATATCAGAGCTTCCTGTACAACAACGCGTAGGCACACCATACACACCCTCACTCCCACTTTCTCGGCACACACTAACCGCCCTCCAGCACGGAATGGGGCCAATACATGGGCGGCAATGCCGACATGATGGCGTCAGTGATAGGACTCTTCACAGCCGGCAGCCTTGCCAACATGGACCGACACAATCCTCGTGTCGAAGTGATCGGAATGCGACTCAACGCCGGCGTGCGGCTGCTCGTAGTCTGGCGCTACGTCTACCTCTGCCTCAGCATAATCCTCGGCGGCCACGCCATCCTCGCCCTCCTCGTCTGCTTCCGCGCGAACTCGGTCTTTTGCAAACAAGACTCGCCCCTCTCGACCGCAAGACTGCTGAGACGTAAGTCGCCCCCTAACTCTTGTTTCATGACACCCGGCTAACACCGCATAGCAATCGTCGAGCGCCTAGGCCCCTCCGGCTGTGCCGCAAGCGGCGAGGAGATCGCTGCGTCGTTCCCGATGAAGATGAGCTATGGAGTCCGAAGCTCCACAGGCGGTACCGTGCACCATCTGGATATCGGCGAGGACTTGGAGATGATGGAGGTTTTCCCGAAGGGGTATTATGATTGATCGCGGCGGTCTGCGGTGGGGAGGGGGAGGGGGGATGGGCGGGGATATATAGTTTTTTGTTTTGTTTTGGGGGGCGTTTTGTTTTTTGTTTTTTTTGTGGGATAAGGGAAAAGGGGAAAAGATTTGTGAATATGGATTAAACATGGGATAAGATGTTCATTAGTAAGATATACGAGGTAGGACGAATCTAAATGATCTTCCAACTCACGACGCACGTGCACATGCGAGGAGACTCACTCGAGCGCCATAGAACCATAGAGATCGGTAAACCGTAACCACGTAGATCACGGCTGGCAGACGGAGATTCGATCCGACGGTTGCATACTTGGTATGCACGTCACGATGCGAGGATATATTCCTCCAGCTGTAATGCCTTGGATAGATCGAGTGCTCGATCTATGCAGGGTGTCGTCGGCATCTTCTCCACGTTCCCCACGTTCTGTCAGAATATGGGACGTCCGGAGATGACGATGTCCCTAGTGTACTCCAGTGGGGTATCTGAGCACAGGTGATGGGTGACGGGTGATGGAGCACCGACCTCCTGAAGGGATTGATACAGGGATTTCCTAGTCTATGAAGCTTGTATAGGTATAGAGAGAGCTCGCTGCTCACGATGTTGCTGCGGTATCGAATACTATTGTCATGTTTATCTACCTCATATATTCAACACGTTCCCCACGTCTTATTCATAGTACGTAGTACCGCAGCAGAGCAACCCCCAGGTCCCGACTCTTTCCAGAGCCCAGCGTCGCATCCAGTATTGTTACCCACGATGACGACATCACAAGACCCACGACGAGATGGCGGATGCATAATAGTGACAGGACTCGAGCGCGTACGCGCCATGGGGCGGGTAGTCGCCTGAAAGCTATGCGGGGTTGCGAGGTTGCAGTTGCGGTTGCGGGTGCTGGCCCCGGCGTGGGTAGCCGCGGGTTCATCCTGCTTCAACGTTTTACATGAGTGCACATACCCGTCTGCACCGAATCTTTCAGCACCATATCTGCTACAGCCAGCACGTTTTCAACCTTCGTCCGTATAGAAGCTTAAGGCCCTCCCCCCAAAGTGGCTGAACGGCCGGTGCCTCTCAGCACTGAGCTGGAAAAACCACGATTATCGATCGAAACCGAGTGATCGTATATGTCCTCAATAGCCGGACCAGATTAGGAGAACATCCTTCGAGAAGTCAACTCTTTGAGGCCACGTGTGGTGGTATAGAGAATGATCTACTTTGGAAGGATCGAGAAGGATCTGTTAAAGAAGGATCTACCATAGAAGGATCTAGAACCGTCCGCATGCGGCTGCTACGACGGGTGAGGTGATATGTATGACAGACCTGAGTCACCTGACAGACTATATGGACACGGAGGGTCACAGGCAATCTGTTCCTTCTTGTTCCTATCCCCTTCTACTGAGTCGACAGAAGTTTGAACTTCGAACCACTGCATTCGAGACACGTGTGCCGGGGGGCCGAGGGTGGGTACTTCGCCGCCGAGACCAGCTGCCGCGTCCGTTCACGTCGGAAACGAGCCAGTTGGAGGGGAGTGAATCGGTTTATCTCGCGGGCTATTGAGATTGCAGTCAGCACGGTACAGGGACGGATAGGAGATTGTGAGTGTGGGATTTGGTGGGTGTGATCTTGACAAGGTCGACCGCCGCGCTCCGTATGTACGTCAACTTACGTGAAAGGTTTGAACGATGTCTTGCACAATGGCTCGCTGCCCGCTGCCCACCGCCGCCTGGTATGTTGTGATTCACAATATAGCGAAGATGGTGTTCTCATCCCCGCTACAAACCTACAAAGGCGCTATGGACAAGCCACAGCCACAGTTGCATGCCACAATATCTTGCATTGGTGACGTTCTGGACACATACATAGCATTTAGGTATTAGGCTAAGGTTTGACTCGCACGTATCATGCTTTCCCTGACAGATGTACGTTCTGTTAAACTATATTCCCCTGAAGCGTGTGAAAAACACAGCTATCAACCCCAACAACCAACCATTCTATTTCGGGCACCCTCCACCACCTGGAGAATTTGCTTCAAGTGAGCCATGAGAGAGAGAGAAAACATTGATTTATCGGCGAACGCCTGTAGTCAAAAAAATTATGGCATTATAGGCGTTTGCCCTTAATGTATTTTCGCGTGCGGCCTTACTAAACTACGGCGACCACCAACTTCCCGACCCTTCCTGTCAGCTCCGCGGGGTAGAGAGAAAGCTCTGTCATCTCGGCTCCACGTGCACGCTACCTACTATCGTTCAGATGGTAGATGATCTTCGGCGTATGGGTGCTCAACCACGAGTGAGATATAGTGTTTCAGAGCCTGAATCTTATTTCCAGAAGCCTCCAGCTAATGACTCTTATTTAGTACTGCTACAGGTTATTTGCCACATTTCGCTGTCCTTAAACATAACTGGTGTGGTACAAAAGCTACTATGCGTGTCCACCGTCTTGGTTTGGTGGCGGTGGAACGGCATCGGCAGCGTGAAGTCGAGACAACGTCAGAAGGCCCGCCGTGAGGGTATTAAAGTGGCACGTTGGTTACAGGTGATATCTCTCCGAGAGGCATGATTTTGCGATCTCTCACATAAAATCCATCGTGATAGCATTAGGAGAACGCAGATAACTGATTGCGAGGCGATAAAACACTATAATGGTTAGTGACGTGCCTTGACTTTGTACTGGCTGCGGAACTGGGCCTCGACCTAAGAGGTGAAAGAAAACTCAAATACGACGTTCCCCGAATTCCGATACAGATAGCGCCAGCCGCATACACTTAAGCTGAACTCCTCATAGTCGTGAAAGTTAAGATAGACGCGGAGTTCCAAAACCTTGAAAGGCAACCAAAGTTTCGAACTCCCTCGTTTAATAACAAGGCCCCCGCAAAACTAATATGCCAATATCTGCTCTTCATTGTCAACTTTTTTTTATACAGGAAACCGACAACACCCGCCGCTCTGCCCCGAAGCCTCTCAATCACCAGAAACGAACCCAACGAGCGACCCCCAACATAAGCGAGTACCTCCCGCCCCCAAATCAGCTCAGGCTTATGAACAACGTGTCCTGGGATCTCTATGTGCAGGTGACCGGCTGGTTCCTCGAAGTCCGGATAATGAATTAAGAGCGCGACGTAGAGGTGATATCGGCGGCCCCACCGATCTTAGAGTGACAAGCTAACCAGCCTGCGTAGATGTGGACCCTCAAACGCATGTGATGCACCCACGTCGACCAGTTACGCCTTGTAAAAGAAGCCACCGAGATGCACCGACAGGAGGTAGCTCGTCTCGAAGGGGCGGTCCTTTTCTATGACACGTTCCTCCAGAAGCATAACCGGCCGTTGAGCCTTGCCGAGATGGTGAACCTTCTTACCTTTGCCCAGGCAAACATGAGGCCTCAGCCGGACAGCGAATCTCGCCTGGCTCTACCTGCGGGAGTGGCAGCCGCCACTGACGACCCCTTTGCCGCCACTGACGACCCCTTTGCCGCTCACGGGTCCCAACTCGTGATGAAAGGCAGTCATCAGCCGAACGGGGAACCTCGCCCGGCTCCGCCCGTGAGGATGGCAGCCGCCAATGCCGACCCCTCCGCCGCTCGCAGGGCCCAACCTGGGATGAACGGCGGCCATCATCAGCACCAGGCTGATATGGCGTATAGGCTAGCGCGGTTTTAAGTTCAATTCCTGACCTTGAGAAGCTCAATCATCGTAACAACCTCCTCATCTTCAGCGATGAGCATGTGTAACTTCCGCAGGTGAGACAGGGGGTATAGGTACATACTCACTCTGCTGTATTCAGCACGAGCTGCGGGCTTGCACCGCTTCGTGTTGCGTACACAACTACTAACTACTAACTACTAACGACTCCGGTGATCCATTGCAAAAAAAAAAAACTCTTGCCCTTGGTACGAGTGCAAGTGCACCGTTGTTTCGGTCCGGACTCCGTCGTGGGCGTGGATTTTCAGGCTTTTCGGAATTTCCCTGTTTGGCACTCCAGCTGACAGGGTTTAAACCAAAAAACCAAAAACAAACTCGAGCTGATGGACGGGCTGCAGCAGCAGTGGCGGTGCATTATGCATCTCTCTCTCTCTCTCTCTCTTGAAACGTCAAACCATTGTTGTGTCGCCCGGCTAGTATGTATCACCGAACGCGGCAAATTCCAAGCGGCTTCCCGTCTACGCTCGACGTCATTCGGCGACCGCAGGTTATGCATCCTGTCGGATGTAATGGGCGCGTGAGAGTGGGAGGCGTACGCTCTCGAGGCTTCTATAAATGCGTGGGTTCGCAACTTGCAACCTGTTGGGCGATAGCTAGACGTATCGATACCGAACGCCATAGGTCTACAGCGACTACATTCCGAAGCAATGCTTCTCCTCAAGGTGGGAAGCACTCCATCTACCCAACGATATCAACTAACAGCAGCCCAGTTTCTCACCACTTTCCTCCTCGCATGCCCCACAGTGGCTAATCCTCTCCCCGATGCTCCCGCTCCTCCCCTCACAAAGCGCTGGAACTCCCTCAGCTGCCACACGAACAACTACAAGCACACGGCGTCATGGGGGTGGACCACTGGGATGGAGGGATCGATCAATCTTGGATGCGGCGCCCTGTTTGGGTACTCTGGGCATCCGCGATGGGTGGCCAAGGGCGGCACGTTGGTGATCAGCGTCCCGCTGCCGACGAAGGGCTACGCCACGCACATCCAGGTCAGCTTCGTGGCGCGCCACCGCGGAACCTGGATCGACTCGAAGCTGTGCAAGAGTATGCTCGGCGAGGTGCTCTGGAGGTGCACCATCCGGAAGAAACATCAGGACGCGGTGGGAAAGATTCATGGTATGTACCTATGAGTGTGGGCTGGAGGTGCGGGCTGGAGGGAGAACTTGGCTGATAGTAAGGTGAAAGGTGGTTATGTGAGAACTGATGATGGGAATCTGGCGGCGATGATGGTATGTATCACTCTTGTGGCTGGCGAGACCGGGGCTAATGCGACAGACAGGCTTTTTTCCCGACTTGCTGCCATAGAGGTACCGATAAGGAATACGAGGAAAACTGGAGGGCGAAGCCGATGCCTGATATCAGGGACTGGGACTGATGGGGGTATCTGTGGATGGTTTGGTTTCAAGCTTGCGGTTTTGTTGCTTTCCCTAGTTTGTTGCTTTCCCTAATTTTGTTGCTTTCCCTAGTTATGTTGCTTTCCCTGGTTGGAAACCCGTATGTGTGATTCTGGAGTGCAGAGGTGTGGTATCGAGAGATGATGAGTGTGTGTACTTTGTTTACTGCCAGGAGTTCCAAATATCATGGACCTACATCGCAAATAATATCACGGGAATATGTACCGATGTAGGTACCTCGTCCACGCCTCGAACACATAAAACCAAAGAGATCTCCGCAGCGCCAACTGTCGACTCCATTTTCATTCCTCCGTTGTTAACATCTTCCCACTCTCCCATTAATCATCCTCCACCTCTCCCTCTTTAGCCTCTCAGATTGTACCTGGCGAACCCCTTCCCCCAGTTATTAGGCACCACGGTCTCGCGGGCTGGCTTGTTGACGTTCCTACCGGCGGGCGGCTCGACGGCGACGCTGGCGACAGCAACGGTGATGTTCGTGGTGACAGTGATGTTGTTCCCAGTGGCAGGCCTGAGCGCTTTTGGCTCTGCGCTGATTCCAGTGACGAAGCGGTCGGTGGTCGTGGTGGTCGTGGTGGAGTTGGAGGTGGTGGTCTTGCGACTGGTGGATGGACAGGATAGTGGACATCCCATTATGCTGTGGCTGTGCGGTGTCGGGTTAGTTGAGTGGTAAAGGAAGATAAGAGGGAGGAAGGAAGGAAGGGAGGGAAAGAGGCAGCGGAGGGCTCTCGAATTCCCGTCGCCGCTGCCGCCGCCGACTCCGAGTGATCGCTCGGTATTCTAAGCCGAGTGATATATTGTGCCAGTGGTGTGGCGCGGGCGAGTGACCGCTCAGTGTCCGCCACAGCATGCAGCACCCCGCGCCGGCCCGAGAGCGGCTACTACCGTATCCCTCGCCCTCGAGTGTTCCTTTAGGGTTACTTCGGTAGGTACACTGCACACTACAGACCAACCTTTACATACGCACGATTACCAGAACTTGCAACTCCGACGCCGTGCAAACCTGTCAGTTTCCATTTCCATTTCCGTTTCCGTATCCGTTTAAGGCTCTTCCTTCTGAAGTATGTACTGCAGTATCGCAACGGCGAGTTCGAGCCTTCCACAAAAATCCCCACCATGAACGCCGTACGGTAGTTACTGGCCAGTGGCCACAGGCCACACGTGTAGGTGCAGTAGGTAAAGATCTCCAGCCTCCAGGTTAGGAAGTTAGCTAGTCAGATCATAGAGTACCTACCTAACCTACATACATCTTATGTAGTCTTTGCGAGCCACCATTGCCGACAAACAGCCAAAGCGCCATAACCGCATGTACAGCATCCGTACCATACCATACACAAGCTGGGGCAGGCAATATCACGAGCCGAACATCCGGAAGCTGGCCACTGGGCAGTGGGCGGCCTGAGGCGGGCGCGGCTGTCTGGTTCCACAGGGGCTGGTGTAAGCGAAGGATAGGAGAGATTGGCTGTGAGACACTGGGACTGGGGAACTAAAAATACGTGTGGCGATTGATTACATGAGTGACTACTGACGGCGGGCAGGCTGTCCGACTGTGGGAGCGCACCCGCCCCAGCCCTTAGAATAGAGTACCTATTGGCACTGCACATGGGTCATCACTCGCAGCCGGATCTTTTCACGCGGAGTCGGATCAGATGGCAGGAAGGTCGCCGTAATTAAGACGGGCCGTATGCGGCGATAAATCGATGTTCTCTCCCACCCCCTCTCTCTCTTGGAATCGGGATCAGAATCGGACCCGCAATGATCAATGATCAATGAAGACCCAGAAAAACTCGGAATTGGATCCCCACCCGGGCCCTATAGGCTGTACTACAGTCTAGTATCTACAGGACGGGCAGGGAGCAGCAGGTTGGTACATACGGTAGCTACAGTTCGCCATAGTCTAGGTAGAGTATCTAGAGGAGAGCAGAAAGGCTGTATTGATGTTCTTTTCATCTAGGCCTCTCTCTCTCCCCCCTATACATGTCTCTCTCCATCTATCTCTCTCGGAGACTCGGATCGATCAAGATATACCCAGTAGACTCCTCAACTTTCGACAACCTATAACCTACCTACCTAGTACCTACCGACTTCCTACCTTCGTTAGTCCGGTATCGGCCCATATACATTCCGTGCGACCTCAGCGCAGTGAAGCGAGCGAGTGAGCGACAAGCTCGCCTCGGAAAAAAACTTCGGCGGTAACTATCCCCGCCGGTTACGGAGTGGAGGCTGCGGTTATGAAATTAATCAATCAGAGGGGCCGCGTCCGCGTAACTAATAGTAGGTTTCGTCTGGGTCGGGGGTCGGGGGTCGGGGTTTGAGGCTCAACTGGTTACATGGTAGTAATAGTAAATAAAACGTGGGTCGTTGGTGGATTCTAGATTGTAGATACCCGGTTCGGGTAAATAAATCCTCCAGATATGATAATGATATACACACGCAGGTACGCGGCACAGGCACAGGCACAACAAGATGGCTGGTGGCTGGTGGCTGGTGGGCACTGGGGGTGGGCACTGTCCACTGTCAGCGCGGCAGATTGAGTGCCCCTTAAGAGAGGCGAACTTACCTATGGGCAGTTAGCAGGTAGCTGGCAGAGCCGAAGCCGATAGATAGATTGGTAGATCAGGTGGGTAGATATGGTGGATAGACAAGACGGGAGTCGGAGCAACGGTTGTGGATCGTACTCTGCCGACATACTTAGCGGACGGCGGACCGCTCCGCGTCTATTTAGGACCTACATACTAGGTAGCCTACAAGGCTTCCTTTCGCATTAACATGCAATTTCCTCGTCTGAGTATCCACCTTCGACATTCGTTTATGGCCAGCAAGGAAGGAAGGAAGGGAAGGTATATAGCGCTTGTCGGTGGCGGTGGTGGCCAGGCTTATCATGCCTACAACAGGCTGAGGAGGATCCACAGCCTACGGTGCCTACGGTATGTGGCAAGGTCAGCGACAGTCAGTCAGTCCCTCAACCGTGGATGATCCACTATACCTATCGTTGGTAACTTGGTAACTTGGTATAATACTGCGAGAGTCTTGTGCGCTTTCGAGCTGTCGGGAACCAGTATTCACAACCGCACCGAAGCCAGCCAGCCAGCCCGCCAGCAAGTAACAAGTAGCAACCATGATACTCAGTCTCCTCACCACGACGCTCCTCCTGCTGGCGCGCCCTGGGGCCTCTTCGCCCAGCCCATCCCACTGCAAGACGTACCCTGGCGACGCCGGCTGGCCCTCCTTAGCCGACTGGCGCACACTGAACCGGACCGTGGGCGGCAACCTCTTTGCGTACGTACCTTTGGGGAGCGTATGCTCCTCCACCAGCTCTCAGTACGACGCCGCGGGGTGCGCTTCCGTGCGCAGCAAGTGGGTGACGCAGGCGCTGGTGCAGGCGGATCCGGGGCTTGTGCGCGCGACGACATACACAAACAACACGTGCAATCCTCCGGCGGTGGCGGTAGGCGCGCCGTGCACACAGGGCTACTATCCTGAGTATGTGCTCCAAGCAAAGAATAGGAGGGATATCGCCGCGGTCGTCAGGTTTGCAAAGAAGAGGAATTTAAGACTTAATATTAAGAATACCGGCCATGTAAGTTGCTCTGCTTTAAGCGCCACGGCCGCACCCCCGAGTTGCGCGTGTGTGTGTTTTTTGCTTGCTTTTTTTTCCCGGGCTTCCCCCCACCCCCGCATCACCCGAGTCCTCAGTGATCACTCTACGATCACCCCGCAATCATTTGATGCTAACCATCGCGGCTCACAGGACTTCATTGGGAGGTATGTTCTTCCCCCCATTCCTGCATACGCGCAGCAGCAGCAGTAGCAGCGAACCAGCTTCCCGTTTGCAATCAATTCCCAGCTGGCTCCATAGTAGTCTACGTGGGGAGCAGATAAGTTAAGATAAATGTGACGGTGTGTTCGTACAGGAGCATCGCGCGGGGCAGCCTAAGCATCTGGCTGCACGAATGGAAAGGGAGCGAATTCTTCTCCGACTTCAAGACGTCCTGTCCCGGGTCGAAGGCGCAATATGCCGGCAAGATCACGGGCGGGAACCAATGGAAGGACACCTACTCAGAAGCTCTCGCCGCTGGAAGGTTGGTTGTCGGCGGTGCAAGTGCGGTAAGTTCACTCTATCGTGCTTGAGCGCCCTCTCGACCAGGCGGCGAGGCAGCGAGTCGGATGAAGGATTTAAATGAATGTGGAGAGAGAAAGAGAGGCTAATTCGCGCCAATGATATGTTTCCAGTCTGTCGGCTCCGTGGGTGGTTGTACGTTATCCTTATCGATGAAAAACCCAAATCTGCTCTTGCAATCCCCTTTCGGCTTTTGGGATGCGAGTGAGGAGTATCTGTTGGCTAATTAGTTTCTTTTTTTTCGTCCCTTCGGCAGATATTCAGGGCGGTGGACATTCACCGTGGGGCGCCCATTACGGGATGGCCGCAGACCAGGTTCTGGAGTTCGAGGCGGTGGGTCTGGACGGAAAGATTATCACCATCAACGAATGTACCAATCCGGATCTGTTCTGGGCACTCCGTGGTGGTGGCGGCGGAACGTTTGCGGTGGTGACCAGCGTCACCATCAAGACGTATCCCATTCCGGAGAAGATAGTCGTTGGATCGCTGTTGCTGTCGACGACGGATCTTTCTGGGGTGGCGGACACATGGTGGAGCGGCATTGGAGCTGTCAACGAAGCTCTGGGCCAGCTTTCGGAGGCGGGCGTCATGGGCTACTACTACACCACCCCCAGCATCAAGTCCTTCAGCTTCACCATCTACCACTTTGACGTCACGCCGGAGCAGACCAGGGCAGCATTCGCCCCGCTGATGGCCAAGCTCCAGGCCATCTCCGCCAGCGCCAACAGCACTGGCTTGCTGACATCTACGCTCACGGTCTCGGCCACCTCGTACGCCTCTCTGGTTGCTGGGTACGCAGCGGATAACGGCACCGCGGTGGTGTCTACCGGTGGCGGCTTCCTGATGTCGTCGCGCCTGCTTCCGGCATCGGCGATGAGCGACGACCCCGCCGCCTTCCTCGCGGCGTTCAGGACGGCAGCAAACGGCGCGACCCAGCTGCTCGGCCACCTAGTCGCGGGCGGCAAGGTGGCGCGCAACGCAAACCTGAGCGTCGCCCTGAATGCCGCCTGGAGGAACGCGATCTCCCACATGATCGTGCTGGAGACCACGAGCAGCGGCGCCGAGCCCGCCGCCGTCGAGGCGCAGCGCCTCGCCCTCGCCAAGAGAACCTCCGGTCTGCGGAAGCTCAGTCCCGGCTCCGGAGCTTACATTAACGAGGTACGTCTCTCCCTCCGTCCATCCGTCCATCCGCCCTCTTGGGCAGATCGTCGGAGTCTGGCTTGGGAGAAACATGCGCAGGTGATAGGTGATATATACTGACCGGCGGCGGTGCCTGGACGGATAGTGCGACCTGCACGAGGAAAACAAGTACCAGGCCTTCTTCGGAAGCAGCATCGACCGGCTGCTGCAAATCAAAAATAAGGTGGATCCCACCGGACTGCTGTATTGCGGGAACTGCGTCGGCAGTGACGACTGGACCGTTACCGACGGGAAGGTGTGCGCAAAATAGTCGAGTCCAGTGAGAGTGGTGTCGCGGGGCTACCCGTTGAGGGGGGTTTTTTCCTTTTTTTTCCCGGTTCTTTTTCTTTTTTCCGGTTCTGTTTCTTTTTCCATTTTCTTTTTCTTTCCCGCTTTATTTCAGGATGTTTCCATCCTCCCCCGAGCCGGCTAGTTAGATCAGATCCATACAGCGCGAGTTGGAATCCCATTGAATACCCAAGTTAGTTTTTAGTAGATGTGGTACGATACGATCCAACTGGCAATTCAACTACTACGAAGGGGAGAAAGAAACAAGGCAGGTTAAGCTTTCGGCGAGCGTTTGCCGCGCCGGGTGCCAAGCAGTACATATCGTAGAGTAGAGCAACTAGAGTACCTCTGTGCGGGAGGTGGTAGTTCATGTACTTGATGTATGTAGAGGTGCGGGGGGGAGGGGGGGAGGGGAGGGGAGGGGCAGGTTCTAGGCACGGCAAGTCAAGTCAAAGTCGACTCACATTCGCAACAATGCAGTGCGGTGTGGTGCAGTGCTGTTTGCATACCCACCCAGATTATGCGCATACGGTACATACATACTTCATAAGGCAAAGGCAAAGGCAAAGGCAAATGCAAAGGAACAACGGACGAACACCCGCGTGGTGGTGGCGGTGGTGGCGGTGGTGGCGGGCGGGCTTGCAGCAAGCAAGCAGGCAAGCCACCCAGCCGGCCAGCCTCGACTTACTTGGGTATCGCATCGCACGGCATCAATGCTCGGTCAATGATCAATGTCTTGTCTTGTCTTGTCTTGTCTTGTCTTGTCTTGTCTTGTCTTGTCTTGTCTGCGGCTGGCCTAGGGGAGGAGCTGTCGTCGGTCGATGTTTGTTTGCTCTGTCTCGCTTCGCTTTGTGCCGTCGCTGTCGTCGTCGTCGTCGTCGTCGGTTATGGTATGCGGTGAGCTCTGCTTGCGTCTAAGTACTTCGTTGTGAGTTCATGCAATCCTCGGAAGCGCGGGGACGGTCCGTTCGTTCGTCGGCTCTTTGCTGTCCCGCACCCACGCACCCACCGGCGACTCTCTCACTCACTTACTCGTGCGCCATTGCGCCGCTCCGCGCCGGACGCCGGACGGTAAAGGGGATCGCTGCATGATCGCTGGCTGCAGATCGCATGAATGTGGGTATCGACACATCTATCCATCATACCCGCCTACATAATGATATGTCCGCAGCGGCGGCGGTGAGCATGTATGCTACATACATCCATACATTCAAACGTACTACATGCCGGGGCCGTGATCGAAGCGATAGTGTCGCTCATGATTACCGATACATACATCAGTACATCAGTACATGCATCATACATACACGGAACGCCAATGCACTGCAGCGCAGTGCGATAAGGTGGCCAAGTAGTGCCTAGCAGATCGCATAGCTAACCCCTACTCCCCACCCCTGAGCGTCTCCAACTCCGCCGTTTGTCGTTTGCCTCTGGCCTGCCAGACAAAGCTTGGGGCCGAAGCATGTGTACTGGTATGCATGTATGCATGTATGCATGGACGTGCCCTGAGCTCGACTGAGCCTGTGCCCACAATGTCGCGTCGCGTCGTGCAGCGCCGATGGTACTGCGGTGTAGATACTCCAGATACTGGTTACAGCCGCTGTCGGATACATCATACGGTTGCGGTACTCTAGAGTAGAGTAGAGTACAGTACCGGTAAGATGTATGTAGAGTACAGACATGTGTGGAAGCTGTGCAATCTGTGTCCGTACGTGTGTAGATGTCTGTCTGTCGTCGGGGACAGATTGATGTGCAGCCGCACTCCCCAGCAGTGGATCACCGCCGACCGGCAATGCCTGCGTTGAAGCCTCGAAGCCTGGAAGCCCTCCAGAGCCTACATATGATATCGGGGTAGATACCTAGTGAACAATCAGGCAAGTCCTTTTAGCGCCGGGCTAACCTGCCTGCCTGCATACTGCCCGCCTTTGCTTTGCTTACGATCGCTGGAGAACTTCTCTCTCTCTCTCTTTCTGAGTTCTCTCGGCCGCGCTACGTACTCTACCACCGGTATCGGGATTGCTTTCGTGCCTACTCTACCTGCCCTACCTACTCTAGGTACCTGGTATTCTGAATGGAGAACGGAGGGAATTGAGACGAGACAGACGTCAGGTGCGACATCAACATCCAGCAATACCTCCTAGAGTAGAGTACCTGAACCCTACGCAGAGTACCTCCCCCCCCTCCCCCCGCACACCGCACACACATGTCCACCGGTGTGGACTTCCCGGATCGAGCTGACCGAGCTCGAGCTCCACAGCACTCCATAATACAGCACAGCAGGGCACAGCACAGCGGGATCACACTCCGACGACTCTGTCGTTAACTTGCGGCGAACTGAACGCATGCAAGTGCAATCATGATTTGCCTTGTGGGTGTGTGTGTGGGGGGGGGGGGGGGGGGGGGGATGAAAAGACAAGACAGAGAGAGCTATGTACAGCTACATATAGCTACTTACAGTGACTTGCATACTTACACGCCGGAAGTTGGCAAGAGAGCCGATCAATCATCAATCGTCAATGCCAATGCCAATGCCAATGCGTGCGGCCGCTGCTACTGGGCTGGGCTGGCGAGTGAGATTCAGTGAAGTCAAGTGGTGGGTGTTCTCTTTTTCTCTTTTCGTTTCCGTTCGGTCTTTGGGACTTGGGTTTGGGTTTAGGTTTGGGGTAACCACGACCGACCGAGCCAAAAACGACAGTAAAAGCAACAGCAATAGCAACAGCAATATCACCAGCAATAGCAACAGCAATAGCGACAGCAATACCACCAGCAATAGCAACAGCAACATCAACAGCGTGGTCTCTACGTGGGATTGGGATGAGATGGCACGCACACACGACGCACGCACGCACGCACGAAGCATCCGGGGACCGTACTCTGTGTACTGCTTTTTTTCATATTCCTTTTCTTTCTCGTATGCGCGCGCGCGTGGGAAGTCAGTGGTAAGAGATTTCTGGGCTGCGGGCTGCGTGCGGGCTGCCACCGAACTGGCGGGGAAACGTAACTCGAAACTCGAAGTCAATGTGTTTGGCCAGCAGCAAGCGACTCCGAGTCTCCGACGCTCTCTCTCCCGCCAATCACCGCCGCAGCCCTAGAGACGAAAAAACTAAACGACGACCGCAACAACAGCACAAAAATATTCATCGTGCACTGGACTGGACTGCACTGGACTGCACGGGGACGTCGGAGGCAGAGCGAGCTGTCACTCCCACTGTCCCCGCCTCCGTCCGTACGTTCCGGGGATGGAGCGGGGGGATCGCGCTTGATCTTCCTCTTCGTCACTGACGTTTGTTTGCCAGCCAGCCAGCCAGCCAGCCCGCGCGCGCGCGCCTTTCCGGTTACGGATGCGCGCTTTTTTTCTTTTCTTTTCTTTTCTTTTTTGGTTTTTTAGTTTTTTTCTCGGCCTCTCGCGAGCAAACAACTGGCCAGTGGCCGGACCGGAGTTGAGGGGACTTGGACTTGACTTGACTTGACTTGACTGAGACGTAGAGTACGGTAGCTAAGGTGGGGAGGGAGGTACTCTACGGAGGCGGGGACGGACGACACGACACGAATCCTACATAGACTCTAGTTAGGCGTTGGTGTCGTGTTCGTCCGTTCGCTCGTTCGTCCGCTCCTGCCTGGGACGTGGGGCACGCACTGCGGCACTGGGGCGGCGCCTGTCTGCCTCTCTGGCTGTCGTCGTGCCTCCTCCTCCGACGGCGACGCAGAAGTTTCATACGCCATAGTTGGTTGTCTCGTACTGGTTAGTACAATAGCTGAACCGGCATTGGTGATGTTCCTGGATGGATACCCACGGACGTGGGGGGAGGGGACTCAGGGAGGGGAGTAGCTAGCGTGGATCGAGGGGAGAAAGAAGCCCCAGCTATGCTACTAATTAGTAGCTAGCATGGATCCGCCCGGCGAGCTGCTTCGCGTCTATCTAATAATCCTATCCATAAGGCGAATGCTCGAAACGTAGATCCGAAACAATAAGCAATTGTTACTCTACCTCGTTTCCCCCGCCCCGCCCCGCCCAATTGCTGTCTTGAGTCTTGACTCTGCCAACTAACTACTATCTCGACACTGCCGCCTCGCCTCGACTCGACCTCGGTCTTGCGGTCGGTGTAATCGGAATCGGATCGCCATTCCCTACCGGTGTGTGGTTAACTCCGTAGGTTCCGTAGGCATTCAGGTATGTAGCTGCTGTTCTTGCCTCTGTCTCTGGTTCGGGAGTACGGTGCAATCGACAAAGATCTACCTACACGCCTAGTACCTACCCAGTACCTACCTACTGCTTCCACTCGGGCGTACATGTACTCTACACCGCAAATCTAAAGCCTTGCGATGATGGATGGATGGATGGATTCATGTGCCGTGGGTCGAACTCTACTCTACTCTACTCTAGCTAGGCACGGATGTAGAGCTCAGTCGGTCGGTCGGTATGCAGCGCTCACCGGACTGCTCAAACTGGGTAGCTAAGGCAAAGTATGTGAGTTTGTGAGAATGTGAGAACTCTTGGTAGTAGCAGTGGAAAACTAGCTCTCGGGCCAGCCAATTGATACCCAGCGCGGCTGTTTTTGTTTCCTCTCGTATCCAACACCCGGCTGTCTGACGTTGCTGCGTGCGGCGTGCAGGCTCGCATATCAAGATCATTGTTGCCGCCGCGGATCGGACTCCGTGTGGGGATTGATTGCGTATGTGTCGTTTCGGTGCCGGTGTCGATTCGTTGTGGATGTGTGGGTGGGTGTGGGGATGATAGGATACCTACCGTACCTATGCGTGTGTATGTGTAAGGAGGATAGGATAGGATATGTGCCGTGTCGACCTTTCAGGCTTTCATCTCACGATGCCCCGCTTTTCCCCCACTCAGTCTCACTCCCAGACGAAACGCGGGCAGCAATAGAAACATTGATACTTATCGCGGTGCCCATGTATGTACGTACATACTTGTTCCTGACTGGACGAACGGTGGAGCTGTCAGTAGTAGTTAGTAGCAGTAGTAGTAGTGGTTAGTGGTAGGATGTAGTAGTGGTTAGTGGTAGGATGTAGTAGTGGTTCGTCCGTGCGTGAAGCTGCCTCTCACCTTGTGTTTCACTCCACCCTCCAACAGCTGGCCTTGCTGCTGTAGAACTGACCGGATTGCAGTAGCTGGGGCGGGACTTTTCCTTTTTTTTCTTCCTTTTTTTTCCCTTTCTCTCCTGGCTGTGTGGTGAGTACCAAGTACGGTACTTACTGTACTAAGTAAATATTTTCCTTCCTTCCCTTGATGGCAACCTACCGGAACCAAGGCGTCGGGTCCGATTTTATGCCCAATCGCAGGCGCAGGAGCTGATGCTGCAGCATTAATGCCTTTGCCTGCAGCGCGTGGTGGTAAGGTGGGTGGTTTGCAAGACCGAGCAGAGAGCCCTGGCCACGCACAACCCACCCCCGGTTCAGCAGAAGCGGTTGCGAAGTTCGCCAGCAGACGAGGTACATGTCAATGACGACAACTATACCCACTACTAACTAACTAGGCACGCGCGATGTCTCTCTCGCTGCGACAGAGTACAGTAGAGTAGAGTAGAGTACTCTATCGTGTTTGCGGTTGCGGGCTTCCGAGGCGGGCCAGACTCCCCAATCCCAAATCCCTACCACCCCACCCACTACGCTGTTTGTATTGTATAGTACATGGCTCCCCCAAAGCTCAGCTCGAGATTCGAGTATTTATACCCACCATCTCCTCCTGGTTGGAAGCTACTATCTCACCCCATCAACATCAACATCTTCAACATCAGCGAATACAGCCTGCAGTATCCAGACCAGACCTCAATCCCCCAATCCCAATCCCAATCCTAATCCCTCGATCACAGTCCAATCCTCTTCCACAATTCACAATGGCTCCCCATGTGTCTCCCCCGTCCCCTCCCCTCTCGTCCTCCGCCTCCTCGGTAGCCAGTGACGATGGAGAAGTCTACGACATCAACGTCCCCTACAAGAAGTCGGGCAACTTTACCAAGCAGCCGGCAACGCCATACCCGGAGTACCTTCCGGCATGGGAGGAAGTGTCCTTCCCACCGATCCAGCCGTTCACATACGACGACCCCGCGCTGCGGGCGGACCCCAAGAAGCGGGCGCTTCTGACACCCTCGGTGACGGCAACCGACATCTCGCCCAAGATGGGCACTGAGCTGCAAGGCGTACAGCTCTCCACGCTCACATCGCAGCAGCGCGACGAGCTCGCGCTGCTCATCAGCGAGCGCAAGGTGGTGGTCCTCCGCGACCAGGACTTTGCCGACATCGGCCCCGAGGCGCAGCAGAACTTCAGCGACTACTTCGGCAAGCGCCACTACCAGCCCGTCACCGGCGCCATCCCCGGCTACCCCGGGTTCCACATCATCTACCGCGACGGCAACCAGGCCGAGATTGAGCGCTTCTTCGAGCAGAAGTCGACCGCGAACATCTGGCACCACGACGTCTCCTACGAGCGCCAGCCTCCGGGTTACGTCCTCCTGTGCATGCTGCAGTGCCCAGAGGTCGGAGGCGATACCGTCGTTGCTAGCATGACCGAGGCTTACAAGTACATTCCCCCCTCCCCATTACCTTTACTTTTCACTAACACCCCGTCTAGACGCCTCTCCCCCGGCTTCCGCGAGATGCTCGACGGCCTGAAGGCAACACACTCATCGCAGCGGATCTGCGACTTCGCGCGCAACAACGGCGGACTGTGCCGCAAGGACCCGGTCAAGTCGCTGCACCCGATCGTGCGGGTGCATCCGGTGACGGGCGAGAAGTCGCTGTTCGTCAACGACGAGTGGATCACCGGCATCCAGGGCTGGAAGCAGAGCGAGACCGAGTGGCTGCTCAAGTACCTCATGGACCACATCTCGCGCGGCCACGACTTCCAGGTCCGTCTCCAGTGGAAGCCAAGGACCGTCGTCATGTTCGATAATAGGAGCACTTGCCGTGAGTTTTCATTCCCGCTAGAGGAAGGAGTAGGGGATAGAAAGCTGATGCAAAATCCAGATACCGCCACTGTCGACTACGATGGCGTCTACGAGAAGGAGCGACATATGTTCCGCCTCGCCAGCATGTGCGAGAAGCCCATCTGCGTCGGCGACATTGAGGAGCCCGAGAGCCAGGAGTAACTAAGCCTCGGCTCGAAGAGGCCCCCTTCCTGCCTGTACATGATGTCGTCGCTCTCGGGATAAAGGCGTTTGTTTTGCTTTCTTTTCTTTTCTTCTTTCTTTTTTCTGTGACTCTAGGTTTCCTTCTGTTTCTGTTTCTGTTTCTGTGGCTGTTTCCTCTTCTTTCTCTCTTTCGTTTTTGTAACCTTGGGATGGATTTGTGTTTGTGTTTGTGCTTGTGCTCGTGTTCGATATCTATGGCCGGTCTTTTGTGGATTGCGATTTGGTGCGATTTGGTGCGATTTGCTTTTGCTTTTGCTTTTCTTTCTTTTGTTTGGTACGGGTCGGGTACGGGACGGTACGACTGGCGGTGGCCGGTGAGGGGCCGAGAGGTGCTCGTTGTACACAGTTGAATCTGATTTTACTACTTGAAGTCGATTTTTTGCTTGCTGTGACGGCGGCTGAGAATTGCCGCCGCCGAGCGGGGCGACTACAGGCTACATATGAGCTCGGCAATGAAGCCCCGCATTCAATCTTCGAGGCCCTCCGCCAACAAAGAAGCCGATTTCCGTGCTCCGACTATCCCGAATCCCGAACCCCGAATCCCGATCGCAACACCCCGATCGCAACATCCCTCTGCCCTGCCACTCTCTCTCCCACTCTCTCTCACACATACACACACACACTCTCTCTGTCTCTCTTGTTGTCGATACTCCACCCCACACCCCCCAAATGATCTACCCTTTGCTTTTTTCTCTTTTCCTTTTCTTTCTGTTGATCCTCACCCATGCCCACGCCCATGCCCATGCGTGCATCGACCGACAACAATCGCTCTCCAAGATACTCGTACACGCATCCTTGCTCTATGCAGCTGCTGGCTGCTATATACTAGGTTTGCCACAGATCCATGGCCACCCAGCCAGCAGGGCCAGCATGGAGGCGTGTCACTGTCTGTCAGCCTTCGGAGTTTGGGATTTGGGTTTCGGGCTTTGGATGGGTGGGTGAGGTTGTTGCGCGGTCTGCGGACCATGGGCTGTGTTGCGTGGCAGCCGCTCGTCGCTCGTCGTGTTGCGCGCATAGCGGTACGAGTGGAGGTATAGGTGAGTTACGAGGACGGGCGGGCGAGGGCGGGGGCGACGGAGATGGAGACGGGCGGAAAGCAGTGGGCACGAACCGAAGCATTGGGCACTGGGTAGTGGGCACTGGGCGGGGCTGCAATGTAGCCGCGCTCCTTCGCCGTCTGTAGCTATAGCCTACTACGGTATGATGAGTGATCGCTCCGGCCACCGAGCCTCCACAGTATGTGACAAGTAATCACTCCAGCTACCGAACTACGCGCACTGCGCAGGAGGCCGCTCGAGACTCGAGACTCTGGAGTCGTCACTCGACAGTCCGATTGCACGCGGCACGCCTCCCTCTCGCCGCCGACTCCGCACCACGCCGCGAGCCTTGCTGCGCGCCACCCTACTCTACACGCATCGATCGTAGAGTGCGGTATGTAACTTTCTACTCTACAGACAGCTCACAGACAGCGACTCAGCGGCGCGGGCACACCGCACACCGCACACCACAGACCGCAGACCGCAGACCGCACTCCAACCTACAACCTACAACCTACAACCTACAGCAGTGAGCATTGAATAGTGAGCACTCCTCCCCCTACCTCCGCCTCCCACGATCACCACCACCGTCCACCTCCGGCAGCCACCCTCCGAAGTTCGAACGGCAAGAGCTGATCCGAGGCGCACGTATATAGCTACAGTACAGTACTCTACGCGTGCCAACCACGTATGTATCGTAGAGTAGTAGTCAGCTAGCTAGCTAGCTAGCACGGAAGCCTCGGCCGATCCATTCACGACGACACTCTCGAGTCTCGTACTCTCGTACACCCCGCGCGCCATGCAGTAACTATTGCAGCATCGTCGTCGCGTGCAATCGATTCGATTCGCCCCACTACCACTATTCTACTCTACTGACTGGACTACTGGTAGGATTAGTAGTAACTCGCCGCTGACTTGCCTTCCATCCGAACTCGCAGTCAGCCCCACCACCCACCACCACCCACCGCACCAGCACCCACCAGCACCAGCAGTAATCCCTATAGCAGCGATCCTATACCCCACCTTCCCACCAGTTTTTTTTTAGGCTTTTGTGTGCGTGCGTTGCGTGCGTGGGCTCGATAAGATACGCTGCAGTGTACTGCATGGCGACGTCAGAAAAGGAAAGAAAGTTCACCAGGGATGAACGGTGGAAAAAGCAAGTCCAAAAAAGAAAAAGGAAAAAGAAAAAAAGAAAAATCCCTGCATCGACAAAGATTCGGCGTTTGCAGCAATTGGTGGGTGGTGGGTGCGCAGGCAGGGGCGAGGCGAGGCGAGGCGAGACGAACTGGCGAAGGGGAGAGAGGAAAACGGATGGACTCAACCGAGATCCGCTTCGGTGGTGCTCGGTGAAGCTGTGGTGATTTGAGCGGCGGTCGGTGCTCGGTGAAGTTTTGTGCTTTGAGCGGCGATCGGTGAGCAGTCAGCAGTCAGCAGTGAGCTGTGAGCTGTGAAGTGAGCAGCCGCTGCAACCGAGACGTGAGGTGGAGGTGGAGAACCTTGCCCATGCCCATGCCCTTGCCCTTGCCCTTCCTTGCCCTTCCTTGCCCGCCCTGTCCTATCCTGTCCTATGTATCCTGGAAGCTGACGGCGACGTTTTGTCTTTTGTCTTTTTGCCTTTTTGTCTCCCAGGCCACGAGAGCTGTATGTCACTAACTAGCCTGTATGTAGGTAGCCTGTCATACATAGCCTGTAGCCTGTATAGTAGCGTGTCAAAGTGACAGCTTCGAAGCGTTCGAAGCTGTCGAAGCGTCGATCCTATCACTGATCACTGCACTGATCCTGCACTGCTATGCTATGCATCGTCCTGTATGTCCGTCTGTATGTACTATCATATGTGCGGTCGGTGCAGCATCGTCATGCGTAGACTATCATGGTGAGTGGAGTGTGTACTCCCACCCCTCCACCCCACCACCGCCCGGAATAGCGCGGAATGGCGAGGAATAGCGCGGGCGAACCAACCAAAGCGTTTGCAAAAGTCTGGCTGGCTGGCTGGCTGGCCGGCGACGCCTTACAGACTACTGACTAAAACGTACTGACAGGGCAAGCGCATGAGCGTCATCGTTGATGCGACCTTCAGATCAGACGAACGTCTGAACACTCCCACGCTCACACCCATGCATGTATATCGTGTCGGGGTGTCGGGGCGGCGTGGCGTGGCCGGCCACGGATTGCGGTCAGGACGGCCGAAGCTGCAGGGCTGGCTGGACTAGCTGGACTGGCAGAACTGTCAGGCCTGTCACTGTCACGCCTGCGGACAGTTACTCGAGCTCGAGCTCGAGCTGCAACTTTTGTTGATTGCTTGCCCCCCCACCACACAGCTCATCCACCTCCCCCTCCTCCTCTTCTCCTCATCTTCTTGCCTGCCTGCCTGCATACGTTCGTACATTCCAAAACGGACGCACGTGACCACACGACTGTCATAGTAAACTTAGATAAGACTAAAGAAAGACATATCACTGCATTGCTCCCTCTTCCTCCTCCCCGACCTGCTCCACCTCCTCCCCATCCTCATCCGCATCCCCATCCCCGAGCACGAAAGCAAACGGACCAACGCCACAAACTCCAAACCAATCCATTCCCATCCCAGCCGAAAGATCTCACCACACGATGTCCCTCCACACCGCACCCACCGAGTCCACGCCATTATCGGCCATGTTCTCGCTGCAGGGCAAAGTCTGCCTAATCACTGGCGGGAACCGGTACATCCTCCCCTCCCTCCCTCCCCTCTGCGTGTACTCGCTAACCCCCTCCCCCCCAGCGGCATCGGTTACGCAATCGCGCAAGGCTACGCAGAGGCCGGCGCAGCCGGCCTGGCCATCATCCACTCCTCGTCCAAAACCTCCTCCATCGCCGAGGCGCGAGCCGACGAGCTACGTGCAGCATGGCCGAGCACCGAAGTCGCCGTGTACGCGTGCGACGTGTCGGATCCGGTCGCGATCGAGACCACGACGAACCGTGTTGCTGCCGAGTTTGGAAGGCTGGATGTGGTCGTTGTCAATGCGGGGTTGTATTCGGACGCGAAGGCCCTCGATATGGCGCCTGAGGAGGCGCAGAAGGTTACCGCTGTTAATTACTTCGGCGCGCTGTATACTGCGCAGGCGGCGGCGAGGTATGTCTAGATGGGGTGGGCGAGGGGGTGGGGATGGGAGGATGCCTGGCTGATGGAAATGGGATATAGGGTCATGAGAGCGAACGGAACACCGGGGAAGATAATCTTCACCGCATCGATTAAGTGAGCCGCCCCGCGCCTTTCCTCCCTCCTCCCCGCTCCCCTTTCTAATACCCCCCAGCGGGCACATGATCCTGCGACCGCAACGGGAGTCGATCTACAGCGCGTCCAAGGCGGCGGTATGCCACCTGACGCGTGCGCTGGCTGTGGAATGGGCCGAGTACAACATCCAGGTAAACGCGGTGTCGCCCGGCTATATCGACACGGAGATGAACGACATCATGATCGAGAAGTATCCGGACCAGGTCGGGAACTGGCTCAAGGACTGCCCTGCCGGAAGGTTCTGCAAGGTCTGGGAACTTAAGGGGGTCTATGTATTTCTGGCCAGCCAGGCGAGCAGTTATGTCACCGGCGCGGATTATGTCGTTGATGGTACGTGAACCCAGTATGCATGGAGGGTTTTGGATAAGGATGCTGATGCGATCGCAAACAGGTGGTCATACTTGCCATTAACTAGCTGGAAATATGATAAGCATAATATATCACTCGCACAAAGTCCGCGTGAGCCGCTGTGAAGCTGTAAAGCTGTGAAGCTGCGACTGTGCGGCCCAGTGCCAAACCCCAAATCGCAGAATCTCATCGATCAGGGACCAACTCCCCATTCGGGAGAGGGATGCAGCTGCACCCTCGCAAGGGCACCGCTCCATCATGTAGCTCTATTCATGTAGCTCGCGCAATCCGGGAACCGCAGGTATGTATGAGGTATGTACCTAGGTGCAGGTGCAGGTGCAAGCTTTCTAGGCAAGCCGCCAGACGAGATCATCTGCAACCAAGCAATGAGGCAAGCAAGCAATGAGGCAAGCAATCAAGCAATCAAGCAATGAGGCAAGCAGGCAAAGATACCCCGCATCCTCGAATTCCCATATTAAATCCCCATATAGACTTTCTCGATGTCGTTGTCCAACCGAGACTCGGGAGTCGAAACCACTTGCCGGCCGGTCGGTCGGCAGGGCTGCAGCCTGCAGGCGCCTGCCTGCTGCAAGGCGCACTGTTACCTACTTGTTCAGTACTTGGGCACTTATGTAGGTAGTAAGGTACCCCAGGAAACGGATGTGCGGAACGTTTGAATTTGGCAGCTCGGTTACAGTGGCCTGGCAACGGCTGGATAGCTGGTGGGCGTCGATCACGAACACACACACCGTGCTTTTTGTTTCGTTTATTTTCTTGTCTTTTATTTTCGGTTTTTGCCCTTTCCTCTTCCTGTTCCGTTTGAGTCCGTTCCCATTCCGTTTGAGTCCGTTCAGTTCGAGTCTGGACTCGGACTCTGGATATCCTTCTTTCCGGCGGGGTCGGTGGATTAATTTTGCGGCTACCTAGTTGGAAGTGATAGTGTGGGGATGGGCATGGGCATATGCATAGGGATTGGCATGGGCATGGGCATGGAGATTTGCATGGGCATGGAGATATGCATGGGCACTGCGAGGCATAGGCATAGAGATGAACATGGGCACTGGTAGCTGGGTACATATGGGGGGAACGGCAGACGTCAGCCCGCCCGCGCTCGCTCGGTTTATGATTACCCCGGAGGCGGCGTGCAGCCGTACCGTACCGTAACTACTACCGGAGGTGTGCTTGCGACTTGTACCATGCGCGGATCACAGGTTCGCAGGTTCGCAGGTTCGCAGGTTCGCAGGTTCGCAGGTTCGCTGGTTCGCGGGTTCGCGGGTTCGCGGATTATGTAGCAGGGCGGATGGGGATGCGGGAACTACGGTACTTTGGGCATGTATGTACCTCATAACATACATACTCACCTACCTGACATATATGGTATACCCCGGAAGTGAGTCGCGCTCGCGGTGAAGGTGAAGATGAAGATGAACGTGTGAACTGTGAACTGTGCGGGCGCTGGTACGGGAGGAAGGGAAGTGGTGCTGCCTCGCCGGTAATTACCGTTGCAGTGCTGGCCCATGGGGGGGGGGGGGGGACTGATGATACGCTGTGATGTACATTCCTACCTAAATTCCTTCCTTTAGGTACTGGATATGATGTGCGGTGGGCGCCCTCCCCCGCGCTCTCCTCCGTCCTTCCTTCCGTCTCCACCACCCCCCCACCTCCAAACCGACGTCCCGCTGGGAACCAGCTGGAGCTATTTTCCGCGTCGCAGACTTCTACCGTAGTCCACCGTGCCACGATGCAGACCGCGGACTGTCGGTAGGCAAAGAAAAATCAGCGGGATTGAGAGCAGCACTTCTCCTCCGCACCCGCCAGCTAAGACTACATATAGCCCACTCGATATCCCCCACGCTCCAGGAGTCCAGGGTGATTATGTGAGATTATCTCGTATCGTATCGTATCGTATCGTGTGAGTCCAACGGCCTCGGCGTTGCGGTTGCTGACGTTACTACGGTCCAGGAATTGTTACTCGAGGGGGTTGAGGATGAGGAGTACTTGCACGGAAGGTGACGGAGCGGAAGGCGACTGACGTGTCATGGCCCATGTGAATGCTGTTAACTATCATCTATGTAGGTGCATACATACTTTGCCTTCTTCGCCACGACGATTAGAAACCCTCATCATGTGAGCGGGCGGCCCGGTTCAGCGAGCCCTATCCCATCTACCTAGGTAGGTAGTAAGATGCGCACCTTGAGACATGGTGAAGCCACACGCCGGGGAATACTTATATATCTCGATTCTCAGCTGTACGCTATGCATCTCCAGATTCTCCACACTGTGACCACTGACCTATTTTGGGGTGACTCGTCACTCGGCTGGGCTGGCCCGCTGCATGCGAAACGAAATCGATCGCGATCTAGGAGGCGAATTGCAATCATTCGGGATCTCGATCAGATTCATCTTTCTGGATTCCGCTCGTCAACAGCTGCCCCCTCCTCACCCCCTTCCCCCACAAATCCATATCATAATAATCATCAGAGTCGTCAGCTTTCCCATCCACGGTTGCGCCCCGTTCCCCGTATCGGGGCCGTTTTCCCCATTTCGTAGATTCCTACGTACCCCTCTCCCCCCTCACATGGTTTCGTGTACATCGGCGCAACCGGCGGTGTGCAACGTGGGATCAGGATGTTGTTGCTGTGACTTGTGGGCTCGGACAGACAGTCGGACAGACAGTCGGACAGTCGGACTACCTAGAGGCTATGTAGTCTAGGTGGACGTTGGACACCGATCTGCAACACTTTCCACTCAACGGCATTAGGCAGAGAACTCGGGAGTAAACGTAAATAATAAAAAACAGAGTGCCGGGTCGTTTACCGAGACTGTGGGTCCGACGGCCGCTTTGTAGGCCTACGTACCTTGCACCTGGATGATGATGAAGTCAGCGGTGTCCCTGTTTCTACATACTATTTGGCATATTGATATTCGGGTTCGGCAGCCCCGCCACGCCCCGCGCACCCACCTTGATGATCTTCTGGCAACACCGATATTTCAAGGCTGTCATCGTTTCGTCGTCATTACGACGCTCAGGGATACAGAGGTAATCACGATGCTCCATTCGAGACGGATTGGCATCTGTAGCCGTGCGGTGGTGCTTGCGGGATCGATCATTGGGTTCGTCGGGTTTCTTCTGATCTCGATGAGCAAGCCTCAAGGTTCAAGCGGTTGCCCGCCCGCCAATGTGACCGTGATAGTTGGTTGGTTGGTTAGTATCACGTCCTCGGTCGAACTCATAAAGGGCCAATTGTTCCCGTAGGATTCTAGCATACCTAGGTAGATATTCGAATCGCAGAAACAAACAATACCTTTGCCCTGCCACCTGCAATACTCGCAGTCAGCCAGTCCTAACAACCAGGCCGCGTCTCGAAATATTCCCCATCGACGGAGCAACTCAATATCTATCGAAGCTTGAGGACGTCTAGAACCCTCTCCCCCGTCCCTCCACCTTCCACTGCACACACATACATACACACAGTCGTACGCTGAATCGACATCACCCTATATCATATTGCATCTCCCCCAGGCGCAGCAGAGGGGAAGAAGGGATGAGGAGCGTCGCAACATTCCTGTTATTTCTAAGCGTGCTCGGGATCTTCCCCGAGTCCACCGTCTGCCTCCCCAATTTCCTGAGCCGCGCGCCTGCGCTCCGGAGCGAGAGCTCGTTCCGCTCCTGGCTGCGGAGACGGCAAGACGACAACAATACAACTGCTGGCGACGCCGGCACGTACAGAAGGATCGAAGTTACCGGCGCTCATGCTTGGAAAGCTCCCGGACCGAATGACAAGTGAGCCCTCCCCGAAGGTGGAATGTTGAGGCCGGATGCTAAACACGGCCAAAGACGGGGTCCGTGTCCCGCGCTAAACTCGCTCGCCAATCATGGCTATCTGCCGCGCAATGGAGTCGTCGGCTTGCTTTCTGCGGCAACGGTCACGAATGAAATCTTCGGTAGGGATTGATTGCCGCCCCCATTCGACCTCGAGTGAGACGCTGAGATGGTATCCGAGCAGGTATTGGCATCGATCTTTCGCTGCCGCTGAGCCTATACGCCACCTTGCTGTCGGGCAATATTCTGTACGTAGCGAACCATTCTATCCCATTCAACCGATATCGGGGCCATATCAAGCGCGGTATGATGTATGTACTTATCGGTCTCCAGGACGCTATCGTGGAGCATCGGTGGGCCGACCGGTGGAACTCTTCTTGGACTCCTTGGCACGGGAAAAGGTCTGAGTGGATCTCATAACAAGTAGGCTTTTTTGTGTGTGCGCTGCGATCGATCGATCATGATGGCTAACCTGACACCAGATATGAAACCGACGCGAGCGTCACGCATGGTGACTCTTATCTATTCAATGGAGACGTAAACGTGAGTCTCTCCGCTTGTTTATATACGATGGCGCTTCGAGTTGTTGCTCACTCACGTGTGCAGTCCGTCCAGCTTCCGAAATTCAAGAAGCTGTTGTCCCTCCAGGCCAACGCGGCGGTTCCGAACTGGACTCTGGACGTGATGTATGTAGTTTCCACGCACCTTCCAGCTTCGTTTTTCGCGTCCAACCTAACCCAACCTACCTATGCAGGAATATCCACCGCAACTACACGCTCCAGGACTCCATCTCCACCAACCCCTACTTCTTCTTCGGCCCCGTCAGCGGACTGCTCGTCAGCAACGCCGGCCACTGCTTCGTCCCGGGGATGATGGGCAACCACTCGGCGCAGTGGCCGAACGGGCGGGTGACGAAAGAGATCCTTCAGTCCTTCTTCGCGGTGCACGAAGACACGAGCACGGGGACGCTGACGCACACGCGGGGGCACGAGCGGATCCCGCACAACTGGCACCGACGGGCAGCGGGCGGCGTCGTCAGCGAGTACGGCAACGCGCGGTTCGCGGTGGATCTCGTGCGCATGGCCGCCTACAACCCGGCGATTCTCAAGGTCGGCGGGAACATGGGCACGGTCAACTCCTTCGCCGGTGTCGACCTGGGCGGCATCACCGGCGGTATCTATAACTCGTTCGATCTCCTCGACCCCGACATGCTCGTCTGCTTCATCTTCCGCACGCTGCTCGCTGTCGTGCCCGATCTGCTGCAGGGTGGCCTCCTCGGCGCTCTCTTGAATGTGGCTCTCAAATTGCTGACTACGACTCTGCTCCCCCTGTTCAATCCGAAGTGTCCCGGTATACAGAACTGGAACGGGGAGATGCTGGAGAAGTTCCCCGGCGCGGGCAGCAAGGCTGTATAAGATGATGTCGGATCGCTTTCTTACTTTCTCACCTTTGCAACTGGGGGGGGTATGTACAAAGGGCGACGTTCGGTGGTGGCAGTGGTGGCCATGGTAATGGTGGTGGTGGTAGTGGTGGCGGCGGTGGTGGTGATACGAACTATTTGTATTCTACGTACTTAGTTTAGCTGTAATTATTGGCACCGTACACAAACAATTCATTTCATTCGTATCGCTGGGCATAAGGCGTATACGTGGCCCGTGCTACCAATATGCAGAGGTCCTCCAGACTCAAGGAAGTTGCGTAGGACGGCGAGAGATCCCGAGTCACTTCACCCGACACTTTGTTTCGGAAATCAAGGCATCGGTTCGATGTGTCACGTAGGTAGGTATCTCAAGTGGAAGGAGGGGGTGGACAGTCTGTGGTGCCGCCATCCGCCAGTGGCTATCCGTGACAGGCAGATCCGATTGCCGGACTCCATTACTTTGGGATGGGGGAGGGTGCAGGAAACATTGCGGGGGTCCGCGGTCGCAGTGTTTCGGCCGAGTTGACAGCCCCAGTTTTGCGAGGGCTCTTTCGCCAATGCCGCTTCAGAGTCCAGGCCGAAAAGGGCGGGTCGAGAGAAGTAGAATACACAAGGTGAAAGAGGAGGTAGAGGTTAATCGTCTTCAGGCCCTTTGTGCGGTGTGCGATCCTAATACTTCTCACCGTGTCAGCATGTTCGCAAGTGTTGATGATTCTTCCGATACGAGAGGTATAAAGTGATGCACACGCCAGCGGTGATGATTCTTTTGCTGTGATATAGAGTGATCAGCGGATGCAAACACCCTGCACCCCGCAATTCCGAGCCACAGCGACAGCTGGCTGGTCGGGCACGGACGCGACCTCGGTAACTATGATATATCCAGGGTTTCCCGTATTCGAAAAGGGTCTGTGGCACCCCCCACCCGCCCCAGCAGCAACCAACATCACGGCGCGGACAAACAGCCCGTCTCTTAGATGGATATAAAGCCGCGTTGTCGCGCCAACCCTCTCGCCGCAACTATCGCAAGCAATGTAAGTCTCCGTCTCCGTCTCACTACTCATCTCCCTCGCTGCGGTGGCCTTCACCGCGCCCGCCGTGGTCGTCGACAACGCGAACCCGGATCACTGCATACGCGGATCGGAGCTCTGCCGGATCACAGAGTCGTGGGAGGACTGTTCGGAGCTGTACGTAGCGAGCATGAAGGCGTATGGTACCCCCTCCTCACCGGGGTTGGCGGGGGTACGGGGGCTGATGAGTTTACTTCAGGTGCATGTTGACCGGCTGCTTTCAGTGGTTCGTGGATCCGCTTGCGCATTGTGGCAGTGGTGCTGGTGGTGCTGGCCGCGTGTTGGCTACGGAGGGTTAGCTACCGTATGGATGCGCAGTTGATAGTTGCTGGATAAGAACTTATATAATACAGCGGGTTTATACCCTCGGTATCACATTGCTGGGTTGGGAGGGGTGCACTCAGGCAGCAGTGTTCACGACAATACCTTCCAAGTACAACTGTACAAGTCAGAGTGTGGTTGGATCCCGTCTTTAGTCATGGGTGTCGGAATGCAATCCTTACCACAGTGACACCCTATCGTCGTCGTCATAATGTCCTCTCCGAATGAAGACAGCAAGAACGAAAACGAAAACGAAAACGAGAGCGACACGCTCCCACCTCCCCCCCTCCCTCCGCAAGACAACCCCGGTGGCCTAACGTACCTATCTCATGCGCTGCTGTTTCGGAAGGCCCGTTTGTTACAGATCACAGAGTCCAACATACGGCATGAAACTTTCTCAAGCTGCTTATGTCAGCAGTTTGGTTTAGTTACCGCCTGGCGTTCAATGTGATTAACTAACGCTGGACCAGAGACATTTCCCTAGGCAGACGGAATACAACGGTTCCATCAACGATAGAGGTAAACCTGACTAGCACCAATGTACACCCACTAAATGTAATGAGGGCAATACCGCTTTGGTAGGAGTGAGTATAGCCTACGGTTGGCTCTAGCTCACCCCCCTTTTCTGTCGGTTGCAATTTTTGTGGGCTTGATACGACGAATCATGTGATATCACTCGGGCGCTGTCGCGGGCTCCCGTACGAGGGTATTCTGCTCACGCGTCAGACCTCTTCGCAGACGAGCGGTGCGGCTAGCAGATCTTGCGCTTTCCCGCCACCACTGATGTGGGTAGGCGAATCGTGGAGGCCGCTGAGGAAGATGGCAAGCGAGGTGTCCAAGTGGAAGATAAGGGAGCGGGAAGAAAAGGAGGCGGAGCTGAGGCGAGAGAGGTGGGAAGGCGCTGATGTTGAGAAACTCATCACCATCATTTATGGCGTCTGCCGATGGAGAGGCAGGAGGCGAGGCGGGATAGGGAACGGAAGCTGTATTTCCTTAGTGATATTTCCTTAATGCGCTCTACTTCTGACGCTGGGATAGGTCGGGGCGGAGCTCAGGGGAAGCCACATCGAGTAGTCCGATGAAGGGGGGGTTGAACAGTGGCATGGAAACGGAATGCGTATGTGTGAAAATTGCTATGATCTAGAGAGGTCGTACGAAATCAATGATTCAACCAAAAAATATCCCGTTGATGAGTGAGTGTTGATGCGCACACCTTCTACACACTCGGGAAGCAAAGCTCTGCGATGTACCTAAAAATAAACAGCCACCAATATCAAGATAGGTTCGACTCTTTTCCACAAAAGAATTACATGATCCTCTGTCCCTTCGACCCGTTCATACCGCATCACTCAAACTCACATCAAGGCCACTCACGCCGACAAAAGCTGCGTGTACCCTAACACGCAAGTCGCACCCCGCCCCGGGTCTAGCTAAATACTTGGAGCCGCATCACCACTACTTCCCCCTCCTTCCTACCTCCTCCATCCTTCCTCTTCCTTCCCCCTCCCGCAGTCCTCCTCCCTTCTCCCTCTCCCCCTCCGAACCTTTTGTAAAGAGACCACCACCACTCTTACCTCTTTACTCCTTCAACCCCCCTCCTCCCTCACTCGTCCCTCCCTCCCTCCACTCTCTCCTCCCGCATCAAACATCTCCACAAGGCGCTCACTTGCAACGACCCACAATGGAAGCGAGCGACACGACTCTGATGGATACCACCAATATTGGGGATGCCACTGCACTGAAGTCTTCACCAATCCAGTTGCACTTCTACCAGGGCGATGTCTCTACCTGGTCGCGACCATACGCAGTACCCTTCGCCCACGTTCGCACCTTCGAAGTAAATCCCCAATCGACCCCTCAAATTTTACTCATACGATGCCTATACTAACTTTATCATCAGGACTTCCAGGAAGTCGCCAACGAGTTCCTCACAGATGAGGGTCTTCGTAATCCGTCGGGGAAGTCTCCCGCTCCAGGAAAAGGAAATTGGCAGGTCCTCGATGCGTCCGGTTCTATCGTCAAGGAACGCTTCTGGGCAGACCTCGTCATGCCCGGAGCCAAACTGTTCCTAGCCCCCACTCTGTCGGTTGAGGGTTCGAGCGACGCTGCCGTTAAACAGCAGAACAACGAGTCAAGCAACGAATCAAACAACGAGCCGGGCAGGGAGTTGAGCTACGAGCCGAACATCGAGTCGCGTCAGCAGGATACTCAGACTGTCGGTAGCCTTGAGGAGAATCCCAGCAACGACGAGACCTATGTTGAGGACTACAACAAGAACAATATTCACCCGCCGCATCATGGCTACCAGAAGTTCCTCACGGCCTATCCGCCCCGAGGCAGAGGCAACAAGGTTGGGGGAAACTACGGGCCCGCGAGAAAGACGTACGCCCAAGTTTGTCACGACCAGGTACAGCATCAGCATCAGCAGCATCAGCAGCAGCAGCCACAGCAGCAGCCACCAAAGGTCTACGGCGAGTCACCCGTGAACGGCAGCATCGCTGGTACTAACAACGAAAACAATGGATTCACATCGGCTTGGAACGGTGTGTCCAACAAGAGGCGTGCCTTCGGTACTGCCATCAAGGTCACGCTCCGCGACACCAGTTGCAACTTCGTCAACACCACTACCCTATCCAAGCACTCTTCTGTGGACGATCTCATCAAGAAGCTGGGAGGAGCCCCCGGCGCTCGCATCCAGGTTCTTCGCCACACTGAAGGCGGCTTCCTCCTTGGACAGTCGTTCATGAGCGGCACCAGGAAGTCACTCGACGAGGCCGGTTTTGGCCTGGAGGGTAATATCCATGTCGTCCTCTTCCAGCCTGAGCCCGGCCGCCGTCTCTACGGTGGTGGTGGTGCCCAGACTGGTGCCCAAGCTGGTAACGTCCAGGCTGGTAACGTTCAGACTGGTAAATAGACCAAGTCACACGGTGTCGGAGTGATATCGCGGAAGTAATGTTTCCTGCTTCATTCCTTCCTGTACGAGCTGGCTAGTTTGGGTGTTGGATTGCTTTCTTCTTTCTTCTCGAGAATTTGACGTTCGAGAAGGTCTCGTTCGTTCTCTTTTCTTTTTCAAACTGGGCTGGGGGGAGTACTAGTTTGGTCATACTCTTCTCTTGCATTTTAATCGCGGTCGGGACAGCTCGTACTTGGTGTTTTCACTCGACAAAATGTTTCGCAAATGTGGTCTCTCTCCTGTGCAAAGTGATGTGATTTGACCGAGCTTCTACAAAAAACACTGCGAGTGACCTTTCGTGATATCCGGCCAGTCAGAAAACCAAGCCCTCGAAGCCTCTGTTCACTCTCGACCGGACACTAAATCAGCCCGAAAATATGTCTCCCCATTGTATGTTCTTGCTCGAGTAAGTCTATTTCTATCGAAGTATACGAAAGAACTTGAAGACGATCAAGTGACATCACCTTGTGGTGGTGGTGGCAGAGCCGGTCAGGAGCGATGAGGACTTCTGTCATTCTTTCACATTTCGATTGAGCTCGTGCGGGTAGTTTAGCGCTCGGGCCAGTTGAAATTCCTCAGACGAGCGTTGTGGTGTCGCGCACAGGGCGCATAGGGCGCATAGAGCGCATACGGGGCTGCGAATGATAGTGTCGGTGGAGTGTAATAGGTAGTCTATATAGCGACGGTGTGTGAACACGGGCGTGCGCGCGTATGTATCGACATAATAGATATCTAGGCGTCATGGTTTCGTGAATCGGGGGAAGGGCGAGACCACTAAGTGGTCGAGTGCACCGCTCCGTCGTGATATCATTCGGAATGCTCTGGGTGACGAGAGTCCCATCCATAGTTACGACAGAGAGGATAAATACCCTCCACATCCCGCCCAACGATAGACCGCTCCTCAGTTCCACACTTCTGATCCATCCATCGAGTCTTTCCAGATCCTCTAAACCAAGTACCTACTCGACTTCCGCCTCGCGATCCTATCGCTTCCATCGAGTCCGTCTAGTCCATCCACACCGACCGACCGACCGACACAACCGTCCGAGCGCTCCTTTCTCACTTAGCACACATCTACCCACCGGAAACGATGCACACCGCGCTCCCTCTCGCTCTCCTCCTTTCCGCCTACGCGGGGCTTGCTGTGGCCTGGAAGTTCGACGTCTCCTACGACGACGGGACCACGCTGCACTTCAATGGACACACCAACAGCGGCTGCACCAAGTTCAAAAAGTCGGACGCGGACGTGAACAACGTCCATTTTGAGGGCTCGTCGCTGGCGGATACGTTCGAGCTCTTCCACGATGAGAGATGCCACGACTTGGGATACAAGGGGAAGAAGGGCGTCAATAATGTGCCCACCGGGCAGTACGCTAGCTACAAGGTCTATTAGGCTTGGATTACGGAGAAAGGGGAGGAAGGGGGGGAGGGAAGTTGTGGGGGTAAGTGATGGATGGTGGTGGAGATTGTGGGCTATTTTTATATAATGTGTTGGCCCTGTTAATATTAATAAAATGTATTCGGTCAACTCTCGAGGCGTGAATGAGCGGCACCAGCTGTTTAAGATTTTGATTCCTACTCCTGAATCCTGATGGAATAGGTATGTAGCTTCTCCAAGTACATCTTTCCCGGCCATCTTTCCTGTCGGGGCCGGATAGGTAGGCGGCGATGACAGCGGCGTTTCGGTCCTTGTCACCAAGGACGGCTCCCCGAAGTGTAGCCACTCTGTTCCACGATCTTCCGGCTCTTCATCAAGCACCGTGATCCTGCGGAGATGACGGGATATTGCTCCTCTGCTTACACGATGAAGCCACCAATAAGTACCTAGTGAAATAGCATTCCTCAAACCAATAGAAGCAACCCACCTCCATTCCACGGCAAACCCACATGGAGCTTCATGCTTTGAGAGCAACCACTTAGTCTGGGGCGAGAACAAGAATGCACCTTGGTTTTTTCACGTATACAGAAACCGAAGTTTCGCGAAATCCGGTGCCCGAGCAACGAATTGAATTTCCTGGCAAAACCGAAACTGGAGTCCAGTACCTCACAGGTATTTAAACACACCCCAAGACCACTATTAATTAGAGAAATGGGGAGGCTTCTTTCCCTTGGGCATAACAGAAAACAAGCATACATAGGTATCTGGTTCACTTACTTGCCACACGGATTGTGGCGTTCGGGTTTAGCCACATGTACTCTACCTCCACCGCCACGTGGGAACGAAGCGAGATATGTAGATATCATGTAGATATGTACAATACTCTAGAGTAGAGTAGTGAGGGGCACGGGGGCAGAGGCGGCTTGACGTCATCGTTGAGTGCTGGAGAGAGGCTGTTGTTGCTTTTCTGCTCGTCTCATCCGTCGGTCTCTTGTTCAACACATCAATAATCAGACATCAACACACCGATATTCCCAAAATGCCATAGACCTCTTTTCTTGTTCTTCAATTGATTCACATTCTTCATTTGCTCGTACCCATCGAGGGTCTCTCGATAGGTACCTGGGTATTGAGGCTGCGCATAATTCAACGCACGCAACGACTTTGAGCGCGGTCAGTTTTCTAGTCTGTATGTATCTACTTTCCTGCACGGCCGAGTCGGCCAATCCTGTTGCGCGTCAGAGGCGTGTCCGAACGAATCGGATGAGCTGTCGCGAATACCCTTGTTACCTACTGGTACACCAAGCGCTCCTCGCAGTGCGTTGGCACATATGCTGAGCGGACTGTGAGGCTGAGAATGACCCCTCTTTCACGATTCGAATCCACCGAAGGAGATTTCGCTCTATCGTTCCTAGCCACGATTTCTCTTTCGGTCCCAAAACCTCCTATGCCAAGAGAGCCGCAACCCCGCCGACTCCGGGCATCCCGGAGGCCTCCCTACGCCAGTACCACCACACAACCGGCGGAACCTGTGTCGCGGCCACAGACGCGACCTCGTACGCTCCGGATTTCCGGTATCCCGCTATGTGCCACGAAGGAGGAGTTCGGGGCCTATCTGAAAGAACTACTCGGATACGATGGTTTCATATTCTCGCTAGTCCGTTCGAAGCACTATGCGGTGGCGACTGTTACTCCCACGACGGAGGAACCAGATCCCGCAGCTCTTCTGGGATGCGCTCCGTGCAAAAAAGTCTACAAGTGCTACCGGGAAACTGGAGTCGAACTGGTCGTGGACTGCGACTTTCTCGGTATAACCCCATTATACAGTGCGGACGAGCCGACAGTGGAGTAGTGCTCCCCCTCCGTGCGTGTGGTGATTCCGACTGAAAGCTAACCGAACTTGTAGCATTGTCGCCGTTACAGGCCTTGCTGGTCATGCGTATGGATCGTGGAAGTCGCGCAATCGGCCCCGGATGTGGTTGAGGGACTTCTTGCCACGGGATCTGGAAGGCCAAGGCTATAAAGTGAGGGTTCTCACCTTTGGCTATGGCTCGGCTCTCAACGACGACGCGTTTTCGCCTTCCATCCAAGTCTTTGCGAGATCGCTCTTCGACAGTCTGAGCAGCGAACGTCAAGGCGAGAATGTATGCAGTAGATATATTTGTTGCGAGCTTCGGTTAACAGATAATGCAGGAAGTGCATCGTCCGATCATCTTTATCGGCCATAGCCTCGGTGGGTTAGTCATCAAACAGGTAGGCAGCGTTGCGCTTCTCATGGCACTATTGATTCTGATTATCCGAAGGCACTCGCGGATGCATCCCATCAAAACGACAAGTTCGAAAAGGATCAAGCTCTCCTAGGCTCATGTGCTGCTCTCTTTTTCTTCGGCGTCCCCAACCGAGGACTCAATATCGAGAATTTGAGGACTTTGGTGAAGGACCAGAAGAACGAATACTTCATCAACGACCTACGAGTCGACTCGGAGCTCTTGAGACAATCCCATCAACGTTTCTTGCACGGAGTCGAACTGCAAAAGTGCCGGATCACATCGTTTTTCGAACTCCGAGACACTCAATCTGTCGTCATCCGCGACGGGAGCTGGTCAAGAAGTGGTGAGATGATACGGGTAGTGACACGGGAATCGGCAACCTACTCTCTTCCCACTGAGTCCATCCATATGCAACTGGGGATCAATGCCGACCACTCCAACATGGTAAAATTCACCGACCCCACCGATAGTGACTACACGACAGTAAGGGATAGACTGTCAGAGTGTGTCAAGAACGCACCGCGCATCACTGAAGCCGGTGGGGTAGCAGGGACAAAACATGAAGGTGTGTAGTCTGGTGCTATGTTCTGGCCCGACTGCGGACTGTTCTGGTGGAGGCGGGGCGAGGAAGGTCGACGAGCAAAATGGAGCGAGGGAGGACAGGATTATAAGCGACAGAAGGCGGGGATGGAAATATGCACTGAGCGGGGGTTTATCAATTCTTCCGTCGCACCTCTCCCCCGGGCTCTTGGGGGGTGTTACGTGCTTTTCGTTTTTTCTTCGGTTCATTTTTTGGTTTCCGACCCCGCACCCGAGCCCGCCCATACAACCCGGTGAGTCCGGGTTGATGTGAGAAGCCGAGCCGCGTACATCCGCCGCCGGTACGGCAACGTTCCCTCTGCAGGTCTCTTGGCTTTGCTGGTCTTTTGTTGGACGGGATGTCATTTTTCGGGTGTTGTTTTGGAGAACCCGAGTCGGAGTAGTCCACGTGTTGTATATTGCGGTGTGCTGATGAAATATTCTAGTTTCCAACTCGGATATAGAGCCTTTATTCATGGTACCTACCTATCAAAATCCGGTTTTTGTCGGACGCGAGGAGAAATTTCGCCAACTCGAGACGTTGCTAGTAAGCCCCGGGGGTGACAGCCAACGGCGAGCCGCTCTATACGGACTCGGAGGAATTGGGTAAGACTCTTCATCGAGCCGTCAGGTGTCCAGCGAACACAGACGTCCAGTGCCTGCCCTGGCCAATTCGGCTAAGGTTCAGTGACGTGCAACTTCCTTAATCGGGCTTCACGTAACGTCTGTGTTCGCTAGCTGGCAGTCCCTCCAACGTTCCAGTACGTCACTAAGGATGATTTGACTCGGTTTAGGAAAACAGCCATTGCCGTCGAACTGTGTCACCGAACGAAGAAAGCGCGGCCACGGACCCACGCCTTCTGGATACATGGCAACTCGCATGAAAGCTTCAACAGCAGTTACCTGGAACTGGGAAGCGAAGCCGGTCTCCTGGGTAACGGTGGCATGGACGAGGAGGGGCAGCTAAAGGGTGTCAAGAAATGGTTGGACAGTCCTGCTAGCGGTGACTGGAATTTGATCATCGACAATTTCGATGAGGTCGACTTGTACGTGGCGAAATACCTTCCGGTAAAGCGCGGTGCCATCTTGTTTACAACACGCGATCGAAGACTCGTCGGAAACCCTGCATATGTGCCGCCCAGCGCTGGCGTGGGCATCCACGAAATGGGCGACTCCGACGCAGCAGAGATGTTCTCAAAGCTTTTGGCCAGTGACGTCACCGTTCCGATCCACACGCTAGATGTTCTCGAGCTGTTGAATCTGCTGGACAAACTGCCGTTAGCAATAGCACAGGCAGCAGCATATATACGAGAAACCGAGACGGAAATTCCAGATTACTTGAAGATGTTCAAAGAATGCGAGCGCAACCAACAGGAGCTCATGAGCGCAGCTTTGCCAGTTTCAACCGAAGACGGCGACAGACACGGCTCACGCGCGGTGATGACGACGTGGAAACTCACCATCGACGAAATCCAGCGCGACAACCCTGCCGCTGTGCAGCTGCTTGAAGTCATGAGCTTCCTCAGCCCGGATGAGATACCAAAAGCCATCTTGGAACATGTCCCGTTCCTTGACAATAAAAGCCCAGTACTATTCAAGAAAACCATTGCACCACTTCTTAGCTTTTCCCTACTCTATAAACTCGAATCTTCGGATTATCGCTTACACCGTCTCGTTGGGTTCTGGGTCCGGACGCAGATGGACTCGGAAGACACGCAACGAAGAAAAACCGTTTTGGAGACAGTTTTGAGTTTGTTAGATGATAGTTTCCCAGTCGACCGCCTTGCGAATCACCGCCAATGTATGCGCCTAGCGGCGCATGCAGTCACCGCACTGGGGCACACCCCGAATGATTACCACCATATGCGTTCTGGTCTACGACTACAGGAACAGTTGGGAAGGGTTCTGCAAAATAACAAGGATGGCGCAGGTGCTATGCAGTGGTACCGGCGGGCACTTGATGGCTATGAGAAGATCTTCGGTGAAGGCCACCCTGACACTCTCGGCACGGTTCACAACATGGCCCTCTGTTTTCAGCAGCAAGGGGATCTGGATAAGGCCTTGACGTTGTACCGGCGGGCGCTTGATGGCTATGAGAAGATCTTCGGTGAAGGCCACCCTGACACTCTCGGCACGGTTCACAACATGGCCCTCTGTTTTCAGCAGCAAGGGGATCTGGATAAGGCCTTGACGTGGAACCAGCGGGCGCTTGATGGCTGTGAGAAGATCTTCGGTGAAGGCCACCCTGACACTCTCGGCACGGTTCACAACATGGCCATCTGTTTTCAGCAGCAAGGGGATCTGGATAAGGCCTTGACGTTGTACCGGCGGGCGCTTGATGGCTATGAGAAGATCTTCGGTGAAGGCCACCCTGACACTCTCGGCACGGTTCACAACATGGCCCTCTGTTTTCAGCAGCAAGGGGATCTGGATAAGGCCTTGACGTGGAACCAGCGGGCACTTGATGGCTGTGAGAAGATCTTCGGTGAAGGCCACCCTGACAGTCTCCGCACGGTTCACAGCATGGCCGTCTGTTTTCAGGAGCAAGGGGATCTGGATAAGGCCTTGACGTGGAACCAGCGGGCACTTGATGGTCGTGAGAAGATCTTCGGTGAAGGCCACCCTGACACTCTCCGCACGGTTAACAGCATGGCCGTCTGTTTTCAGGAGCAAGGGGATCTGGATAAGGCCTTGACGTGGAACCAGCGGGCACTTGATGGTCGTGAGAAGATCTTCGGTGAAGGCCACCCTGACACTCTCCGCACGGTTCACAGCATGGCCCTCTGTTTTCAGGAGCAAGGGGATCTGGATAAGGCCTTGACGTGGAACCAGCGGGCGCTTGATGGCTATGAGAAGATCTTCGGTGAAGGCCACCCTGACACTCTCCACACGGTTCACAGCATGGCCGTCTGTTTTCGGCAGCAAGGGGATCTGGATAAGGCCTTGACGTGGAACCAGCGGGCGCTTGATGGTCGTGAGAAGATCTTCGGTGAAGGCCACCCTGACACTCTCCGCACGGTTCACAGCATGGCCGTCTGTTTTCGGCAGCAAGGGGATCTGGATAAGGCCTTGACGTGGAACCAGCGGGCGCTTGATGGTCGTGAGAAGATCTTCGGTGAAGGCCACCCTGACACTCTCCGCACGGTTCACAGCATGGCCGTCTGTTTTCAGGAGCAAGGGGATCTGGATAAGGCCTTGACGTGGAACCAGCGGGCACTTGATGGTCGTGAGAAGATCTTCGGTGAAGGCCACCCTGACACTCTCCGCACGGTTCACAGCATGGCCCTCTGTTTTCAGCAGCAAGGGGATCTGGATAAGGCCTTGACGTTGTACCGGCGGGCGCTTGATGGCTATGAGAAGATCTTCGGTGAAGGCCACCCTGACACTCTCGGCACGGTTCACAACATGGCCCTCTGTTTTCAGCAGCAAGGGGATCTGGATAAGGCCTTGACGTGGAACCAGCGGGCACTTGATGGTCGTGAGAAGATCTTCGGTGAAGGCCACCCTGACACTCTCCGCACGGTTCACAACATGGCCCTCTGTTTTCAGGAGCAAGGGGATCTGGATAAGGCCTTGACGTGGAACCAGCGGGCGCTTGATGGCTGTGAGAAGATCTTCGGTGAAGGCCACCCTGACACTCTCGGCACGGTTCACAACATGGCCATCTGTTTTCAGCAGCAAGGGGATCTGGATAAGGCCTTGACGTTGTACCGGCGGGCGCTTGATGGCTATGAGAAGATCTTCGGTGAAGGCCACCCTGACACTCTCGGCACGGTTCACAACATGGCCCTCTGTTTTCAGCAGCAAGGGGATCTGGATAAGGCCTTGACGTTGTACCGGCGGGCACTTGATGACTATGAGAAGTTATATGGAGAATACCACCTTAATGCTCTCAACGCCGCCAGCGATGTTGCGAATGCCCGCCGACTTCTCGCCGGCCAGCAATCGAGCGTAGTGTAGCGATGGAGTTTGGATGAATCGATGTTGTGCCAGTCCTTGTCGCCCATTGAATGCTCGAACATGAGACGGGTCTACGATCCTGCCTCCGTACACCTTTCGGCATCGAGTTCTCTGTTTCCCTTCTCCGACGGTTGGATATGCGGTCTTGACTTCGAAGTGCAGGTGCTGTGGAGGGTCAAGTTTTGAGTTACTGGAGGGATTCGGTCTACGGAGAAGCGGCTGCGGGTGTGGAAATGGCGATAGGGAGGCGGGGCTGTAATGCCGGGTGGTTGGTGCTTCGTACCGATCAGATACAAAACTTTCTCGAATAGGCGGGGAGATGGGGAAAGCAGGGCGGAGTGGGAACGGAGGTTATGAATGGCTCACATTTACATTATTATTTTTCAGCTCCGCCGAGGCGAGCAAGAGCAAATCACAATCGTAAGGGGAGGGGAGGGGTGGACCAAGTGGTCTCGGGCAGGCATTGATAGAGACTGTCTGCTTCATGTATGTATTCACTTGGAGGATGGAGTGCTGGTGAGATGATGGATATAAGAGCAAACGTCGAGCAGCTGCCACCGAAGGAGATTGGTACGCCTACATTGCTCCGCCGAACAACTGCGGCTTATGCTGCCGTCACCGCAACGTGAATAATTTGAGCCCGAACGGCTCGCCGCTTGCCGCGTCGTCCTTACATGAGCCTGCGGTCCTATAAGCCGTAAGGATGGACTGGTCGCAGATTAGGTCTACCCAAGAATAACCGGCTCTCTCAGCGCCCAGTCTCTCTTGTTGACTGATCACTGCTCTTCTGAATTGTAACTTACCCGATCCTTGAACCCGTGTGCTCTATCACTGAATGTGTCACGTGTGTGGTTCTGGTTGGAGGTGAAAGAACGATCCTTCTGAGTTCGCTGCTCTCAACTTTTAATCGGCCACCCACTCAAGGTCGAATGACAGCAAGCATTAATCCTCGGCACTCTCATATCCGGTATTCAACACACAAAATTTCAATCAAGGGAGGAATTTCATTAAAACGCTATCAGTTATCTCTAGAATAACCCCCCAGAACCTCTCCCACTGGTGCCATCCAAGGAATGCATCAACGAAACCCCCCACCCCACGCATCCGGATTACCGCCTTTAAAATACTTCCTCATTCCAGCAAGTTATTCCTTTTCGGCACCACCCGTCTCTCTACCACCTAACATGCCTCCTGACCTTCTCTCCCATCTCAGCCACGCCATCGGCGACGCCATGCGCACCCTCGACACTGAGCGCACAAAGCTTCAGGCGCTTCAGCTTAAGCTTGAGCAGCACGGGACTCATCCTGGGGTCAGGGAGCATTCCGGTAAGTCTCGTGTGCTCCTCCTCGTCGGGCGTGAGGATCCAGTCCGGGTGCGGGCCGTTCTGGCAGTGTTGGAGAAGGGGGAGGCCGGAGGTGTTGCGCTTTTTCTTGACGGGGCCGAAGGTGATGTGCCGGGGTACGGAGAATTCGTCGGGAAGGAATAGTGGGTTGGCGGCGTGGAAGAAGTCCGCCGGAGGTGTTTGGCGCCGCCGAGAGCTGCTGGCCCGCCGGAGGTGCTGGCCAAAGCCCAAATCGAGACTGCGGCCCCCACCGCCTCGCGGCGCGGATGGCGTCGGCGTGCCGGAGACTGACTGCGGAGGGTAGAGGAGGCGGCTCTTTCGGCCGTAGACTTGCATGTTGTCGGGTGAAAGATATAGTAAAAGGTAGGAGTTGAAAAGTTGGGAGGGGGGAGGTTTCGCCTCCGTCGGGGAGTCACCGCCTTCGGCTGGGTAATGCTGTTGTTGTACTTAGTAAAGAGAATTGTAACATCTAACTTGCGAGCTTCTTGTAGTTGAATCCTGATGCTTTTGTGGATATACGCTAGGCGGAAGCTAAATAGGTCGAATTATTAGCTTGGAGGGAGAGTTTTGGCTTGATATCCCGAGACTTCAACAGACGGAAGTCGCCAATTATCATGACAAACTGCAAGGAGAGAATCAAAGGTCTACCCCGGTCCTCGTACTGCGAAGAATTTTTTTGTTTAACTGTTAATTGCTTGCGAGCTAACTAGATCATGGCAATATATCAATACAGACTCCGGTTCCACATCACTGTCATGTAGTGTACTGCGATGAAAATCTGCCAATAAAGTCTTCCATAAAGTTCGATGCGAGTGATATCGCGTGTATACCCGATTCACTCGTATGCATCTTCTGAGAACGAAGCATACGATATGGTGACGACACCTTAGCCTGTTCATCATTGACTGCATGCCGTCATTCGACAGAACTTCTACAAAAAGCAATGTAATTTCGGCCGCGAGTCACAGATCATGAGTACGCACCCCTCCTCACTCACCTTGCTGACGTCATCCCTACAACACTTAACGCGTCCATTCGCGTTCCCCCATTCACGCGCGTGCCATACTCACCTACGCACCACCACCCCAAGCCATGTCTACCACAAGCGCACTCCACAACCTCCCCTCCACCTCCACCGCGTTCACAGCGACCAGAAAGCCACGGCGCCCCATCAGCACGGATTCGAAACCGAAGCCCGCATCTTCCGGCCCCAACGTCGAATACGTGACCGTTGCCGCACCCACACACGAAGTCCTCCTTATCGCCGGCCGAGATCCCGAGGTAGAGGTAGAGCGGTACGATAGCTCGGCGGTGAAGTTGAGGTTTATCGAAGAGGCACGGGGAATGCCGGCGGTGATTAAGGCGAGCGTGAAAGTGAGCGCGCCGGTGGCGGCAGTGGAGAAAGGAAAGGGCAAGCAGAAGGAGGTGGTGCAGGTGGAGGACCGTGTGTCAATGGAGAAAGAGAGGCCGAGGAAACGACCAAGGAAGCAAGTTTAAGATGCGAGCAATGGTGGGATCTGTTTCGATAGCCTTTGGCTGGGCCGCTGGCTGATCTTTGTAGATACTCCCGGACGCCATGGGTTGTACAGGCGGGTGAAGTGATGGGTTGTGTATAATATCTTCCATGAGGCAGAGCCCCGTCGTGAAGAGAGGAAATACAATACGCGTCTTCCAGCAGCCATGTCGTCGTCCGACTCCGACTCCGTCTGCGTGAATTGCAGCAAGACCTCCTCCGACCTCAAACCCTGCCCAGCCTGTCAGGTCACGTCCTGCTGCTCCCGTGAGTGCCAGGAGGCCGGTTGGAAGACTCACAAGAACACGTGCGGTGTGCCTCTCCGTGACCTTGATACCTATTTTTAAGTCACTCTTCGACGATGACACGCTACACAAGCTCTCGCAGGACAAACTCTATGAGCGCATCATCGACTGCTACAGGATGCGATTTGAGGATGAGTCATGTTAGGCTAAAAACTTGATGTGGCTGTATGCTGGCGAGGATCCAGTGGAGTGCTTTGTGGAGTTCTTGAGGTTGGCCGAGGAAAGTGTGTCCTGCCGAAGTGGTGGAACACGGAGAAGAAGGAGGAGTGCGTGAAGCGAGTCTCTGAGATGAGCGGCCGGGGCAGTATCCACGTTCCTATCCAGAAGAGTGATGTGCGGGAGCATTACAAGGACGATATCATGCCGATGCGCTTGAGAGTGCTGGCGAAGTAGATCTATGGGAAGGCCATCTGGCAGCTGGTGATGGAAGTCTAGCTTCTTGGCTCGGTCTGCTTGTGCACGACAGATCTGGTTGTGTCTTCGTCGCTTGATTATTTTTCGGTGCGGATCGGAGGAAACTCATTTCACACTCAAGCTTCATACTTTGTACCTAAAATACCCTCCTCTTTCTCTTCGATTCGTCAATTATAGTGTGGCAATTTCAAGATCGATCTAGACACCTATATTCATCGTACTATGCAGATATTTGATGGCGGACCTGCACCTTCTCTGCAGTATGCGATCCGTTTACTTTTGTTTGCTGCCAGCTGCACAGGTTTTTGTTTTGCTGTGCGGTGCTGTGTCACCATAACGCTCCCGTGCAACGTCGGATGCTTTGGTTATCAATCAATCGATCATATCATATCGATCATCGCTAATCTGGTCGATAGTACCCGCGGGCCGCGGCCTCCCACAGACAACGATCGCTCCGACCGTCCCATGGTGATGATCTTCAGCCTCACTCCATCTATCGCTCCGTTATCTGCCCTACCCTTCATCAGGGCTCATTCGGCAATCATCACCGCCAACAGGAAGCACACCGATTAGCTATCGCACCCATAGGTAGGTCCCATTCGCTAGTGTCATCGACTACCGATAGTAACAGCCCAATCCCCCGTTAAAAATTAAAAAAGCGCATCCACCACGATCAGCCAGAAAAACGCCCCCGCCGCGCCGCCGCCGCAGCTTACGTACATAGGGAATCTATGGAAGCTCTCCGCCTCCGCCGACAAGCCATATCCACGCCCTCATCCTTCGAATGACAATCCCCGATGGCCGACAGCCACTACGCGCAGTACGAACACGCTCTGCTGTCCGCCAACTCGAGCCAACCCCCGCAGCAGCAGCACCAGTCACGTCGCGCCGTCTTCGCTCGACTCACCCAGCCCTTCGTCGGCACCAGTCGCCCGCCTAGCTCCTCGGGGAACAACAGCGGGCTTACGGGCGCGGGCGGTGGTAGTGGCCCCACGAGTGTGACGAATGCTCCGTACGTCTCCCCCCCCTTCCCATCCCTTCCCCCCGCGCAGACCTCGCCGCCATCACCGGCGCGGGGAAGCGGGGAAGCGGATACTAACATCCCGTCCCCCAGGAACCTTACGGTACCCCGCAACCTACGCTACAACCTCGGCTCGGCGATCCTAGCGCTCTCCACCAACGACGAAGACCGCATCGTAGTAGCCGGTCGCGAGATCCTACGCGTCCTCCGCGTCGGCACCAACGAGATCACCGAAGAGGCGAACCTCCGACTCCCCGGCGAACAAAAACGACATTTCCAGTATGACGTCAAGTGGGGGACGATCCACCAGAAGAACATCATTGCGACGGCGGGGACAAACGGCACTATCTGTCTATACGATGTCAAGCAGGGGAAGCTGGATCGCATGCTCAGGGAACATGTTCGGCAGGTCCATCGGCTAGCGTTCAACCAGGCGAATGGAAATCTGCTGCTCAGCGCGAGCCAGGATGGGACCATCAAGTTGTGGGACCTCAGGGAGAACAAGAGCAGATTTACATTTGTGGGGAAGTCGGACGCTGTGAGGGATGTCCAGTTTAATGCTGCGAATGCTACCGAGTTTGCAGCCGCTTTCGATAGTGGTGCCATACAGGTTGGTGACCCGGATATGGCCAGTTCCGGCGTGACGTGTGTGAGCTGACACGCAAAACAGCGTTGGGATTACAGGAAGGAATCGATATACGAGCGCAAGATCAATGCGCATAACGGACCGGCATTTACGGTCGACTGGCATCCCGACGGAAGGCACTGCGCAAGTGGCGGAAGAGATCGCACAGTAAAGATATGGGACTTCAATGCTGATCCACGGCGGAAACCGAAGCACGAGCTCACTACGATGGCATCCGTGAGTCGCATCGCATGGAGACCATCGCGAAATAACAAGAACGACACGACACAGCTGGCTACTTGTGCCATCAATAATGATCACCGGATGCAATTGTGGGACTTCAAGCGGCCCTATATTCCCTCCAGAATCATGGACGTACACGACAATGCGACTACGGGGATATTGTGGAAGGATGAGGATATATTATGGTCTTGCGCCAAGGACTGTACCTTGGTCCAGACCTATGTTCCTTCTGCGCCACAGCCCATCGATTCTCTGACACACAGTGCCATATCGTGGGCTCCGGACGGGGAATTCACGTTTGCGGGACAGCGGCGGGCAAGGAGTCGATTCCACACAGTTGGGGGGCGAGCCGACTTCGACGAGGATACATTACGGGAGGACCGCCGAAGTCATGGTCGCAGTAGCTCGTTCAGGTCGTCTCGACCTTCGCTAAATGCGCTCAACGTATTCGACACAACACTCGATAAATTCATGCCATCTCAGTCTGCCGCACGGGTCTCGATTCCGAGCCTGTTCGATAAAGAGGCGTTTGTTTATTTCGCGGAAAAATACATCATCGATCTCGACGGCGTCGCGGGAGGAAAGAAGATGACGCTCCTCCAGGCTTGCGATTGGAACGCGCGGGTGGCATTCCGGGCACAGAATCATCGTACAGCAACAACGTGGAAGATGATACAGAAGATTATCGCTTCGGAGGACGAGGAAGCAGCTGAAAAAAGGAAATTCCAACGGGCTGAAAGTGTTTCCTCGGCCCAGCATCCTACCGGTTTGGTCGCGAGGAGGGCGCTCGGTCTCGGCGGTGACAACTCGGCGAGTGCGTCTGGAGGCGCCACACCATTGGCACCACCATCACCGGCGAGTGCTCCTACACCAACACCTGCGAAGCACGAGTCGATGGGCGAACAGCTTCTTCGGCTTCCTCCTTCGGCGTTTGGGAGAAGCCCTTCCAGCTCCACTATCTCCACCGATGGTGAAGAATATGCAGTGACTGAGAAAGTTGTCCCGGCGTTGGCTCCAATCCACCCTGACAGCGACGCTCCAAATGTCAGTCCGAGCAGCAGTAAAGTTCGACCAAACCTTACTGTTGATACTGGCGCCAGCAACCACACAAAAGCCCATGACATGGGCACTTCAGCGCAGCCCGGTGGTGAATCAAAGGCCAATGCCAACGGCAGCGCCCACCACTCTATCGACGAAAATCACAACCTTCCCCTATTCACTGCGACCTCTGAGCGCTCCGACCCTCTCGGTGTTCACAGCCCTGCGCAGAAAGGAACTGCTCACGTCGACATCAACAACCCCGCCAACGCCAAGAGCAACGGCAAAAACGATCAGTCAACTTCACACCCTTACTCGGCCACGACCCACACCGATACTTCGTTCAACGGCTCACAAAGCTTGCAGCGGCAGTTCTCGCTCGTGAGTGAGCAGACATCGAGCAGCTACGGTGTCCTCGAATCGACACGTAGCGACATGTCAGACTCGGAGTCACCGAATCACGCCAATACCACCCATCCAAACATCTCTAACAACTCTCTCCCACCTATCACCGAGGAAATGAACGCATCCACGATCCTCTCTCCTTACTCGGCTCAGCAACCGCAGTCTGTCCCTCAACTGCGCATGCCAGTCCCCAGTACTCAGACCAGCGTTTCCACCGCAGACGACGAGAAGCCCTGGTCATCACGGCACATGGTCGAGCAATTCCTCGCGTACTCCACCGAAACCGGCGACGTCCAGACAGCGGCGGTACTAATCCTCCTGCTCCACCGACGGATGCTGTTCTCGGCGCACATTGTTGAAGAAGTCCTCGACGGCTACCTTTCGCTGCTCACGCAGATGCGCTACTTCTCGGTCGCAGCTCTCGTCCGCAAGCTCGCGCCCTCCGAGGTTGTCCGCATGTCCGGACAGTTCAACGTCGACGTCGATCTTAGCTGCGGCGAGTGCGGGCGCGCCGTGGGTGGCCGCGGCGGTGGCTGGTGCATGAAATGTGCGGGCCGCGGAGGCGCGGCGTGTGTAATCTGTGGCGAGCTCGGGAAGGAGCGGCGCTGGACCGTGTGTGGTGTCTGTGGCCATGGCGGGTGCGAGGGCTGTCTGAGGGGCTGGTTCGTCGGCGAGGATGCAGAGCGTGAGGAGGGCATGGAGAGGTGTCCGGCTGTGGGTTGTGGTTGTGCGTGTTTACCCAGGTAGTTGGTTGGTGGTGGGAAGTGGTGGGAAGTTTTGGGAAGTTGTGCGTGTAGGTAGGTGTGCTTTCTGCGCGCAGGTTGGTTAGAGGCGTTGAGGTGCTAGGCTGCTTTTTGGGTTGCTTTGGTTATTGCTTTGTGATTCATTCGCGTGGGAGGCTAGTTAGCTGTAGTCTGTAGAGGGAAGAGGGAGGGTCATGATTATGATTGCTTGCCCAGGTGGTTAATGAGAAAAAAGGCCATCCCAATTCAGTTCGTTTCGTTCCGTTCAATGGACTTTTGCGCACGCGGTGATAGTTGGGAAAGCCCGGGGTTGCGTCGGGACAATGATAGCGGGATTGACCGTTGACGTGCCATCCATCGGACATCCCCCGGTGGACGAAGCTAAAACTGCACGAGATAACCAGCTACAAATCGGTTCCTCGACAAATGCCAACAGCTGCAATGATCTACTACCTACTCCTACGCCAATTGGTGGCCCAGCTCGGCATCGCACTTAGATTCCGAGATTTTATGCACAGCCAATGGCAAGAAGACGAAGAACAAGAAGAAGCAAAACCAAAACCAAAACCCGATGTACGTGCCTACGTGTGTAGAGTACACGGAACCTTCCATACGCTTGCCGGGGGGCGTCCGGGGAGGTGGGAGGTGGAGCAGTCCGCAGGCGTCCAGTTCACGTTCGATAAATGCCCTGCCATCCCCCCCTCGCACCCCCGGGACCCCCGGACGCGTCCGATTATTATTTTATTTTCCGTGTTGTGTGATCCTCCAGCTCATCCCAGCGATAGCTAAGCGACAGCTCGAGACAGCTTGCGACAGCTCACGATAGTTCACGACGGCTCACGACGGCTCACGACGATGCCTCACGGACGTGGATGCGCGATCGAGGTTGATCCTACGCTGGTATGTTACTCCAACCCCAGGTAGATGATGTCGAGATGGGGGAGGCGCGTGCTGTGTTATACTGATGGCTGATACGGGAAATGGCAGGCGGAGAATCCACTTGATAAGGATTATGAGTCTTCCGGGTATGCTGCTTCACCGGGACGCGAGAGGGCAGGGGCGAGCGGAGGGGAGGTTGCTGATGCCCCGATAGCTATGCGACCTCGACGAAGAGCTTAGCCGCGGCGGCGGCGGAGTATATTTACGAGAACGGTACGTGTTGACAGACGGGCGGAGGGGGAGGATGGAGCAGAGAAGAGAAGAGAAGAGGCGAAAAGAGATGGGCTGATGACGATGGTGATGCGTGTGTAGGAAGGCGATACCACGCATACTACGGTGTCGAGAAGAACCTGATGCCTACGGACGAGGCATGTACTATATGATATCCACCTCCCATTTAGCCCTCCTTGCTAACCGGCGCAGATGGAACAAGAACGGTAGATACCGACCGTACACCCGGGATACCCCAACGGTGCTTCCGAGAGAGGCCGACGACTGATCGCGGCAGATTGGATATCAACCATGAGATATTTATGCGCCTCCTCGAGGGCGGGCTACATAAGGCGCCACTGAGGAACCCAAAGCAGATTTTGGATGTGGGCACTGGAACCGGCATATGGGCTATCGATATGGCGGATCAGCATCCGAATGCGAAGGTTACGGGGATTGATCTGAGGTATGTGGTGGTGGGTCGAGGGCAGAGAGGAGGGAACGAGGGTTGCTGATGGCATTGGTGAGCAGTCCGATTCAGCCGAAGTGGTATGTCGATACTCGGGTGCGGGAATGAGAGGAAGGACTCTATGTATTGACAGTGGAGGGGATTATAGGGTTCCAGCCAACTGGTGAGTACAGAGCTGTCTTGATCAATTGAGAGTGTAGGACTGATAATCGGCTAGTAAATTTCTGGTGGACGACGCGGAGTTGGAGTGGACGATAAATTCGGTAAGTTGCCGCCTAGGAGCGTCGCCACTGGCGAATCTCCAGCTCACAGCGACGCACAGGATACCCTCGACTTCGTCCACTTCCGCAATCTTGCGCTCGGAATCTCAAACTGGTCGCACGTACTTTCCGAAACATACAGATGTCTCCAACCGGGCGGATACGTCGAGCTTGCCGATACTGGCCGTACATGCCCATGCCCCCCTCCCTCTCTCAGACAGCAACTGATCCCCCGCAGTGGCAGTATACTGTGACGATGGCTCCATGTGGCCCGACAATCCAGTCAATTTATTCTGCGAACTGCTATTGGAGGCGATGGCACGCAGCGGACGGGAGTCGGTCAGCGGCGATTTGCTGAGCGCACGGCTGACGAAGGCTGGTTTCGTGGATATCAAAGTGTATCCCATGAAGCAGCCATTTGGTTCGCTCCTGCCCCCTCATCCTCCCCCTCCTCACCACTCGCTGACAAGAATACAGGTCCCTGGGCGAAAGAGCGCCGACTGAAGGAGGTCGGAATGCTGACGCTCCTGCAATCCGAAGCGGCGTTCTTGTCGTATGGGATGGCGGCACTCACGAGGGTTTTGGGCATGGACCATGAGGTTGCCCGGAAGATTTGTCACGATGGGTATCAGGCTACGATGAATAAGAATACCCATATGTATGGTTTGCAGTAAACGCCCCCGATCCCCTATGAATCTTGAAAAGACCGTGGGTTGACCTGGGTGGACCACAGTTACATCGTCTATGGCCGAAAACCAGTGCGCAGTAACCTTGAAGTGCGAAAAATATGAGGATGGGGTTTAGTTATGTACTTCTGGTGCCTGGTTTTGATGAATGGTCCTCTACAATGTAAATACGGCTTTGAATCACGTTTGTGTCTCTCGAGTCTCATCAATTTGCTTAGTTCCGGCACCTATCTACATACGTTGAGAGTCACCTCAGCATCGGCTTGCGGACTACATACAGACGGATTATCAAAATGACTTGTCAGTTTATGGTTGCACTTGCACTTGCATCGCATATGCGATGCATGCGAAAACGAGCAAATCGAACGAAAATCGCCGTCAACTGTCTTCTTCTTTTTCCGTGGAGACAATCGAGGCTGGACTGGACGGTGGTGATGCAGGGGGCTCGGGAATTGTTGTAAGAATCGTCGAAACTATTTACGACGGTTGTGTAGGATAGAAACTACCCAGGAAGAGTGCCGGCCCTCAGCCACCCCCAGCCACCTCTCCCATCGAATGCAGGGAACAAGAGCCACTATGTGCGTAGGTTGATACAAGGATTACCCATGTTTCCACCGTACTAGGTCTAGGTGTAGGAACCTAAACTTGACAACTCGACAGCTGCGCGCTAAGCGGGCAGCAAAAACCCTTACAAAATCTTGAGGATTTCACAAATTCTTCAGCTCCCGTGGGTACACGTATCTTGTATCGACGATGAGGGGGGTGATTGCGGGCTCTGGAGCCGGGGGGAAATCCTCCGACTATTCCGGAATAGTTTGGACGACACGTCAGGACCTCCGGTGTCTCGCTTGGTTTCTCCGCATGGATACCACGCCCCTCCCGCGCCTGCCGGACGCTCGCCCGTACATATCATGGTTCGTCTCGCAGCTAGATACCGGTAAGGACCTTGTGTGTGTATGTACTAGGAGCTGCCAATAAGTGGTGCTTCACCACCATTACGAATTATAAGCACTAGTCTATAATAGGAGTGCACTAAGCCAGATACAATGAGATGAGTGAGTGGCTGTGACTAAGTTGTATGGGGGAAGAACTGGTGAGGCAGCACTTACCCTTACACCCGTGTACAGTAGCAAAAAGTAGGGTGCGATTGATACGGGGTGAATACTGTACATAGTCATTTGAATACCGAAGAACTACCAGGTTTTTAAGTTGGAATACCGAAGAACTACCAGGTTTTTAAGTAAAAGCTAGTAGTTCTACGGTATTCAAATGACTGCGGTATTCACCCCGTATCAACCACACCCTACTTTTTGCTACTGTATTTAGGCATTTTGCAGTTCCCAAAGTATCCGTTTACCCTCACAGGCTGCCTCGTATTCCGCACTAGAGCAAGCAGTTCGGCTCCATATCCCTGAGGCCTCCCAAAACCACTACCGAGCGCGGGTCACGCTCCATCACTCACGGCGCATGTGCGCATGTGCATCAGGACAGCAGCGCAGCTTGACCAATCCGAAACCACTTCGGCGCCTGTGACCTGCAGACCCTACCCACCGTTCCCTCGTATTTCGCTTGGCGGGTGACTATCTCAATAGGCGATTGGCGGGAGGCCGGAGAAACGGGGGACCCGGCCGCTACCTAGGTTTACATCCTCCTTCCGCAAAGCGAGATTGCGGGATCGGTCCGGACTGATTGACTGACTGGGGGACTTTCGGTTCAAGGATTGCAAGCGACTGCCGTTACCGTAGGTGGGGTGGACACTGAGCCAAACTACCCCCCCTCCCCCGAGAACGGTTGGGCTCCATGCACGAGGGATTGAATTAGGGCTGGCGACGACTTTGCATGTAGAGCTGGCTATTATAAAGGCCAAGTCTTTCCCTTTCCACCGAAGTGTTAGACCTTTGGCTGCCCTTACGTTGTCTCGGCTTCAAACTACACATCCGCCAATCCAGCCGACCAACCGCCGCCATGTCAAGCCAGGAGAGCGAGATCGAAGTTGACCTTAGTTCCGTACGTATGCCTATCTTCATGGGGTTGGAGTGTCTCTGATAACATGGAAAGGACCCCGAATACGCCTCGAGGTTTGTGTGATCCCGACTAGGAGTCGCGTGGGCACCCCGTGGTTAACCGTTGCAGCTACCATACTGATACCACGAGCTTGTCGTCGTCCATCAACGAATACGTCTTCGAGAATGGTATACCCTCACCGCTTATCACCGCCTCGGCCGACGCATATGGATACTGACGTCATCGCGTCAAGGCCGCCGTTATCACTCGTATTTCGGAGTCGAAAAGAACTTGATGCCGACGGATGAGGTACGGTCTCGTGGCCATTCCCCGGTGGATGAAGAAAGGTCTTTGACTGCCATGTATGAATACAGAAGGAACAAGATCGGTATTGAACTCCAGATACGAAGTTTGGAGGGTGGTTAAGGGTGCTAATGGTGATGGAAACCCCCAGGCTCGATCTACACCACGAGATCCTGATCCGTCTGTTCGATGGGAGACTCCACAAAGCTCCCCTCGATCACCCGCAACGGATCTTAGATGTCGGGACCGGTACGGGTATCTGGGCTATCGATATGGCGGATCAGTATCCGATGGCAGAGGTGGTGGGCATGGATCTTAGGTTTGTTGTTACCTCGGAAAGTCCGATGTGCCGAAGCTGACTGCGTGTTATAGTCCCATCCAGCCGAAATGGTATGCCTCCCCGAAAATCTGATACAGCGACTCGTACTTACGGATAGTGGATAATAGGGTCCCACCGAACTGGTAAGTTCGCCCCCCCGGTGCCAGCGACTGAGAGTATAACCTAACGTTACCCCAGCAAGTTTGAAGTCGACGATGCCGAGAAGGACTGGGCGTACAAGAAGGTACCTTTCAGTTCGATGGCCGCGCCTGATACCACCTAACCGATAGACGCAGGATTCCTTCGATTTCATCCACATCCGGAATCTTGCCCAAGGGATCAGCAACTGGCCCAAAGTCCTCGACGATGCCTACCACTGCCTGCAGCCTGGCGGCTACATCGAGCTCTCCGACACCGGCGGTCCGCCTCCGTCCCCCTTCTATTGGTTCTTCATCTTCTAACACCACAACAGTAACCTTCCACTGCGACGACGGCACCATGCTACCAGACAACACGGCCAAGTGCTGGGGCGAAGCGATGACTGAAGCGATGGCCAAGGCCGGCCGGCCACCACCCAGCGACGCTAGGCACCTCCGCGACCGCCTTACCGCGGCCGGTCTGGTCGACGTGCACTCATACGCCATCAAGCAACCGTTCGGCCCGTGGGCAAAAGACAAGCGTCTCAAGGAAGCCGGAATCATGATCTGGATCATGGCCGAGGAGGGATTCACCTCCTACGGCCTCGCCGCTTTCACCAGAATGCTAGGAATGGACTCCGAGGAGGCGGCGAAGCTCTGCAGAGATGGGTACCAGGCTACTCGTGAGCGCAAATCGCATTTGTACACTGTGCAGTAAGTTACCACCTGATCCCAACCACCCGATGTTGCAGTGCTGATTGTGGGTATGCAGTTACGTGGCGTACGGAAGGAAGCCGGAGGAGTAAATTGCTTGCTGCGAGGGCCGCCTTTCTTTATTCGTTTGCTTTCTTGCGATTCTTTGTGGCTATAACAGAAAGCCACCTTCGGTGCTTAGGATACCAAGTTTCAGAGAAATTCCTTGTGACCACGCTCCGAAGGCCGAATCCACAACCCAAACATGACCGATCAGACCTAATAACTACCTGCATAAGTGCCAGTGTGAAGATTGAAGACTCGTGTTCGATTCATGGTGCCCAAGTCAAGCTATGTATCCGTAATGTAGGACAGCCCTATCGTTCTCACGATCTTGTGTGTTCTGAGTACCGGTACACGGCGTTATCCACTCCACGTCACATGCGTTTCCAGAATTGCGGGGAAGCTGTAGTATGTACCCTGGGTTGTATTAGGGACTGCCGGTACTTGTCGATCCGGATTTTCCGGGCTCCGACAGACTGGACCACCACGTCGGAACAAAAAAAGCTTTTCTTGTGCATAAACGAGCAGCTGCCAGTACGGCATGATATGTGTCGGATAGATAGCCCTGCTCGGTACATGTATGGTACAACCGGGACCTGCCAAGAATGAATGTTATGGAGGCGATGATGACGATCACTCGGCGGCAGTGTAGAGAGGTGTATTCGATGGAAAGCACAGACTTCGAATTCATGCCATGCCATAGGTACATAAGCTCATCGTTCGGTGCTCAAGACGACATGCCAACGCTCTCGCCATACTTCAGCCTCTTCTCTTGGATGAGCCCGTCCCCAACACTTACCAGCCGCAGGTCGAAGATCGCAGGTCACATGGCTAGTCGCCTGACTGAAATTCAATCACAGCTTCGACACCAAGAGATTCAACATTTGATTAATAATAGACACACGGACCCTCGAGCCACAGCAGCACCGCCCCCCTCTTCCGACCACCACCGCGCATCACCGCTGCCGTGCTAGATTACATATCCACTCACAAGCCCATCAAAGATCCTCCGCCCGCACCGTGCTTCCGCAATCTAATGAAGACGCATCCACAACCCACCACCCAGAGAACGATGCTCGCCGCCACAGTATCGGAAAGAAACTAGCATGTGCAAATGGCCACGAAGGAAAACACAGAATCTGAGAGCAGAAGGGTGCAGCGTAGCGTAGCGCGCCACACATCCAACGTTTCGTATGGCGATGACGATCGATTCGGCTGAACTCAAGTTGATGATAGTGTCTTGCACATCGCTAGACGTTCGGAAGGCTCGCGGCCCCGAAGGCCCCGTATGATCTGTTGGACATGACATGAACCTTTGACGGACCGTGCGCGTTTCAGGAGTCGAAGGGCGTGGATATCTCCTACGTACGTAAGGGTGTTGTGTTTTGGACTGCACGAGCGTGTCTAAAAAAGAGGGTCTCTCTGGCCCGACGAGAAACATGAAAATCAACACAACATCGTCTGTCTTTCTATCCATCGATACACCCACACCTAAATTGCTGAAATACTCGATTGGTAGCCGTGGATTATGCGGGAAATCACAACTTGTTCGGCGGCGGCGAAGGTTCTCGGATGGTCCTAACGCTTTGTGATAAGCCCCTTGCTCCCAAATCGTTATGGCCATGCCGTAGAGAGCATCGAGAGTTTTGGGATGGTCTTTTCCGAGGGTCTTCTCATAGCCGTCAAGCGCCCGCTGAAACGACACCAACGCTTTGTGATAAGCCCCTTGCTCCCAAATCGTTATGGCCATGCCGTAGAGAGCATCGAGAGTTTTGGGATGGTCTTTTCCGAGGGTCTTCTCATAGCCGTCAAGTGCCCGTTAAAACGACACCAACGCTTTGTGATACTCCCGTTGCAAATAGAAAGTAACGGCCATGCCGTGGAAAGCATTGAGAGTGCCGCGATGGTCCTTTCCGAGGGTCGTCTCATAGCCGTCAAGTGCCCGCTGAAAAGACACCAACGCTGTGTGATAATCCCCTTGCACACGAAAAGTGACGGCCATGCCGTGGACAGTATTGAGAGTGCCGCGATGGTCTTTTCCGAGGATCTCCTCATTGCCGTCAAGTGCCCGCTGTAACCCCACATACGCTTTGATATTATCCCCTCGCTTCTCAATGGTTGTGGCCGTGCCGTAGACAGCATCGAGAGTGCTGATATGATATTTCCCGAGGGTCTTCTCATAGCCATTAAGTGCCCGCTGTAACCACATGGAGCCTGCGATATTCCCATTTTGGCCCAGGATGATCCCTAAATTGTATTGTAGACCCAAACCGTTCACAGTAGCCTGAGATCCATCGGTAGCATGCCCCAGTGCGGTGGCTGCATGTGCTGTCAAGTGCATACACTGACGGTGATTTGCAAGCCTATCGTTCGGAAAAGTTTCGTTTATCAAGCAAAAACTGCCTCCAAAAGGTCCCGTCTCCGTCGTCCGCCTTTCCGATCCATCTGTTGCCGGATACATAACCCGACAAGGCGGTGCAAGCGATAATTTGAAGATTCGAGCTGATAGATCAGAGAAAAGTTGAGGAGCGGTGCAAACGCCTTGTTGAATCCTATGTCGCTTTCGTCCCCAAGGAAAGGGATATCTCTCAATAGTGCCTTCGGTATTTCATCCGGGTTGAGGAAGCTCATGGCCTCTAGTAGTTGCACAGGTTTGGGGCTCTTCTCCTGAATTTCGTCGATTGTGAGTATCCAAGTCGTCATCACCGCGCGCGATCCGGGTCTTTTGCCGTCTTCCATTGCAGTTGGTAAAGCTTCGTTCATGAGCTGCTGCTGATTACGCTCGCATTCTTTGAATAGCTTCAAATAGCCCGTGATACCCGTTCCGGTTTCTCGCATATATGCTACCGCTTGTGCGATTGCCAGGGACAATTTCTCCAGCCTTTGCAGCAGCTCGACAGCATCTTCCTCATCGTCAAGTCCATCGGTGGCTCGGCGATTGGAGAGCATCTTCAATGCTTCCGCGTCATTCATCACGTGGACTTCCACCCCAGCGTCGCCACGTGGCACATACGCAAGGTTTTCGACGGGATTTGCGTTGCATGTTGTAAATAGGATCGCACCGCGCTGTACTGGAAGGTGTCTAGCTGGACGCCAGTCGACTCCGTCAAGACTGTCAAAGTTGTCGAAATTATCGACGACCATGATCCAGTCACCGCTAGCGCAACTGTCCAACCACACTTTGACACTCTCCAACTGCTCTTTTGGACCCGTACAGCCGTGTGTGCGACCATACTAGAGGCTCCGCGTCTCCGTCTAGATGCATTCCGGCGGGGTGTCGGCTGTTTTGGCATGAGCTTCGAACTCGAGAAAGTCGGCGCTCGTGTTGTGAGTCGCAGAAAGGCTGAAGTCGAAGGAGGAACTGTCGTTGCGAACGACAGAGCACTTCGACGCCGCGGAAAAGGGGAATGCTCAGCCTCGTAGTCGGCAGACATGCCAACGCTCCAGGTCACACAGGTATTTGCGGCACCCCCCCACACACACAACTAAAGTGGTGGAAATCCAAGATACCGTAGTGGCTGGCGGACAACATTCTTCATTTGTTTGATCTCTGATTGCTCGCGACCTAGAATTACCTATTTGCGCTAATAACTCTATGGCAACCATCTGTCGTAGACCAGCAGTGACTGGCGATGATTGGCGGTGGCTCAACTGCTGTAACACAGGCAGTAACTATGTAGTACCTATATTCAACTTGGCTCTAATGCCATACATTCTCAATTCCAAAGATCTCACCGGATAAGTTGCTACGGCAGCTTCGCCGACATGTTCCGACCAACCGTCCTGATATTCTTGTAGTCCCTCCTACCGGCAAGGCATGGGAGTCATCACTGCGAGAGCCGAAGCGTATCGGGGTTCTATGCATAACTTCGCACCTTGTTCGGTGGTGGCAAGAGTCTCCGGGCGGCCTTTTCCTTGAGGCTACTCACGACTATCAGGTATGCACATATCCGCTGGAACGCCATCGAGCCGTATAGCGAGCCCCGTTGCTGCTCAACACATACGGTACTCTAACATGTACTCGTACGTAAAGTCCTGTTCGACAGCAACGAGAGTTTTAACGTCGTCGTCGTCATTGGTATATAACACACCGGTAGACTGCTCCCTCTAGTTCTCCGTGACACGTGTAAACAATGTACCGTAGTTAGTATGCAAAGAGACATGATCGCGTCCGAAGAAAACTGGCAACCACGAAGAGACTAACTAGCAGCAGAGGCGAGGTCACATCTCTCCGACACCTGAGCGAAGGCGTCGGAAGCAATGACAACTCAAAGCAAAGGAAAGCATGAAAACAGCCTAATGGACCGAGAGACTAATATGATAGGATGACGGAAATATTGTGCTTCTCATTCCTCGCTCGCCTTCGACCTCCTGCTGCCCGGACCACTACCTACTCCTACTCATCCCTACGTACATTCTGTGTCCAGTATTCCAAAAATCCGCCTTTTTCGCATCCTCGCCACTACATCACCTGTCACCCATCACCCCACAGCCCCACAACCCCATAACCTCATAACCCCATAACCTCATAATCCCGGTCTGCTCAGCTCGCTCTCCCTCATTCCACGTTCACCAATTACTAGTCAATCCACCGTCATGGTTCCCTTCCTTATGCATGACGCTTGCGTGCATCGACTATCTTTTGGGCGTTCTTGACACAATCCACTGTTTTCGCCAGTACGATTTGGTAGGATGGGTCGTTTTTTCCGGCGAATTTTACCATGTTCGAATGGTCGGCATCGATTCCTATTTGCGGCTGCATTTGCGCGCTGGGAAACGCGACGGTTGCCGACTCCGGCGTGACGAGTCGTATCATGTTTCCCGTTCGCGACCAAGTTCCATCCGGTTTGATGACCACGGCTTGAGTGTCTTTTTTTTCGTAGAACGAGAAGATCTGACAACCCTTGAGCTCAACGTTAACCCCTCGAACGAAAGAGTCATGGATAACCCTTAAGGATTCTGAGCCTGTTGCCAGGCTCTCGATGAATCTTGCGTTCTTCTGGTCCTCTACCAAAGTCCTGAAATTTTGAACATCCAGTCCTTGGTTAGGTACTCCGAAGAAAAAGAGACCAACACTCGAGCTCAAGATAGCCTTTTCGCTCTTGAGACTTTCTGGCCGAGATGCATCCGCGAGTGCCTGTGGATAATTAGCATCTTGAAGAGTACACACGGAGAGAAGAGCATTGCGTACGTGTTTGATAACCAACCCACCGAGGCTGTGGCCCATGAAGATTATCGGACGGCGTGATGATGCCTGCCGTTGTATGTTAACCAGAGTTGACAGCACAACTTCTACACATGAACACATACATTTCCTTCCGGGCGTAGACGGCTAAGACTTTCCATAAGCCATCTCCCAAAGATCTGGACGGTGGGGGTGATGGTCTTATCACGGAAAGCAGTGTCGTAGCCAAAGGTGAGAATCCTAACCTGGCACCCTCGCTCTCGTAGATCCGATGGCAAAAAGTCCCGTACCCACATCTGGGGTGGGCTGCGTGATCCCCAAGACCCATATGCGTTGCCAGCAAGGCCCGTGACGACGACGATGCTAAAAATCCCGTTAGCTTTCTGGAAACTTCCACCATGTCGAGCTGCTACAGTGTGCATTACTCTACCGTGGGCTCCTTGGCAGTGTATAGCGGCGTCAGTCCGAAAAAGTCACAGTCAACCAATAGGCCGTGCTTGGTACCGGGGTAGGGCAGGTCGATCTCTTTTCCCGGAATGCATCTTGCAAGGCTTGCGGGTTCTCCCTTGGTGGGAGTAATAGTGGCTGTTATGTTGGTCTCATCGGGGACATACGAGAGCATGAAGTCGGGGTATCCAAGTATTCCTCCCAAATACTTCCTGAAATCCTGCTCGGTGACAGACGGTGGGATATTGGGGATTCGGAGGGTTCGAGCGGGAATGGGGGGCCCAGAACTGGGAGCTGCTTTGACCGGAGCCACGGAACCTTTGGATTTCTGCATCTAAACGGGATTGGGGGAAGTCTGGCGTAGGGTTTGAGTTTGAAAAGTTGGTGAAATGGCAAGTAGTAATAGTTGTTGGGAACCTTAGGGAGAGTGAATTTCCCTGCGGTGCAGGATGGAGGTTTTTATATACGGTTTTGAGGGAAACGGGTATTCCCCGCACTGGCGCTTCCTGTCCATTTCCTTGCGGTGGCAAGCAGGAATACTCTGCTCGAGTCTGGTTACTCGTACGCGCTGTGGTGGCGACAAAGCTGCGCTATTCCGGTTCGGTATATCTAAAACATGTTCATGCTCTAGATACTCTACACAACCCTCGGCCGCATCGAGTAGGTAGATGCTCGCGCCCACATGACTGAAACACCTGGATATGAGGTCAAGGAGGGAATGGCTTCGTCTACCAGTCACTCGGTGAGTAGGTGGATCAGGCGACAATACTGGTGGCATGTACATATGACAACCACGGGGTACGGCGGGGGGCCGCAAGGATTCAAGCTGCGCAACGAGCTCGAGCGGAGGCCGAGCAAAGCAACGGGGCTTGAGTCGAGCGTGCTTGTTTTGCCGTGAAGAATGTGGGAACGGTATGTGAATTGGCGCACTGCCGACAGAATACCGGTAGTAGCCGCTATGGTTGTGGGAGATCTGGACATTTTTGGTGTAGCGGCATTCTTTTGTATCATCGTGATTCGTTGCTTCCTCGTATGTAACATCCCCTACATGTCCGGGCGGTTATAAATTTGTTGCAGTGCATGAATCCAGATTTGAAGGCGTCAATGCGTCTACACAACCACATGTCTCACCGTCTCAATTAGTCTGGTTGCGGCAAGTGGTGGTAATGTGTGGGTTATCGGTTCGAGCTACGTAAGTGCACACGGGTTTAAAAGTAATCATAGGGGGCACCATTGAGCAGCTGGTCTTGTGAGGATTGTAACCTGATTTTCTATGTCAAATTTTTGGAAAAAACTTCGGGAGGATGGATGTGGGAATTTACTTTGTTGGATATGTATTAGTAGGGAGGTTTCTACATACTAACACACGTTGCTCCATCTACGGAATCGATTCATCTGCTTTTGATATCACTCGTTGCCAACCTATCTACGCCGGTCCAGATTTGGCCAACTTCATGCACTGTAACAAAGTTACAAGCGCCGGAAATGTAGGGGATCTGTAAGAACATACTGTTGAACAGTACACAACACCAGCATCGTTTGTATTAATCTCAATCTCAATCTCTATTGCTTCCGTGAATTCGACCTCTGCGCTTCATTCAACAGGCGCTTCCTAGACGGAAGCGCCCATCCTCGGCTCTACATAGTGCAGTTCCCACTTAGTTAGATAGTGCACTTCCTACAGGGCTGAGGGAAGGATCCCGAGCTTAACGCAACCGCAAGCACCCCTCACTGCAGTCACCAACACCATCGTAAGAAGCACTTACCTATAAGGTACCTGCAATAATCTACCTCCACTCTTAATTATAGCAGCCCCTTCTCACTTCCAGGCATCTACCCCCCCCCCTCTCGGACTCTCCTCCAGAACGGCAAAACGACGACCATCTTGGAGTTACGCGCTACCGTCGACACAGCTTACCGCGCCCCCATAGCCGAGCTCTTCTGCGCGCCCTCCACGAGCACGCGGATAAACACACGCTATACTCGCCAGCGCGCTACCTGGCGGTCCGGAAAACATGGTTGGGGAGGGAGGACCTACAGATGAGGGCGCGGTCTCGGCGGAATGGGGTGTCCTGGAGGGCCAGTAAAAGATCGAGACTAGTTAGTACGGCGAAGGATGCGGGGGTTTGGATGGGAGAGGCTGGTATAGAAGGCTCCAGGGTAAGGAGGGGAGTAACTAGGGAGGGAGAGAGGGACACATCTGGACGATGACCGAGCATCCCTCAACAGTGAAGTAATTTACGGCACACTTCTCGGGGAGCAGCGATTCGCGAACCGAAGGGAAGTCATCGGTCGGCAGGGGCAACCCCCTAGTTAGCCCCGCCATGGGTGTGAAGCTATCTCATGGGTGGATCTTCCACCGTCCTTGGAGCCTGCCTCATGAAGGAGGCGGCGGTAGCAGCAGCCGCCCGCATGAAACGGTTGGGTACTCGCATCCTCCCGTCCAATGACAGCGCAAATGGGGGCGGCATGCGTTCACAAAAGAAACATGTATCATGCCCGCCCTCGTTTAACGTACAATATCGATGTACATTACATACTCCTGCGAATAAAACCACCGGAACAAGACTATCCCTAAATAACCGCCACACGCCGTCGTGTGCACAATCCCAATTATGTCGCGTCCTCCATGCTGCGTATGTATGCGCATAAAACCTCCCATTGGGCCGGCCTCTGTCTTCATCACCGCCCCTTCTAGACTTCTACTCGCCATCCCACTGCATATTCCCGTACACATGCTCGCTCATGCTCGCTCGGAAGAAAGAAAGAAAAAAAGCAAATTGAGACTATCCGGAGAACCTGAGCTGCCACTCCGACTCCGCTTTCCACCGCACTCATCCACCACTGCCGCCCGTGTTGGTTTGATTTCTACGTCGCCCCGCTTTGATCGCCCCGATCGACCGCCAAAAAAAAACCACTCCCCACATTACCACCACCAACCCTCTACACAATTCCCGATGCTCCTTCTGTTCCCTCTATCGGCCACCCCTTTCACCTAAAGCCGCCGATCTCCTGCTCGCCGCCGCCCGGAATCCGCCGCTCGCCACCAAAAACCCGAAACAAACCGAAAGTTTCAGCGTCCGCAAAGAAAACCCGAGAATCAAAGGCCGAAAGGAGTACTGTAACGTCGAACAGTCGCCGATGCGAGCATCCATTTCAGGGGGAGGAAGACTTTCGCAAAACCTCGGATCTCGATCCGACCGGATTCTATACGTCGCCCACTTGCGGGTCGCCGAGACGTTGGCGGCAAACCGCGATCTTTTTGGCGGCGTCGAGAGTCCAGCGGTGGTCTTTTCCGAGCGCCTTCTCGTAACCGTCATGTGCCCGCTGATATAGCTATAAGGCCTTGCCGTAGTCTCCTTGTGCATAACGAGTGGCAGCCATGTTGTAGACAGAGTTGAGAGTGCCCGGGTGGTCTTTTCCGAGGACCTTCTCCCGGCCGTCGAGTGCTCGCTGGTACCACAATAAGGCTTTGCTGTAGTCTCCTTGTGCATTAAAAATGACCGCCATGTTGACAGAGTCGAGAGTGTTGGGGTGGTCTTTTCCGAGGACCTTCTCATAGCCGTCCAGTGCCCGCTGGCTCCACACCACAGCTTCTACGAGATTCCCACTTTGTCCCAGGATATTTCCCAAGTTGTATTGTAGAGCCAAACCTCCCACAGTAGCCTGGGATCCACTGCCGACATGTCCCAGCACGGTTACTGCATGTGATATTAGGTGAAAACATTGGATTACGGTTGCCCACCCCTCCTCGAAACTACCGTTCAACAATCTAGATACTATGTCTAGAAGTTCATTTCTCCGTTCTTCCAAATAAATCTGTTTCCGAATACATAACCCGACGAGACGGTGCAGGCGATATTTGGCAGATTCGAGCGGATAGATGAGCGAGAAGCTCAGAAGCGGTGCAAATGCCTTGCTGAATAGTACACCACTAGCATTCTTGAAGGATGGAATAGCTCTCAATAGCCCCTTCGGTATCTCGTCGGGGCTGAGGAAGCTCATGACTTCCAGAAGCTGCACAGAATTAGGGTTCTTCTCCTTGATTTTGTCGATGGTCAGCTTCCAGGTCACGGTCACCGCGCGCGGGCTGCGTCCCTTGCGGTCTTCGTATGCCGTCGGCAAGGCGTCGCCGAGTAGTTCCTGCTGATTCTACTCACATTCTTTGAACATCTCGAGGTAGATCGATACATCAACCCCGGTTTCTCGTATATAGGCGGCCGTCTGTGCTATTGCCAGTGGCAGATATTCTAGCTGGTGCAGAAGCTCGAGAACGTCTTCCGAATTGACCGTAGTGATGGCTCCTTCGACAACTAGAAGCTTCGACAACATCGCCAGTCCTTCTTCATTGCTCATAGCAGTGATGTGCACTCCCGCAGCAGAAGCCACATAATTTCCGACGAGCCTTCCGTCGCGGCTTGTGTATAAGATCGCACCACGGTTTAACGGAAGATATTTCGCTGGGTACGAGTCAACGTCGTCGAAGTTGTCGATAATCATGATCCAGTTGCAGCTGGCCGGGCTATCCAGCCAGTCCTTGACGACCTTCATTCCCTTTTCATCGCACATTTTGTCATCCAGAAAACCGGCCTTCTGGCCCAGCTCCAGGTAACTGTCGTTGAAGCTCTCATGCGAGTCGGCATACACCCAAAAGACATGATCGCCTGGTTGTGCTTCCTTTCGTCGGTGACAGAATTCGATCGCAATCGTCGTTTTCCTGGGTAGAGTTAAGTCAACTTCAACATGCTTTATCGTGGCCGTCTTTCTAGAGGCTGTTGGATGTCATTTCTGCCAAACGGAATCTTACCCAATTCCTCCGAGTCCGTACAGTGCGGCCCGCCGTTGACCTTTCCCATCGGGAAGTAATAACGATTCGATTCGGTCGAATATCTCATCCCTGCCGATAAATTCCGGATTCGCACCCGAGGGGACCATGAACACAGGCTTCGTGCTTGATTTGGGTACTAAAATATATCATTAGAATCGGTAAAATGTAGTGGTTTATGAAAATGTTCGTATTAAAGACTCCATGTCCAAGAAACTCCCCAACGCAAAGGAAACCGTGAGGAAGCGGCCATTGCTACGGCAGTGTGGGCTCTCACTGCCTTCGCATGAACTCTCCCAGGCCTGCGGAGATGCCCGGTGACCCATCGGAAACAAAAAATGACGAAATCAAATGGCTACCTATAATAACCCAGAGAAAGGCGATGAAAACACAATGCTCGACTTCTCCTTTTCACCTCAACCTTCTCTTGACCTCTATTGCCATCTCCTCCATGCCTATCTCCGACTCTACATACTCGCTCTCCCACGGGCCGTCTTCCTCCCGGCCGATAACCGAACTGCGTAGTAATACCAGTCTACACACCGTCATGATTTCCACCAGTCTCGGCGCTTCCCATACGGTCCTCGGTACGATTCGGAGCGTTCCCGACAGATTTTGAACGGGCTTCGGTAAGGTTCGGAGCGATTCAGGCCGATTTCGAACTGAGCTCAGTGAGACTCGGAGCGATTGCGGCCGATTTCGATCGGGCTCTGATGACATCTGGAGCGCTCGCGACACACTCTGACAGTCTCTCCCTTACTGTGATGTAGTGATTATCGCAGTTGTCGGTGAATTTGACCATGTCCGAGTGGTCGGCATTGATCCCTACTTGTCTGTGAATGGCCTCGGTGGGTAGAGAGAAAGTAGCAGAGTCCCGTGTTACAACCCGTATCATCTCGCCACTTCTCTTCCAACTCCCATCCGGGCCGATGATCACGGTTTGAGTATCTTTGAGCTCGTAGAACGACGTGATCTGGCAGCCTTGCAGCTCAACTCCTTGTAGGAAGCGTTGATAGGCCTGCCACAACAGCTCCGATCCTTCTCTCAGATCATTGATGAAGTGTTCGTTCTTCTGGTCCTTCACCAACGTCCTCAAATTCTTGGCATCAAGTCCTCGGTTGGGGACGCCGAAGAAAAAGAGTCCAGTGCACGAGTCCAGGATCGCTTGATCGTTGTCGTACTGTCCTTTTTGCTGAGATGCATCCGCGAGTGCCTATCGATGATAAGAACGAGTGCTTTTCGTGGGCCGCGAAACATTGCCTACCTGTTTGATGACCAAACCACCAAGGCTGTGGCCTATGAAGATTATTGGACGTCGGCGTTCCTGATGACATCTGTCAGTCGAAGTTCACGCCCAAATCTACACACGCACACATACATTGTCGCGATTACGTTCGCTGTTCAGACTGTCCAAAAGTGTCCTGGCGTAGTGCTGGATCGAGGGTGTGGCTGTGGTGTTTACGAGAGCCGAGTCGTAGCCAAAGGTGAGGATCCGCACTTGGTAGCCACGCCCTTCGAGTTCCGACGGCAGAAAATCCCGCAGCCACATCCACGGCTGGTCCCGAGACTTCCAGGATCCGTAGGCATGGCCGGCGAGGCCCGTGACAGCGACAATGCTAGGCTCGTCAGCCCTGTAGAATTACTGACGCGAAGATAGATATTACTCGACGGCAGGCTCTGCGGCACTGTACAACGGCGTCATCCCGAGAAAGTCGCAGTCAACCACGAGGCCGATTACTGCTCCCTGGTAGGGCAGGTATATTCGTTTACCCGAAGAACACGCCAAAAGAGTCGAGGGCTCCCCGCTCGTGAGAGTAATCGTCGCCGTTATGTGACCCTTCGAAGGCACGAACGAGAGAAAGAAATCATCGTATCCAAGCAATTCTTTCAGGTAGGCCCGGAACTCGTTCTCCGTGACACGCGATGGGATCGAGCATATCCGAAGTGTTCGAGCGCGGATACGTGGGTCGGGCGGTGCCTTTGCGGGCTGTGACTTTGCGGGCTGTGCGATGGCGGGGGCCTCTTGCGCCGGCGCGTTACGGCCGCCAAAGAACTCTCGGAGGAAGTTTGCCATAGGGTTTCAAGGACTAGTGAGTGTCGGCATGTAAGCTGTAAAGGTTGTTGGAAGCGATGGAGAATCCCTTAGACGAAAGATGGGGTTTGGTATCATGGGTGAGGGGTAATCAGGCTCCAACCGTTCAGCCTGCAGCTCTGATTTTGACTTTGGAGATACTAGAGATGGAGTCGACCAATACTTACCTTGTAGGTTGTATCTACTATCTAGCATATACCCTATATTAGGCAGATATACTCTCCAGGTCCGTAACGCGTGAACCATGGGTACAAGGTAGGTATCTGCTTGGTTATACGGACGGTACTCGAATGTGTCAGCTATGTACTCGAGATTCGAATACGCCTCATTTGGTCTACAGACTTGGCGCGAGATTTTCTGCGCGAGACTTCCATTGAGAGATACGAAAACGTGTGATGAATTATTAGGCGTGGGTGGTCTATATATGATCTCCGGTAGATATGATCTACCTATGTGATGTTGTGAACCTGTGATGAACAGATTGACGAGACGAACCCGACGAACAGAATAGAATACGGTAGATATCCAGAAACAATAGCAAAACAAGTCACCGTTGAGTCGTTGACCCTCCGCATCGCATCTGATCCTGGTCACACCCCCGCGCCCATAGTCAACCTATTCCGCCGCTCCCCGCAACACAGACGCCTCAACCCCGCGCTCCCTCACGTGTAAAGCTACCAGACAGTAACTAGCGTGCAACCCCACCACGCGCCCTCGCTAGCTATCTCTCACTCGTCCCACTTCTCACTTTCCCACCGCGACGACTACCACAACCTCTCCACGCTCCCTCCTAGCCACCTCACACCCGCTATACTCCCACCACACCACACATACACACGATGGCAAGTACCGCCCCATCCCCCCTCCCGCCTCATCTCTAACCCGTCTACCTGTACGCAGACCTCATCCCGCCCGACGCCGGCACACATGACGCTACTCGCCAAGAACGGGAAGACGACGACCCTGTTGCACGCTTTACCGTCTACACCTCTGCCCTTGCTCAAAGCGGAGCTATTCCGCTCGCTGCAAGAGCACGCCGACAAGCACTCTCTCTCGATCGCTGGCGAGCTTCCCGAGTCGCCCGACGAGATCGTCCTTGGAGCTACCGACGACAACGCTGCCGCTAGGAATTGGTATGTCCTCGATGGGCAGGAGAAGAATAAGACCACCGTGAGGGATGTGGGACTTGTCGATGGCGGGACAATCGCGTGGAAGGTTAGGGGCGAGCAGTTTGTCGTTGAGGAGTTGGGCGCTATTGAGGATGAGGGGGAGGTGGAGTAGGAGCTGCTGGTTGAAGGAACGGTTAATACTACAATGCGGAGTTCGAGGTTGAGATTGTTCACTGCTGGGCACGGGACGTTATGAGGTTGATTTGGTGAGCATTCTGGAGTTGAATTGGGCGTGTGAATGATGATGCGAGGATCGACAACTCGGTAGTTAATCGAGTCACCGAATCACAAAGCTTTCGCCGAGAGGTCGTTCATACACTTCCGTCTGACTGAACTCTACTACATACATTCCACCAATCCATCCCCGCCGCCCACCCATCCGCGCATCAATCCTTCTTTTCCGCCAGCCTCAAAATCAGCCTCCCCAGATTCTGTCCCGCGAACAGTATATTAAGTCCCATATGAGCCTCCTCAATCGTCGTATCGACGACATGCTTGACGGGAACAATCTTCCCCGCCATAGCATACTCGGTGAGCATCCTTGCCGCCTCGGGGATGTGTTCGACCCAGGCGGTGAAGATGAACCCCAGCACCGCCACCTGCTGGTAGCAGATCGTCATGTACGACGACATCGGGATCGCCGCGATGTCGGTGGCGCTCTGGTACGCCGCGATGGCCCCGCACACCACCACCTTGCCCTTGTACGCGATCCGCGAGATCGCCAGCGGCAGGATCGGCGGGCCCACGTTGTCGTAGTAACTATCCCCCCATCAGCACTCACCCCCCCCCCCCACCCCACCACACACAGGCACGACAAGGGGACTCACATATCCACATAATCCGGCGTCGCGGCAACGAATTGTGCCTTAAAATCGGGGTCCTTATAGTTAAGCGCAACATCGGCCTTCAACACCTCGCGACAGAAGCGGCACTTCTCGTCGCTGCCGGCAAGCGCAATAACCCTCTCGATGCCGAGAACGTTCTTGGCCAGCTGCACGACGGTCGACCCCGTCGCCCCCGCCGCCGCAGACACAACCATGGTCCTACAATTCTCCGCCGTCGCGCCCGCCAGCTTCATGAGCGCGAAGTACGCCGTCATCGCCTATCCCGTCAGCCCCCCCCCCCCCCCCCCGCACCCCGTCCCCCACCCTTGCCATAGACGATCACTCACCGGCAACCCAAGCGTTAACCACGCCTCGGTATCCACATCTTGCGGAATCCTCGTCGGCTCCGCCCACGGCAATTTCATCTTCCCCACATCGAGCAGGACGTGTTCGCTCCACCCCCACGTGCCGCCCACGCGGTCGCCAACGGCAAAGCCGTCGTGGCACGAGGCGACCACTACTCCCGCGGCGCCGGCGAGTACGGACTCGCCTACGAGCCTCTGTGCGATGTATAGGCGCTCACCGGCTAAAGCCGGCGACGCGCTGATGTAGTTTATGTTCGTCGGGTCGACGGCGATGTGGCTACCGGTTTTCTGGTCAGCTGGGAGAGGGAGGGGAGGAGGGTGGGAGGGGACGAACGTGATCTTGACGAGGATCTGCCCCGCTGTTGGCGCGATCAGTGGCACGGTCCGCAGCTCGTAGTGCTCATTTGGGATCAGCGGGCCTGTGGGGAGCGCCTTGACGAACCAGGTGCGCGATGTGGCGGGAAGGTCTTTGGTGTCCATTATGTGATGGTGGGGAAGTCGTCAATGAGGTGCGGGGGGGGGGGGGTGGGGGAGGGCGGTGGGGAGGGGGCAGGTATTTGTATGAGAGGATATATATGCCCAGATTTCAGGCCCGCAGCGAATGATGCCGGGCCGGTTGCGCCTGGTGGGGTTATACCTGGTATGCCTAGCCAGTAGGTAGCTGGGTGCCTTAATCAACAGTTATGGGTATGACCGTACATATGACCGTACATATGACCGTACAAACCCGAAGGCGAAGGCGAAGGAAGGCATCATCCGGAGATCTACATACCTACAGACGTACATACTCTACATACAGGTGGTATGGTACTCTACCATTAAACAGGCGGTATCCAAGCAGTATCCAAGCGATATCCAAGCGATATGTAAGCATAGATAATACCTACCGTAGATACCGCACGCACGACGGATGGCGACATAGCCGGCTGCGTTTGCGCGGTATACCGTATATATGCACACGGCCATGGCAATGGCCATGATACCCCGCCTCGCCTCGCCTTGCCTCACCACTGTCCAGCAGATAACTACGGTACGGTACTCGAGAGTCGGGCATCGGGCATCCACCGGTACCGCTGATCTCCATCCATCGCCTTGCTCTTGGTGCTACATATCTAACGTCAATTGGAACCCTGGGGTCCGGGTCAGGCATAGGCGAGCGGGGGTTGCCTTCAACTTGCCTAAGTAGCGATCAAGAGTCCCCTGATAGTTAAGGCTGCTCCGAAGGATAAGCGCCGATAAGGCTTGATACGTAACAAATCATCAACTGGGGCACCAGTACTCCTCAGCTTGGAATCGACGTGAGAAACTATGAAGACATTGGAATTCAGTTGAGCTGATACTCCGTGCTGATAAAATACAGCTGACGGGTTACTCCGGCTAGCTAGAGTACAAGCGACTGGTCAAGGGCGCGAAGTTAAAAATCGGTATCTAGTCGTGTTATTCACATCCCACCAGGCTCAATCCAATGTTTCAACTTTCATCATGCTTGATGCTTCAATGTTCATGCTTGCCGCATCAACTTCATACCTCAACCCAAAATAACAAATCTCCTCTATCATGACCGTCCCAATCCCGCCCATCCAGCCCTATCATAACACAAACCAAAATGAAAACCAAAACCCCGCCACAACCATAAGTCAACCATAAATCACGCACCCCCTAGCCTAGATGCCCCCACGATGCCCGAAGATAAAAGCCATCATCATCACCCATCATCATCATCACCCACCACCCATCATCCCCCCCTCCATTTCCCCCTGCCTTCCCATCCCCCTCCCTTCACCACAACCCCTACCGTCTCCGCACCCCATCCCCCCCATCCCCCCCATCCTCCTTATCCCTCGCCACCGTCAGGAATTCCACATTCCTCCTCCAAGTCTTGGTACACTTCTCTACGCCGCCCTGTTCGAGCCACCTCTGGAGGTTCTTACACTGGCTAACATCGAATACCTCCAGGTTGTGGCAGCCCTCTACAACCGCCTCCACGCCGACTCCCGTAACGCGCACGCAGCCGCGCACTGACAGCTCCCGCAGCTCCAGCAGGTGCAGCCCGATGGCACGCAGGGAGCTGTCCGAGACTGCCGAGCCGCAGAAAGACAGTTTGAGGGTCGAGAGGTGTTGGCACCCCAGCGAGAGGACTTCCGTTGCGGTGTCGGAGAGGGCGCAGCAGAAAGACTAGACATGGGGGGGTTAGTGGGTTGGGAGGGGGGAGTGGGGAGGGGGGCACAAACCAGGTCCAGGCTCCGCAGGCCCTTTGCCGCGTTGGTGAGGAAGACCACTGCGGAGTCGGTGAGGTACGTGCAGTCAGCGAGACACAGGCTCTGCAGGCGCTCGAAGCGGGTCATGCTCCAGCTCTGGAAGCCCTGGTCCGTGATTGTGGTGCAGCGGGTGAGGTCCACGTGTTCGAGGCGCTTTGAGGCGTGCGCGGCCAGGTGGCTCATTGTCCTGTCCGTGACGTGTTTACAGTAGCTGAGTGTGAGCCGCCGCAGGTTCGGGCAGCCGATCACCGTGCCGGCCGGCGGGTAGATTTGGGGCGGGATGTAGCGGCTGGGGTTAGAGGAGGCGGAGGCGGCGGCAGCTTGCTGCTGCTGCGCCGCGTCCGCGTACATCGGGTGGAACTCGGGGACTACCCAGCCCACCACCCGCGCCAGGAGCGTGTCCGAGACTTTGCGGCAGTTGGAGAGGTCGATCTCCTCGAGCCCCTTTGCACGGTTGGACATTTCCAGGATTGCCTGGCCGGTGATGTCCCAGACGCTCTTCATGCGCCACTTCTTGACGTGGGCGCCGCAGTGCTGCGCTAGTGCCGAGAAGCCCTCGTCCGAGATGTGGAAGCAGTTGGAGATGTCAATGGTGTGTGGCCGGTGGCCGACGAACGGCGCGATGCTCTCGATCAGCACGCGGTCGTTGATGACGCGGTTGTACGGTTTGAGATTGAGGACTTTGCACAGGTGTGGCGAGTGCGTCAGTAATCGCGACCAATGTGTGGACACGGCGCGCATGCGCATCAGCTCGGGCAGCTCGAGGTACTTGAATATCTCGTTGAGCACGTCGTCGTCGAACTGGCCAGTATTGAACCTGCTCGGTTTCCGCGAAAGGATCCGCACGCTCCCGGTTTTCGGTCGCTTGGCGGGCGACTTTTCCGGCGGCGTGGTGACGTGCTTGGTCTTGACCGGCGACGGGATGGGCGATGACGTGACCGACGTCGCGAGCGGCGAGCCCTTCTCTTCCGTCGGTGAGTTGGCCCCGGACGGCGCCGGGGGTGCTAGCGATCCCCGCCGGGACTTGGACCGCACCATCGAATCGAAGTCGGAGGGCTGATAGGGGTCCGGGTCGAAAGGCTCCACCACGTTGAGATCGTTCGGCCCGGTGACTGTGAGCGGCGAGGCCGACCGAGTCAAGCCCAAGTGCGACGCCGATAAGTTTGGCAGATCCGAGATATCCATCGGATCCACGCCGACGCCGTGCTGCGGCGGCACGGATGGCGGCATCATCGTGATTGCAGCCGTATTACTCCCCAGGATCATGGAGTCGGCGTCCATGCGTGTGCGAGCCGTCTTCTCCAGCTGCTGCTGCACGTCGGGCGGACACTTCTTCCACAGCTCGGCCAGCACGTCCCCTCCGATCACCAGACATTCTACATAAGTAACCGAGCGGACGGTGGCGGTTCGCTTAGGCGCCAAATACAGCCCTGCCACCTCGCCGAAGTAGTGCCCCTTCTTTAGCCGTGCCTTAACCTTAATATTGGTCGGATCCGTCTCGTCCACCACCTCCACCTCGCCGCGCACGATGAAATAAATTTCCCGCCCATTCGAATTCTGCTGCACGATCGACGTGAACGGATCGAATGCGCGCGGCGTCGCGCTCAATCCCAGAAAGTGCAGATTCTGGGGCGGCAGGTTGGCGAACAGTGGCAGTTCCTTCAGCAATTGCCGGATATTGACGGCGACACTGGCCAACGCCGACGCACTCGCCCACTGACCGCCGGGGGTGAGCCCCTGCGCTCCCAGCCCATTCGAGAACTGTATCGGCTCGTCCACATCCATCTCCCCATCATCAACCCCCCTCTTGACGCCGCCGACCCGTGTCGACTCCCGCTCCCTCTTCTTCTTATTCAGCAGGGTCAGGCGCTCCTCTGCCTCCTCCCGTATCGCCCTCTCGACCTCAGGATACTTCGGCAGTTCCCTCTGCAGCGCCTCCTTCGTGAGTACAACGAGGAGACACTTACTCCTGGCAATAATCGTGGCCGTTCTCGGAATATTCATAAGAATCCCAATCTCACCAAAAAACGCTCCGGGCCTGAGCTCGGCATACGTACTTTCCCCATCCCTGGACGTAACCGCGACGGCACCACGAACAAGCCAGTACATAGCCTTCGCATCGTCGCCCTCGGTGACGATATAATCCCGGGGCGAGTGCAGCTGCGGCCGCAGATGCGTCGCGACGGCGGAGAGAAACTCTTCCGGCGCTGACATGAATAGAGGGAACGACCGCAGACGGTCCAATAGGTCCAAAGGCATCCCGTTCTGCGTCGTCAATGGCGATGGCCGGATGGGCCGCGCAGGGTTCGCAGAGGACTCGTAGGAGTGCACGATCTCGTGCGTGTTCACGCGCGAGGCGTTCGCCGCTGGCATTATGGGGGGCGCGCGGCGCCGGTGCATCGCGGCTGTGTGTGTGTGGGCGGTGGAGGGGGAGGGGCGGAGGGCGAAGGGCGAAGGGCGGTGGCAGGATCCGACGAGACGAGGCCGCAAAGCTACTTAGCGAGCGAGCTGTCGCAGCTCGTGCGGGCGGGTGCGATTACTATCTAGCCCTCCTTCACGCTCCGGCTGAGGCGTCGCGCTTGATTGACTGATTGATTGATTGATTGTCTAGTAGTTGTATGATGTATGTAGCTTTTTCGTGTGCGGCGAAGCGAGCACGGTATGGGGGGGTTACGCGATACAACACACAGCGAGAAACACACGTCGTTGGTTGGGGAGCGGGGAGAGTTGGGGATGGGGATATGTACGACGGGCGACGACGGATGGGCGACGACGGATGGGCAGGACTGGATAGGATGTATCGTGTCTTTCGGTTCCTGTATGCGGGTAGCACGTGTTGCGATCGATTGCGTCAGGGAAGGGAAGGGCGGGAGCGGGGGGGTGGGGTAGAAGCGGGCGGTCAAGCAGCAGCTGTCGAGGCGAGGCGAGGCGAGATCTGGCTTGTCTTTTTGGTGGTGGTGGCGGCGGCGGCGGACGGAGGACACACAGCTCGCTCGCTCGCTCTTCCCCGCGGGAGATAGTGGGGTGGGTGCTGGCACTGGCGCGGGGGGAATAGGGGTGGTTGATTGGCTGATTGGGTCGAGGAATGCGCGACAGCGAGACGAGACAGCGGTTCTTTTTTTTTCTTTTTTTTTTGGGGGGGGGGGGGGGTGCCGATAATCGATAAGAACGAACGGAAGACAGATCACGAACAGGAGATTCCCGTTCTTAAGCGATAATTATGATGGAGAGATGCGGGCGGTACTTAGTAAGAAGTAGTGTTTATGTCAGATGGATGCAGCACGAGCACCGATCGGTTCGGTAGTAGTCGACGTCGGATAAGCCGTGGTGGGCTGCTTTGATGGCTTCGTTCTGCAGGAGCAGAAACCGCGTCGCCGCCAACGTGCGACAAACAAGGGGCGAGCCGAAGCAGCTGAAAGTGGTGGGCTAGTGGGCCGCGGTAAGTGGATCACCGCAAGAGGAGAGGGAAGCGTGGGCAGGGTCTTTCGTCACGATGAGGGGGAAGCGTGGGCAGGGTCTTTCGTCACGATGAGGGGGAACGGAGGGGAGAGAACGAGAAGAATAGGAATCGAGAAGGAGAGCAGCGCAATCGAATCGGCGGTTGCGCGGGCTGGCGTTTGCAAAGTGGGAACAGCAATCAGGGAGAATGGGGACGGATGGAATGGGAATGGGGATGACGGCTTAAGCAGCTGGGAGAGATTGGGAGAGGGGGTAGAAGGCGGCAGCGGCAGAGGGAAGGCACAGCTGTCAGCATCAGCATCGACATCCGCATCGACATCAACATCAGCATTAGTATCAGCATCAGCATCACTCTCCATCAGCCGCATCAGCATTAGTATTAGCATCAGCATCACTCTTCATCAGCCGCATCATCATCAGCATCACTCTCCATCAGCCGCATCATCATCATCATCACCATCATCACCATCATCATCACAACCATCCTCGATCGCCTCGAATCACGGCGCCGAGACCAAATCAAGTAAAGTGCGACCCACGATCCCGAGGCCGAAGCCATCAAAGAAGTCGAAGAAGAAGCACCTGTCGGGGGAAAAAGGGGAAAGGGCCCGCCCACATGCACAATTCGAGCGGCTTCACCACACACCGCTCAGTGCTCAGCCACATTTACGCGGTTCCTCAATGCTTCGTGCAATCCTGCTCCTCGCATGATGCGGTCCCCCCCTCGCAGCTTCGCAGCTTCGCTTCCCTCCTGCTTCCAGAAGACCGATGATCCCACCGGCAGTGCAGTCCGTCCGTGCCCTGCCTGCCTGCGTGCCTGCTGCTGGCCCTGCCGATAACTGCTGTCGATAGCCTAACCGCTTCGTTTCGCCCCCGCCCTGCCCGTCGCGTCGCCTATCTTCGTCCGCATCTCGGCAGGGGAGCGGGGCCACTGAGCCAGCAATAAATAGAGTAACTACAGTATCTTCGAGACGTTTCCGAAACACGTCCTCCTCCTCCGTCTCCGTTTGTATCCCGTCTGTATCCGCCAATGTGTTCTGTTCTGTACTAATCAATTCCTCCTCCACAGCAGGAGGAGCGAACGATTTTCTTGTCCCCGCCTGCGGAGTCGCGCCATCACCTATGTACGAAGAATTTATTTTCCAAGTCGGATGCAGAATGCAGGGTGGCGCGGTAGATTCCGTTTCAGACCGTGTATCACGCTCCGCGCCCCGCCCCTCCTAGTATGTATGCTCGCGAGTCGCTAGGCAGGACGCTACGCTGTGATGGCCGGTGCAATAAAATAAAAAATTATATGTACGTATGAGAGGTAGGCGGTAACAGTGGAATTGAGTAGAGGGGGCGCTGGTGATGTGAGTGGGTGAGAGTGATATCAAAGAGACTCGAGAGCCGCTGAGGTTCTGAGGTCCTGGGCGGAGTACGGGATTGATGCTAGGAAGCTGTGGGACAATATCTTACCAGAAGGAATATTGACGTGAATACCTCCACCACCCAGTCCTCTTCTAGTAGTGTTCTGTCAGTCCCCGCTCAAGCGCGTTGTGACCCCACTTGATCTATGCAAATGTAGCCATGTGGCAGGTGAACTCGACTCGATTCGTACATAGGGTATCACCGGGAGTTGTAGACATGTTCAATCACTCGCGACGATCCGTTTTTTTCAACCGGACCAGACGTTCGCTATCGCGCAGTTCACCTTCAGCCTTCGGCCGAGCACGATGGGAGTCTATTACTACTCGGAATGTCTAGTTCCAACTTGCCATTCATAAAATTGAGGTGGTGGGATGAAGGGGTTTTTACGATCATTATGTAATAGGTAGGTAGGACTGGAGTCACTCGACGCACACTATGGGGCGACTTCCGTCTCTTCTCTGCAATGTGCGGACGGACATGGACTTTCGTTCTACTAACGGCTTACGGTATATAACCTGTTCAATGGCCAGCACCTATGGTGTCCCGAATATCGGTAGTCCCATTACCATACGGCCAGACAGTTCTGCATGGTCAAGGGTACTTTTGCTGTTGGATTGCCACGAAGAATACATACGGTACTAATTACTATCATAGCCCCACCTATCCGGTCTTCAGACGATTGCCACGGAACTATTACGGCTAGGTATTGGCAACCCAGTTCATGACATCCCCGTACTTAACGCTCTGCTTCGTGGACATCTGCACGGACAATTCGGAGGAGAGACACCATGTCATACCCATCCGTCATTAGAATACCGAATGGTATGCATGCATGCCAATGCGTGCGGGTCTCTCCGAGAGGTTCGTCTCCTCGCTTCTATGACGGCGAGAAGCATTTGGAATTTTCAAGTGTATGATCGACTTCCCTTCGTAACGAGTGATCATAATTGCATACTGGTACCGTTGGGGCTGTCCCTGGAGCGTCGCAGTCACCGGGCCCATCATTCTTCCGATGCGAATTTTCGGAGTACTTTTGTTGAGTCGTCTGCTTTACTACAATGGGGATGGTGGTGTGCGTAGGACTTTGGGTTGTTCGTTCGCAGCTTCTAGAATTGTGTTGCGTGAGAAATCATGAATGAACTGCTTTCGATTACACGGTGATTCTCATCTATGGTACTTAAACTGGTGGGAAGTGATCGATCGCATAGAAATTTGGTCCTTTACCCCTCCAGGAGATGTCCATCTTTAGGCCCACGGAGGGAATCAATGGCACGTAACCATGTAGTCCTCTCCCATTGGGACTTAGTACAACTCATGTGTAGCGGGCTGCTCTGTCCATCATGCCCTGTCTTCCTTGATCATCCTCCCTCATCTCATCCACTCTCCTCCTCCATCATGGGCAGTCCATACCAAAACACCTTCAGTCCCGTCTCATCCACCCACCTCTCATTCATCTCCATCCCCACTCGCCTCCAACAACGCCCAGGAACATTTCCACGCGACTCACCCCGCTCAACGGGTTCCCTCGGCTTACCCCGCCGCAGCACTATTCCAACAGTCCTCTCCTCTTCACCGCCCTCACCGCAATCCTTCAACTCGTCATCACTGCCCCACTACCCGACGAGCTGCCCCAACTGCTGCCTACCATTACTGGACGACACAATGCCAGCACTCGGGACCTCCGCAATCGTCAAGCCCAGCCAACTCTCCCACCATCTCCCGCCAACCGCCGGCACAAGCACCGAGTCCACCTGCTGCGTAAGCGCCCAATCCGTCACCTCCTCCCTCCTCTCCAACCCCGTAGCAGGCGGCAACTTCGTCATCTTCCGGCGCAAGACCCGCACGTCGTCCGTGCTGCCACCCCAGCCGCAGACAAAAGCCCCAACAGCGTCACAAGTCACCTCAGCAGCGCAGACGGGCACAACCGTAGCCGTAACACCCACCTCGATCCCCGCGGTACCAACACAGACATGGGACGTCGTGTCCGGGCACGGCTTCGAGTTAACACCACGGGGGAGCATCCTCTACCGGGGGCGGGAACGAGCGCTGGAGTCCGCCTTCGTGGCCACGTGGACCAGCGACCGCGGCACACTGAAAAAGCTCACGCCTCTCGCGGGCTCGCGCCAGGAAATGCGCTTCGCCCTCCACGGCCCCGGGAACCATACGAGCTTCTTCCGGACCTTTGGCGAGTGCAATGGAAAGGGCTCGTGGAGACGCCTGCTGGGCGAGGATGTAGCCGATGAGAAGCCGACCCATACCGTGCGTATGCACCTGCCCGAGGTGCTGGCGCAGATGGTCGCCCTCGGTGTCGATGCGAAGGATCTAGTCGCGTGTCTGAAGCAGGGAGAGCATGGCACGCTGAGACTCGATTTTAAGCCCGGGAAGTGGACGACGCCCGAGGAGAGGGAGTTGGAGATTACTGGGAGGGAAAAGGCCTGGGATAAGACGAAGGTGTGGAAGAAGGGGTGGTGGTATACCGACAGGTTGGGGACGGAGGTTTGGATCAGTTAGGCGTGACCGGTGGTTGGCTGTTGAAGAGTGCTGATGGACGACGGAGAACGACTATGCGTGCAAGGTTTTTAATGGGCTGTGAGAGCGTCGGATGGCTGTATGAGTTCTATTGTCATTGCCGGAGGAAGTATCATTCAATGCGGGACATTGATAGCCAATGCAATGCTGTTTTATGTAATATGGCACACTCGCCGCAATCGATTGAGCCCGAGACTCTTCGTGACCAGTCCCCCTCCCGACTGTCATCAAAGCTCTGCATATTCAAATTCATGGTTGGATATCCTCACCATCCACACTTCTTCCGCGTGTGACTTCCCATTCCTCACCCACCCCCCTGAGTACTTGGCGGCGTGTCTCTCCCGCTCGCTTATCGCCTTAGCTCTGTCCATCCGATCTGTGCAACGCCATGATTCCACCCCACGATCAGAGCTACCCACCAGGTTATTATTGTACCACAAAGCCAAAGCCAGAGCCAAATGGAAATGGAAAAGCAAATCCCACATCCCCCTCTCCCTTCATGTTCCTCCCATCGCGTGTCCCCAAAACGCGCCTCATCTCTCTGCACCGTCTCATCACCTCCTCCACAATAACAACAATGCCTCCAAAACGCAAACTCCCTGCCGCCGCTGCCTCCACGCAGAAGAGGTCGAAGCTGGTGCAGACGACACTCATCCCCCCCACCCCCGCCGCAGTCGCCGCAGTGCCCACCACCCCAGCCCCGGCCACAGAGGAAGAGTACGACGCCGCCATCGTAAACCGGTCATTCTACCCATCAGTCCTGCGCAACAGCCGGTGCGCGTTGTACCTCAGCGGCGACCTGAGCACACCGGTCGACGCGCTGGTGCGCGCGCTGTCCGCGCGCCCGCCGCTTCCGCCGGTGGGCCCGGGCGACGCCGTCGTACACTGGTTCCGCACGGATTTGAGGGTTGGTGATAATACCGCGCTGCACCTCGCTTCCCAGACTGGTGCTGAAGTGCTGGGGCTGTATATCTTCTCCCCCGAGGACTTGGATGCGCATGTGGTGTCGCCGGCTAGGATTGAGTTTATGATCAGGTCGCTTGGGGTGCTGCGCGAGGTGTTGAGGGGAAGGAGGATTCCGCTGTGGGTTGAGGTTGTGGAGAACAGGAAGGATGTTCCGCAAAGGGTCGTGCAGCTGGCGAGGGAGTGGGGTGCGAAAAGGATCTATGCCAATATGGAGTATGAAGTTGATGAGGCGAGAAGGGATGTGAGGATGCTCGAGGAGGGGATGAAGAGGGGAGTCGGCGTGGAGGTGGTCCATGATACTTGTGTCGTGCCGCCGGGGAGGTGCGTTACTAAGGTATGTGGAGATATCCGTGGACGACGGATTGGGGCTGATGGTGATGGTTATTACAGGCTACCGGGAAGATGTTTGCCGTGTACTCGCCGTGGTATAAGGCCTATCTCCAGGCATTATCACAGGATCCAGCGCTGCTCACGCTGCGTCCGCCTCCGGCAGCAAACCCGGAGTCCACGCTCACCACGCGCGCCGCGCTGTTTACCAGCGCGCTCCCCAGCCTGCCACCGGGGAAAACCCTGACCGCCGAGGAAACATTGACACTGCACGAGCTGTACCCGGCGGGCTCCCAAGCTGCCGCCGCCCAGCTCGCCTCCTTCCTCACGCAGAAAGGGCGGCAGTATGCAGCGGACCGGAACACCCCCTCGATATCCGGGACATCCGGTCTCTCACCACACTTTTCCGCGGGCACGCTATCCGCGCGCACCGCCGTCTTCCACGCCCGCGCCGCCAACAGCGGCAAGCTATCTGGCGGGCAGTCCGGGCTTGACATGTGGATCTCCGAAGTGGCGTGGCGCGATTTCTACCGGCACGTGCTGGCCGCATTCCCGCACGTGTGCATGCACAAGCCATTCAAGCCGTCCTTCGCCTCGATCTTGTGGCTCGCGCCTTCGTCACCACTGCACTCCACGCGCTTCAGCGCGTGGAAAGCGGGGCGCACGGGATTCCCGCTGGTCGACGCGGCCATGCGGCAGCTCGCCAAGGAGAAGTTCATGCCGAACCGCCTGCGCATGGTGGTCGCCTCGTTTCTGTGCAAGGATTTGCATATCGACTGGCGCTTGGGCGAACAGTACTTCGCAGAACAACTGGTTGATGGTGACTTCGCGAGTAATAATGGCGGCTGGGGGTTCGCGTCCAGCGCCGGTGTGGACCCCCAGCCGTATTTTAGGGTGTTTAATCCTACCGCGCAGGGACTGACGTGGGATGCGGATGGGGCGTATGTTAGAACGTGGGTGGAAGAGTTGAGGGACTACAGGGGGGATGTGTGGAAAATCACCGAGCAGGAGAGGAGGTGCTACGGGTATCCGAGGGAGATTGTTGAGCATGCCGTGCAGAGAAGGGTGGCGATTGAGATGTATAAACGGGGTATTGAGAGGGGGAAGGGGGTGGTTTGAGACTACGAGACGAACTAGGAGGGATGGAGGGCATGTGCGTGCAGGGTGGAGGAGGGGTTCGGAAGATGAATGGACATTGGAGGCTGGAGGATACCACTTTTTGTTGCGCTGGCTTGGAATCGTATTGTTTTGGAAGTCTTGTAATATCTCACTCGTTGCGCAGTCGCTTGCACGGTCGTGACGGGAAGTCCGTAATATGAGTGACGGAGGGCACGTGGGTGGAGGGTGGATTTGCAAGCTGAATGGAAGCTGTAGGATACCATTTTGTCGCTGACTTCGAATCGCATTATTTTGTTTTTTTGTTTATTGCGTTGCGAATGCATTGTGGTGAACCAATTCATAGGGATCGGATTGGATTTTCAGGCTGAATAGAGACTGTAACATACCATTTTGTTGCTTTGACTTTAAATCGTATTGTACTAGGCGTCGTTTTTGTTGTGATATCTCACTCGGTGCGTGGTCGCTTACACGGTCGTGACGGGAAGGCCGCAGTATGGGTGATGGGCGGGCACGGGTGATCGGATTGGATCTTAAGCTAAATGGAGACTGTGGGATACTATTTTGTCGCGCTGGCTTGGAATCGTATTTTTTTTGGGCGTCTTGTTTGTTGAAGGCGTTCCGAATGAGTTGTGGTGAACCGTCTCATCGGTATCTTATCTGCACATCTTATCTTCTCGTAATCTTATCTGCCAGCATCTTACCTTCTGTGCCGTCATCCAGCGGGTAACTTCCCGCCCACGAAACACCGCTCCCTGATTGGCTAATTGAAGTGGCACCACCCATCTCCGGCTTTTCCCACCATCGCCCCACAGCACGCTCCAGCACCCGAACCCACCCACTCCTCCACCGCCTCCAAACCACCCTCACCTCTCCACTCACCACCTACCACAAACTCGCCATGTTCGCCACCCGTGCCCTCACGTCGACTCTCCGCCGCGCAGCGCTGCCCCGCGCCGTGGCCGCCGCGACCAGCCGACCCCTCTCGGTCTCGGCCTTCCGGGCCCAGTCCACTCCCGAAAAGAAATACAAGACATTCAACGGTTTCACTCTCCCACCCCGAGCCCAATCTCACCCCCACCCCACCCCATCATCGCGACTGATGCTTTCGTACGCCAGAGATCAAGACGGAGAGCGACCTGCTACCCCCCGGTGCCCCGCCCGGAACTGTCCCCACCGACCTCGACCAGGCTACCGGTCTCGAGCGCCTCGAGATCCTCGGAAAGATGGAGGGCGTCGACATCTTCGACATGTCGCCGCTTGATGCTAGCCGGAGGGGTTAGTTCCCCCCCCTCCATCGGTGATGGATTGTGTTGTGTCGCTGTTCACCTCGACACGGATGATATCATCACCGGATGAAACACAATCGATTGGCAATGAGCGCCGGGCTGAAACAGTTGTCACCCCTCTCTAGGAACCCTCGAGGACCCCATCACCGTCTCGTCGTACGGCGATGAGCGCTACCTAGGATGCACCGGCTACCCCGCCGACAGCCACGTCGTCATCTGGCTCACCGTGTCCAAGGATCGTCCCATCGAGCGATGCCCCGAGTGCGGCTCTGTCTACAAGATGGACTACGTCGGCCCCGAGGAGAGCCATGACCACCACCACGGCGATCGTAAGCTCCCCTCTCCCTCATCCTACATCCACCCTTCCCGTGATACCTCAACCTTACTAACAACTACCAACCAACAACAGACGCCCACGAGCCCCTCGACCCCCCCACCATGGCCGACTTCGTCAAGTCCAAGTACTGGTAGAGTACCTAGACATTTCATCCCACCCACCGTGAGGGAAATCATGACATAGGGGACGTGTTTCTGCTTTTGCTTTCTTTCTTTCTTTCTTTTTGGAGCAGGAGAGGGTAGGGTAGGGGTGCTCTAAAACATAAAATAGCATGCATGCCGAAGTCGGAAGTTCTCGTACCTACGTGTAGTTTTAGTGCAGCCGCCGCGCAGATGGTGATGGAATGGGAAGGGAGCGGAGCGGAGCGGAATAGAGCGTGTTGCGATTGTGAGCTGCAACATATTGAGTAGGAAAGTGGTGACATGGCCGGTTATACAACTCGGCTCCCCGGCTGTGCCGGTGCGCAGCGTAGGTACTGGCTAGACGTATCACCGTGGCGACATAGGTATTCTTGACTTCGCCTGAGTAGAGTAGATTCGGCACCGAACACTCGATAACCCACGCGGCAACCCACGCGGCAAAAGTATAAACAATCAATCCATCACCATGGACAGTCCACACAAACACTTCGCTTCACATAAAATCACTCGTAAATATATTCTTGATCTCGATTCTCGAATTGAGATTGTCGAATCATTCCGGTTATGTATACGATCTGTATTCTAGTCTAGCCACTGGGGTTTGGCTTCGTTCGCCAGATATTGATGTTAGTGGCTATCGTATCGGGTTTGTCTTGAGTTCCTGAGTTTCTGAGTTCTTAGGTTCTTGGGTTCTTGATTGGTTTCAGCAGGCAGGCAGGCAGTCAGTCAGTCAGGCTCCTATGATATGATACTGAAATTAAGCCCGTTTCCCATACTCCCTACACGACGGAAACCAGGCTGTTGAAGCTTGAAGCAGTGCAGGGTGGGCGGTTATATCCACATCCACAGCTGCCCGTATTCGCAATCCGAAATCTGCAACCCGAAATCCGAAATCCGCGGGATGGCAGAGCTGCGGGATGGCAGAGCTATAGAGCTACAGAGCTGAAGAAGCCAGTAGGTAGTGCGCCCCGTGCTCGGTAGATTGTCCTTTACCCACCACTACACTGCATTACCGCACCGCAGCGGCGGAGGAGGAGCAAGAGGAGGAGGATGGCGTTCTCGACATTCTCGGCCTTCCCGAACGTCGATATTCACCACAGCCCACAGCCCATAACCGTGGCCTTGTCGTCCTCCAAGTGGGCCGGAACACGCAGCGCACTACTTTACCCAGCGCTACCCAAGACTCAAGAGCACTCTACTCCGAGTCGCCAAGTCTCTGAGTCCCCGAGTGTCCGAGTCCCCGAGTGTCCGGGTCTCTGAGTTGAGGTTACCAACGTCCTTAGAACTTGTACTAGGTGTCTACCGGTATCCAATACATGATCAAACGCCCACTTGCATAGCCACAGTAGCCACAGTAGCCACGAGAGCTCTCGCAGACTCCAGACTCCAGACTCCCGCAGACTGCAGACTCCACTACGGCCGGTATCGGTATTTCCTGTATTTCCCGTATTTCGCGCAGACTCCAGTGGACTTACGCAGGTATCGCAGTATCCGACGATTCATCATAAATTCGTGAAATCGAGTGAAATCGAGTGATATCCCATGCCCACCACCCTTCAATTGCGTAAACGTAGATAACAAAGTCCCGTGAAGCCGTACAGCTGCCTGTATTATTCTGGTATTGAATGTTGCGGAATAGAACCCTCGGGCCTCCTGATAACAGGTGCCATTCGCGACGTGCGTGAGTACGGCTTTATATCGAATTTATTGCATTGCGGTGGATGGAGATATTGATCATAAGGGTCGGGCCCGAAATGAGGGGCAGAAGATTACAATCTCGAGAGCATCGTCATGTCAGGTGGGATGGATGGGCTGGTGGGTGGATTGGATTGGCAGCGGTGGTAGCTGTTCATGATGGCAGATGTTTCTCCGTACAGCTCGGGTGGGATCTACGGTCGACTGGCATTTACTGCGAATTACTCCACGCGCACAACCGACGGTCGAGACAATCACCGTCACAATCACAACGTCACAATCACAATCACATTGCACACGCCCTCCACGTCGTCGTCCGTCGAGGACAGAAAAAGCAATCAATGCCAACGCCTTTCAAAGAATAAACGCCATGTTGCCAACTTTTTTCCCAGTACAACAAGAAGTTCGTGAAGGTATGAGAGGTCAAGAAAGGAAGGTTTTTGTTTAGATTAGATGAAGAACTAGAGCAGCGAGAAAAGGCAGAGGTTAGCCCACATCCGACGACCGCGAGACACACCCCTCGTCGAGCACCGCTCATATTCCCAGCGGCTAGAGGGGGCCCGAGGCATAGCATCCGAGTCCAACGCTGCGCATATATGGGATGGATATCGCAGGTCAACTCGCAACGAGGGGTGGGGGGTGTGATGCAGCAAGCAACCGAGGAAATGCACTTACTTTACTCGTCATCCTCCTCCTCCTCCTCCTCCTCGATGGTGGTCTGGGCGATACGGTCCAGATCACGCTGACCCTGCTGGGAGATGCGACGACCACCCTTGAGGCCGTCCTCAACGACACCGATCTTCTCGAGAGCCTGGAGGATCTTGCGGTCGACGGAGCCGGAGGCGTCGACGTGGTGGCTGGGGCGCGAGCCACGGTTCTTCTGTCCTCCGTGGACCTTGCGGAGACGACCGACACCGACAGACTTGCGCATGTAGACGTGGCGGGCGACGGCGGCAGCACGAACGTAGAACCAGTCCATCGACTGAGGAGGGAGCTCCTTGTAGTGGCCGGTCTTGACAGTGTCAACCCATCCTAGCGTACGATTCCATCATCAGTCCGAGCCCGTTATCGAGTGTAGCGTGGGGTTCGCCTTACCGGGAACGGGGAGCTTTCCCTGACGCTTCAAGAAAGCAGCGTAGGCATCAATGAACTTCTGGGCATCGACATCGCGAACAGAGACTCCGGTCATTTTGGCGGTTGTTGGGGTGGTCTGAATCGATCAAAGATTTTATCAGCTGCAATCCTCTGCGAACTCTGCAATTCTCCAAACTATGAATTTGAAAATGTAGGGGGTCGTACGTTGTTTTGTCGGGAAGGAAAGTGCCGGGAGTTGGATGTTGCTGCTGTTTGCCGTGCGTCGAGTTGTCGTTCGTTGGTTCCGTCACGCCAAAATCTGCAAGAGTGGAGAACAGCCTGCAATCGGTTTGTGTGTGTGTGTGCGCCGTCAGGCTTGGCTCCCACAATATTTCGCAGTCACAACGCTAGCCCTCTGAGGCTCAACCCACCACTGATCACTCACAATTCTACTTTCTCGGTAGGGAGGGAAAAGCTTCAGCTCGATTTGCACGGCAGACACATGACACCGTCCCTCGCAAAAAATAATCATTCAAGCAAGCCAAAGTCTAGAATACAGAGCGCCAGAAGTACATATGATTCCATGAAGCCCCCCAGTTGTCACCGACGACGAGCGACTCCGATCAACCGAAACAATACAAGACGCCTCAAAACCTAACGAGAAACACCAGCCTGAACATGCGCGCAAACAAACGGATATCAGACACGTAACCACGTAAACACCCGCAACTAGGAAATAGTTCCGAAAAGACAAAAAGAAACGAGTTCAAATCAAATAAAAAGAAATTCAAGTAACAAAACAAAACCAAGCCATCCGCGCCAAGACGCCGAGATGCCAAGTTCAGAACGTCGGTGCTCTCAGCAGACCCAGACAATACCTCTCAAAGAGCTCATTGATGAAGTGTGGGTGTCGAATTCCGGGCGGCCGCGCCTCCTTGAACGCTTCGATCGCCTCCTGAACACTGAAGCCGAGCCGCTCGATCAGATAGGTGCAGATGAAAAATCCCGTTCTGTTGAACCCATAGTGGCAATGACAGGCAATGACACTATTCTCGTCGTATTTCCTCGCTTCGCGGATCGAGTCGACGAGCTTGATGAACCCCGTAACTTCGTCGAGCGTGGGGGGAATCTTGGAAACGGTAGGATCTGTAACAAAGTTAGTTTCGAGCAAATAGCCAACGACATATAAATTTGGGATCGTAGGAGTGCGGGGCGATCGGAATACCACCCCCCACGTCAACTCCAACCTATCGGGAAGAAGCGATTACTTACACTTGTGATAGTTGAGATCGCCACCGAATGTCTCCGGATCATAAGGCGGCGTCTCATGCGAGATGTCGATGATGTCCCGCACATCTGTCCACCTCTGACAGAATTCTATCGGGTTGTGCCCGTCGGGATCATTCTGCCTTAGAGTCTTCATCGCTCTGAACGGCGACGGGATTGGCTTCCCGGCGCCAGCCCTCTTGACGATCCGGGGGGATACCGATTGGATCCGCGTCCACTTTTCCAGGTTCTTGAGGAGCCACTTGTCTTCCTTCAGGTAGAGGAGCTGCCACCCAAGGGAGAGCGTTTCATCGACATGCTTCGACAGGAACTCACCCACCAGTCCGCACAGAACATTTGGGGACTCGTACATGACGCCGTGGCCGGCATCTGGGATGATGCACTTCTTGACCACGGAGACGGGCCGATCGGAGCCGCTCGAATCCTGGCTGGACACCGAACTGGTGGTTTTCTTCGGATCGAACCACGAGTGGATCATGTCGAGCTCCCCCACGGTCGTGACCTTGTCCTCGATGGCTCCCAGCAACAGAATCGGAAGCTTGATTGCCCTCCACTGCTCTCGGGATGGCAGCTTGATGCCGCTCACCATTCTCCGCCACACCGGAGTCCGCGACTGCTCGTTGAAGTGCAACTGCATCCTCCTCACATCCTCGGAAGCGTTCTTTCCCACGAAACGCATCACCGACTTCGAGTTGATGCCGCCCCGTCGATCCCAGGCACGGAACATGTTGAACGCAAATTCGGGAAGCTTCACAGCCGCTGCAGCAGCCTTCTGTTCCTTCTCGGTGATGACGGCCTTCGGGGATATCGCCACGAATCCTGAGCATATGCCCTCCAGCAGCCCGCCCTTAGTGACTAGTGTAGCTCCGAGCGCACACCCCATGGAGTGGCCTATCACGACCACCTTCTGGTTGTCCCCTCGGTATTGGCCCACGACCTTAGCGACAAGTGCGCACAGGGCATCCGTGGAGTAAGCGTCCCAGTCCTTCGGGTCGAAGTCGGACGCGCCGCATCCGGGAAGATCAATCGCGAGAACGTGTGAGAAGTGAACCTGTTCGATAAGCACATGCCACGCTCGCTCCCGATCGATCGCAGGACCTCCTCACTCACCAGGTACTCTATCAGGTGTCGAAACTGTTGGATCTGGCCGCCGAGTCCTGTGGCATCACAACATCAGCGATCCCGAGCCGAGCCGAGGTACGAGAGCTGTACGCGGGGGGAGAGGGCGCAGTTACCGTGTATGAAGACGACCAGAGGAAGCTGGGGAGGTAGCGATGCGGCTTTGGGGTGAGCTCGGTAGAAGACACGGACGCCGGGATACGAGTAGCGCTCGGTGACGACTGACACGATTCTGGAATGCTTTTTGAGCAGGGAAGCATCGGCTACAACCGCATCTTGTGACGCCATCAGTACACGTTTTGCTCTCGCGACGACACAGCAGAAGCAGCAGCAGTTTTTTCTCTCTCTCTTTCTGTCTCTGTTGCTACTCCGGTGTTGAAAATCATGGGTAACAAGAAGGGACAGTTGGGGTGGATGAGCGATCTGCGGTCTCGACCAGGTCAAAGAGCTTTCTTTCTATTCCGCCCTGACGTGTTGTATGTGGGTGTGTGCAAAGAAAGTTAAAGTGCAAACGCGAGGCAGTGACAGCTGCTGCTGAGGTAAGGAAGCAACAGTGCTGGAACAAAGAAGGAACAAAAAGAAGCTATCATCGGCAGGCCCAACAGCCAATGGCCGTCAAGCTGACCCTCATGACATTGACAACACGCACCTGAGCTCATCGAGTTCCTGCTGCAAGTCGACTCCGCCGCTGCTGCTGCTGTTGCTGTTGCTGCCGCTGTTGCTCCCTCTGCTCCCTCTCCTACTGCAACTGCAACTCCTGCTCCTTTACCTCCGCCAGCACCGCCTGCTTCCCGTCGTCGCTGTCGCTGTCGTCGGCCGTCCGACTTCCCCATCCCTAGAGCTTTCATGGTCCCGCAGCAAACACACATCAGAGTTGCAGCACCGCACAACGCAGCTATCGCCATCTCCTTCGGTCCAAACTCTTCCGGGCGGGAAAACAGACGCAAGTGGTTTCGGAAGAATGCGAGCGACGTGGACACGGTGGTAGATGGTGCAGCAGCAGCAGCAGCAGCGACGAACGAAGAAGCAATCGTGGAGGCGGAGGAAAGGTCGCTCGGAGGAGGAAGCGGGATTTCGGAATCCATTTATTCGGTTTGATGGTAGTGGTGGTCGATGCGGGACGGAGGTGGCCTCGAATTTAGCCCACGCTGTCGAGGGCTGGGATGCGATTGGATCAATCCGGGACGTTTATGAGCTGGCTGTGTCAATTGACTCTGGGCAGATCTTGGTGCCACAGGATGGATATGGGCGGCAGCACGTTTCTGTCTCCGGTGGGGGCAGGCAAGGAAGAAGAAGAAGAAACGCAGCAAGTGGCAGAGTATAATAGAGCACGGTGCGCGTAGGGTCGGCTTCGCTGCGTTTGGGAGGGCAAGGGGGTGGGGGGGGCGGGCGGGCAGGGCGGGGGGCGGGGGGGAATGGGCACTTAGATAGGGCTGGGCGGGCAGGACGCGGGCAGGGCCGACCAACGAAGTAAGGACGTGACGGCGAGTATGTAAGCAAGACACGCGGAATTCGTTTCGAGACGTCAGCTTCTTGCTTTCGGCCAAAACGTGGCGATCTTTACTTTTTAAGAATAACGTTAACGTCCACTGGAAAGGGACAGCTGACGTATGATAGGGGGAAAAGATGGAGGACAGAGGCGGACGGAAAGGGAGAACGTGATTCGAGCTGAACGAGTCATATTCCACCTGCACATGGAAGAAGAAAGGAAGAAGGAATTAAAGACGGGAAGCCATCCATCGTGCTATGATGATGGCTGTTTTTTTCTTCTTCTGCTAGCGTAGGACCCTGTTCACGGGCGTGGTGTGAGATGTGATAGGGCTGTCGTAGGATTGGCTATATACGTACGGCACGAAAGAGCCTCGAGCAGACGATGCCAATTATTGCAACGGGAGGTAAGGAAGAAACATTGATGAAGAATCTGTCCGTTCACGATGAAGACTCTGTCCGTTTAGACACATGGACTGACTTGTGAATCCTATCGGGACGTCATCGCCACTACCGGTACCACAGCCACCACCACCAGCATCATCACCCAAGGCGAACAACCATTGCATGCGAACCATCACCCCGAAAGCTTCGAATTCCTTCTTCCATGGGCCGGGCCATGGCCATGCCTGCCAGCGGGCACCAGCTAGCAACGAGAAGGACCTTGCATTCCGTTCGGTGTCCAGCGGACACACACATAAAGGCACACACACATGGACACGTTCGATGGTGGTCAAACGCCAAACATCCAATAGCGTGCCGGCCACGGCCGGGACCACCCATCTGAGCGATGACCAAAGGAAGGCGAACGGGCGTGAAACGCCGGCTAAATCCCGCCCCGTGCATTACCGAGCATGTAGCAAGCAGCCATTCATGCATCCCATGCAACGGAACGTCAAGTGCGTCGGTGGTACACAGCGTGGCCAGTCCATGAGTCCATGTATGTACAATGTACACATCTGCTTGGCCGATCGGATGGGCTTGACTGTCATGACGGGCTGGGTGCTGGGCCTCGAAGGCCGGCCGGCGAGAGTGTGGACAGACTGTCGGCTTCGTCAGTTGAACGTGAACGAACGTGAATGTGAATGTGAACGTGAACCCCTCATGTCATTATTCCCGCCGAGAGAGAGACCCCCCTACCTCCCCCACCCACTCATCAACAGCCAACTGACTGCGTCGCCCAACTCGCCCGGACTGCTCAACTCATCCCGACTGTCCAGCTCTTCCTCCTCCTGACTGACCTGACCACCCAACCCGCCTGGCTTTCCACTGCCCGCCGCTCGAACCACCCCATACCATACCATCCCATATGACAAACCTCCGCCGTCGCCGCTACCCATCCGGTCAATTCCTGTCGCCAAAGTGCCGAGCACCGCGGATGCGGGGTGGATGCATCGGCCCTAGGGACTGTAGACTCTAGGCCGTGTCACAAAAGCGCCTATAACACATATGAGATCAGTCAACAGTGCTCCCAACAACGATTTAAGGGAACGGCCACCCCCGATATAGATCTGTGGCTTCCGAACAGAGAAAGAAAATGATGACCGAAAAGAGAAAGAAAAAAAAAGTGGGGCGCCAGTCGTTGCGGGGTAGTTTGGCATGATGTGCTCATACATGTATGTGTGAATATGTGTGTAGTAAGTACTCGTACATGGTGCATTGTTCGATTGTTGGTAGATGTACAGTATGGACTAGAGCAGAATACAACGTCGTCCTCCATCTCCCCTCGTCCTACTCCTACTCCTCCTGCTCCTACTCCTCCTCTTCCTACTCTCCCTCTCTCCTCCCTCCTCTCTCCTCCCTCCTCCTATTGTCTCTGTTGATTTTCTTCATTTCAATCACGTCCCCTCTTCTGCAGCTGCGCCTTATCCTCCTCCCCCTCTTCGCGCTGCATTACCGGCACAGGTTCTGGCGTGTCTCCCGGTCCCGCGGAAAACCGACCAGGTAGTGATCTTTGCCGCTGCAACAATTCGAAATTGCAGAAACGAAACAAATTCCGTCCATCCAGCTCGCTCGGAAAAGGGTAGCCACTTGAGTGCTTCCGTCATTTCTTGGATTCACCTAAAATATCAGACCCGACTCGTACCCGGCCACCACCCCTCCGCAACCTCTATCAGCTCTTGCAACCCCACTTCACCTCCACCTCCACCAAACACGATAGCAAGTCAGTAAACGAAACCCCCCGAAATCAAACAGCATAAACAAAATGGCCAAAGAACAGACCTCCCGCTTCCTGGACTTCCAGGAAATCCCGTACGGCACCAAGAGGAATGGTGAACTGATCCTCAACAGGTACTCGTCTGTCCTCACCAACGGCAATGAGTATCCGGGAGCCAAAGCAATGCTGCACGCCGCCATTGGTGGTAGTGCGAATGCAGACAAGATGCAAACGGCGCCTCAAGTCGGTATGACTCGACTCACTCCGGCTGTGTCGACGGCCGGATGCAACGAAGCACCACGCCTGTAGTCGACCACCAGATCCAGACCGATGGCTGACCGTGTATGTTTTCAGGCGTTTCGACGATGTGGTTCGAGGGAAACCCGTGCAAGTCAGTGACTTCTGTTTCATACTCCTCTCTGTGAATTTCCAAGATATGCGTTGTTTCCCCTTCCATGTCGCACTCGCGATCGTCGATGTCGTTTCTCCGCCAATGTTTATTCCGATCTTGAAACTCTTTCTCTCTCCATGCACATATCTCTCTCTTTTTCTTCGCTCTGTTAGTTTCCAATCTCGGTGATGTCCTGCTAACGCTTCGGCGCTACATAGCATGCATTGTTCGTTTATTCCCGTCTCTCATTTCCCCTTGACTCCCCTGTTTTCCCCCACTCGGCTGCTTGGCCGATGTCAATTGGCCGTCTTCAGTGAACGCAGAGTCTGATTGGACTTTGGAAAAAGTGCTCGACTTGGGGCGTACTGTAAAGGAAGGTCTGGAGAAGAACGGTATGATTGGCCTTCAGTTCAACACCATCGGAGTAAGCACATTCCCCCACGATCTCTCCCCCGCTCTCTCTGTTGGGCGGACTCTGTAGCCTTCCGGGCGGCCACTGATCGGAGATGTCGAGCGATGCAACGAAACAGGTGTCAGACGCCATCACTATGGGCAACTCAGGTATATAAAATCCCCACATGCACGGAAAAGCTACTTCCCTCTGGCAGTTAGCGATGTCAACCGCAGCACTGACGCATGGGGGGTTGGGAGTGTGATCAGGCATGAGGTACTCGCTGCAGAGTCGGGATATCATTGCGGACAGCATCGAAACGTACCTGCCCAGACTCAACCCCGCATTCAGAGCACCCCGCTGACCGCAGTCCAACCTCCAGGATCGCTTGCGCGCAACACCACGTACCTAGCTTCCTCTGCTACGCACGATTCATCATTCGGTGACTGACAACGATCAGGATGCCAACATATCCATTCCCGGATGCGATAAGAACATGCCTGGATGTATGTCTCCCTCATCGTTTGCACTCGTGCAGTGACTGTGGCTGAGCAAACCTCCTAGGTATCATGGCCATGGCGCGGCACAACAAACCGTCCCTGATGATTTACGGAGGCTCCATCAAAGGTGGCTCCAACCTCGGAAAACCTGTCAACATCTCCACGTGTTTCGAGGCCCATGGCGCGCTCATGTACGGCAAAATCACCGAAGCGGATCTGGATGGCATCGTCAAGAATGCATGTCCCGGCGCCGGTGCATGCGGTGGGATGTACACTGCAAACACGATGGCAACCGGAATCGAGGCCATGGGTCTGACGTTGCCCGGATCTTCGACAACTCCAGCCGAGTCACCAGCAAAGATGCGCGAGGTGAGTGAAAAGCCTGTTAGAGTTGAAGCAGGATGATGATGATGAGCTGTTGTGTTGTTGTCCCCGAGCTGACAGAAAGGGTGTTTGTTGGAAAGTGTCTTCGAGCTGCCGAGGCCATCAAAATTTGCTTGGAGAAGGACATCAAACCGAGAGACTTGATCACCAAGGAGTCCCTAGAGAACGCATTAGTGAGTACTATGGTCATGTGTGGGTCTACCAACTCAGTGCTGCATTATCTCGCTATCGCACACTCGGCGGATATCCACGACTTTACGCTGGACGACTTCCAACGTGTTGCGAACAAAGTACCTGTGCTGGCCGATCTCAAGCCGTCCGGAAAGTACATGGTGGCGGACCTGGTCGACATCGGTGGTTTTCCAGCAGTGTTGAAGTTTCTCATTCATGCCGGATTAATAAATGGCGACATCCCCACGGTTACCGGCAAAACGCTAAAGGAAAACGTCTGGGGCGCACCAAGTTTGGATCCCAGCCAGGACATGATTCGCCCTCTCAGCAACCCTATCAGGGAAACTGGACACATTCGAATTCTGAGGGGAAACCTAGCACCTGGAGGGGCCGTAGCCAAGATTACTGGCAAGGAAGGCCGCAAGTTCACGGGCAAGGCAATGGTATTCGACAAGGAGGACGACCTGAATGCGAAGATCTTCAATGGCGGCATCGATCCAAACGAAAACACTGTGCTCTGCGTTCGCTATGAGGGACCGAAGGGAGGTCCTGGAATGGTGAGTTACCTGTCATTCCTTTTTTCCTTTGCGTGGTATAGCACTCCCTTTGGAACATGGTGGTTGGCTCTCGGACAATTGGGCCGTGATTTTCGAGGGCTTCGAGTGATTCCACATGCAGCCGATGGACGGATTCAGAAATACTTAATTCACTAGAGCTTTTGCTCGGGGGTTTAGAGGTTTTTCATGCAGGATAACTACAGACTTCCATACGTCATGAGCAAGAGCCATAAGGGCCATCCTGGCCTTCCCGTCGCTAGATTCCCAGCTCCAGCGACGCAACCATCATCATAGCGGCCGTTATTGCGGGGAAACCTTGGAGGGTACATACCGCTGGTAGATGCATGGTTTCCTTGCGGGATTCGATTGTTTCAACCTTGAAAATCGATTGCCGCGTCCGGCCTCATCGATCGACGACCTCCCTCTTCCTGTATGCCAACACAGCACTGCACCGACCTCGGACCAGAGCGAAATCAACTGCACCATGACACAAAGAGAGGTTGAGGGGCAAAGCATATACCGCATCGACCCATATCGTCGTGGCGAGTCGCCACGGTCGAGACCATGCGTCTGAACCCATCATGACCCACTGTATCGACTCGCATCACCGTCACGCTTGCGATCTGTCAATTCTTAGCTCGCCAGGCCAGAAGGGTTCAAACGCCCACCGCCGCCGTCGTCGTTGTCATTGTCGTCGTTGTCGTTATTGTCGTCGTCCGATCGACCTCGTGTCTCATTTGTTGAAGGGGGGGGCATATGCCATGCCCAGCGGCGGCCGTTTGAGAGTGCGTCCCAAGTGCCTGGTTGGAGGAGCCAGCCCCCTCCCCACCCATCGTGGGTCGGGTCCCTTCGGGATGAGGCCTTATGCTCTGCTGCTCTGCTTGCAGTAGCATTAGACCCTGCTGGCAGTCGTGGCCAAAACTGTTTGGAGAGCCCGAAAATAACCACCATGTTCCAATGCTGGCTGCTGCTGTCGACGCGGATCGTGAAAGGAAGCTAGCTGACTGGAAACTTTCACCAGCCCGAGCAGTTGAAATCCAGTGGCGCGCTGATGGGAGCGGGCCTGCGCAACGTGGCCCTCATAACTGATGGCCGCTACAGCGGAGGTACGTTCGCTGTCCAAAGTGCGAGAGTGTCCTGATGCAGTTGCTAATCCAAGATCAGCTTCCCACGGATTCATCGTTGGTATGAGTCTGGGTTTTTGTCCTGTGCAGGCAGGTTCGCCAGAAGGAACGAACTAAGATTCCCTCTTTAGGTCACATCGTCCCAGAAGCAGCTGTCGGGGGTCCCATAGCCATCCTTCAAGGTGAGCGAGGGTTTTCCCGTAGTTGTCATTTCCTATTCCTGTCCAACAGCCGAAGGGCGGACTGGCATGCAGTGGACAACGCACCACATTCTCTCCCTTCTCTCACTCCTCTGCCACCGTTGTCATCGTCGACGAGTTCGCGGGGGGGAGATGGCTAATTGGTGGGCTGGTGGGGCGGGTGGGCGGGCGGTGTGGGATCTTGCTTTGCTGACGGACGGTAAACGGAATACCAGATGGAGACATGGTAACCATCGACGCGGAAACGAATTCGCTCAGCATGGACGTGAGCGAGGAGGAGATTGCTGCGCGTTTGAGTAAGTGGAAGGCGCCGCGGATGAAGGTGAACCGAGGAGCACTTGCGAAATATGCCTACCTTGTTGGAGATGCTAGTCACGGGGTACGTCGTTCACGCATCTCTAAATTCCATTTCCCCCCCCTTGTCGTTTCTGCATTTCTGCATGGCCCGTTCCCATTCATTTGGATGGTCTTGCCGGAGGCGGATGTGTTTGCGTGTTCTCACCCAATCCGAGCCCTCTATCCGTCTTTTTCTTTCTCTCTCCATCTCTCTCTGTCTATCTTCCTCTCTCTCTCTGTCTGTCTGCCTGTCTCTCTCTCTCTCTCTACCTGTCTTCCCGAAGAGAGACAGACAAATCATCAGACACCAGATCAAGTTCTGGCGGTCGATATTGGTCGACAAGGAAATCTACCTGCATTGCACTCTAAAGTAGTAGGGGTTGTATTCACAACGGACTTGGCTGACAATGGAATTACCATAGGCTGTGCTTGACATGTTCTAAAGGAAAAAAGATGGACTACCCATTCGGAATACAACTGCCACGCAGCAGCAGCAGCAGCAGTATGTACTTACATCTTACTAGAGTTGTCGGTATGGTATGGTATGGTTTCTTTTTGGTTCCCAATTCTTTCTTCTTCTTCTTCTTCATCTGAGGCATGTCTCGTCTTTGTTCTGTTCTGTTCGGTACATTTTGTCTGCAGTGCAGTGCACAAGTTACGAGACAAGACAAGACAAGACAAGACAATTTAGAGAGAGTCTCTAGAGAGATGTTGCAGCAGCAGTTTGATCTTAGCTCATCGAACGCGAGATCTACTTACTTTGCCCATTTACTTTTTTCTTCTTCTGGCCATCTTGCATCGTCGGCAGGCAGGCAGCGCGCCCTTTCATGCAAAGTCAGTTCAGTCCAGTGCAGTCCGTCCAGTGCAGTCCGTCAGTGCAGTGCAGGTCAGGGGCGGGCGTGCGGGCGTGCGGGCGTCGGTCGGTCGGTCGGTCTGCACAGCTACCTAAGGTAGGAGAGAACCACCCCCTCCACCCCATCACGGGCATAGCGAAAAGTCACAGAGGAATTCGAGGCTACCTTACCTACCTTACCTACATCCTACCTTACCTACCGTACCTACGTGCCTGCCTGCCTGCAAACATTGCGCTGGCGGATTATTGACGTGTACAATACATACACGCCGGCGGTGCTTGGGTGCTGCTGCTGCTGACTCTAAGCATGGCTGGCATGGTATGGGTATGGGTATGGTATGGTAGTTGTCTGTGGGCCGGGGTGCGGTGTGTGTGTGTGTTCGGGTTCGGCGGGGGGTGCGGTGCGGTGGGGAAGGGAGGGGAGGGGAAACAAAGCGATGGCTGGGAAGAGACGAAATGTTTGGGCACACCACACACACCGTGTGCACACGCATACACACACAGAGAGAGAACGAGCACACACACACGGGGAAAGAAAGAAAGAGCAGCAACACGGCTCTTGCTCCCCCGCTCCACACACCCACTCTGGACTTCCAGACCCCACGGGACGATGGATGGAATGGATGGATGGATGGATGGAGGAGGGATGTCGTATCACCTCCACCACCACCAGCATCAAGCCTTTTTCCTTCCGTGTCGATGGGTTTGGCTGGTTTGGCTGGGTCGGCGTGGGTTGGGGTTGTTCTGGGCTGGGCGAATCTACCCACCAGTTGGACCCGCATGTTCACATCTTCACCGCACAGCGGGAACAGGCAATCGCAACAGGACTACATTCTATTGCAGTTGCAGTTGCAGTTGCAGCAGTTGCATTTGGGGTTGCATTCGGGGTGTAGCTGGGGCAGTAGCTGGGGTTGGGGTTGCAGCTGGGGTTGTGTGTGTAGTCGGGGCAGTTGGGGGGGGGGGGGGTAGTCGGGGTAGTTTCGTTCGTGGAATTGGAATCGGAATTGATTAAATTCTTTTTTTCTTCTTCTTCCACGCCCGCGAGCGCTCTCCTTGGGGGCTCTCCTTGAGGGCTCTCTGTCGGTCTGTTTCTGTCTCTGGCTCTCTCTGTCTGTCTCTCTCCGCTCCGAGCGTCTTGCTCTTTCCCACACACACACCGACAGACACACCAGGGAGAGGAAGCAGAGAAAGCAAGCATGGCATGCACGCACGCACACCTGTTTCGGCGGCTTTTCATTGGTTGCTAGAAACCGCTTTTGGTTTGGCTGGTTTGGTTTGGCTGGCTGTCGGATGGCTGCCGCCAACGAAAGCGAGCGAGCCCGGCTCCGACAGAACAGATGGACGGACAGGAGGACGGGCACACAGACGGGCAAGGACAAGGACAAGGCCAATCCCGAGGCGGTGTTGAACTCTTTTTTTTTAAAAAAAAAAGGAAAAAAGGAGGAAAAAAAGAATTTTTTTCTTTTTCTGGGAGAGAGAGAGAGAAATTTTTGTTTCCTGTTTCCCAGCAGGAACAACTGTAGTTTGGAGCAGCAGCCAGGCCAGGCCGGGGACCGGATAGGATCGTTTGGGATAGCAGTCTGCGATTCAGTGCAGAAGATTCTCAGAGCAGGCTCTATTCTACAGAACTACAGACTCTACAGGCTCTACATGTTTGGGGGTTCGAGCGCCTGCATGCGCCACTGCATCTACCTTCCCAGAGTTCCCAGAGTTCCCAGAGTTTCTCCCCAGACCTCTCACTCTCCTGCCATGCACCGTTGAAGGAGTGCAGGTGTGCATACGCATTATGTGAACATTGTGGCGCAACTGTTTTTCTTTCCTTCTGGAGTTGCAACCTGGATTGTAACTTGCCGAAGTGGGGGGGGTGTAAGCGGTGCAAGCGGCGCATGCATAGGTGGGATGGTTAGCGTGGGCATGCAGTAGAAACATTATGTACATACTCTACGTAGAGTACCGACTCGGCTCGGCCAGCCAGGCAGACAGCCTTTCGAGGGAAGGTACACGAGCGAACGGGTGACGATGATCGGAGACAATGGTGACGGTGATCGATGATGAGGACGATGACGGCGGTGGTGGTGATGGTGGCGGCGGTGACGGTGGTTATGGTGGGGACAATGATGGTGGCGGCGGTGATGATGATGTTGCTATGTAAAGATATGGCTGTGGGTTATCCATATCGATACCGGACGAACTACTGCTCCAACAAGATGTCCGTTCTGGTCGCTAGAGATGAACCAGCGGGGCGGGGGGCGAGCCGCGATACACAACTACGACGGGCGGGATCACCGATCGAAGCGGATGAAGGCAAACAAGGCATGGCAAGGCAGGCGCGAAACGATTTCTTTTTTTGTCTCTCTTGTCTCTGTCTCTTTTCTGTTTTCTGTTTTTGTTTGTTTTTGTCTCTTTCTGTCTCTTTTCTGTTTTCTGTTTTTGTTTGTTTTTGTCTCTTTCTGTCTCTTTTCTGTTTTCTGTTTTTGTTTGTTTTTGTCTCTTTCTGTCTCTTTTTGTGTCTCTTTCTGTCTCCATTTTTGTTTATGTCTCTCTTTCTGTCTCTCTATATATTTGTTTTTTGTTGTAAGTGTGGTTATTGTTTCCTCCCCGGGCTGTGTTTTTGTTTGTGATGCGCCTGCAGCGCGCGTGTGCCCATGTGTGATGTGTGATGTGATTTGTTTTTGCATTTGCATGTTTTTTCTTCTTTCACCTTTCACACTCAAAGCCTCGAACAGAAGTTCCACCCTTTTGTTTCACACACGCTGTTGCCGCAGGCCGCACGCTCCCTTCGCTCCCCCGCCCCCCGGCAGCTTGAACGAGGCACTGAACTGCACCTCGAACGAGCGAATGAGCGAACGAGGAACTTGTTTTTTGTTTTGTTTTGCTTTGCCGGCATCGGTAGAGTAGAGTGAGGAACGGTTTTGCTGTTCCTCTTTCGTTTCTCATGGACCGGAAGAGCGATGGATGATGGATGATGGATGGATCTGGAAATCGGTGAGCAGGGCCCGCGCATCGCATGCGATGGAATCTGCAAGCGCGCATAGTTACATAGGTTGGTAGTTGGATGTATGGATGGAGGTAGGTGGATGGATGGAAACGGCATCGCTATCCGAAACGAAACACCCTCGGATCGGAGACCACGGAGACGGAGAGTCTGAGTTTCTGCGTAGGTAGAGTATCCACCGACGATGATGCGTTGTTTCCTCGCTACATACCCATACCCAGGGTGGAATACCTATATAGTAGTAACTGTGGTATCCGGTCCCGGGTCGCGATCGAGTACATACCGTACTCTACGTCTACATATTAGAGTACCTACTCCAGGTAGGTACTCTAGTCCCCATCCGCACTGTGGGGGACATCCTGCCAGGTCAGCCAGACCGACCGACAAAAAATCCTGGCCCCGAACCAGGCTAGGCCGGGCCAGACAAGACCTTGAAGATGCAAAGTAGATACATAGAGTTTCCCAGCCCGCCGCCGCGCATCGGCGGGCTGCCTGATCGGTGGGCGTCGATGCGAAGAGCACATGCGTATGCGGGGCGGCGGGGGGGCGGGGGGGGCGGGGGGGGGGGCGGTGGGTTATGTATTCTAGAATAAGGTGCATCTGGCTCTCTCTCGGGTGTTCAGGTTGGAACTTGGAGGGGCTGTGTCGTGACATGGCAAGTACGGTTTATACTTGGTTTTTTTGTTTGGGGAGGCGGGGAGACGGCGGGGGGGCTTCGAAGGGGGCGGGAAGGGGGAGGGGAGGGGAGTTGGCAAGGCTGGGGATAACTAACTCGTGCTTGTCTATCGATACGTAGATACCGGTACTTTAGCTACATACGATACAGATCATACAGATCATACGCACGAGTTATCTGGAATAGGTACCGTAGTGCTAAGAGTACGTGGGTATCCAGTGATCGCCCCGGAGTCCGCTTGCTGCTCGCATACATAACACACGGTGGTATACCTATACATAGAGTTGAGCAGAGCAGAGCAGGTGTGAGTTATGTATGTTCCATGCTCTGGATCTACATACATTCTTGGGCCAGCACGTACGTCGTACATGCTCTTGATACTAGTAGTAGTTAGTAGAGCAGTGTTTCGTGTACTGGGTTAGACTATGGACAATATCTAGAGCAATTGTAACTACTCTAATTACTAGTAGTAATTAGTACCGTAACTGGCGTGCCTATAGCTATTAGCTATTAGCTATAGTATAGCCCTGCCGTCTATACATAACCACAGTACCATACACTCTCCAAGTCCAACATCTGCACAGGTCGATACTCCACCGCACATACATCCATACATGCAGCCACAGACTCGAGAAGGGTACGTACCCCCCACTGAACCACCGGCAACAGCTGCCACTTCCAATTCCACACAATCCGCTCGCATGCCATGTGCGGTCAGCTGTCACTGCACACAGGCGCACAGTCCGTGGCCACTACCGTAAAACTATAGCACAACTAGAGCGGTAGAGTAGATCCAATATCTACCCTCTCTGCTCTGTCTGTAGGTAGCTAATGGCCGATCTGATCTACCAGGTAAGGTAAGGTAATGTACGTATGTAGGGGTATCTATACCGCAACTAGCGGTCCGAAGCTCAGGGTTCCTCGGGGGGTGGAGGGGAGGGGGGTGCTAGTGGTGGGGGAGGGGGGAGAGGCATCCAACGTGGCCGTACAGCTGCGTCTGCGTCTACGGTACGGTGCGGTATGAACGGTATGTACGGGACATGATGGGACGGACTGCCGCTTCTGGGCTTGGGTTTGGGCTGGAGTACCTACCGCCGTTTAACCTTCTCCAGAGTCTGCCGTCACGCAAGGCACATCACATTGTCCGGATGTGGGGGAGGGAGGGGGCGAAGGTAAAGTGAAAAGTGAAAAGTGAGTGTGAGTGTGAGTGTTTCCATTGGTTTGGACGGTAGTTGTTTTCCCGGTCGTATGTATTGTATTGTATGTATCCCGCGGCGGCGGCAGTTGTTTCGACCTATCACTGTCACTGTATGACTTTTTTTTCCCTCGCTCTCCCCCACCTCAACAGGCTCCGCCCCACCATCCAGGCTCTATTCATCCACACACACCCACTTTTACCACACCCATTCGCTCCCACACCCATTCTCTGCCACACCCACAACCCTCACACACCCATTCTCCCACACACAATCTACCGGCTCGGCCCGGGGCTTCGAGAAGGTTTTCACTGCTTCCTTCGATTCTTCGATTCTTCGATTGTTCGGCGGTCTCGACATACAGGAGCAGGGGGGTAAGGGCAGGAGATCCCATCCACCCATCCATCCATCCATCCACCAACCATCCAATCCTTCATTCATCCACTATCCACCATCCAAGCATCCAGCCAACCATACATCCACCGGGGAAGGGGCGGCAGTGGTCGTCGGATATGGAGCGCGCGAGGCGACCAGTGAACGGAGAAAGCTGACGGAGCGTTTGTACGAGGTTTGTGGTGGCGGCGGCGGCGGTGGTTGATCGTATGGTGGGGTTCGTCCGAACGAAAGCTGGTTCGTCGCTCAGGCGAGAGGCGAGAGTCTAGAGGCGAGAGTCTAGAGGTCAGGCCGTCGTGATGTTTAGGGACTCGGGAGCGAGACTGAGACTGTGATTGAGGGACTGGGAGATGGAGAGACTCAATTCCTACGGAATGGGTAGTATGTAGCGGCCAACTTTGACCATGACCACGACCATGACCAGGACTAGGAGTCCAGGGCCAGGACGCAGGGCATCAGAGTTCATAGGATGAGGATGGGGATGAGGGAAGAGTCAGTATCGTGAACCATCGTTCCACCCAGCCAACCAGCCAATGAGCCACACGGACATCCAGACATCCAGCGCTCCTCCTCCGCCGTGAATCGTGATCGTGACTCCCACTCCCACTCCATTACCTACTCCGTTACCCACGCCGTTACCCACCCCATCCATGCCCATCACTCTATCTACCCAGCGGACCCAAACCTGCGTTTGCCCCCCCCCCCCCCCCTCCTCCCTGTCTCGTAGCCAGAGTCGATCCTTCAAGCTCGAGCCACGACAATCCGAACAAACGGAAAAGGCAGTCTTTGACGTTGACGTGACGGACATGGCATGGCATGGTATGGCATGGCCCGTGCCATCCCTTCCATCCCTCCCTGCCATCCCTCCCATCCCTCCCTGCCTCCTTCTCTTCCTCTCCTAGAAGTGTAGATACTAGGCGGAGGACAAACGCCCCCAATCCCCCAATCCCTCCCGCCACAATGGCCTCAATGGGCCTCGGGAAAGGGAAAGAGCAAGGGAAGGTGGAAGTGACATTGACGTTGACGTTGACGTTGACATATGCACCCGGCTCCGGGCCTCCGGCATTGACAGATTGTCCTGTCTACTAACTACATACCTAGCTAGCCGGCCGGAGTGAGTGCGGTGCAAAGGTACTTACATACATCGCTACATACATGGCTAGCTAGCTAGCTAGCGGATCGTATCATACATTTACATACATTTACATACAAGGAAGGGCCTTGTTGTTGTTACTGCTCTTACTGTTGTTGCTGTTACTACTGCTGCTGGTATTGTTGCTGCTGTCATTGTTACTGTTATTCTTGTTGTTCTTATTGCTATTATTGTTGCTGTGTGGGCCCTCCGCGGAAAGAAAAAAACTCATCCCATTGTCCATTGTGCTTAAAGCTTTTCAAACGGTAGAGTAGACGTTTGCAGATCGTGATCGTGATGGTGGCTTGTGGTCGTGGCGATGCTCGAGGTGCATTATATATTAGAACTGAAACTGGAGCCTGGAGCTGCTACTGGAGCTGTAACTGGAGCTGTAACTGGAGCTACCTACAACTGGATCGGAAACACAGTGTACGGAGTAGATATTCACAAACGTCACAATTCACCCCGTTCCCCTTCCCTTCACGTTTCGTTCTGGATAAAGGGCAAAGGCAAAGGCATCGTCGATTCCACAGTGCACAGTGCACACGGAGCCAACCCAGCCAACAAACGAACCAGTCAATCACCGCACTCGGGAACAAAGAAAAGATTAAGGTCATGGCAGTAGAAAGGTATTTAGCGTACTTTAAGTAATGTGTTAGATAAGTTAAGTAAACTAAACTAGGTCATAGCAACTAGCAACTAGCAGTGATAGAAATTAAAAATATCCCAAACCCCTTCCCCCTTCCCAGATCCAGAGAGAACCAAGATCGAACAGGAAAAAAAAAAGAAAAAGAAAAGCAACCCAATCCCCAATCCCGTAATCCAATCCTAATCCCGCTGTTGGCGTGCGTGGGAGATATGTAGAAAGAAAGAAAAGAATCTTCCATCCATTGCATCTCCCGTTTCCCCCACCGATTGACCCGACCCGACTGACCGACCCTCCTCCAGTTCATCCCATCCATTATCCCATCCAGCATCCAGCGCATACTGCAGCCATTCCCTTCCTTTCCCCTCAATCCCAATCCCGGCCCGTCCGATATCCCAACCCTATCCCCCCACAATCCAAAGAATGATGATGTCGATGGAAGTTGTAGCGCCACACCCACTCCGTAACATATCCCAAGCATTTTCCCTTGCGCCAATGAACCCGTAACATAACCCGCGCCGACCCCCAGAAGACGATGCATAAAAGAACCGACCTATACAAAGCAAAAAGTAGAAGAAAAAAGAAAGCGAAGCCAAAAAAACCAATACTAATAACTACTAGATGACGATGATGATGATGGCGGTGTGATGATGATGATGATGATGATGGCGGTGTGATGATGATGATGATGATGAAGTTTCCCCGTAAAAACCAACCCAATGTGCAGCGCAGTAAAAGCAAGCAAACAAGACAGCTAACAGGGAAAACTGAATGAACAGCAACGCAGGAAAAACACAACGCGAAAAAGAAAGCAAAAAGATGGCAGAATGGAAAAAGCACTTGCGGTGGAAAGCAAGAAAAAAAGATCGAAACGTAAAGAAAAAAGAAAGGAAAGAAAAAAGAACCGAAACTCCGTCTCCTCTTTTGTGAAAAAAAAAGGTTGTTGTCCGTCATAAAATCGTGCCTTATATCGGATAAGATTAAGGGGGGTTAACCAAAAAGGAATAACGCGTAACAGTAAGGGTTTATCGTAAATCAGTTGAGGTCATGGGCGAGGCGAGGTACGGTGAGGTGGTGGTAGTTGCGTTGTTGTTGGGAGTATAGTCTCATCCTGTCGTGGTTTCCGTTTCGTCCACGTTTCATGATGACATCTGGACGGTTTCAACCGTGGCAATACCCACCATTGCCGGTGGCTGCTTCTGCACCTGGCACTCCTCCATCAAATCACCCATGGTCTCCTCTTCCCGTATGGAAGCCACCTCGGAAGCGCTGAAGGCTACGTTGGTCGGGCTGAGAGACGCCGACGAAGGCGTGGAAACTTCGCTGACGGTTGCCACGGTGTGGCTGTTGCCGTCGTCCATACCGCTCATCTCGACTACCGGGGAAGTGGCCTGGCTAGCGGGAGAAATGGCAGGGGTCGGCGGCGTCTCGGATCCGAAACCCTTGGTCCAGATGGTGCGAAGGTATTCCCCGTCGATCGGCTCGCCGTACTGTGCCGCGATCAACTCCCAAAACTTGGGCTCGTTCTGCTTCACCAGCCTCTTGAGTTTCTCCTTGTCGATGCTGTCGGGGTTGCAGTGCACCCTTAGCGGCTTTCCGCCCTTAGCGTTCTGTCGGCGCGGTGTCGAGATGGCGCCAGCACCGGAGGTGGCCGCATCCGCGGGCTTGGGAAGCAAAGGCTTGCCCTTGATCTTGGAGAGCGGATTGCATGGTGTTCCCGACTTTTGGATGGCGCCTGCGGCATTGACGGGGGAGAAACTTGACGCGATGAAAGGCTTTGTTGTTGTTGTGGTTATTTTTGTTGTGGAGAGAGGCGATGCTGCTGACGGGCTGGTGGCCGGGCTGCCGGCAGGTGTGTTTGATGAGGTCGATGAGACCGAGCTGTTCCTCTTGCGCCGGTTGCCGCCGTGTGAGAGCTGGTGGTAGTGAAGCCGACAGGCTAGCTCGGTCTTGTCCAGATGGCTGGCAATCTTCTTGTAGGCCACTCTCTCGAGTCGCATCTGAAGCAGATAGACTTCCTAATTTAAAAGGAATCGATAGTCAGTTAAGTCGTTCTCTCGAATTTATTCCTTTCGTGCGTGACCACGTATAGGAGCGAAATATAGTGGCATACCTCTTCCGCGGTCCAGGCCTTTCCGCCTCCTGCTGCAGCACCTTTCCGACCCTAATTGGACCCGTCAGTACATCGTTCTCGGTAGGTGGGGGGGGGGGGGGGGGGGTAAGCGGAATCAGCGTACCTTGGATACTGGAGGTGTAGGAGTAGGGGTAGCTGCGGCTGGCGAAAGTGCCGCGGTGGTTGTGGTTGGCGAACTCATTGTGAACAAAGTGGCTCAAAGTCGACAGAGCCGAGCAGGTGTAATAATTATGCGTAGGCAAGAGGAGGAAACTGGAGAAGGAGGCAGCAGTTGTATCCGTCCGGTCCGACTGTATGGGCAAGTCGGGGTTGTCGCACGAAAGAAGTAGATGCGGGAGTAGATGTAGAAGAGAAGAGAAGAGATGAGGCAGATGGTCGAAGGTGAATAGAGATAAGACACAGATACAGGAGACAGGCGAGAGTATGCAGAGCAGGGCGGGTTGTCTTATATGTAAGTGTTGTTGTAGTTGTGGATGTTGGTATTGCTGTAGATTTTGTTGTTCCTTCGCCTTTGAGAAGAGGTATGTAGTATGTAGGCTGGACGATTGAGATGGGGATGCGGGTATGTATATGTAGAGTGGTGTGGTGGTGGTAGTAGTGGTAGCAGCGGTAGCGGTGGTAGTAGTGGAGGGTAGTAGATTGGTATTGGTAGTGCGTAGTAGCGGGTTGTTGGAATGGGTTCGATGCTGTCCGGCACGCAGGGCAGGCAGGGCAGGCACAGGTACAGCAGGCACAGGCTACGACCTTGTTTATTTCTTTCTTTCTTCCGAATGAGATAAAATCGAAAATAATCAAAAAAAAAGTAATGGAGGAAGCTGCAATTGACTGAGTTGTTGTCGGCTTTCAATCGTGGTCGTTGGAACAAGGGAACAAAGTGCCGAAATGGAATGGGTCGATACGCACGGACTGGAGTGATGATTATCGAGTGCAAACCCCGAAAGGAAAGAAAGGGAACGGCGCTTTAAAGAAATGTGTAAATGGGGATTCACTTGAGTCTCGCCCAGGGCTTGAAGGCTTTCAGAGCCGTGGCCGTGGCCAGCCAGCCAGCCTGTGCCTTTTTTGCGAACCCGACTTACTGCGTTGTCCATGCTTGAGGAACTAAGGCAAGACGGATGCTGGTACACGCCCTCCTAGCCCTTTAGCTGCGAGACCTGTAACGGGGGGTGGGATGCTGTTGGTTGGGGCGTGGGGGAGGGGGGATGGGCCGGCCGTGGGTTATGGGCCACGGGGGGGTGGATGTGTGGTTTCCGGGGAGGAACTTGTGTCAGTTACCAGGGGAAGCTCGCCCACCACCACCACCACCACCACCACCACCACCACCCCTTCCCTTCCCGGCAAGCAGTAAGCAGCAGCAGCGTTACAGCTCCCGCTACATACCGATAGCTATCCAAAGGGCCGGGGGAGTCCTCTAGGAGAAGGAACCTGAGAAGGAGGGATGGATGGGGATGGGACTTGCAGCAACGGCCGCAACACGTTTGGACGGCGTAAGAAGTTTATCCAATCCAGTCCTAGCGGGAGTCTTGCGGTTAGTTACTGTAGGTAGTTACTCTGGTTAGCTAAGTAGCTATTGTTACGTCCATCCCATCTTACTATGGGCCGGGCATAACCATCGTGTACATACATACACACCTAGGTGAGTAGTGTACATACTCCATTCAAGGGTCTACAACTATGATAGTGGAGTGCAGACCTGCATAGCTCTGTCGAGCGTGTCTGTCGGTCGGTCGGTCCGTCTGTATCTACACTACGTCCGGTCTCAAGAGTAACTATCCAGATGCCCCGTCGATCCAACTCGCTCGCCGCCGCCGACAACGACGACAACGACGACGATGAGGACGACCTGCAAGTCCGCTCTCGCCGGCCGTCCGTGGGCCATGGCATGAGCCATATTGGTCCCTAATTCAACTGCACTTCGATCGCCTGCCTACTTGCTCGCTGGTCTCGTAATGGACGATCCGGTTCATCCATCCAGCCATCCAGCCATCCGTCCATCCATCCACCGTCCCATCCATCCATCCATCCATCCATCCATCAATTATGTCCCATGGGGCACGAATTCACGAATTCACGAACTCACGACCACGGCGGCGGACAAAGAAGGCAGGTCACCACGGCCACGGTCCGGGACACTCTCTGTCGCCGTGTCACAGCACGCTTCTTCTCTGTCGTGCATCATATTGTTTTACAAATGTAGGTACTCCCTTTGGTCCTTTTTTTTCTTTCCCGGTGGGTGGTGGATTGGTTCCAATCGAGCAACTCCGATGGAGTGTGGAGAGAGAGCATCACCGCAGAAAATGTTGCTCTGATGGGCAGAGCCCGGTAAAGCGGTGTGTGTGTCTATAGAGTAGAGTACCTAGAGTACATGTCTACCGTACCTAGAGTATGTAGAGTGTGAATTTCTTAGAGGCTGGATAGATTTTGCGATCCCGTAATTCGTTCCTCTTCTCTCGGCACTTTCCAGCCATATGGATGGACAGATGAACGATAGATGATGGATGGATCTTGCCTTCTCTTCCCTTCCCTTCCCTTCTCTTCCCTTCCCTTCTTCCCTTCTTCTCTTCTTCTTCACCTTCTTCTTCACCTTCTTCGAATATTCTTCTCCATCTTTTCCATTCTGCCCCCGTCCCACCTCCCCACCACTCACCTCCCATGCATAGTGTCCTCCACACCCTCTCGAGTCTCTCCATCTCATAGAGCAATACTACTCTATAGAGGAACCCATGTCGTATCGCTGCGACTTGCAACAACCTCGTTTGAACATTGACGAGGATTGATGTTTGACACTCGCGGGTCTGTAGTACCTATAAGAACCCCTTGCTATACCTAGTATACCTAGTATACCTAGTATGCGGGGCCAGCCTGCAGGGCGTTTCGCGTGCGTGAAGAGTAGGAACAGACGAAGAAGACGAAGAAGAAACGAAACGGCAGGCGCCTAGCCAGGCTGGCCAGGCCCAGAGTGGGATGTTTGTACCGAGCAGCAAGCAGACGCACGCAGCAAGCAAGCAAGCAAGCAGAAACCAAGCACCAAGCAACGCACGCAAGCTCACACTCCCACAAAACAGCACCCACTACCTATCTCTCACACGGAGAACAAACCCGCTGTCATGTTGCAAAACACTCGCGCCCCCGGGCGGCGAGGATGTTCTTGTTTCTGCTCTTGCACTCGCACTCGCACTTGCCAGTTTTGTTCCCTCCTGCCCCCCAGACACAGTCACCCAAACACCCCCCAGGACGTAGGATAAATACCTGGTACGTAGTGTAGATACAGCTGGAAACCAGCCCTCGCTCGCGGGCGGATCCCGTTCAGCGGCCGTTCTTCATCCGTAAATTCCGTCTGTCAGTCGGTCGGTCAGTTAATCGGTCGTCTTTCGCACGTCCCATCGAGGCGATACCTACTCTACCTACCTACTAGCTACTAGTTAGGTAGCGTGTAGCGTGCTTCTCTTCCCTTCCTGCGCCGCGGAGCAGATGCATGGGAAATGGAAATGTTGGACGTGTCACTCCCTCCCGCTACTCTAGCCCCCCGCCCCCCGCCCCCCAGCCCGCTTAAGCGCAAGCAACCAACCAAGCAACCAAGCAAGCAATGCGATACGATACGATATGAATACAAGTGAAAAAGCCCTTGGGCCATATGATGTGCGGTATCATCCTCCCCCCCGCCCCGCCTCCGGCACGGTAAGCGCCAGTGGGGCTAGAGCTGGACACAGTGGGGCTGGATGCCCGTGTTAATTGCTCTGCTCATTGCTCTGGGGCAATTCAATGGTCAATGGCCTACAAGCAAAGCACCGTGTTCAATGTTGTGTGTATATAGCATTGGTAGTATGTATAGTATGCAATGTACGGTAAGTATCTATATAGGTACATATGTATCTTGTCATGACCGCTCCCGTTGGCCGCCCGTTGCCTGTGGGCCGTCGGGGATGCGTCAAATACGGTAATCAATCTCAAGCGTGAGCGCGGTGAGGTGAGGTGGGACGGAGAGATGTCGGATGTCCCCACCTTGGGCCCTGTGCTTTGTCTGGGCAAGATGCTGAGGAGCTGAGGCGGGCAGGATTCAAATGATGATGCCCGCATCCCATTCGAAACTGCGAAGAAAGAAGATGGCCAGTTTGTGAAGAAGCAAAGCACAAGAAATCTCAACCATCCATCAAATCCGTTCCAATTGCTCTACCTACAGAGACTACGGTACGGTATCAATTGCAATCTCTCCGTCCGTACTGTACTGGACATGAAAGAATCGATCGTATGTACATAGGTATCTACTGGCTATACCGTAGTACATCCATCCGACAGCGGAAAGTCAATCCTCCCTCTGCGGTTCCCGTCGGTCCAGCCAGACGATCGGGGCTGATCGAAAGGGAAAGACTATCTACCTACCATACAGAACAAGGCACTCGAAGAAAACATCACCACCACAACCACCACCACAACCACCAACGCCGCCGCCGCCACCACCATTCACTAACCACCAGTTTCCTTGCACAACAGGGGCAGGGAGGGCTGCTGTCATAGCGGTCCCTGCTTGCTTGATTGCCTGCCTGCTTGCCTGCTTGCTTGCGACAACGACGACACACGCACGACGCACGACGCCATTCGGATCTTCGGACAGACAGTGCAGACACAGACAGTGCAGACACAGACAGTGCAGACACAGACAGTGCAGACACAGTTCCAGTCCCCCCGGTCCCCCCGGTCCCCAGTTCTCACGCGCAGGGTGGCACCCCCCGAGTCAGGGATGGTCGAGCCGGATCATATTCGCCGGTAGGTTGGTATGGTTGGCGGCAGGCGAGCGAGCGAGCGAGCAAGCAAGCAATCATCATCGTCGCCGTCGTTCGTCCGTTCGCATACCCACCCCACTCCACCCCTCCTCCCCGCCCCCTCCGACCCCAAGACGGAGTTTCCGTATGCTTCCAAACCACAGATCTAGAAGCCCAGTCAATCAGTCACAGCAGTGAAGGACTTTTGTCACGATGCGGTGGTGGTGGCGGTGGTGGTGAGCTGAGGGATAATTCTCCCTGACCGACCAACCGGCCAAACCAAGCGATGGACGGGTGATGGGTGAT